TCTGGCTAAATAATGATCTTCATAGGAAGAGTAGTTTCTCATTAAATCTGTATCTTCATTTCGCCAGTGGGTGAAAAGCATAATTAATTCACGATAATGTTTCTCTGGGTGAGCTTCTTTGTTAAACCATGCACTTCTGATGATTCGAGCTGTTTGTCTTTTCTTAGGTTTATTGCTGCCTTTCAATACTTCTATGTTAATATCATCACATAACTCATCATCATTATTCTCATCATCTAATGTTTCTTCTGGTAGACAATCAATATCAAGTTTAGATGATTTTTTTGGTTTATATGGTTTTGAGCCACAAGAATCATACCAAGCTGCCCAGTCAGCTAGAGTAACATTTTCAACTGAGTGTGGTCGTTCAACATATCGTTTTAAAAGACCCCCTGCATGAATTTCTTCTGAGTCATCCTCCATATGCTCAATTTCACTCAATGGTTTCAACAGGTGAACTCTTTCTTCTGGAGGTGAAGTGGGAATAAATATCACACTACGAGAAGCTTTTCTCATTGGTAATTGTAAGGTGACATAAACTGCTTCTTGAGCACTGATCTCAACACTGTTAAGGAATTTGTTACCAATGTCTCGTACTTGTTGCTTTATACTAGCATTGCCTTCTCTTGCTTCTTCACATGCTTTGCGCAATAACTCACTCATACCTTTCTGTGCTTTAGAAATGTAGGACACAATATACATGGCACAAGCATATACATCAAGGACAAACTGGATGTCCATATTGGCTCTCCATGCTTTAAGGCATGCTGGGTTGTAATTATTAACCCTTAGTTCATTTGGTTCTCTTTTTAAAAATATTGTGGGACAATTCAGCGATGAACGTAAAGCCAAAAGGTAATTTTCTTCTGTGATACTCAATTCTTGGAGAAACTCCTCAAATGTCACATCTTGTCCATCTTTCAAATCATTGAGTTTTGTCGTAATATCCTTCCATTGTTGCTTAAGAGATTTTTTGTGATTTTCAGAAAATGTGTCTTCAAGTGGGTGTAATATTGAAGTTGACCTCATAGGTGGCTGAGGATAATTAAATCTACAAACATTTTTGTTATTCTTCTTACATGTATGGGAGTGTCTATGCATCTGTCGATTAACTAAATCAAGCAGTCCTGGGTCATAATCAGGTTTCCGGCATGTGATAATTTGGTCGATAAATGCAGCTACATCCTTATCCTCACTGACTCCAAACACTGGTGCATTTTCAAGCCATATCAACATATGTATATGAGGTGACCCCCGTTGTTGATATTCAACTCTATAAAACCAATCTTTGATTTTTCCTAAAGGTGCAGTGCTGCTAATCAGAAATTGTCTTAAGAATGTATTAAATTGGAAGTCAAAGTGTCTAGCACATGTTACAGGGTCACTTTGAATTAACCTGCATTTATCATTCCACTCTAAATTGTCAAGTTCATCATCACTGTAGTTTTTGTGGTCAACCAGTTTGCCAAGTATTCTTAATAAATGGTTCCACTTAGTTTCAGCAGACGAGAAGCTACAAAACAATGTTGCGGGACCCAGTTGGCGAATCATTGCAAATAAATCTTTTTTTGCTTTTTCAAAATAGGGTGGTGAACCTCGTAATCCTCTCAAAAATTTGTAACCTTCATCATGGTGGATAAGGTTCTCTAGGCTTCCTCTTTGCTTCAATTGACCTGCTGTTATGGCTTGATTGCCAGATTTACATTTTCTCAATGCAATTTGGGATTTTCCTAACAGAATTTTCATTTGGAGCTTTTTGGTTTTAAAGAATATATTTTCTACACACATAGCAGCCCTGCGGTCTGACCGTCTTAATTCAGATTTACATATTTCACTGTAATATGCACTGACTAATCTGTCTTTATCGCTTGGTCGTTTTTGGCCTAGGAAAATACCAGGATATGCCAGTTCTTCACAATATTGGTCTCTAAATATGCTCATTGGTCTGTTGCCTTCCCCAGGTGCAATACTATAAATACCTTCCCTTTCATGGTCACTAAGAAAATCTGTGGCAGTAAGCATACTATCAGTTACTCCAGCAGGTATTTCTGCTTCTCCCTCAGTCCAATTATCATTGTTTGTTTTATTAGTGTCACTATCTTGTGTATTGTGGCTGCCATCACTTGGACAAGTATTTTGTAGACTATCTGCATAGTGCTTTGCCCAATTAGAATCTAAAGTTATGCCTTGTTCCTTATACAGGGTGCTGTTGTTTGCAAGCCACGCAGCTGCCTGTAAAACTTTTTGCGGTCTCACATTTAAAGATAATGCTGAACTTTTGTATTGTAAACGCCTTTTCAAATTAATTTTAATTGTACCTGTGTCATGAGGTAACCTAGGCAACATATTGACAGTATTTGTCACATCAGCTGGCACATTCACCACATTACCATTAATCTTGAATTGTTTACCTCTTGGTGCTTGCATAATTTTTTGAAATGCCAACCTTGGAGCCACAAGTCTACATTCTAATTCATTTAGATCAAAAAACTCAGGTATGGCAGGAAATTTCATCCCATTTGACACTGCGCATGGAGGTACTTTATTTCTACGTAGATAGTCATTACATGATCTACAAATCCATTCTTCACCATTAACACTTAACTTTCCTTGTAAATGATTAGACATGTTGATATTGTTCAGTCGCAGGTTATTTGCACGTTGAACACTGTGCTTGTACCATGATTGATCACAACATGTACAAATATATAATGGCCCTTCTGACACAGTTTTGTGGAATTGTGTTATCAAATCACTAATGTCAACATGATGACATTTTTTATTATTTCGCCTATTTTTCTGCTTCTGTTTCCTTCGTTGTTCTCTCTGTGCTGCAAGCCTAGTCTCTCTTTGTTCAACAGTTTCATTGTTCTTTTTACATTTTTGATACTGTCTTCTTGCTCCAAGCCTGTTCTCTCTTTCTTCTACAGTTTCATTCTTCTGTTTATATTCCCTGTACATTTTTTTTGCCGCTAATCTTTTCTCTCTCTGTTCATTTGTTTCATTTTCTCTTTTACGTTTATTATATGCCCTTTGGCTTGATAACCTTTTTTCTCTTGCCTCACTACTTTCACCTACTTGTTTATGTTTAGCATACTTTTGTTTTTTTGACATTTCATCATTTGTTGCAGGGTTGTTTAACCCGGGGTTTCCCCTTCTTACATGTTCACTATGAAGTGAGCACATTGAAGTAAACTGAACACCTTTGACCTCAAATGGTGTAACACCTCCAGGTGAAAGAGTCTGAAAATATACAACTAGATCTTGAATATTGTTAATTGTGATTAAAATACATTTTCCAAATTCATTAGGAACACCAAACAAATTTCTAGCATGAGAATCAAAGATTCTAAAAGACCCATCTGCAACTTTCAATATTGCCACAGTATTGCAACCAATAGTAAGCAGGGCAAAACTGTATGTTAGCTCAGAAAATAGGAATATGTTATTTAATGCACTTAGAAGTGTGAAATATGGTCGACTATTGCATGCCATGAATACATCACCAGCATATGACTCACTGTATTGTAAATTATAGATTATGTCATTAACAGAAACCATTTCAGGCACATCAGTCAATAGCAACAAGTCTTTATTCACTGAATTGGATATACATGTATAAAGGTCATTGCCATTAATTAAAATTGTGTTTAATAATTCTGTATCCCAGGTTGTAACATCTTGTATTTGGCTGAAGATTATTGCAGTCAAGGACATAGCAACACATTGCTTTCCTGCATTTTGTCCAAATCTGACTTCACAACCTTGGCTAAAATCAGCACACACAGTTTTTGTTGCATCAACAATGTCATATACTGTAGGTCCTGGGTTTGTTTCCACATCATTTGACAATCTTAGTAAACCAGGCACATACACTTGGTGATAACAGACCATTTTGATAAACCAAATTACTGGTTCATTTGATCTACTGTATTGTTCATTTATTTGCTTTAATGTTGGGAAGTAAAATACATTTAAATAAAACATCATCAACATTGTGTTCCAGAAAGTACCTGTCAGACGTCTGGACACTTCTCTTTGTCTCACAAAGTTTGCATGAGAACCAACTCTTGCTCGATATTGTTCAATTGACACTCCCATGTCTAGTATGATGTCACGTGACTGTCAGTAGTTTTGTGCAGACTGTCTTTTGTTTGATTTGTTATCCAGTTTCAGATGAATATTTTTGTATACTTTTTGGCAATTTTGTAGCAAGTTTTTAGCAAGTTTTTAGCAAGTTTTTAGCAAGTTTTTAGCAATTTTTTTGCGGACACAAGGTCCCAGTTTATGGCTTTTTCGATTGCGATACAACACGCAATTGCCTGACAAACGAGTCAGTGCAGACACAAGGCCCCGTTTAGTTTATAGATTTTTCGATTGCGATACAACACGCAATTGCCTGACAAACGAGTCAGTGCAGACACAAGGCCCCAGTGAGTTTGTTGCTGCGATGACTCGACGAGAATCGCACTAAAAGACAAAACAAAAAGCGTGCTTAACAAACTGCATGTCACCTCGTCGACTTTGAGACAAGCCTCGGCCCTCAAGGTCAACACATTTATAGATAAATACAGCTAAGCCTAAGGTGAAACTGGTTAGCGTACCTTGAATGAGATGAAGTAGGGCGACGTTTACCAGCAAAAAACGGCCAAATCAAATCGAATTTTGCGAACTTGTCTTTGGCAGTTTGCTCAGAACTTGTCGACAAAATTAGCAGATCAGATCGTACCGGAAATTGCGGTCATCACGTGAGCATATGACGTTTTTAGGGCGCCTGCGGTTCCCCCATCCGTTTCGCGCATGCTCAGATATTTTGCATTTATAATTTGCCATAAACCCCGTCTAGCCTCTGCGTGATGACTAAGCGTTCCGCAGTCCTTATGGACAGCGGACGCAAAAAGTGTCTGTCAATGAGTCAATCTAGGACCAGGGAAAAAGATTTGCGTCAGCTGAAAATTTCTTATATCTCTTCTACTTTTATAAAACGGAAAGCAACTCACATGTTTTAATGTGTATTCATGAGTAGTGAAATTAAAGCTTCGACTTTAAAACACAAAAAATAGACAAATTTCTCGGATGTCGAGGCGTTACCAAGCGTGTCTCCAAGTGAAAATAAACATCGTATTATAATAGATGGTACTTCATGTAGTGTGAGGTTCTAAAATTGCTTTTCAGCTGCTGCCGCCTCCTCCTTCTTCCGCCTCCTACGCAATTTGAACTAATACAATTATACGAATCTACGCAATTTAAAATATTCAGAAAAACAAAACACAAGTGCAAATTCATTTCGTATTTTCTCGCGGGATTAAGCTGCCAAATGTTTAAGTTTTTGACAAAATAAATTCCGGTAAGTATCAGGACTTTTAGGTAGTGTCAATTTTTACACCACAATTATACACCACATGTGCGGTTTAAGTTTTTACAGTAAACGTATAAATTTTGTACTGGTGGTGATACTATAAAACAGACAACTACAAGAAATCTTCAGGATGACTATGCTGTGCCTATGCAGTATAAAATTTGTTTTCGTTTTCCGATCTAGATAGAAAGTTTTAAACATGTCCTAATTGGTTGCACTATACAGTAATATTTTAACTTACGTATTAACATGAAAATCGCTCATCGCTGAATGGCATTTTGTAAAGTACAGTATAAAGATGGAGTCATTATGAGTCATACGTAATAGTATAGGCATAGAATATATAGATCATAGTAGTTTACATGTTTTTAGAGAACTTACAGCAAACGCCAAACCGCACGAAGCATTTGCACAAACTCGTCGATATTCATCACTGTAACCTGGATTGTACGCAATGCTGATGTTTTTAGCTTTCCAGTAAAGTTAGCTTTGCCGTAGGTGTGTTTCGCGGTTTATGTTTGCCATGTAAATACATACTGCTAAGCTAACTTTCCCACTAAATCCAGGAGCAACCACTGCTAAAAACATCACTAAATCCAGGAGCAATCACTGCTGAATATATAAACAATTTTATGACGAACTTTTATGCTTTATTGAAATTGTTGCACACTCTAAGATAGTAAAGATAAAAGAAGAACACTCTAAGATAGTAAAGATAAAAGACAAAGCTTGTCAGTAGTTTAGTGTTTGTGGTAAACACCTGAATATGGCCAACCCTGGGGATCGCTTTGTGGTGCCCATCTATTAGATGTTACCAAATAAAGTGCAGTATGATAATATTTTAGACTTCAATATGCTACCTTTTAATAAAATTAATACAGGATATCTAACTAATTAATACATTCTGATACATATCATATGAGATTGCATCCACAACATGTCTCAACAATTTGCTCCCAATTATTTATTATTAACTTATTATTGATTATATTCAGTTGGTATCTTGTCCAAAACTGATGGCTGCAAATACACAAGGTAATATTTATCATCGTGACATTGTGCTATTTGTTTATATGATGTTCCTATCATATAAAAACTATAATCAAGTGTTCAATCATTATGTTTCATGAATTTGCCTCTGAAGAGCCCTAATTTGGGACACTTAGTTTCTCATCTTGACACTTATTTATAAGTTTTGTATGTAGAAGGAGAGAATAAATGATATTATTATTTATTTAAAATAATTTACAGCCTCTGATTGGCTATAATACCCATGTGTGAAATTGTCATGTCCAACATGTGACGTCATAATGTGTGATACGACTTTTTTCTTCATGCTATTAATTCATAACATGTGATAAATAGTCATATCCCAGGTTTGACGTCACACCAATGGCATTGACGTCCCAAAGGAGCGGGAATATGAATTCAAGCGAACAAAGTTGTAATGTTCATTCTTTTAAGTAATTGATAAAACAATAATTGAATTAAGTTTTCACATGATATGAAGAATTATCAAACCTCTTTTTGTCATTATCAACATCATGAAGCCTTCGGCTTTATAATTAACAACAAACTTTTTCATCATTGATTAGACACTCAACAGTCCCACATCACTGTATCTTGTACAGCAGAATTTCCTTCTTATAAATGTGACAGTGTGTCAAAATGTTGGGGTTTGGTAACCTTAAAAGCTGCAAATTATGAGCCTGAGCAGTCAAAAAGACCTGCATTAGATATTGTTGCTGTGATTGACAGAAGTGGGTCAATGCAAGGTGAAAAATTATTTCTGGTGAAGAAATCCCTTAAGTTTTTAGTTCAGAATTGTAAGTACACTATTTTGTTTTTCTTAAAAACAAAAATATATTTTACCTTCCCTATCTCTTTGACTGTTTTATATTGATCTAAGCAGAAAAGAACATGTACAGTTTGAAAGGCTTCCATAAATTTTGGACATGATCTAAGTACGACAAAATTATATTCAAATAATATATAGTGACAATTTTCAGAATCTCTAAATCTAAACACCTTGTACATAATGTTTCATATTGTAAACAATGAATATGATGTTTATGTGTTGTTTTCTGAATTCTGAATTTTTATTCTGAATTTATAAATTACGTTTATAAATTACGTGAGTTAATCTCGCGCCCAGGCCAAACACCAAACGAGAGGGTTGCTCCATTTCAGCACTTCATCTCTGTTTTGGTTTTTGTTTTGAAGTGTTTTCATTGTTTCATTCTTATTAGAATTTTATCTTTTATCATTTCATTTTCGCGTTTCTGATATTCAGTTTCATCCTTTAACCTTGACGCGTTGACTATAAACCACCACAAACTAAATATATTCTTCTTTTGCGCCAGCGCTATTACGTACTTCATATGCGTTTGTTGCAGTAACTGACGTCATTCTCTTATCTCTTATCTTGGGCTGCTATCATTAACCTTATTCAAATCAGAAAAAATAACCTAGCTCCACACCAACGTTAACAAACTAGTCTGTAAAAACGATGAATTGATTGAGTTAATCTGTTTTTTCTTATCATTACAGTATTGGAGAGAGACCGGTTAAGTGTAATTACATATCACACTGATGTTACCGTTGATTTTGATCTTCTGCCGATGAACCAGAACAACAAGACATATGCCAAGCACAAAATCGAATCGATTCAATCTGCATCATCTACTAACCTCTGTGGTGGCTTATTACAAGGGCTTTGTTCAATTCTTGATAGAGGAAATGTGAAAAATGATGTGGCATCTGTGCTGTTGTTTACTGATGGCCTCGCTAATCAAGGTAAGTGCGGGAATAGCGAGTGTTTGGTCAGTGACGGTCACATAAAAATGGATATTTACAGTCGAATCTGGATAAGTGATAAGTGTGAATCCGGATGAATCGTCTTAAGTTGTCCGTTTTCTTATGTATTTATTTCTTTTGCAGCAACTTGCAAACCTGGCTTGTGTTAAACCAGTTTTAAGTCATTCTCCTGCAACGTTTTTTTTTCAACTTTGTTGCTACCGCGCGTTCTCTCCGCCTCAAATCTGCTTTTGAAAATACACCGATAACACAAAAGCTGAATTTACTCTCACCTTCTGTTAATATTTCTACTAAAGGAATCACCGCTAAAGACAGGATCATTCGAGCCATGAAAGATCCAAAGAAATATTTGAATGCCTCTGACCGTGAGACGCAAGATCATGATACTCTAATTCAATATCAGAGTAACGTTACCGCGTCAGTATCGTCCCGTGGTTCAGCATCATCGAGAGCAATTCCAAATGTTTACCAGCCTAATGTCCCTAATGTACCCAGAAGATCCTTCCTCTCCCACATGCGTAATCTTTTCAGATCTTCAAATACTTCAAATGTTCAACAAGTTCAAAACCGATCTGATATACAACAAAATGTTGTACCACCGGATACACAAAATATTCAACCAGCTGAGGAAACCGAAGTTCAACCTGAAATCGATAAAAGTTCGGAACAACCTGCACAAGCCCTACAACAGCCACTGCAGGTGCAAAACGCCGAGCAACAGCCCGAAGAGAAAATAAAACCTGCCACAGCCACAGGCGCAGTCAATCAGGCAGAGAATAAGGAGAAGGTAGATTTATTGTACAATGGTTGCAAGTTATAGTCATTTCACTGCGCTGTATTTCAGAGTGTTAGGACATTTCAATAACATGTTTGACGCATAGCAGCTGATATTATCATATAGAATGTGGTGCAGATTACTGATGCTTCAGTGTACACATTTGGCTTTGGTCGAGATCATGATCCTGACATGTTGAAAGCCATCAGTGATGCAGCAAATGGAATGTATTACTTCATTGAAAACGAGGAACAGGTTAGCTTCAGTCCCTTCTCAATTGGGCTAATAAACCTTCTCCATCACTTGACTATACTAAGAAACGAGTGCTTTTCAAGTGTTGTTTTACATATAGTCATAATTCAAGCAATTCATAATTCTCGTGTAACTTCGCGCGAGCCTTTCTCACGATGACGTTTTTGGGGTACTTTCAATTTTCTTAAATGTGTTTAAAAAAATATATCAACATGAAAAGCAATTTTTTTAGAATCAACAGACCTTTGGAAGAATAACTCCATCCTAAAATCAAAGACAGTCGCCGTTACGAAGTCATACGCTTACGGTTTTGCTAAAAAGTACCCCCAAAATGGCGGTTTATTCGTCATCGTGGGGAAGGCTAATTTCCTGCGGCCAGGTGGTTTAATTCTATTCACAATCTGAAAATCTCTTCAGCTGACGTTTGCATGGAGGCTTGTGCCTGTGCCACGCAATGCAGTTTTATTTACATTGTAGAATTATTTTAAATGATAAGTTTTGTTTTAGATTTCGGAATCGTTTGGTCATTGTTTCGGGGGACTGGTGAGCACACTTGGTCAAAATATAAAATTGAACTTGGAACTATGTGACGGCGTTACCATTGATGAAATACATACTGAGCAAAGTTACACGAGTGATGTTATGAAACAGTACGTCTACTGGCTCTGTCGGGCTTCTCTTCTTTATTACAATATTAATTGTCTTTTTTTTTTGTAAAGTAGAACATGCAATAATAAGATTTAATTTACCTCTAGTAACTGCATGGTAAGCAACGTTGATAAAAATCTTATGAGTTCATGTTTTGCTTAATAGAAAATGGGAGGTGCATCTTGGTGACATGGAATCCGAAGAGGAACGTGACGTTTTGCTTACTCTAAACTTTTGGGCCTGCCACTGATTCTTCAACAACAAGTTGTCTGAAATGTTCAATTAGATATTTCTGTCTAATTGACTCCTGTTATAAGCATTCGGCAGCAGATTTTTCAGTTGACAGATCAGGTTCGTTGTATGTAATTATGATTTTCCTTAAATCATAAGCAAAGCTGGTCTATTTTGTAAAACGGATTCCAAGTTTCCTTTTTATTACAGTTTGTTTCTTTTTGAAGTTTGTTTTGTTATCATTTCAAAATCTAGCTGAGGCAGAATATTCTGCAGCAGTTGCGAATTTGGCTGTTGATCGGCAACGAAATAGACTTCTGACTACAAAAGCTACAAGAGAAGCGCTCGAGTTGGCTGACACTGGTAAAACAATTTAGTTTGTTTGAGTTTTGAACCTTTTTGCATGCGAACACTCTCTGCATGCATGAAAGTAAAGGTATCGTTTATTGTTTCGTGCTTTAGTTGACTTCCAGTTATAGCTAAATGTTCGTTGTTATGTCAATTTTCTCGATTTCTACCGTTAATCAGGTGATTTAAAATCGGCACGCGAGCGTCTGGAAAAAGAAATCAAAAGAGTTCAAGAGTCTTTAACGAAGGATGACGAATTTTGCAAAGTATGGCATAAAATCTATAAAGGTATAATGAAATAAAAAAACTTATTATTAAACGTATGCTCCTTATTCTATAGCTTCTCGTCAAAGATATGAAAAAGAGTTTAGAAGGACTACAGAACGATGATCTGTACCTGCATTCAGGAAGGAAACGTCAAATGAACGCGTAAGTTCCATCTTAACGTGATGTTACATATGCGATATAATTTTAATTCGTGCCACTCGCGAGTTGCGATGCAAATTGATATCTATACATGCGAGTTTTTTGGACCAGGGAAGAAAAACATCTTTCTTTATACAATTTAGTAAAGTTTCCTATATTATATTTATCGATAACCTACGGTTAACCTACAACAAAAATATTTTGTAGAAAATGTTTCAGCTTCTCTGTGTTTTAGACTTTCAGTCCATTCATTTTTGTGGCAGCCATCTTTAATTAACATGGTCAATCACCTAAATTTCTTGCAAATAATATTTTCTTTCATAATAAAGGCAATTTATGTTTGTTGTTTAGACTCCAGATGCATTCAAAGCAACGAAGCAATCGACCTGACGATTGTGATTTGTATATGAATTGCTCCAGAAGCGAATACATGCATAAGTTTAAATGATGGAAACGAATGTTTGATCATTACCCTACATTTTATACTCGTTGGGAAAGTAACTAACTATATAGTTTTTATATCTTTATTAAGGTATTTTCAACATATACATTATGGGTCAGTATCCTTTTTTACTTCGGAAACTCATCGATTTGACCAAATTTTATTTTAAACATATTTTCTTAAATACGTCTTGAATAATTTAGTTTTTAAGTGTATGATTGGCCGTGGTGTTGGGAGAAACAAATCTTGTATAAGCATCTTATGTAAGCATTAATATATACATATAATGAAATATAAGAAATAAATATTTGTTATAAAATCAAAAATATGTGCGTTTAGTTAAGAACGATATTATATATTATTAAAATGAAAACTGATATTAGCCATTGTAGCCCGAGGGCTACATTGATTGCGATAGAATTTATACATACAAGGAGATAATAAAAATCACAAATTACAAGGTAAATAACTACTGTATTAAGAAATAAAGTTCTGCAAACGTAGACTTATATACTATGTGCTAAACTATGTCAAAATATTAAAAATTGTTGTTTTAAGACTCTTTGTGTTTGGTATGGCAACCAAGGACAATGAATATAAGAGTCTTTACTGGCAAATACTGGTCTATTTGGCAAATAGACCTACTCTTGCAAAGTATCAAGATTCAATTCGTCTAGTTCTAATTTTATCTTTTATAAGCATAGATGTACATGGCGATCAAACCACGATCCCCTTTACACACAATTCGGAAGACAAAAGCAGAATGCGACAGGCCCGGGATGTCAAGGATAAAAATTATAAACTCCTTTTGGTAAACAGACTGCAACAAATTGTCACAGGCTACAGTACTAGCTTAGATGAAGTATATCACGAAGAATCCAATATGGCGGATGCAAAGGACGAAGTTTGTACTTGGGGTAATAGAAAGTTCTGTGATATTCCTAAGGCTTATATAAACTCAACTACAAATGTACAAAGCCAGGACGAATGTGGAAAATTATGTGACTACATAGAAAGAAACTGCTTGGGCAGAGAATTTGAATTTACAACACCATTTGGGAAACGTAAAGGTTGTTCAGGCACTAGTAATGTTTTGATTGTTTTCTAATTTTTTAACTTTTATTACATTATTTTATCTAATGTACTTACAGTACAAGTGTGTCAGTAGTGTGCTTTCATATGCATTATTACAATCCATCAGTTATTCTGATGTAAATATAGCACTTATATTTAATGTGTGCATATCATTGCTCTTACTCACTTATACCTATTTAATTTTGTTTAGTTGTGTACTCTGATTATGTGGCATCTAGCAAGTAAGTAAATTTTTGATAAAGTTTTACTCATTGATCATGACTCAATAATGTCCATCCTGATCATGACTAAATGGTGTCCATACTGATCATGAATCAATAGTGTCCGACCATATTGATGTAATTCAATGATCTTACATTAGATAAATATGATTTAGATGCTATGTTAGAAAATGATACAGTAAAGCATGTCACATAAAAAAGCTTTCATTTTGATGCTTTGAAGGTCTTTAAAGTTTCTTGAAGATTATATCACAAACAATGTTTTGAATTGTTATGGTAATACCCACACAACAACAACTGTTACATCCCTGCAGACAACTTTATATCGTCATGAAGCCAGGTAAAGTTATTTTCAATGATTCTTTAGTATCACATTTATAAGTTACCTACATATTTGAAATTAGAGTGTGATGGCCGTTAGTAATTTTACATTTGGATGTTTAACAGTTAGATTCGATAGTTAATATAAAATTTTTCAGGCAATTAAAATAGACAAACTGATTGAAGAGATGAATGGTCTTTATTTAGAACAATCATTCGTAATGCAGTGAATGCCAGTGAACATGATGCTGTAATATTTGCTGGATCGGGTACAACCGCAGCTGTTCATAAATTTATTCACGCTCTGAAGATAAAGACAGCGCCTGTACGTTCTAATAAGCAAAATGCCTAACCTGATAGCAACAAAGATGTCTACCAAATATTTGTATTTGACTATATTCCAGTTTTGCAGTTTTTGTTAAAACTTTCTTTTATATACTGTAGATCGTGTTTGTTGGCCCATTTGAACATCATTCTAACATTTTACCCTGGAAAGAAATTGGAAGTGAGGTAATAGTTATTTGTATTAGTACAGTACTATACAATGAGCTTGTAGTTATATACATATCACCACGGTCATCACATTCTTTAAGACCAAAAATGTACGGACGAATATTGAACATTCCACCCAAGAATTGGTAACATTTGCAATCTACAGTAATGAACATGTTCAAATTAACTAAAGTGTTGTCTACTGTTAAGCGAACTAAGTTAAGTGTCACTTGTATATGATCGTGCAACTTTATGTTTGGCAAGTCTGTGCTTTCTTGGGTTAACTGCTATTTCTTTGCCCACCTCTGAAAACCTAATCTTGCTCCTAACCCTTCAAACCAGCAAGTATAGAGTAATGGGATTTAGGTTGAAAACAGCGTATGTTAAGAAGTGATAGAATGTCAAACAAGATGTAGGGGATATAAACCTAGTTAACAGAAATGATTCAACAGATCGTCTGGATACGTGAAGCAAGAGATGGGAATGTTGATGTTGACCATCTTGAAGAAATGTTGAAGGTAATTCTAAGAATGACTGTTCCATGATAAACAAGAAACGGTTGTGGTTGTGGTTGAAAAAAAGTTTGAAACTTATTTCATTTGATGTTATGTTCCTCTTGGCAACAATTTTTAATCCAATAACCTTGAAGAATATCGGTTCATATTTATCTAAAATTCTTGTCAGATACTTTGATACACTCGGAATATACTGTAATCTACCGGGCTAAGCATATTTGATATCTTTCTTAAAACCTGTTTGGTAATTTCGGAGAATTTAGCCAGACTCGTGCGCATTTGAAACAGTTATATCTTAAACAGAATTTCAAAATTATTATTTTCTTTTACTGTTATCACTGCATGAAAAAAATAATAAAATGTAGACAATAAATATGCCGCGTCGCATAGGCGTTTCTTGTTGAGAATTCAAGTGAGATTTTCTTATTATGATAGATGTTAATCAGTAACAGGTGTAATAAAGAAACAGTTTATAAATGTGACCTTCTGGGGCCGGTTGTTCAAAAGCCGGTTAACTTAACCCAGGGTTAACGCAATTTTTTATCAATTTTTTTCATCACTTGTTCATAAAAGTTGAATATTTTTACCATGGGTATTTTCTGGTTTAATAGAAATCTTATTTTGTAAAGTTTTGAAACAAGCGGCGGTGTAGAAACACGTAAACTAAAACAGCGGAATAAGATTTAACCCAATGTTAGCGCTAACCTAGCTTTGAACAACCGGGCCCTGAACGTTTGCTATTCACGACTCGTTCACATCCCTCAAATCCAAAAAGTCTCGCATAAAATCTCGGCAATAATCGCTTAGATTTTTGCTGGTGCAATCTGTCATCAATTATATATTTGTACAAGCGATTTAAGGTATTGTGATATTTCATGAAGAATTAACGCGATTTCATGTGCGAAGTACCCTACTAGCCCAAATTCATTATGGGTATACGATTTCTAGTTTTTGAAATAATGTAGTTTAGGAATTAATCTTAGGAGAGCTAACGTTTTTCTTTTCCTTTATTTCTTGATTTTGCAGTTGCACTCAAAGGATGATAAACAGTTAATTGGCTGTTTCTCTGCTGCTTCTAATATCACTGGTATTCTTACAGATACAAATAAAGTATCTGCTTGTTTGCATCGTTATGGTGCACTGGCTGTTTGGGATTACGCAACTGCAGGTATATTCATAATTATTCACTGCAGATTTTGGATAATTTAAATCTCTGATTATAATTTGTTAATTAGGACCGTACACCGAAATAAACATGAATCCAGTTGTGACCAGGTACCTAGATCTGTGTTGAACGTATTCAATATCCATTCGTATCGTAAATCTCGTTTGTTTCCATGTAAATTTTTAGCGAGGATTCAAGTCTTGTGTACAAAGATGCAGTATTTCTTTCACCACATAAATTTGTTGGCGGAGTAGGTACACCAGGTTTGTCTGCCGTAAATTTATACAATTTCATAGCATCATATACAAATTTTCAAAAATGTGCTGTTTACCGCAACATTGCGGTGTATACGTTCCAATTTTCTTTTTCTGGAAAAAAGACGTTTTTATTTCCAGGCATACTTATAGCAAAGAAAAACCTGTTTCAGAATACTGTTCCCTCAAATTGTGGCGGTGGATCTGTGTTCTTCGTAAGTACCAGTACTTCTTGTGAGCTTTTATTTTTGTTACGGGAAGGCTTAGGGTGCCCGGCACTCGTGTCCAGCCTATCACTTTTTGCGCCTAGGTTGAACACGACGCTTCCAAATAAAATTAAGCTCGGTGCCCAAGAACGCGGGTTCTACCTCCAGACGTAGTATTAAACAAGCGTGTTTTACCAACCAGTTTTGACTTTGGGCACTCGTGCTGGGCACACACTCTGATGCAGCCTTTTTCACTCATTACTAATGCTTTTTGATAAATAATAATAATTTGGTCTCCATACAGGTAACGCACAATTCTCATCGCTATTTAAAAGAAATTGAAATGCGCGAAGAAGGGGGAACGCCAGCTATTGTAGAATCTATCCGTGCAGGATTAGTTTTTCAGTTAAAAGAGGTAATTTCTGCCACGCTTCGGCAGATTGTGAGACTCGAAATAGTTAAATCCTAGTTAGCTCTAAAATACACGATCTTCTTTGACCAATATTTTTTTGTAGTTGTAAAACTTCCTGATATTCGATCATGTCCTGCAACTTTAGATATTTTGTTTCAGGCTGTTCGTCATGAATATATCATGAAAATAGAAAACGACTTTCTAAAGTAAGAAATTCTTGTACTGTGTTTACATCAAGACAATGAACCCCACTTCGTAAATCGCTCACGTGAATATCTCGTATAATAATACCTCGTCACGTGAATAGCTACTTTAATTTATAACTTTTTCAGGCTTGCAAATGATGTGTTCTCGAGATGCAATAAATTGATAATACTTGGGAATTATGATACCCCTCGACTTCCTGTTTTTTCGTTTTTAATCAAACATGAAGAAAGTGGTTTGTTTCTACACCACAACTTTGTGTCATCTTTGTTAAATGATCTTTTTGGAATTCAGTCACGTGGAGGATGTGCTTGTGCTGGACCGTATGCTCAGGTATTCTAATTTTTGTCTTTGTAAGTTTTATTGGTTTAAAATGGTTTGTGACTTTGTACAGTCAAACCATCCTTTAATTATCTTACACTACTGCAAAAAACGAAGATTCCCGAGATAAACATGCAACAATAATATATATTCATTCATATAAATTGGAGTGTGATGTATTGTCTTTGTAGGATCTGCTTGGTATTGATGAGAAATTAGCGAATGAAATTGAATCGGCATTATTGGAAGACAGGTATAATTGTAACTAGGATGCCCAGTGGCTCTATGTAATGTATCAAGATGTATTGTGTAAGAACTAGTTACCAATCGTGATTTAAGCCAGTAGTTTTACTGAAGGACTACATATATTATGTAATATTAAGGTTAATAGTTTTACCAGTGATGACGGTGTGAGCTTACAGCCGGTAATTTGAAAATTACAATCATGTTGCGTCAGTTCTTCCATGTTAATCGTGGTGAAATTTAGCTCGGCAGTTTTTCTTATTCTAGTTAACCTTCCAATAATACATTCTGCACGAACCTTAGTCTGTTGTCATGTTGTTTATTTACAGTCGCTTGGACAGAGTTCATTTACGCAGATACGGAGAATACTCTGAGAGGGAATTAGTCAGGTAACTACAATATTCTGGTTACAGTAACCTGGTCACAGTATTTAGAGAAAAATATCAATATCCACCCAAGTTTGCTCTAGCAAGGCTCTCGCACTTTCTTGTATCTCGTCTGGAAACGTGGAAGTGCGGGAGGGGGGCTGGGCTTGATTTAGGCCATCTCAAAGACTTCCATATCTTTGCAATCGTGTAAATACACGGGTATTTTGGTATTTTTATTTATCAATTGTGATGCTTTTCCATTCTTCTCACAAAGTTTTCTCACTCATGTTAAAACATTCTCGTATATTTAATTGCAGGCCAGGTTTCACCAGAATTAATCTTCCTTATTTTATGAAAAAAGAAGAAGCTTTATTTATCTTGGAGAGTATTGTTTTAGTCGCAGAACATGGTTGGAAACTCTTGCCTAAGGTACATTAGATTGTCTGCCTGTTCTTGCAATTAATCCAGTACCATAGGCTAAAATAGTAATATTTTTTTACTTCCATTTTCAGTACACGTTCAACCCCGAAACTGGCGAATGGCGCCATCGTCAACATCAGGTAAGTGAACGCTGTTTACTAATTATTTGCTGAAGCCACGAAGAATATCGCCGAATAAGAACTAAGAGGACAGAAGTCGAGTTTATTCAGTGATATCCACCGAGCTTCAAGCGAATAATTGAGATGACCTTTTGAGAAAACCAATCTGTTTTAAATAAAAGTTTCAAAGATACGTACGGCAACTTAAAGTAAACATTGTATCGATGATTGACCCGTTGTTCTAGATCTTCAAAGATCGTAAATGGCTTGGCTCAATTTCATATTCATCAGGAGAAATGAAATACCCCGAGAACGTTACTACTATTACAGAAAATGAAAACTATGCACCAAACTACCAGGTACGTTATTTATATCGTACTGCAAACTTCTTAACTAAGTGCATCCGAACCCCGACGCTTCTGAATGATTGTAGTTCTTCCTTTCACTTGATTTTACTTTCAATCCCTTCGTCATGCAGTAAATGTCATCTCTAGTGAATGTTTCTGTAATGATGTTCCTACCTGTTCCATAAATATGCAAGGAAATTGGAATCTAATCCAAGGCCAGGTATATAGTACTAATCAATTTGTCTTCACAGGAATGTTTGACTACTGCAATGGAAATTTTTAAGAAAGCCGCGGTTGTTAAGGTTTGTGCGACTTAATTGTTTATTATTCTCTAGGATCCATTTTACTGTAGATTTTTTAAAAATTTCAAAAGACATCAAAATAGAGTATTCATGTTATTAAAATATTCGTTCATTGTTATTACAGGGGCAGAATACACCGAACGATCAATCGTTGTTATTAGGGGATGCTGAAAGGTTACGATGGTTCTTGCTACCCAGTGAGGCTTACGCATTTCTTCGGGAAGAAACACGTCATGGCTATCCAAAGATACCCCCATTTTCACCACGACGTCGCTGTTATCACGGGGAAATGGGAGCCTCAAACAACATATCAAAACATATTGATGAAGTATTGGAAAATACGGAATGCGAACGTGAAAATTGTTCAGATTGTAAGAATGTGGTTGACATATATAAAGGGAAACACGACAAAGAGAGAGTTAAGTCGGAGGAAAGCAATTTAACGCCAGAAAATAGCGCGTGCAATTCATTGGTGAATAATCGTGAAATATTGGAAAGTCGTCATGATGATAAGGATGTGAGCGACTCAGCTGAAAATGAGAAGACTGAACATTGCTTTCATAATTTACAAGTGAAGTTTTATAATCCTCCACGTCACGTGTTCAACCTCACAGTTAAGGTCAGTGCAGGCAAAATAAAGATTTTGGACAAATCAGAAACCCCAACAGAAATTAACTCTGTGATCCAGCTGATCTGGCTAAAGAGTCAAACTGCGAAGCTTAATACCAACTAAATCATGGTCGCTATCAGATGCGAGGATGCTGGTTGTTTTAGATTGATGTCTCTTTTTATTTGTCATCTCCCCTCCGACTACTTACTTATAGTGCACTGCCTCAGATTATGGATTTTGTAGCCGACCCAAAATATCCACACAAAATTTCACCGTTCAACAGCATGCTTATTATCGTTCATTTTTTGCTTCCAAGGCAATTGAGGAATTTAACATGATCGAAGATGGTGACCGTCTACTTGTCTGCGTTTCAGGCGGGAAAGATTCTCTTTCGATGTTGCATACTCTTCATCAATATCAGTTTTATGCCAAAACTAAGGTAAAGTAATGAGATCACAAAAGAGTGTTATTAAATCCATTAAAATAAACAAATTTATGACATTTCAAACGTTTCTATTTTTGATTATTTTAGGGGGTAAATTTCCATATAGGAGCGGCGACGGTTGACCCAGGTTCAGCAGCTTACGATCCTAGTCCACTGAAGAGTTACATGAAAGAACTTGGAATAGAATATTTTTATGAAGTTCAAGGCAAGTTGCCAAAGGCGCGTTTCCAAGTTCTTGTAACTATTTATGCAAATATTTCCCCAGCGAACCATTTTTCTGCAAGTGAATATCCAGCCTTATTTATTATTATATATCGTGGTAACATTGTATCTTGATAAAGCATCTACTCGTATATTTAGGAATTATTAAACAAGCTTCGGAGCTGGCCGTGTGTGAATCAATTTGTAGCTTCTGTTCCCGAATGAAGAGGGGTCGTCTGTACGCATGCGCACGACGTCACGGGTATAATGTACTTGCTATTGGTCAACATCTGGATGATATCGCTGAAAGGTTTGAAGTGTCTCATTATTTTCTGATTTCATCCACGCATTCATATTTTAATCCCTTTCGGGAAAGATTTATTATGCGTGCAGATCTAAAAATATCATCCCGGGAACTTCATGTTGCATTCCCCACGTCTGATCGTTTTGAGGAATATTAACTTAGTCTTCAGTTGAACGAGGGGCCAAAAAAATTTACTCGTTGGAGGCGAAGCTAGTGCGGGAGAGGGGGCGGTGGTTGCAGCGTGCAATTTAGGGAGACCTTCGCCTGTTTTAGCGGGTTTTTACCATTTGAGCAGGTATTAATGAATTTTCTATTTAAACAGCTTCTTAATGTCTGTGTTTCATAATGGACTGCTGAGAACAATGAAGGCAAACTATTTTGTAAGGTAACCAATATTTCCTTCCTTGATTTACAAACGAAAACCGACAAGATATGGCTCGATATCAATGTAAGAATTGAAAAGCGCCGTTAAAAATGTTGGATAAAATATGCATGCATAGTTTATCAGGACAGAATTACAGAAATGTTTAAAAACCGTTATAAATGTATTTTTGTCAATCTTGCACTTTTTAGTGAGAATGATCTGAGAGTTATTCGTCCTATGACATACGTAAGAGAGAAAGATTTACGTGACTTTGCAGAAAAGGTGCATAACAAATAGATATTTACTGTAATATAGCAGACTAACATGAAGTATTATCGAAAAGGAAGGATTGTAGAGTTACATAGCCAAGGGCGTGGCGACCGGAGGGGTGGGGAGTATGACGCCCCACAGTAATTTGCTATGTCGAAAAGTTGGTTAAAACGAGTTGTTGTTGGTCAAACACAGCATCAAATTTAAGTGAATTCGCCAAATATGTAACTGGATTATTTATTGTTTTAAAATCATACTGTTTCTCACGAAGGAATAAAGATATTTGTTTATTTAGTTATATGAACATCCTGTTCCGCGTAATACCTTCCGTTTATTACCATTGCTTGTCAAGCCGGATATTTTCATAAATCCATTCATTTTGTAGGCAATAATACACTATAGGCATACGTACAGTGCGAACACTCTGTATTTCAAAAGTGTCTGCGCTATGAAAACACCGTCGTTGTAAACAATGGTTATTTATATTTTCTAGTTTAAGCTGCCAGTAATCACTGAAAACTGCCCGGCTTGTTTTGAAGCGCCGAAGGTTGGAATATTTTATAACCTATCTGCAGTTATAAAGTCCTATACATGTCCTTTGTGTTTTTTGCCTAATGTTAAATCCCTTATTGTTGTATTGTGAGGTATCACAAAATAGTTTTTAATAACTGGCTTATATCATGTCGTATTATATTTCTTCATTCATTATAGGAACGCCATCGAGTTAAACAATTACTAGCAAATCAAGAAATTCTATTCCCAAACTTATTTAAAAGTATTCAGTCTGCAATGAAGCCTTTATTAGCAAGAAAAAGAACTCGACTGGAAAGCAAAGAATCCTCTGTAGATGAACTATCTTTTCTATGTAGATGATCAAAATTTTCAGCTATTATGACGCCAGTTAGGCCTTCGGTGCATGTGAACACAGCTGCAACCATTTTGTTTTTTATGAAAATATGAAAACCATATGATCTTGTTCGTCTAGGAATGTCACTCAAATGAGTAAAAGTCTATATTTTAACAATGCATAAAACGTATTCAAAACCATGATTGCGATGTTTAATTGAATAAAGGGAAAAATGCAATTATATTCCAGTTTAAATCGACATAAGCGTTTGGTAAGCTTGCGGGTAGGGTCTGCGTTTACGCCAGATACATGTGTACGCTAAGCGTAACCGCAACAAAATATTTGCGAACACAAACGAATCCAGATACGTGTGGACGGCGTCTAACAACAGGTCTATCATACAGTAGGTGAATTGAAGAAAACAGTCCGAGATTCTTTATCGCACCGTATATACTTTGTGAAACTGGCAAAACTGGGAAAGCATGCAGTGGGAGTTTTTTAGTTAAGATTTAGAAAAATCATAAATTCCATCTTATTGATCACACCTTGACTCAGAAGTTGTCTAATATATGTTCATCAAACGATTATTAATTGGATAAGAAGTTTCCTTACAGACATAAAAACAGTGTGTTCGATTAAATGAATGCATGCGTATCCGAATTTAGTTATTTGTTGCCATTTCGGGCCGAGCGTTGGAAATTCGTCGACAATTGCCCAGTAGCAGGAAGTATATATAATAAAGTTAACAACTGGACAGTCCAAAACAAAATGCATAACTTAATGCTAACTTGTGCTTAGTGCAAAGTGATAATTTTCAAAAGATTATAATTCATATGTTAGAGGGCCATTTGTTTCGAGTAAAATGTTACACAACAGCATTTATTACTATTTGAAAACGCATAGTACAGTAAATATACTATAGTACCATTATACAACAAATATGTCTATATATTGTTATGATAATGAGATTCCTGCCAATATTTTGAACGAGTCTCAAGGTGAGATCTTTGTATACCAAAAACTTAATCCATACATAATGCATAACTTGACTGGTCAAATTTACAAAAAATTGCAGTTTTTTAATATAATATTATTATTATCAACTTTAATAGGGTCAAGTAAACATATTTTTACAAATATTCAATTCAACTGTGAACAAAGCAGAACCTAAATGGGCAAGGTGTTAATTAGTGCAACCATGGACGTTTGCCGACGGGGGCAAACCAAGTTAAATCTAGAAAAGTTTGGGGATTATTATCGAATTCAACCGATAATCAGGCAATTCCCACGTGAAAAACAAATAAAACAATATACATTTTAGTACGAATGGCAGAATGACGATTGATTTCACAGCGTATGTGAAACTTCGAGCCTCCCAATAAATGTAGTGGACTAGGTCAAAATAATTGTCAATACATATTTTACGGCGATAAATGTATGATCAACGTGTAAATTACTTAATATTTCTTTCCAATGATGAGTTTTTCATCACTTGCATGGTGACTCATATAGTTCCAACCATGTTCGATACGCCCCTTCCCATTCACTTCAAACCCTTCGTTATGTTTCTTCAACTTGCTTTCCAATGTGATTAGTTCTTCAATGGCTTCTTCATCATCTTCACTAGTGAAATATTCCTCAGGATCTTCAACCAGGCAACATTTTCTCGCTACCGATAATTCAGATTGCTTTGGTCTTGTACGATGATCTTTAATATGGGCGTAATTTGCTGCCAGTGTCAGCATCATGTTCACCTACATAAAAAATAATGCTTTATTACTCTTCTGAGTCCAAGCGCAACAGGTCATGCAGACAGAGATAATGCAAGAGTACATTTTCTCCTCAATTTTTTTAACTAATATCTCATACTCTTTGACTTCTTAAATATCTCACTAAGAGATACTGTGTCATGAAATTTCATGAGATCTAATGTGAAATTCTAGTCTAAAAAACAGGAGACGCACCACGCCAATAACGACAAAGATTGTTCCAACAAAACAAAAGATGAAATATGGCGTTGCATTACTCATCTAAAAATCATGTAAAGAAATTCACGTCAGTTTTCTTTCTTTTTCTAGCTAATTTGGCATTTAATTGACAAGACGCATGTTGCCAGCTTACCGCACTGCAGAATACAATTAATTCATTGCCACAAACTTCTTTAACGCCAAAAACATCGTCAAGAGCTAAAAACAGAGTTAAATTATCGTACTTATTTATAGGATATAGGAACTTCTTAGGCCCGTTAACGCTCAAAATTGCAACTTTACTACGATTTTCGGTGTTATTTTCTTCTCTTAATAAATGTAAATTAACGACGGCGGAGTATAGCTATGCACCATCTGGCAGACAATATATGAGTATCACTGTATCACTTCACTGTATCCACTCGTTGATTTCTATTATAAAGCCCTGCTTCCACGGGCAAAATTTCCAAGCGAAGTGCGAAATATTTCGCCTGCTCCTTTTGAATTGTGAGCAATCAAGTAGAATATTAATATATCATTAACATATTCAAGTAACAATTCAAAAGAAACAGGCGAAATATTTCGCATTTCGCAAAGAAAAATCATCAATTTTTCGTACCGTATTCTTCAAAGAAAATGCAGGTCTTTCCAAGTTGTTTAGTTATTTTGATAGCACAAACTCCATAAAAAATCGCCATGAAAATGACAGGTATGATAAATACTGGAATCAAGAATGTCCAGATAACCCACATCAAATAATGCCATCCAATAAGCTAAACGAAGTAAACTTGATGAGCCATTTTATCTTAATCTGCCAGTTTCTAATAATAATGACGTCAAACGCGGAAAGCTTAATGCTACACGAAGCTTGATTGGCTCCACAAAACTAACGAGCCAATCAAACAACAGGCTTTCCGCGCTTGACTTCATTATGAGAAATGTCTATTGAACCGCAGTTGATAGCAATTCATAAAAAGAATGTGATACTATAGCTTTCATTAAACTAATAGATTCAACGTTACAGCTTTGATTTCAGTATACTCACTAATATTATGCAACAACGTCCAAAAAAACGCGTTTTCCATGCCCCACAGACGTTGAACCTTGTACGACCAGTTGCTAAGCAACCAATGAGAAGACCAAATCCTGAAAATGTTCCCATAAGTATTCCAAAGTACATTGCAAACGTGGCTGCCATTTCCCTAAAGAAAGAGGAATAAAATGTATGATTGAATCAAACACGTACTTTGAAAGCAGCCCTTAAAAGATATCGGATTAATATATACAATCCGTTGATAATCCCGTCTAATGATGATTTTGAAAAATTTTAAAATATCACAAGATGCAAATCATCGGATTAGGTCTTTGACAGCTTATATTGACTTTTTAATCTGTTGAGATACCTCGACTGTATCTATTTTGTTAATTTGTTCGGCACATGGGATTGATGGGAAGCACGACATTTTTAAAGCCATATTGTCTCTAATTTCGGGTGATAACTTACAACGCATCCATTTTCAACCAAGTGTTGAGGTAAGTAAAAGCTTTCACCAAACCAAAGCTGAACAGAAAGAATCCAAGTCCGACAATGATACCAGAAACCAATGATGCACAGGGTACCCGGGATAGACAAATACAATACATCTTCCAACATGAACAACAGCAGGCTGTGTAAAAGAAAGTTATATTGCTTACTTATGTAAACATTTTAGGTGCTAGGAGACTGGATTAGAACTATCCTAATCCTGTGATTCGTAAAAAGTCTAAGGGATTAGATGTTTTTAATGTATGCACCCAATCGTTTAAATGCGATTTTTTATTAAGGTGGTTTATACCTTTAAGAATTAAAACCTTTGACGTGAATTATTTTGTTCATAGGCTAACACGATAGATACCTATATACTAAACGTTTTGTCAGTTTCGGCATTACTTTCTAATTTAACAATTTTCTTCAACTAAAAGCCTCGTGGTCATGCAGTATGGTTTATGAGAAGATACTGTAGTTAAAATAATAAAATCGTATATATGTTTTTGCAATCACACAGTTTAAGCAGGTATTTTGTGCAATGTGAATTATTAATTACCAACATCGTCATCTATTTTAATAACCACCAGTACTTATTAACGAATAGATTAGTAGGAACAGAAATGAGTTGCTGCTAAAACCTCTCTTTAATGAGTTTAGTCCCCGCTCTCATTCTTTTATCATTTACATTTTACAATACCTGAATAAGGCTAAGAATCATGCCATTTATGATGGAGTGAATGCAACTGACTGTAACAATTAACAAATCACTCAATTTTATCTATCTGGGGGCCGGTTGTATGAAAGCCCGGGATAGCGCTATCCATCGGACAGTGTTTTTCAATCGCTTTAGAATCGCTTGTTTCTTACTATAACTTTGATTAAATCTCAGTATTTCTGAATCGAGGATCCTCTTTAATAATTGTCGGTTCCGAAGATCATATTTTATCGCTTTTCGAGCATTTTTAGAACGGTTGGAAAAATCACTATATGTTGGATAGCGCTATCCAGCCTTCGTACAACTGGCCCCAGTATATTTAACTTCGAGGAGTTAGACACGACATGACACTATTCTTCACCAACTCGATCTATACTAAAGTGCTATATGAATCAGCGTTTATATGCGATTGAGAATTTCTCTTGCCGAAATTGAAAATATTATGACGCTTTCGTGTTCATTATGTTTACAGAAATGCAACAATTTTCACTCAGATTTTTCTCACATCTTCCGCGTCATTCAAAAATTTTATATTTTACATAGCGCTTGTTTGCTTTATTTCCATGCATGACACTAGCTATATGCTGTCAGCTATCAGTTATTCATTATTCTCATATAAGTATTTTTCTTTATTTTTTGTCATAAATGGGATTTGGTTCTTAGTTGAGTAAAACAAACGTACCTTTACACTTTCGACATTTTATAACCTGGTCTTTTGTTGCTCCAGCTTTCACCATCCCCTTCACGGTATACTTTTCGCATACACCCATTGTGTTACTTGTTTTTTTCTTCGGTACTCAATGTCTTTTCACCACAGTCTTTTGTGAATTACAGTAGGCTTTAGATGCTGAAGAGACCGACGCTTCTGAAACTAGTTCGATAGGGACTACCTGTAACCGCAAAACTAATTTCCATACGTCGTTGTTTGAGTTGTTGTGCATGAATTCATTACTTTTATGATACATGCATGCGCATTGGGATCTTGGGATGGTGTTACACACCGCCCTAGTATCCTTTACTTTAAGCATGGATAAAAAAATCACGTTTTAAAAAGTCTTTGAACTATCCATGCTTAAAGTTAATAATATGACGTTTAAACTCAACATTTATTCGGGTGCTTAATGCTGTATTTGGCCATGAACATGCCATGCATTGTCATTGACCTACAGTTATTGATTACGCCAACAATCAAAGATATTCAGTCTCAGTCTGCAAGGGACGGATCGACCTAACCTTTCACAACATTATGTAACCGTACTGAGGCCAAAATTCATAAATAGTAGTGTACTTTTAACGGTCAATCCCATTTGCGTGACGTCAAAAAGTGTATTTTTCTGTTTTAAAAAAACTACCTCTGTCCTGTTGGAAAAGGGCACTCATTTTTTGTAGATTACCTAACAATAATACATTTTGACTGCTCTGGCATCCATAGATTCCAATTTTTGCTTCCAGAAATGAATTTATGTGCTCGTAAAAACTGAAAATTCGCATCGCGTTGCCGCACCGCGTCCGATCTGTGTGGGCCTTGATGCGATATCTACAAGAACACGATATCTACAAGAACAGAAATATGAAAAAAGAGGAAGCAATTCAGCTAAAAATAATGTTTGTCACTGTACTTCATATTTTTTTAAGCCCACACAGACTGACGCAGCGCGCTGGACAAAAGAAGATAGATTCTAACATACCACATTATTCTTGTAGGTCTGGCGTCCATAGGTTCCAAATTTTACTTCCGAAATTTAATTTATATGTCCTAAAAACTGAAAAATCGCTTCGCGTTGTTGTATCACGTTCGAGGTGGCTGTCGGGCACCCGGCTCACATTAATTAAACTAAGGCCTGTTTCAGACGTCGATATCTTATGAATTATATGTGCATTCATTTAAACCTGTTGTAATGACTTCAGACTTCTGTAGGCGTAATGCTTAGCAGTGTCTATTTCAAAATGAAAACTGTGAAGACACCTTTGTGTTCTGAAGGGCGGGACAGTTCTATACACTAAAATTGATCCCTCTAACAGATCTTAAACATAATGCACTATTGGCCTGATATTCTGTATAATTGTACCAAACATTCGCCCAACAAAGCTAAGGGGCACAAGTTGAGCCCCATAGGAGTTAATTTCAAAATCCAGTTTCTTGGATATTGAAATCAATAGACGTGTATCGGGCAATTTTTTTTGGAAGACGAAAAAGATCAAACAGTGTTACTGTTTGTTACTGTACTCAAAAAACATGGAAAGACATTCGTGCCAAAATGTGGGAAATCGCTTGCGAATATTCTCCCCCCCCTCCTTCACTCCAAAATTTATAGGCACGTACGCCTATGGTAATCATCATCAGCTCATAAGTTTCAAGTTTCTCAACAAAAATAAATTCTGTGTGATACACGGGAATGCACTTTCATATATCGATAAAAGTCTATAAACAGTACTCAAACCCTGCTCAGATTAGCACAGTTATGGCCCGGATATATGTTACTAATGTGAGTAAAATAATCACGAAACTGTTCCGGCCGGATGCAGTACTACCTTCAAATACCAATTGTTCTTATGACGTCATTCAGTTGGAGATGTTGTAAACTAAACCACTAAAGTGTACTAAATTGTGTTCTGTGCTCGTATTTTGGGACGAAGAAAACTCGAAGAGAGGGAAGACGCTGAAATCTTTAATTTATTTTATGTAGTCGTGTGTTTTATTGATTGTATTTCGCATTTACTGAACATAATCTATCGTTGGAGACACGCCGGAGATGACAAATAATAAGGATAGAAAATTTGGTGAGTTCATAAATGATATCTTCTCGCATCTTGTGATGTGTTTTTATGATAAATTTTCAGCTGCTTGATATATATTCCCTTTTCTTCGTTATTCCAGTGTCACATCAATTCGCCTATTCGTTTAAACTCACTTCGAAGAATAACATATAAAGCTTCAGTCGATTCTGTGTTAAAAGTACGTGGATGGATGGATCGCCTTAGCAAGTATTAATTATTTGAAGCTCCGTGACATTCATTCATCTGTATTGAGAAAGTAAGATAGTGTTTTTACTCTACTTGTTGTGTGACTGTGTATTTGAAAGTTGTGTTTGATGACATGTTTCATTGCCATTTACCTTCAGGCTAAACATTTTAGACATGTCATTTTGCATGCTGTAGAGTATTTCTATTTACTATTGTGCAGACATGTCAGAGGTTGTATACATGAAATTGTGTATTGTATAGTTTTGAAGCCTTTCCTTTGAGAAATTTACAAAGAAAGGTATAACAGTGGATGGAAATTTTCAGCCTGCATTTAAATGGTGCAAAACTGGCTTATTAAATATTACGATGAACCCCATTTAGACTTGTATATTCTGCATTGAAATCAGTAATACCTTAGGTTAATACTTTGATCTGAAAAGCACAAGAGTAATCAAGTATTTGAAATAAATGACAACATTTTTAACAGCAAACATGTTTCGACTTAAGTCTTAGCATAAGACTTAAGATTTATGCATGTTACTATCATGGTACACATAAAGCAATCTACAAATTATTTAAAAAGGCTTCCACTGAATATATATTTTGAGACAATGGACTCCTGCCAGCAAAAACCATGCAGCTGTTCAACTTAAGAAAGAATAGAAACAAAAAAAAGATTTAAAGAGACAAAGTCCATGTTGGACTTTAAAACATGAAAAAATACTCTCTATGCATTGGAAAATAATTCCATGGTTTCCCACCATGGTTGGTCTGGTTTCCCTTGTATTACTTTGGCAATTTATACATATGTGTATATATAGCACTCTAGCCTAACTATTACACTTAACGCAAGTCTATAAAAGTAGATGGCTCCAAATTATTGAATACTATTTATTCGATTATCATTTGAATCAGAGCCAAGTTGGGTATTGATCAAACACCATGCTTTGGTTGTTTTTAGTATTTTCTTTCTATATTGTGAATTATTATATCACAATTGAATGCTAAACCAATTGCTGTACAGCAAAGGATATACATTGTATGTCATAGGGTAACACAAATTAAGTAAACAAGTTGCTCTTTAGTTCAATTAAAATATTTGCACCCTCTTAGAAACTGTGCTAAATTCCAGAGTCTCTAACAAATAGTTTAGTTAAGACAGTTACTCATTAACAACTCTCAGTACTTTTGACTGAAAAGAGGATTATTTGGTGTAAAAACAAATGAAATTTAAAATTACACAGTTTATTCATATATTACTTTGCACTAGTTGTTTTTTTAGGCTAAGATATCAGGTTCAGTTATTTCCTTTGTTAATTATATAATTGCAGCTGAAAATAAGTCTTTGTTTGTTTGTTGACCAGCGCATTTTCATATCACGTCAGACTCCTAATGTTAATTATATGCACAAAAATTAAGTTATTGATTTTGATTTTGATTTTATTAACAAACATTACAATTTACATGCAGTACTCCTAGATACAACCCACAATACAACATGAAAACTGTATCGTCTTTTGGAGTATAAGTTTCTTATTCCACATCTGGGGCCGGTTGTTCGAAAGACGTTTAGCTTCAACCGTGGATAAGTCCAAAATGGAAAACGAAATTATCTAGTTATTGAACAAATGAGCTGACATATTTCAATGTAAATAGTTTTCAATGGAAGAACATATTTAATTCATAAGATGTAGTTTCAGTCATTCACAAGATGTATGAGAGTATTTTAAAACTTGGCTTATCCACCGTTTAAGATAAACGCCTTTCGAACAACCGACCCCTGTCTTTTAATTGGAAAGTCTTTAATAATTTCCTGTTGTGGCTATAAATCAGATAATTAATATGGCCACGATTGTTGTATGAAAACACGTATTAAATTTAAAGCATAGTGTAAAAATATCCTAAGTACAACGATTTTATCCTTTATTTTTAATTTTAAATTAATATCGAGTTCATGTGATTCTGCATGATTTCCTCTTGGTGGAAAAGGAACTATAAAAAATTAGATGAGTAACAACCATTTCCTATGTACACACTTGTGAAACTTGAGACATTTCAATGTTCTCCTCCTTCTACTTCTTGACAATAAACTGTACTACTCACAATATATGCGTGTAAGCTTTATTCTTATGCAGTTATGCGGCATAGAAAAAAGCTAGGATGTCTGTCAAATTCTCCCTTTCCTTCGTCTTCGGCGTTCATTTTTTGCCTCAAGTTAATTCATTATTCTCAACGAATATTTAAAATTGCTTTGTTCCTACCTTTAGGGCTGCTTTCCACGCGTTTTTTACGTGCGTGTGCGCATAGAGATAATATTACTCTCACAAAAACCTTCCAAGTAAACTTAAGGAAAAAATAGCAAATGGCACTTGTTTGGTAATTTCTATGCATATAAAAAACGCAACGGGGGGAAGCAATGTCGATCGACATATTTTTAATTCAATAGCAAAAACGCATGAAATAAAGAAGTATAGATAATAGGCATTTTTTTGAGAGTCGAAACACGTAAGGTTATATATAGTATGGGATTAATCCGATTCCAATCAAAATATCTTGATCTCATCAAATCTGAGAGTATCATGCAGTGCAAGATTGAATGCTGCATGTGATAACCGTTATGTACTTGTGGGATATTTGCGTTAGCATATAAATAGACCATTGGAAGCGAAACCGAGGGGGGGGGGGGGGCTAAGGGGCTAAAATACATTAAGAATTTTAATACAGACAAGTAAAAAACCTGTTCACTGGTCCACAAGGATCTGTTTTTTAAATCATTCAAATTTAATGCCCGATGCTTGTACAGTTTTAGAAATTAAAGAGGGAAATGTTTTGTTTCGTTTACTCAGGAGGATATTATCCTCATATTAACTGATTATTGATCGAGCGTGAAGTCTGTACTGTGAAGTATAATAGCGAGGATTTGTAATATGCAAAAACCTCGGTCTGATATTCCACAGTACAGACCGAACAAGCGAGGTCAATAATCGGTCTATTATATGGTTGAACTGCACAAGACGTCCGGGATACCGGTCAAGTTCACTGGTCCAGATACGGGATATACGGACCATGCACTGTCCGGATATGGGTTTTCACGGACCGCTCGTCAACCAATCAGAATAGAGGATCTTGAAAAGCCATATAATAATACAATTTATTATTCCCATGCATGTATGTATAGGAATTTATCTGTCTTGGCAAATAAAAAGATAACGACACTATTTAATATTAATATTTAGGGTTGGTAAACTGATATTTATGATCTTTCATGTACTATCTGTATCTTATGAACGCATGCATTTTAATTCTTAACTTTGCACTTCGTAGATCCTATAGTTCTTTAATTAATGACCTTGCAGGTCCTTTAAACGTTACGTTATGTGACCATAATAATTTATATCGATAACCCAAAAAGATAATTGACTTGCATTATCTTGAGTTCTAATGTGTGCAAAATCCTTAACCTAAAGCGACGGCATTTTATTCGAAATCTTCAAATCATTCTTCCCTGTACGAAATCTTGTAATAAACTTCTGCATTTTTAGTTTTATTGTTTATACTTCAGAAACTGCAAAACACATTCAAAGGACTGATATGGCATCGGAGAAATCTGAAAAAGAGAATAAAGTAAACGTAAACAGGTATTCAATTAAATATAATCTAAAATTTCAAAATAGAAAATAGACTTTAATTGCTTTAAAAGCTTATTCTTCTTAAAGAAAATGAATACTCGCAAAGCTAAGGGAAAAGTGAAATCCGTTCACGTGATTGGTCTGCGAAAAAATTCGCCTCAAGAAAGTAGAAACATGCATTTCCTGTTTTTCTCGGCTGAAAAAAAATCGCCTAGTAAAGAACGACAGGCGGTTTAAATCTTGCGATGTTGACATGTTTTACGCCAGCTCCATAGATAACAGAAACGACAACATAAAAAATACCTCTGGCGCAGATATCTAAGAACTAGATATTGTCCTGTGGAAGAAATATATAAAAATGTCAGATTTCTTGAATTCTCGTGATAGTTGCATGGCCTTAATAATAATATGGACTAATTTCAGTCGTCTTACGTGTAGGAAAATTAAACAAAGGTACCCACAATGCATGCATGCGTCGATAAAAAATATTATGTCTGCGTTGGCATATCCGTATATAGTAATAGTGCAAAGACTCAGGTGTATATACGCGTTGATATAATATTGCATGTGATGTTGCGCGCTTGACCACGGTGGGAGTCGAATCCACGGCCTTTGCTTTGCTCGTCCAATGCTCTTCGAACTGAGCTGCTAGGTCAAGACGGTTTGAGTAATTGATATTTCGGAACTCTCAGTGTGACTAACACAAGCTAGGTTTCAGTTAGATTTCATCAGTTCTATGATCAGTTGATTTGCGTATACAATGATGCTATTAAATATGATCATGTTTAGAGCGAGTCGAAACAAAAGTGAGAAAGATCGGCGGGACAAAGTAAATGCGTTCATCAGTGAACTGGCTAGTTTGGTCCCAGGATGCTTACCAGAGTCTAAAAAGCTAGATAAAGCAACTATACTCAAAAATACAGTTGATTTTATGAAAGTTCATAATGGTAAGTGTTATCATAGAGGCTCCATGTTTATATAATTCCTGTTTGCGTGATATGATTTTATTCCCCTATTTTGTTATCTACTGACAAAAAATCATTGCATGAGCATCTGTGCATTATATTACCTTTACAGATCATGAAACAGCAGGTGTGTTTTGACACCTACTTCACATATCTAACAGTTCTTTTGTATACAAACGGTGTTCCGTGCCATGCAGTACATATTTAGACAATAATTAAGCTGATCAAGAAAACGGATAAACTTATTACATGAAATGAAATTTGACCTGAATCCTTTCGTTTATTAAAACGCTATGATACGAGAAATATGCAATATATGAAAGTATTTGACATATGATTTGCCCTGTCATCTTAACATCATCATGATTGCATTGGCATGCATGCAGATAACATTTTCCTCATCTCTCATAATTTCTGAAATGGCAAATGCAATTACTAAATCCAATAATTGTAATTAATTTATAGATTTAACGGTGGCAATCACGCGTAAAGACACAACATGTTATCTTAACAGCAATGAACTTGGACAATTAATGCTTGAGGTTTGTTCAAATTACAGAATAGAATACAAGTCGTCTTCGTAAAGTCCTAATTCTCCATGCATAATTCTCCAAGCAATTTTATATATATTTATTTATTTAGGGATGTCGTGCTTTTCTGTTCGCAATATCACTTTCTGGGAATTTCACGTTCTTGTCTGAGAGTGTATATGATCTACTGGGCTATACGAAGGTATGGTAATGGCATCATTTTGTCTAACAGTTTCTCATAATATGAGAAATTCCAGCTAGTGTATACTCCTATATCCTATATAGCTCACGCAGTGTCGCTTACTCGATCTATTTCCTGACGGATCGTTTTAGGATGATCTAATTGAGAAGAACATGTTTGATTATCTATGTCCTGAGGATAAGCTTATTTTGCTGAAGGAAATTTCCCGCGGCAGTAAGACAGGTAGGCTAACACGCGACTATATAATAGTATAGTAGTAATGCATGCATGCTAAATTCGTAACCCTTATTAAATTATTAAACGTGGATTTAAAACAGCTGAGACGTTCCTTATTTAGTCGTATATAAGCAGTCATAAAGTAAATATTTCAGTTAAATTAAACATTTTTTGCGTCAGACACTGTCATGATGACCTATTTGAGCGCAAAACATTCTCTCAAATGTTTCCAAATATTTTCCATAGGAGTTGCAAGAAACTCGGGAACGTCATCATTCTTCATCCGATTTAAAACAAAATATTCTGATAAACCGTTGTTCGAGACTTTGCATTGCTGTGGAAATTTTAGAATAATTAAAGAAGGTAAATTCCATTATGGATTGGTTACGATATTATGAAGCGGTAAAGGTTAGTCTAGTATACTGCTTTAGTTTAGAAGGCTAAGAGGGTTTAAGAGGGTATTTTAGTTGGATATTGATAATATATCTACGTTATACAGGGTGTATCAAAACGGTCTTCCTAATCATTTCGTCCGGTGCATATCAGCAAAATTTAAAAATAAAAACATATTTCTATATACATGATCACAAATTTCTGCATGAAATAATTTTAATGCATGCTCACAAACAAGGTATAATTGTCTGTTGACTTATCGATTCTTTCCCCTGCAATTTTCTAAATAGTCATGAAACAATTCACCGAGGACACTTGCCTGGGTTTTAGAGTGGTTTTTGAGTACGACTCAATTTGAAAATGACTACTTGTATGTATATATTCGTTGCACTGAATTTATTGATATTAATCGTTTGTAGAAGTGAAATCAAAAAACGATGGGAGCACTGTTGTGAATTCAAATGAAACATGTTTTGTGGCCTTGGCAAGTCTCGTTCAAACAAACAGCGAACTTGATATCACCAGTTCGCTCAATGTCGATGTCGAATTCACGTCAAGGCAAAGTCTTGATGGAAAGTTCCTGTATTTAGATCCAAGGTGGGTCACGTGAATATATTGTCCTATCCCCTTCCTCCTATTTTTCATGCTCGTGCAGCAAAAAAATGCTAAAAGTTATTTATCGCCTTGTGCATTGAGATTGAGCAATGTTAGGTAGGGACATTTCTTCGTCAGCTCTTTGGATGGACTAATTTTTTACTCTTTCAGGTGCATACCTATCACAGGTTATCTTCCGTACGAGATTCTTGGATCAATGATATATGAGTTTATTCATTTTGATGATCTGGAAAATATTAGCCTCTGTTTTGGAGCACGTGAGTCAGTTGATTATAAAGTACAGCTCTGCCGCCATTGCAATTCCAAAACTTATAGCGCTAAATACAAAAACATATTTCATTCTATATTAATATAACCTTCGACTTCGTTGACTCACCGCCAATTAGGATTTTTTTCAACAATTGGAATTATTGGATTTAGATTTCTATATTAGCTCATAATTAAAATTTTGGGGTGAAACTATTGAACAAGCTGCAAAGTGTAGCGGAAAATATTTCAAGATGAAATAATAATTTTTTTACACAACGCCGGCTTCAATAAAGAGCTGTCTGGGATTTGAAATATGAAAGCGAACTATTGGCTTAAATAATAAATTTGAGCTGAATTTTGATATAGAGTTGTTTTTTTTTTCGTAATCGATCACCTGGAAATGTACACCAAAGCAATCACTAACTTTTTGCAGCCCGGTGTTTCAAGCGCGGCATTCGCAATAGCGATAGACGGAAATCACTAAACCAGCTGCAAATTAAGCAATTAGCAAATTTAGTAATTCATTGTTTTCGTGCTTGCCGATCGAGGACCTCTTTTTCGGCATGCAGTGACCAGTGCGCTTAATATGATACATCGATCATTATAACCTTGATTAGATTATTTTGATATCATTTGATATTTTAATGCTTCCACCGATCTCTCATTGAATTTTTTCCCATTTATTTTCGTCTGTAGTGCTTGAAGATGGCGAAGGTGAAACTGAGGATTATCGTCTTCTAACCAAGGGTTCTCAATGGATAGTTGTCAAGACAAGCAGTTACATTTCTTACAATCATTGGAATTCCAAACCAGAATTTATTTGCAGCACCCACCATTTGGTTAGGTAAGATTTTCATCAGTAATTCAAACTTAAAAACCTGCTGAATTTGATGATATAAAACGAAGGAAACGATGATTTAGTTTTGTCGAGGATTTGATTTCTGATTAGTTTATTTTTTACTCAGACCAGCTGGAACCAGAATAAAATTTCAACATTTGTAAATAAGTAGGAACATTTTGAACAACGTATAGTTTCTATGTTGCTCTTTTGAACGACAATGAATTTTTTTGTGCCATCGTCCTTTTGGTTGCAATTATTTGATTTTTGTTGCATTTTTTATTCTTATAACAACACAGCGGGGGTAGAATGAAGATTGATGAAAATTCAAATTTTGAAGAAAGTGCGGATGGATCAGATCGTGACTTGGCATGGACTAAATCCCCTGAACATCGTCAAAGTAGTGTTCCTTCAGAACAAACAACGTATGTTTAATATCTGTTTTACAACTTTACATGAAAGGAATGGGACAGCCTGCATGAAATGACTACGGAGTGATTAAATTTAACTAGTGATTTCTAAAAAAACCTGTTCATCTGTTCAGATCAGTGAATGCGACGGTGTCTCTCCAACCTTACAATGATTATTGAATATGTAATCTGGCACGAAATGTTGCAAACAGCGTGTATATATCTTTACAATCTCGTATTCTATAAAATATATCCATTATACAATGTATAAGCTTTTTCTCCTGTTTTATAGGTCGAACGCATTGTTAAAGAACAACACAGTACCTGACGTCAACAATACGCCCAACTCGACACTCGCAAGTAGTTCCCAGGCCAACACACGTACGAGTCTTTACTCCACATTACAAACAGCTGCCACACTGGAGAGGAATAATGAAGGCTACTCACAAAATAGCGCGCAGCAGAAGAAATCATCGTCTCAAGCCTCGTCACAAAGTAAAGATGAAATTTCACAGCGGAAACGCGCGGAATTTTACATAGATCCAAACTCAATTCCTATGTCACCTAATTCCTGCGAATTTTCGCATGAAGTGGCGTCAAGTACCTTAGATAAGAATCGACAATCCCTTTCGACGTATTGGTCAGGACAAAGTTCATCTGAAAATGCTGGAATGAATGGCCGATTTGAAAATCCTTTAGCTGCCAAAACTCAATCCCAACAGAATGCCGAATGGCATACCTGCTCCCTTCCTAACTCTAACAGATACGCACAGTCCCCCAGAACTTCACAGGGATTAACGGGAGCAGGTTATCAGATATCTAATCAGTACCCACATTTTTCGAATGAAAACGCCCCGAACGTCTTGCAAACCACCGCTGGACATCCACAACAATCCTTGGACCGCGATTTCACAACGCCGAGTCCTCAAATGTCCCATGGATATTTTCCATCATCGCCAGTGAACCCCGAGAGAAACTTTCATCTTGGAAGACGTTCGTCGAGTTTTCTCTCATCTTCCAGTCTTCCGCCATCCAGTCCTGGTAGTGAGAATTATCCTTTATCCCCGACCACCACCAATGTTATGTCTCCCCACATTGAAACTGGTAGTCTTCAACCACCGTCCCCTGTGGTATTTTCTGCTACCAATGCAATCCCTAGTCCATCGCCATCATTGCTGTCACCAACATCCCCCCATCATAGGATGATGCGAGGTTATTCTACGCCATATCTAGCACAATCCCCTCATGTGCAGGATAGATATCCCCAGTCGCCAATACTCACCCCTGGGTCACCACGCTCATCATCACCTTTTACATCCCCACCAACGCCTAACAATTCCAGTCAATCCTTAACTCCCTTATTCCGCCTATCACCTGCAAATTCGCAATTTATTGTAAAAGGAACAAATGAGGCATTTCACTTATCTGTAGCACCTTATCCTGCTTCGTCAGTAGACGAAAGGTATTCTCCACAAACTGGTTATCCAATATCTGCTCGGTCAAGCCCTAGTTATTCACAGTCATCTTATGATTACCCAGATAGATCACCACAGGCGTCTACTACACCTAAGGAACGATTTTTCCAATCAAATACGCCTTTTCATTCGATACCACAAGATACAAACGATAATCCCAGATCACCCGAAACAAATTCGCTAAGGTCTCCTGTATTGCAGCATGTTGGTCAACATGATAGGGTCAATGACCAATTTGCAATGAAATCGAGTCAACTGGCTTCTCATAACCAGAACCTGTTTCCTGTGCAATCAAATCAAGTATATTTACCTAGTATATACCATCAGACACAGTTAAAAAAGTCTGCTGAGGGGTTAAAACCATGCCAAATAAATAGTGACACACCTTGCAGATCACCAACTTCCACGTCGCCCGGTATAACGACGTTTGGTCGAGATTACCAGGAGCAGTTTACAACCGGGATAAATAGAGAGGGTCGAGCAACGGCTGTCTTCACGCCAGCACGATCTAGTATATTCCCTTTTCAACATGAACCAGAAAACGACAATAGAATTCAAACTCAAGGACAAGCTATAGAACTTCAAGACAATACATGCACTCGATACTCGGAGAAACAAAGGGATGAAACATGTCCAGTAACCCATGGTATTTGGTATTTGCAATATTATAAGTGCATTTTTTAATAGTAAAATACGATGCATGTGCAATGTATGCGTTCCTATTCAAAATCAAAGGTCCTTTATGCGCGAAGCACACTTACAAGTTGCCAATATAGTTGGAGCCATATAAAAAAGAGTTTTTAAACCAAACAGAGGCTTATATCTTTCATTTCCAGTAGGCTGTTAGTTCGTAATTTGATAATCTCTTTTTACATTTGTACCTTGAACATGGAAAATGTCCCCGTCCTCTACATCTCTTGACGCTACTGGTAGCAATAACCTAAACGTTTTCTCATTTAAAGGAACGTATATATAAGAGTAAATATAAAATATTTTGTCAAATGGGGTCGGCTCAAAAGTTTTACTTCGACAGCTAATTCAGTAATTTTGAAAAAAATTATTTGAAAGAAATATAGTTAGGCAATCTTTAAGCCTAGATCTTTTCGGTAATTAAAATATTATTTTAATAAAAAAGGAGCAATTTTGTTGTTCTTCTGTATAGTAAAGTAGATTGGCATTTCAAGCTGCAGCTTGTTTTCAAACACAGTAATTTATTATGCTCCTGTGTAGATGCTCCTCCTTTTGGCGACTTACTTTTTCACTTGCTTTTTTACTTTAAAATATAGAGCAAGTTATTGATGGGAAGAATTCTACTTTAAATTCAGTAAGTGTGTTTAATGTATTAACAATAATTATCTTTGCGTTCTCGGCACCACACAAAGTGTCAGCTGTATGAGTGTATACTTAAGCCTTAAACGATTCGCTGTGAAGTAGTTATCGCTGTTGGAGATTATATGTAAGAATATCTTTCACGTTTTGAACAAATGCCGGAAAGATGTCGACCTTATGACTGTCGACCTCACCTCACGATCGTTATAAGTTTCGTATCACACCGTACGTGGTTGATAAATAATTTTGTCCCTCTTCTAGATGGCGCCAGCTAAAAGCTTCACGTACACTCAAGCCCAAAGAATCCTCCATAACCAGCTACTTGAGAAACAAGATCATCTTCATGATACCATCCTGAAGCAAAAAGAGCAACTTGCTAGAATACAGGAACAAATTATTCTCAATGCGCAGGCTCAATTCTCGTTACACGAAATAGGTGGCCTGGAATCTACTAAAGAATTCCAACAACAAATAAATAATCTGGAAGTTGAACGAGAGCAACACAAAGTCAGACAAAAGGAGCTAAAGACTGTGTTTTTAACAAAAACTTGGTGGTCTTACGTCGCATGGACATGATGAACAAGTGCATGCAAGTAGAATAACGACTGAACAAAGAGAGGCGTCATCGCTGTTGCAAAAGGTGGCAAGCGATAGCTTAGGTAGCAACAATGCATCAAGAACCTTGACTCCATCTAATACAACTGGCAATATATCTTCGAATATTCCACAAAGATTGCCTAGTAAGAGTCCTGGTAGTGAAAACAAACGTGAAGGTTTTGAAAGAGATATATTTAGTGATGTTTTACTGCCTAATAGAGAGCAATCATCACGTCACTGCTACACACCCGTTGTAAGCTCCATCAATCCTCACAATAAGACGTCAGTTAGCTTCGTTTCGTCACAAACCAGAACCAATGAATTGTCAATGAATGAAGACACTTCTCTAAACAGGGGCGAAAGTTCCAAACAATCCAGCAACCAAGCGAAGGACTATTTTTCCAAGTTTACTTCAAACGAAATGGAAACGTTTCTCTCTAGTTCCTCAGTTCCTTTAACACAGAGTGACAAAAATACTCCAGATGATAATGTTGAGAAAGAAGAAACAGAATCGCCTTCTACTTATGATTCTCTTTTACTTCAACAAAAAAGATTATTAGAATTACAAGAGGTGGGAACAATTCCTCTCCATCCTAATTGGTTTTAACCTCTGACTTAACCAAATATAGGTCAGTGGTTATAACCGACCTATGCATTAATGATCCACTCCACGAACATTTTTGTTATCAAGTTGCGATTGGGCTTGAACAAGTTGCTGCTATTTGATAATACGTTTCAACTGCAACTTAGTAACATATTTTTGCACTCCACGTTTCAACACCACGTTCATCAACCGCAAAAAACCCGTACGTTTTAGCTGCCGGCGTAGGATAATGAACATTCGACGAGTAATACATTATTCTTTAATGCGTTTTTATTCAATATGTATATTTTAGGAACAAAGAAATCAGCTAGTGAAGCGACAACAGGAACAATTATTGCTATTGCAGCAGCAACAGCGGCAGCAACAACAGCAACAACAACAAAAAATAATACTTGAATTACAACGTACACCAGAGAATACATTCCCAGAACAAGACAACGAAGGACAAATATTGCCGGAAGGTGATCTCAATATTTTATTTTGAATAAAAAATTATTTTCGGCATTCCATCGGCCAAATTTTATAATATTGCATGTACACATTCTTCTTTCTGTCGTGGTTTTTACATCTGAAATAATGTTAAGGTAGATGGTAGGAATTCTCATAAGTTCAAGTTCATTGCTTCGACATGCACTTGGGTAGTTAAGACTCAAGGTTAGGTTTTCTCTCGTTCTTTTTTTGAATCAGACTGCGTGTGTTTTGTTGTACAGGTGGTGTAGTAGCTGAACATCCTAACTCCTTATCGCCTCACGAACTAAGCGAGGAAGATCTCAGTGTGGTGAATATGTTGCTCGCAGAGGATATAGGAACTGGATTATGGACAAATGAGATATTAGATCAGCCCACATCAGCCAGTTAGTAAATCATTTTACTTTTGTCTACTGACTCTTAGAGCACAGACTTCTGTACTATATTTCAGTACACCATATGTAAAGTGCTTATATATAATTAATATATATCTTCACTTCTTGTCTATCTGGGTGAATTGCTGACTGCATCGCCATGCAAATATATCCCAGGGGCCGGTTGTATGAAAGTCGAATAGCGCTATCCACCGGATAGTGATTTTTTCAACCGTTCTAAAAATGCTCGAAAAGCGATAAAATTTCATCTCTGGGACAGAGAATTATTGAAGAGGATCCTCGATTTAGGAACACTACGATTTAATCAAGACAAAATTATAGCAAACAATTGCAACAGGCAATTTTAAAGCGATTGAAAAAAACACTGTCCGGTGGATAGTGCTTTACGGCTTTCATACAACCGGCTCCTGGATTTTTATTTTGATATTTCTAAAAGCTGGATAGCACTATCCGCCAGGAGCTGGTTGTTTAGAAAGTTTGTTAGTTTTTTCACAGTAAATAGAATATATGTGGCTTGGAGACGAAATAAAGGTACAATACAACTCATTAACTATGTTATTGTCCCAGGTTTATGCAAAAAAATGGTTTCTTTCTCGTCACGTGTCTATTGTATTTTAGCCAAATTTACCAATGGCATTCGTTTTGTTAAGCTCCTCAATCTTGACTTGAGAAATATGTTAATCAAAAGATTGCTATTGGTTTATCTGTGCAAAATACAATAAAAATGTGATGAGAAAGGAACAATTTTTTGCATAAATCTACCTCAACATAGTTGATGAGAATGAGTTGTATTGTAGTTTTATGTGGTCTCCAAACCATGTATATTTTATTAATAGTGGGGTTTTTTTAGCTATATCTATCGTTAGCGATAGAATTAGCCAATCAGAAGTTTGTGTTTTGGAGCAGGGGCCGCGGAAGATCGTTGAATTGCAGGGGGGGCAAATATATATTCATGTTAGAAAACTGTAAAAACAATAAAATTCAAAAGAAACTAAGAAGGTGATATTGCCGAAAGTGAATATATGAATATTTGCCATTTACTGATCTTCTGCGGCCTCTGTTTTTTAGTTACAATTAAACTACCTAAAATGTGGTTATGTGTTTTATATAACCGCCCCCAGATGATTGTAATAGATTTTTTGTCTGAATATTCCATGCAGATAATAAATTCTAAAGGCAAACTTTTTCTTTTTCATATTTCTAGTCAGTTTATAACTTTCAAGAATTTCCTCTCCATCGTTCGAAAAAATCACTATCCAGCATGTATATATAAAGCTACGTATAATGTATTATCGTCAACAGAGTGTAGAATCAATAAAGCAAAAATTTACAAAAGAGTTAGATTTATATCTTCATATGTTACAATGCGGCAGTATAGAAGTAGCGTACCCGAGATAAGATTTTATAACAACAGTTGCGCACATGCATATACCATTCTTCTATTTTGTTCGCACCCCAGGCGCAATGACAAAAAGGAAATGCCCTGGGAACGAGCGAGGCTGGCACAGGTGAGGAAGTTTTAAGATTAATATGACACCAACTAAAGGAAGCCAACCCACTGGTTGAGAGAGAGGCGAGTGAGGCATACATATGAAGTTTCATGCAGCGTAGCAGTGTCTCCTGATAACTTTGTTGGGGTATTGACAAACGTCGAAAAGCGTTTTTGTCAATTTTAGACTGTTGTCAACCTCGGTTCTCAACCTCGCTGAAAAAAGCTAGCGCTTTAGGGAGCGCCTGCCAGCTCAGTGGGTGGTGCCCAGTCACAGAATTGACGTCATGAAACCAAGCATGGGATTGTTGTTCCATGCTTGAAGTGTGAACATACCATCATATCCGATAACACAACCGAAGTAAAGACGCAGTTTTCGTATTTCTAAAACGTTGTTAGAATTTAAAACGTTTCAAAATGTTGCTGGTTTTGACTATTACAAATATCCTGTCATTCTGTATGTTGATGGGTGAGTATTTCCTATAATTATTGTTTATTGTCAGGTTATAAGTGGTGGCGAATAGCCTTTCGTTTGTGACATGAGTTTGTTTAGCACCAAACCGCGACAATATTTTGACGTTGTTTTCAATTTTTTCCAAATCATTTTACGTATTGGTTTGTTATTATGCTTATTTTGTATTATTGAAAATTGTTGAATTGACGATCGTGATAAACTGATACCCACATGAAATATGAAAATATCTCGAAACCAAGTTGAAATTTGACGTTTTGACATTTTGGACATATTCAATATCACCTTGGCAATATATTGCGAACAATCACGTTTTTAAAATTGTGAATGGAACCCCCAATACATTCTGGCATAATTTAGAGGTATAAAAATCAACATAGTCATTGGTAAATTCTAAGTTTATATGGTTTAATTTAACGATTATGTGACAAATAATAGGGTGAAATGGTCAAGTGTTGATCACTGTCTTTTAGTTGCCATAAATAATTCCAGCCAATTCTTAAAAAGTAGGAATTACCTCAGTAGTATCCTGACTTTGATCACAAAGGCTTCAACAGTGAAAACTAGCCCTAAAAAAAATAAATTTTGTTATCTTTAAATGCAAGGTTGTCTTTGTAAGATACAGGTAACTAACATCTGGAAATGTTTTCATACAGGAACTTCGCACCTTAAATATTGTTTTCAGGAAGTTTATCAACAGAAATATAATGTATCATATTCATCAAATACAAATTTCACTGAGAAAAAAATGTAAGAAAAAGGGCTTGTGAGCAAAATTTAAAATGATTTTGAACCCAGTTGTGGGACAGTTAGTACAGAGTTGTGCAATACATGTCTATGCGGTAGTGAACTAAGAAAATCACAAATTGCCTGTGGGAACCATTGGGTTGTTACTTCCATTTCAAGCAAGTCTTCCCAAGATGCAGGGGACAATATATAATCTTACCTCCAGACTTCTTCCCCTTCCAGTCACAATGTAGGACTCAGAATTAAACCTGTCCACTGATATTTTTTGTAATTTGTTTGGGCAAAAAAGCAAAGGATTCTGATTCTTGGATCTTTTTCAAACAAGGCTCGGGATACCAACTTGTCATTCATATATGCAGCGGCCTTTGCCATTGGAAATGTCTTATCTATTCTATTAAATTTTAAATTTAATTGTAGTATATTATTTTTTTAAGTACCAGAGTGGTGGCACTTTTTTATCAAACTTTTTTGAAGGAATGTCCAGGAGAGTTTATTGTCACATTGCTACAGATTCCGCTGTAGCTAATGAATTCATTGTTTAGAAACATTATGGATTAACCTACTTCATAATTGGGTGCATATTCTTATTTCCATGTTTCTCATTATTAATTTGCAAACTTATTTTTTTTATGGCTATTAATATGCCTTTAAAAGCACAGTAGTTTTGTCCAATGACAATGGTTATTTTTTAGGCAATTTATCTCAATAATTGTGCAAGATAGTGTGGGTTCAAAGCTGACATTATTTCACATTTAATTTTTCTATTTAGGTGATGCGAGAGTTGTTGAAGATATAAAGTTATTTGATGAAATAGACCTTTCTGCTCTCACTGAAGCTCCTGGAAGTCATTCAAATTCAAAAGCATATGTGTTCACAAAAACAACTGGCGATTTGATTGCCCCAGCAAACATTTCTTATGCATTTGCCAGGGAATCATTTTTGATCAAACAATTTTCTGTAAAGACTTATCTTCAGGTGGCCAAAGACTCAGATGGTGGAACCATTGTATTTCTCTCTAATCGTCAAGGGGATGAGGCTTTTAGCCTTGAATTCACGTAATTGATACACTATCACTGTTTACGTTGGAGAATTATAAGTTTGGATGCAATTTTACCAACCTTCATGGAACAGCACAGCATGATTTTAAAAAATCATTTCTGATCTGTAATACTATTATATTCCCCATGGCTGTGTTCTTTGTGTATAAAAGATGTCAGGCTGGTGGGGCTGAAGCTCTGTTTTCGATCTCAGGTTACCATAGAACTTGAAAAAATAACGAGTTTTATGTAAAACACTTCTGATGTCTGTATTCCTGCAGAAAAAACAAAAAGTCGGTTAATTGCGGTTGGAGGTTTTTAGAGAAAACTAGCAATTAACTGCAATTAATTTTATATCTCCAGTATCTATAAATGTGGTTGTTAGTTTTACATGAATCTAGTGAATGCGTGATTTGAACATTCACATTAACTACTTGTAGTAAATTGAAGGAATTTTTAGATGTAATATAATTCTCTTTCAGGCGGAAATCTGACAGCATTGAGGTGGATGCTGTTTTTCGAGTTGCTAAGACCAGCAGAACAGTTGATTGTAAATTTAAAAATATAGGGAGCAAAATCCCTAAGGATGAATGGTTGCACCTTGACGTTCGTATCTACCTACTGGAGAAATTACTGAGATGCGAAATTAAAACAGCCAAAGGTGACATATTTTATCGCAACAGCATTATAGACAATGTGGCTATAATCGATCAACCGATCGAGCCATTTCCACTAAATGGGACGTTGAGGATGGCACAAAAATTCTTACCAGTGTCAGAACACCTTCCGGTTATCACAGAACAATTTGTGGTAAGTGATCTTCGATACATTCTTTCGTATTTCGTAACTCTACCTCTTGCTTATCTAGTAAAAGTAAACATATTTACCCCCAAACATTTGTGAATGAACAGTGGAGCAGTTTTCATTGATAACCCATTGAATAATAACTTGAGAATAACACTTTTAAAGCTCAAAGATCGTGTGTTTTCTCGGGCGCCTCTCCTCCCGCCCTCTCGGTACTTGAAGAGCTTACCGACCCCCGTGAGGAATCAACATTGACGAGACTAACATAATAATGGAAGTTTATAGAGTTTGCATTTTGCTGATGATACATTTAATAACTGCAATTTAGGGGAATCTACAGGATGTTATCATAAGTTTTGGAGATCCTAATTGCACTATTTTAAGTAAGTATGTTAGCTATGTTTTGAACGTTTTTCTTACGCACGTACACGCTCGGAAAATTTTGAATGCTTCTAAATTTTTATTATTTAAAGTTATTTCGATTTAATTCACTTAGTTTTTTGAAAGATAACTTATATAAGAATTCAGATTTTTTGTATATATATATATATATATATATATATATATATATATATATATATATATATATATATATATATATATATATATACACCCATTTGCAAAAACGTTGGCCGCAGATAGATAGATAGATAATTAGAATTGCATATGAATACATTTGCATGGGATTTCAATCATATTACACAACATATGCAATTCTAATTAGATTTCGGGTATCTATCTATCTATCTATCTGCGGCCAACGTTTTTGCAAACGGGTGTATATATATATATATATATAAATATATATATATATATATATATATATATAATTTTTATATAGTTGCGAGTTATGTGTCCAAATCTGTTATCGTGCCCAAAACTCTTTTCACCATAAAAAGCTGTTTTCATCATAACTGAAGCTGCGTTAATTTTATTTTTATATATTTTCATATTTATCTAGTCGATGATAGCAAAGTACCTGCAACTGTAAAGCCGACCATCCAACAATCAACGGCGACGAAGCGAACAACTCCAGCTCCCACTTCAGTTCAGTGTCCAACAACAGTACGTATGTCCAACACTTCAGAATACAACCTTTATCAAGGAAGGTTTACTCGTACTAAAGCTAAATTATTAACAATCTATATCTTCTGCTTAAATCCAGAACTGTACTTGTTTGAAAATCCCTCGCGTTTATATTCTCATTTAATTGAACTTTTAAGATTTGTTTTCACACAAATTCGATAAATCGTTTTTAAATTTTATAAATCATTTCTTGACATTGCTCAACGTTACTTTTTTAAAGTCTGCGAAAGATGACACATGTCCTGGGGATGGAAAGAAACATCAAAATGGTGAAAAGTGGGATGATGGGAAAAATGGTGATTGCGAATGTAAGGTTAGTATACGGGACGTTTTTACGAATCTTGTGCTCAACACGCATATAGAAGCGATGCTTAGCTCGGTTGCCTGGGCCCTCAATCACGCATAAAACAAGGGTTAAAACTAATGTAACGATGTGTAGTACTAGCCTCATAACCATTCCCGTGAAGATAGGAGTTGATCGCTAAGGTATAGCCTGACCTTGATAACATGACAAGTTTTGGATCGAAAATAAGACTGTCATGAACGCGATTACTACCCTGAGCTAGGCAAGGCATGCATGACAACATCTAAGTCTACGTCTATACGAGACACGCATGCATGCTCCCAACAAGTTAGAGCAGGACTTCACCTAAAATGGAATAGTGAGATAAAACGCTAGCAATACAAAAAAATAGAAACCACGAGAAAACTAAACATCGTCGATTGGAAGGAAATACAAATCAAAACCCCGGTTAGACACGGTGTGGTAACAAAAGGAGAAACTCCTCCGTATGAGCAATCTGATAGAAAATCGTGATAAATGACACGAAAAGAAAGCCAAATCAATCGTGATTTAAAGAGCGGCAGCCGGCAGTGCTAGTTTCTATTTTATGTTAGGAAAAGACACGCCTCATTTAATCTCCAAATATTGATACAAAGCGAAAACATCTATACTCTAATTACACTGTTTTTTTAATGTGCTTTTTTTTACAGAAAGGAAATACTTTTTGCGTAAAACAAGTTCGACGCTGTGTTCAAGGGGGAAAAGTGTTCTCTGATGGTGATACGTGGGATGATACTTCAAACTGTGACAAATGCAGATGTGATGTAAGTATACAGATTATATTTCATTAGTTTTCTGTGCAAATTGCCGTTTTAGATTATATGTTTTTTACATGTTTTCATATTAAAAAAACTCTGCATGCAGCCGTTAAATTTTTCTTTTTTTCCTCGATCGAGAACACCTAATATTCACATGCATACATATATACATGAACTTTATTTAAACTCTTATGGGTAGCTTACATAGCTAATTTCTCCGAGTAACTATAATATAATTATATAAAACATAATCGGATTACTAATAATACTGCATAATACTACTAGTACTACTATATATACAAATTTAAATGTAAAGCTTTACAACTTGAAATATGTCGTTTAAACTCAAGAAAGGTGATCGCTCTGTAGCAGTCTGGAAGAGAATTTCATAATTTAGCTGCCAAGTATGAAAAGGAATGTAAACTATAAGTATCAAATGTAGTATAACAACTGCCTAAAATAGAGAAAACACTTCTCGACGTTTCAACCTGAGGGCCTTCGTCAGGAGAGTTAGTATGGAAATAAATTGGGGAGAATACATGTTTTTATTGGGGGGAAAACACGTGATAAAAAATGGGCCAATAGAAATACATTGGAATACATTACATTGCCAAATATAAATCTAAGAATGTCACGTAATATAAATCTAAGAATGCGCTTGTTTAAAGTGTCTATTTTACCTGTACTGCAAATATACACCACAAAAATGCCATATTTAAATACAGAATTATTATAAGGGTTTATTTTTCCCAGAATGGTGTCGTAAGATGTGGCAGTACGACAAGAACATACCGAAAAAGTTGTGACTTGACCTGCGATAAGAAAGTGTGCGAAAATCCGAAAGATGGATGTTATTGCCCCGAAAATATGGTTCTGCTTGACGGAAAATGCCAGGATGAAGTTGCCTGTCCTTGTATGATTAATGGACAAAAATATAAAGTAAGTTTGATTGAATTAATCATTGTCATTTTACCATTCAGGAATAGGACGAATGACTTATTCAAAATTATCCTTGAAAGAACTGGGTTAATACCGATGTTTTTAGTAATACTGAATTTATATAAGTAATTTTTTACTTTGGTTGTCAATATCGTTATTTTAGGAAAATTAATTGGTTTGTTTGTTTGTTTGGTAAAAGGATATAGATTTCTCTAACTATCAATTGTTTTTTTTTACAGCCAGGATCATACATTATTAATTGTGATGTTTGTGTTTGCAGTAGTGGTAAGCAACCCACTTGTTACAAGGGCATATATTGTTAGAGTAAGATTTTGAGCTAGCATATGGATATGATTGCCTGTAATTGATAGTTATTATATAGAGATAAAATAATTGTATGCATGCTTTTAATATAAATTTCGTATAATTTTTTTATTATCAATGAACTTGTTATTTCGTATCTAAGTTTAAAATTGGGCGGTATTAAATCTTTTTCTAATGAGCATTGGCAGATTTACTTTCCAATTTGTTATTTGTTTTTTGATCGTTTGGCAGTGGTGTAATTTTGGCGCCATTCTTTCTTCAGCGCGCGCCGTAGTTGCAGCAGGGCATGGGATCCAACCTTGCGTTTTCGGATGGGATCCTGGCAGCTTTTTTACAAAAATTTAACAAAAAACTTTCGTTCGCAAATTTCTTATATTTGCGACGGCTTCTGAACACAAAAATGCGTGGCAATTTTTTGGTAACACGGTTCCGACGTAGATTTAGTTTATTTTTTGTATATTTTTGTTATTTAAATACGAGTAATTTGATGCGTAAGTTTGTGATACTACGGCATGCGGACCTGCGATCCCGGCACATGTGGTGTAACCAGGGGATGTCAGGCAAAGAGGTTGCATGGATGTCAGGGTGTCGATTAACAGGGGAGGCTTAGGGACCCTAAACTATATGAAATGTGGCACATTTATTACGAAATGATAGGAAAAAAAACACGCGGAAAGACAGATACTAGTTGCTGCATGAGGGAGGAGACAGAGGAAAAATCTGGCCTTAGGAAAAATCTTTCTCGAGTCCTGGCCTCAGGAAAAATCACAACTGGCTTTTGGAGTAATATTCATGTGTGATTGTTGTCAGCGTTATCATCCTTCATAAGTCGTTTATAGTCTTTATAAGCCCCATAATCGCCCTATTCTTCACAGAAAGCTCATGGCACAATTCTGCTTCGCTACTTCTGCTGAATATATTACGTTGAGCAGCAAAGCATATGCAGTGGACAAAAGTCCGTCAGATTCGGATATATTTTCCATCTTAAAATGGCGAGATGCGAAGACAAACGAAGGTTTTTAAACAGATATTTGACAATTAGCAACCTACAGTAACATCAACAAAAATCGAGAATATACACTTAGTAATTTTGTAGAAATAGGCAAATTTCTTTTATATTTTCACCATTATTCTGATCTCCCATGCTATCTCATCCATCAGACCACAGTGCATGATCAGACTAATCTCTTATGCCTTCACGCCTCTCTCGTCTTCAGCCAAGTTTGCATACAATAAATTAGCCCTTACCTCCCCCTACTTATGCCATTGCTTTTGGTGGATGCTGAGATGTTTGTTACATGTTATTAATATCATGCCCCAGGGAGAGACAAACACGCTACATTGCAAAAAATTGCAAAAAATATCCCTCTAAAGCAAAGTATTATCAATGGGCAATTTCAGATGGTAGTGATGTCGTAATGATGGTACGAATTACAATTTTAAAGCTATTGAGTCATGCATTAATTCAGTTTAATATGCATATCTTATATATTATCGGGTGATTAATTTGTATTTTATTCCTTTAATAAATATTTTATATTATATCGAGTTTCATTAAAAACATAGCCTCTATATAGCGACTCATTTAGTGGCAAAAAGGTTCCACGTTTAGTCTTTAGAAGATAAAGTATTTTAAATATAATATAAAGAATGATCGGCTTGAAGGCGGAAATTTGCCTGAGTGCATCATTAAAAGCTTATACAGAAAACGTCAGCGAATTGTTGTTTAGAAATTAAGACAGACACCAAATGACATGCAAGATTTCAGACAAGATCGAAATCACTCTATAAATCGAGAATTACGCATTTGTGTTATTTGGTGAATAGTATAACACTCTAAGTAAACGTTATGATCACCGAGGCTCTGTTTCAACGTGTAGTGTGTTACACCGTACTATTTACTATTTGTGTTTCCGCTGATGACAACGTGACACTACGTTGGAGCTTAAGAATTCGAGAACGGATCTCTGAAGACCGAACCATATATGAACAACGAAATCCAAACAGAACATCGCTATTAGCAAGCAGAAAAATGATAACCGAAAAAGATTTGAATGAAACTTTACTGCATGATTCTTTTGTTTACACTGCTATATGCATGTCAGGAAATAACATATGGAGATGTATCTACCAAGTGATTATCATTTCAGCTGTGTTCATAATGAGCATGTTTAGTAAGAAACTAGCGGGGAGTAAAACGTGTAGTGCGGAGGTTTTCAAAAGAAGAAATAGATTCATTGAAGAGATTGAAGATATTAAACGATGGGGTCATTCAATGAAACCAAACGTTATTGTGGAACAAGACTGGAAGATAGATTGGACTTCAGACATATGGCTTGGCTGTGATAACGATGTTGAGAGCTCTTCTAGTGTATTAATTCATTATAAGAAAACACAAGTAAGGACCCTAGAAGACCAATCCTATAACAAACGCTGACATAAATTACTAGTGGCATGTGCTGTACCGGAAAATCGTGCTTTAGTGTCGACTTGTTGGGTATTGTATTATAAAACGGTGTTTATTGTATATAAATTGGAATTATATTAAGTACATGCTACTCGCTGATACTGTCGTTCAGAGGTTAATTGAAAAGCACAAGGCGTGAGTTATTAAATAATTACGACTATAATAAAATATTGATTATAGTTAACAATGTGAACAATGCACTGTTTATTTAAAGACAAATATGAGGTGGGAAAACGCATTTTGCGAAAAATTAGTTTTGTCTATAGAGTAGAGCGTCGTTGACGTTGTTGCGTCATTATATATAGTATATTATCATATTCCGTTGTACAGTGTGGTATGAACCTGACAATATATTTGACGGGAAAAATCATTCAACAAGTTATTGAAAGTGAAAGAGTTTTATTAATCAACATGGGGTTTTCTGAAGAAATACACGTGAGTACATGATGGACATACCTAGCGGGCTGACAGCTGCAATACAATATTCAGAGCACTTTAATGTGTGGGCGTTAATGTCACGAAATGTTCTAACGGTTGCCGCTTGTCTCTGAATTATTTGCTGAACTGACGAAGCTAGATGTACGGATATTTAACAGATTTAGAAGCTTGAGATTTGATGTGGGCGAAACAGTCTGTCCGAGAGCGAGTAATCGTATTAGATATAGCAAGTGGCGACCCTAATATAGAATCATTAGAATGCCAAATTTGCAATAGTACTATATAGACTACATTTTTGCTGAAAATTCTTTAGAAATCATCGCATATTAGTGATATTACAAACTACAGCTATTACTATGGTCTATGGTGGTGCTAATATAGAATCTTATAGAGATCTTTCCAGGGCCGTGCCGACCGATATTTTATTGGGGGGGTGTCACAAAATTTTGGGCCCCTCAACACTTTATCGACTTTTGGGCCCCCTTAAAAGTCGCAACCTATTTAATGTTTCAGTAAATCTTTTACAGTTACAAATAATTAGAATCTAACCATTGCAAGTTTAATTTTGCCCAAACGAAGGAATGTACAGTCATATCAATTTAAATAATGCGCCTGTGTTTAATTCCAGACCACGCCTTGCCAAGGTTTTGGAGATCAACCTTCTCAGCCAAATCTTTTTCGCATGCCAAAAGCATAAGAGAATCAAGTCTTTTATTGTCCATTGAATTTCTACAGCGGGACTTGACAAACTTAAGCTTACTAAAACTTAAGTTTTGAATAAATGAATAAATACCCGGCTTAATTTGTCTTTAATCCTGCTTAGAATCTTTCAATATGATGAAAATGACAGACATTTGAGCCCACAGTTGATGTGATCAAAATAAGACCCAAAAACTTCATGTAAGTCGTGCTTCAAAGGGGGAGAAAACGAGAAGAAAACGCTAGTTTAAGAAGACATTAGGGGAGAAAACCAGTTGAAAATCGAAAAATGTTGGTTATTTTCTTCATAAATATAATTATTTTTAGCTTTGTTGTTAAATCAAATAACTGAAATAAGGCAAGTTCTTCCCCAAAAGCAGGGCCCCTTAGGATTTATTTTGGGGGGGTGATACACCCCCCCACACCCCCCCAGGAGGCACGGCCCTGGATCTTTCGAGAGTCATTTTAACCATTTTACTTTTCGTAAGCCTGAAATGAAGTAATAACAAGGTCCCTGCTCAGGCGTTAACTCCTGCGGGCTACAGTTATCTCGTAGCAACAGGGCATGTTCGTGACACCCGCGCGAGAAACGATCATAGGACGATTTCGATTCGTTTGAAGATTCGTAAACTCGCTACGCAAAAGGAAAAACCGACCTACGGTAACTGGAGTCAACATGGGTACGAGGTTGATGCAATATATGGGAGTGTATAATCAGTGACCGGAATTAATCAATATAAACTGGAGTGACTACATCCATGGTTGTACACCAATATCAAGTTGTTTTACACTGCATGTAGCTATGTGTCTGACACTTCACCATAGCGTTGTGTGGATCATATGATTAATATATGATTAGTGTTTTCTAAGTGTTTGATCCTTTAAGTGCTCACGAAAACCAGACTAACGAAAGCAGAAATGCATTCCGAAAAAATTACATCATCGCTCAGAAATTTATAATCAGGTTCTGGAAGTTTGAAAATATGTGAAATTTCACACCATTGCACGTGCATGGAGACGTTGTTTATTTCAGGGACGTAGCCAGGGGGAGTCTTGGGAGCGGCGGTTCCCCCCCTTTTTATTGCTAATATATACATATACTTCGAAATGCATTAAATTATTTAAGAAGAATTAAATCTACTCAGTCTTTCAAGTATGCTTGTTTATTCAGTCCGGGCTGAAACTCAGTGTTTACTGTTGTTGTCATGTCTGATGTAAGACAAGTTGAAACTCCTGCCTCACGCCCCCCCCCCCCTCCCGCTCTATAGAGTCTGGCTATATACGTCCCTGGTTTATTTTCCCTATCTACAGTGTTGGGAGACGAAACTGAGCCACTCCGCTCCTGAGACAGGGCATCAAATCGATTTAACAAACGTATTTCAAGCCTTTCACTGCATGACGACTACTATCTATAGTAATACAAATATCCCTTACCATTAAAAAACATAGGATCGCTGCTTCCTACATAATCACGTTCGTACTAAATATAGACCGTGATTTTTATACTATATATATATATATATATATATATATATATATATATATATATATATATATATATATATATATATAGGTTTAAAGGGGGGTTCCACTAAGGAAAATTATCCTCCTCAAAAGAGTTTTCTTTGTTTGCCAGTGTATAGAAATACATAGATAGATAAGTCCCAGATGAGAACTCATAGACACATTCAAATGATTTTCTGGCGGATCCGATGATGCCGCTCCAAAGAATACGTTTCTTGAATAAAAACCAGACTTCGTAGACGTATATAGCTAATCTATACTGCGGTAAGGTCCTAAATAGATTTTCTTAATTACACGTTCACGCCGAACGATGAAAGCAAGTATATAGCCGTGTGCATGTAGTTTCAACGTTTTTTATTCTAATAACGAGATACATCACTCCGAAGAATTGGTTTGTGCGGACTTATTGAGAACCTTATTGAGCTCACTATTGAAAAAAAGTTTATTGTATATGAACAAAACGCAAAAAATATTCATAAATACTCTTAGTACGAGGCTGAACAATCCTGGGCTTTATTGACCCGGCCAAGCCAATTCTTTGAAGTCGTGAATTACAAACATAACGTTCTGTACTAACTAACTAATATTATTAATAAATATATCTTACATTGGAAAAAGCTATAAATTATAATTTATGTACGGTAAAACTAACTTTTACACGGTAAAATTAATTTTTTTCCACATATACTTTTTACGATTACTATGCTAACGCAAGCTAGCTAATGTACTGGATAATAACGATAATAAGTACGCACTTTCGTTCAAAAGAAATTTTGGAAATTTGATGCCCAAATTAATGCATATGCATGATTTTTGATGGCAAACATTGCTTTGATGGAAAACATACTGCATGGCACCACCAGTCACTTCATGATCAACTAGTTGTCATGTCAAAAATTCACATTATACAAAGCAGAACATACTTTTCTTTCTTCCGTCGTTGATGAAGCAATTTCTCTGTTACTTTGATATTTGGACCACCAAAAGGCATATTTGGATATTTAAAGCTTGGGGTTGAGGTCTTAAGTGAGTTATGACCGATATTTTTCTCAAGAATTAGAATATTTTTCTATAGTGCAAAGATAAATGATTTCACCGTCATATCATATTTCACCGCCAAACAGTTGCCCGCGGCCACAATGAATAAATAATCACAATGAATGTCGCTTTTTAAGTTGAATAAGAAAGAACTGTGAGTCAGCTTGTAAAGTTCCTGGCAGACATCTAACCATTCTTACGTGCCCTTGTTCATCAATAGATAAATACCAGGCTCTCTTGCCGCGATATGCTTTTAGTTTGTATGAAACATAAAATTTATCGTCCATTTTCTCCTCAAATATAAATTGATCAATTTTCACATCTTTAGTTTTACTCTAAAATGCGGTTAAAAAGTTCAGATATAGCTATCAGTTGATAAAATTTGAAGAAAATTTTGCATTTCAATAAATTTGATCTGAAGAGCAGCGTAGCTAGCCTGGTGATAATATTTTGCGGTTTATTCTGCATGTTAAAACAATCAATTTCTATGGAAATGAATATTTATAATAACGGGAGTAAATTGTCTGACCAGCTACGCTACTGCATCTGAATATTATTTTATGTACACTTACCGTGAGAAACATGTTACCATTTTTATCAACAGCTAAATACTTGGAGCTATCTTTTGGACGGAATGAAATAAGATTTTCCCCCATGGAAATAATTTGAATTTTATCTGGAAGAAGTGAAGGTATACAACTTTTATTAATGATGCGTTCATTAATTTCTTGTTATGCAAAGGCTAATCTCGGGCAGGGTTATATTCCCCGTACGCAAATACTTTGAAAAAATAATTTAGTCTTCCTATATTTAAGGATTACATGCAGTAATTCAACACAAAAAGCTCAACGCATGCTCAAATGCAGTTGATTCAAAAAGACTGATATTGTATGCATTCACGCATCATTTTCCAGAATAACGCATCTATAACGGCCAACAATTTGGGAATAGTATTATATAAGCTATATTGCCAACTTTTATTAAATCCATCTGCGCCTAATTCATCTTGTTGACTTGTTCCGACAACCAAAGGCAAAACCATGCATAAAAATGATGGTATTAACATTTGTCTAGTTATCATTCGACTTTGCCAGACATATTTTTATTTAAAAAAAATATTATTTTGGGATTTGGACTTGTATCAAGCAGTTGAAGGACAGTCAGATGAGGCGTGTTGGCACATTGTCCATGCATATAAAAAAATTTTGTCATTAGGTTAATCAAGTTATATAAAAAAAGTAAACAATATTACGCCCATGCATGATGCCCATATTCACTAGCTGGTCCAGTCGTGCAAGTTCTTTTCATGGAACTCTCGGTATATTTAGTTATTTGCTGAATTGTATAATATTTTGTTAAACCTGCTAACAATTGCTTGCATGTCGGATCATTTTTTTTCCCATAAAATATTCCTAAGCCTTTTTGTATAGAAAATGAAGCCTGCATCATGCATGGTCGGTATGTGGCAATGATTTGAGTAAATTTCAGAGATGTAAAGGCAATAAAAAGAGAAGTGGAGCATATATCGTGCCTATATGACCTTTTAGGTTTTATCTAATCATCTCAGTTCTATTATTCTAACCATAAGTCTTAATACATTATCTTCTTATATTCGTGTTATTGGATATTCATGTTGTCCAGTACTATTCAGTCAATATACTTGAATCACGAACATATGCACAAAACATGCAAGAGAATCGTACTTTTCCAAAAATACCACTGACTAAGCTCCCTACATGAAGCAAAACAGTATTTTCGCACCACTTTCGCTTAATTTTTTTTATTATGCGGAGGCTGTAATGATTGAAGTTTGAAGAGGAGTTATTCTGTTGTAAAACATTGTATTCTAATTCTGGAACTGACGAGCAACAGCCGGAGAATCAACATGCTAGACGTTGTGGAATGGAACATACATATGTGTAGGAAGAAAAAGACCAGAAATAATGCAATACTGCCATAAGTGCTGACAGCTTGGCTGTTCTTGACCAACAACTTTTGATGACAACAATATCAATAAAGATTTTGCATAAAAAGGGCCAGTCTCGCCACAAGTCTTGCTACAGTACAGCCGTTTTTTTGAAGTAACACAATATTGATACATCGCACATACAGCACAAAATATCACACTTCTGCTCGGCCTGCCATATTAACCATTTTTCTCTACCTATTACACTAATTACAGGTAGTGTAGCGATCTATAGATATAGTGGGTAATGGGTAATCGGTTGGCCACAGTTGTTTTGATTCATTGTGTTAATAGCAACATGTTGACTGCATAGCGTGATATTCTTGTACTATTTTTAATAAAAACATAGTGACGCGTCAACGAAAGCGAAGAGTCAGATTACATTTCACAAAACATGGATGAATCAGGCTATATTTTCTATGGTTTAAACTTTATTCTTATAAATATCGTGAAGATACCAGGGTGACCAGGGTCAGTATACTGACATTGCCCAGTACATGACAATACGACTTATACGAGTAAGTGCAGTAGAAATGGAAGAGGTATAAAATATTATTTATCACCCTATTCTTTCTGACAGACAGCCAGAGTTCATCGGTGCCAAACGATATTTTTGGGAAAGCTTATCCGTTCCCAAATTTATACACAAAATATTTTCCCGGAGTTTTGATGTTTGTCGTCGGACACATCAGTATATTACCAGAGGAAAGATAAGTTTATCGGTCAACTAATAGTAAATATTATTATTATCCTGGAAAAACAATGCAACAGCTGAATATTCTCTATAACACGTGGTCACAGCTGATGAAATACGATTTTTATCAATTTTCAAACAGAATCGCTTTTAAAAGTTTGTACATGACTCGGCATAATAAGTGAGACTAAGCCCATTAATTGTTCATTAAACAGAAAAATTAATGTAAAAAAAATCTAGATCTTATGAGGTCGATGAAAAGTTTAGTTAGACCAGCCGATGTATATGGAGATAATTTTCAGCGATGACGATTAACAGTGCGCACGCAATCTGAATAAATTCCGCACTAAATGCGCATAGTTTGCGTGATTTGTGGATATAGCGCGTTAGATATACTATACAATTAAAAGGACATTTACTTACTAAAGGCGTCTGTTACATTCTTTGTTCCCATAATTTCACCAGATTTAGAGATGGTTAGGAAAAAATCATTACGATTTTGTAGTCTGCAAATCCTGCGATTTGGATTTGGTGGTAAACGTCCCATAAACATTTGTACTTGCTGTACTTCTTCATGGACATGGAAGTCTGTAAATATACAACCCTGACGATGTGAAAATTCGTGATTTAGACACTTCGTGTATCTATTCATCTTAGTTTGCTTGATACTTTTCACAGTCAAACCTTTCCAACTGTTTGTTGATGAAAATATTTTCTTTATGTCAGAAATAGACACTTAGTGTGTCTTTGTATGCTCTTAAATAACATTATTATGTTAAAACGGAAAGCTTGCCAGGTTTAAATAATCTTTCCTTATTGGCAAGAAGTCTCAAGTTTCTTATGACCCTATTTGACCTGGAGGTGTTGTGTGTCTTTTCTTACAGTCTAATTAACACACATATTTATATCAATTATATGTGATTTATTAAATGTTTAAAACAGTTAAACAGATTTAATTCATATTTCATTGAATCTCTTTTTTATTAGAATTCAGAACTACCAACTAGTTCGTGTTAACACACTATTGTTGCAAGCACAAACAGGAAAATATTAAATAGATTAGAATATTAATAGTTTCAGGCGGAATCAAAAAGCTTGTTATATATTCTTCATTAATATTAGCCTAGTTCGTATTTTCTTTAATCCACCCAGTTTAAATACACGTGCACCGACACACGAGGTGCACCGTTTTTGGAAATAATTCTATTTGACTGTGTGTTTGGAGAGAATTAAATATATATATCCGTTCTGTAATATACCTCATGCCAAGATACATCCTGCACGTCAGTAGTTTGTTCAACGTCGTCATATAACCGCGGATGCGACCTTTAATTTGCATTTTGCAAGCGTCGTTTGTCTACAGGATGGCTTCTTATCAGAAGGAAAGTGCTGCCGGGAATCCGCCGGATCTAAAAATCGTCGTTTTTTTCGTACTATAGCTAGTTTATCAACAATTCATAGATTTCCTAATTGAACTTATAGAGCATTCGAAGGTCATACTTCAAAAATCCAATCTAAGTTATTTTAGGTGTAAACGCCTCCTAGTTTAACATTTATTCAAACATTTAGTTTTAAATAAGCACAAAAAACACTGGATATCGTTCCGGATACCACTTTCAAATGTAAAAATGTCCAGGTCAGTTTACATCTATACCATGCACAACTTCTGGGGCATGGCATACGATAATATTTGTATAACAAGAAGAAATTTACTATAAGTGCTAACAAAGCATTAAATATAAAATGAAAAAGCATAGAATAGAAGGATTTTGCTTAAGAATAAGTTGGGCTTTAGATTTTGCACAAGCATCTTCAAATCTTGCATAATGGACATGCACTTCCTATAGCAGGTTTTTAAATTCCTACAATCATTTTTTATTTTATCATTAAGATTTAGTAGTTTATATCGTTCAAGTAAAATGTAATAGATCTTCCTTACTCAAGTAGCGTTGACACAAATAGTCAAAATTATGAAGAATTACTTCTTCACAGTTGATAGAAAACGCCTGAAACGAGTTTGCCATAGAAACATTCACCACTGGCATGCAGCCAGTTGATAAGAGGCAATGTTACCCAGCCCCAACAAAAATTTTGAAACAGATTACATGCTATAAAACTGTCCTTACTTAGTTTATTAACTGCACAGTACACCCTTCTCGATTACTTAAATTGTTTTTCGTATCACTCAACGTGTGATTGATGAATTTACAGGCTGCTATCATTTCTTAGTTTTCTGGAAAAAAAAACAAGCTGAAAGCCCCTTATTATAGCTGTCTCTGTTCTCAGTATCGTGGGTAGTCAAGGATTGAAAAATACGATTGCGGCGTTGCGCGTCGTTATCAGAAATTGGAATCAGTCTTTCAGCTTCTCAAATTCCTGCTGTTCCTCTTCTCTTGGACCTTGTTTCCTTATGAGTCGGTCCCCCCAATGGCTTCGCAAGAGATCAATATCTCAGGATGAACTTGGCAAGATATGCAGTCATTCCATGTATGAGCTTCCAACTGCGAATATGAATTGTTCCTTTTGACCTTGTCTTGAGGGTATAGGCCATTTTGAACGAAGCATTAGTGGTAATTCTTAACACCCGAACGGATCGTTCCCGCTTTAAACTAAATTTAAATGTAGAAAACTTCATCAGTACGGCTTTGAAAAGAGCATCTGAAGACTGGAACGTTTGGTTGTGAAATATTTGAAAATGTAGAAAACATAACTCGGCTACTGAGTTGGCATGTTTTTTGGAAGCAATGTCAGTGAGCGAGGCAGATGAATATCATTAAAAAGGTAGAACGTTAAAAAAACAGTTTGGGACAGTAATTTAAAATCAAATATTCGTTTTACACTCGGGAGAATGTTTTTCGTGCACTTACGTGAAAATAAACGGTGTTATTTCCGTTGCGGTGAAGCAAATTGCTTCCCACCCCAATCGGTATCAAAATCGGTATGCCCTTGGCTTTGCTCTCGGGGTGGAGGCCCACATTATTTGGACACATAAAGTTTTGCAGTTTTTTTAAATTTACTTTATTGCATTGACATCAACAATATATTTAAGCAATAATTTGTTTATTAAAAACAACTTGATAACGGCTGAAAACTGAATTATATTTGGATAAAGAAAGAGGATTTATTCTGTGGTGGGAAAGAGCAATTCACGTCGCGTAGAAAACTGGATGCAAAACTACTCAGTTAGTTTTAGACCGACGACGTCATCACGGGACCTAAAATTTCCCTGTTCGGGTCCCTCCACCAAGATGGCCCCTCCTTTGCCTTTGGCCCTCCAAAAATATTTCGTGGTAAATGTAAAGCAATAGCATCGGACGTTTCAAAGCTTTCAATATTTTTACGTTTGAAACAGATATCATTTGTACAGCGGGAAAATGTGTTTCTTCTGTAATAGTATTCTTAAGTACAATAATATACCTTAATATACTATCATCTATATATTATTGAGTCCAGATCTGTTTTCAATTAATTGCACAATCGTCAATTGCCAAAATTGGCGTTGTATTGTCTCAACAACAACAATCCTAGAACAATCAGTATATTTTAAAATCGAGTTGTATGAAGATTTAAAGAAAGATCACACTTCATTTTTTGTAGTTGACTACAAACATGATTCCAAACTGTTCTTGATATGTCTATAATATTCATAGTTGTTATCCCAGAGTCATGGTATTGGTAGTTCGTATTGAAAAACAGATCCGTGATATGTTGATGAAAATTGGGAGGATCCTCCATTGACAAATGAGGAAAGAATTTAATCATGTTAGCATCGTTGTTAAACTGAACAGGAACTTCGACAGTTGCTGGGTAGACAATGTACACCTAGAGAAAACAGAATATTATATTTATAGATATTATGATCATGAAAAAGCACAAGCTATGATTAACATTTTGTAACGAAATGTACGTGGCTGAGCCTATAGTTCAGTTTAAAACTCTCCTCACTAAGGTACTAGGTTCGGAATATCTAGAATGCTTTTTTGAGCAGAGAATCACCTGCAGTGTTCTAGCAAGTATGAAATAAAGGGGGGTGGGGGGTTGTGGCAATACCTGACAGTTGGACCCTCAGATACTTCTTCTTGAATTAGGGATCAATAATATAATTTGTCAATTAAGAAATCAACATATCATGTGTATATTCTTACCATATTTTTATCTTCATTACAATAGTCTGACTTTAATTTGGACATTGTTAGATTAAATGTCTCTCTAGAACTTCCAGCAAGATCATGGACATATAGTTTATGTGTATTGATTAGGGCATCATTTGGCCATGCTAGTAGATGTGTTGGAGGCATATACGTATGAAAATAAACCACATGGTGACAATATGACTCAGCAGAAACATGTACTTTTTCATTGATACTTTTATGAAGGTGATATAATGAGGGCACAATACCAGCTTGGTGTAGAATCCCAAAAAATATACAACCAATTACATTCCAAATAGACCATGACAAAAGTAGTGATGGGGAATTTTTTGGTCCAGCTATTTTAGAAGAAAATAGCAATACCATAGGAATGAAGACTGGCATCAAAAACCGAGGTTCTTGATGTGGTACAAGTGAAAGGATGAATATAGGTACAGAAATACTAAGAACCAAGAGAACGTCGTGAAACTTTTTGTAACTAACATGGCTTCTAGTTTGTTCATTCTGGTTTTCACCACCAAACTTCCATATCAGTGTTCCAAGCTCCAAGTACAGCAGAAATGCCATTGGTCCAAATAGCAATGGTATATTGACAAGAAAATGAGTAAAGAAAGGATGATATCCATGGGCATGAGAATGAAATGCATTGTACTTTATAAAATTCATTGGAGTAACAACCAAATTACCCTCTTGTAAGTATCCAAAGTACCAAGAGTCCAGCAAAATAAATACCATGCTGGTAATGAGAAAACCAAGTGCCATTAATATCAATTTAGCTACAGTCTTAACAACATAGCTTTGTTGCCTTTTTACCTGATCTATAAGAAAACCAAAGTAAGGCACCAGTGCAAACACAAGAAATGTTTGTCTGCAAAAAAACCCCAATGAAGTTAAACTACCAACCAGGATGCAAATAGAGCTTGGCATCTCATGTTGCTTGTCCTCATTACTAACAGAGACTTGTTTATCACGAGGGTTTATAAGCAACATTATTATTATGCCAAAAATACCAGTTTCCAACGTGTTTGAAAATGGCCGTGTTGCGAATACATGTGTCACATATGATGTAGATAATACCAGCAGACAGTTAAATGGCTTGAGGTTTAGTCGTCGGCTGATAACATAGACTGGCAAATCAAATGAAATTAAAGAGATTAATGTCATATGAATTCTTGGAAATATGAGTAATAAATGAGGAGTTATATCAACGAATTTGGACAAGAAGCTGAGAATTAAAAAGGGAATTCCTGAAGTTATAAATGCAGATATTGGACTTCTCACTGGAAATTCTTTATTCCACTCCCAAGTCACTGTGGAGTTTATCTGAAAAATGTCTTTGGCCATTATTTCTGAGGATTGGAAAAATTCATCTGGATACAAGTAGCCATTTTGAACAAAACTCGGCAGTAGAAATCGTAGTGGAATTAATATGAAGTAAGCAATGCGTTGACATCCATCTCTTTCGTACCAATTCATCATTTCTGGAGGATTTTTAGAACAGTAAGTGAAATATATAAATATGCAGTGAAATTTCTGGTAATTTTACCACCTGACTTTGCGGGCAATATAAAGACATTAGGTGATAAAAAGGGATATAATGCAGCAAAGTGAGCAAACGTTGGATGGAATATGGCGGCTGTTCTCATTCCTCTAGCACATTTAAAAAGTTGGGAAAAGGGAAAAGTAGCGATGTAAGAATTAGATTTTGTTCATTTAAACAAATCGTCAAAGAAAATATATTCAGCTGATCTCATCTTTGTCTTTATGTAGATTAAAACTTTGCCAAACATTCGTAGCGGATGAAACAGCAGAGACACATGGATCAGACGTGGAATCGAGTGAGTTTATTACACTACATTTATTTACTCTGATATTTTTCAAATTACGATCGTCTCACAGCAATTAATGTTCACTCACTTGTAGATTTTACCCAAGTATTTTACGAGCTTATATCATATGTGGTTCATGGTCAGATTGGACATGATGAAGTCGTTGCACTGCTGACTGAAATTGTGGTATGAAATTAGTAAATTTTTAGTAAATTTTCATTGCGTGAATGCTGAAATAGAATAATTTTTAAAACCTTATATTTGCTTATATTTACTTTTGATTGTTCTGCCACAATGCCATCAGTTCCATCAGTTCCACAAAAGTAAATATACCTGTACAAAATATATACCATAATTACCTGTACAAGATATGCACCAACTTCTCATTTTCTTGCTCAATTGCATCTAATCTAACTTTATATACAATTGAACTACTAACTAATAATATCTGGGTGTTTTCACAAATACCGTAACAAAAGTCTAATAATAATGATAGCAAAATTGTATAGTTTATATAGTTTTATAGTTTTATACCTAAATTGTATAATTGAAAGAGAGGATCTTCATCCTCTCTTTCAACTAAACAATTTAGGTATAATGAAATCCAATCCCAGTCTAATTAATTTCTTGAGGAAGTTTTTAAACTACCTGTTTAGATTGAACTTTCCATTAAAACATTATTTCAAGAATTAAATAACATAACTGGTCAATAACTGGCATATATCAAATATCATACCTAGATGTATATCTACACTCTTCCTGTTCTTTTGCCATTGTTTTTTCCTAAAATATTACTGACCAATTTTTCATACCCTTTTTTTCCTCGTTTTAGAATGATCAAGACAAAAGATCAATACTGGTTGATGTCATTAACATCATGGGTGCGGAAGAGTTGATCCTGTTAACATTATTCCCTTGTATATTTTGTGAAATTTTCAATAATATTTAGAATGGTAGTGTAGAATCTGTTATAAGTGTCAGCATGTTCCTCTTGCTATCTATCACGCTCAACAGATGTCGATGTCCAGTTTACTGAAAAACTAAAGCAAGATCGCTTCACAACATTTGTTTCTTCTTTGGTGGTAAGATGATTTTTACAATTTCTAAGCTATTAAAACAGAGTTATTGAAATGATAAAGCAATGAAATGCTGGGCAATGAATCAAGATAAAAAGGCAACTAACTTATTAAGACATTATCCCTACTGCATGTTCTGGTTCCAGTACCAAAATTGCTTAAAAATGCTTAATTTGCATTCTTTGTGAGTCAATTTGATTATCTTGTCCACATTTAAAGACCATACTATTTTCTCCACAATGCTTACACTCTTTAAACTCTATTAGAATACATCTGTTGTTTCTGAAGACCTTCTTAAAGAGCGAATCGATGTGGAATCCTTGGATTCACTTGGATTGATCCAATCAGCGAAAGGCTTCAACACAAAATTTGTGAAAATCAAAACTAAACTTTTGTAAGTATAAAGAATTCAACTACCAACTGAATCAAGAATTGGAATGTGTTGATAAAGTTATAATTCAGCAATGTTTTCTTGTCTGTTGAATTTAAATTGTTAAAAGACCATGTACAGCAGACTGTAAAACCCTGGGAAAACAACTTATTAGATTTTGTGTTTCATAGTTACAAACAACAGAAGTTTAATCTACTGAGGGAAGAGTCTGAAGGATACAGTAAATTAATTACTGAATTGGGACAGGAAATGGACACTGCAAATCATGCAGCTTTTCTGGAAAACATCAAGTCATTAATTGGTAGGAACTATCTTAAAAATGTTGTAATTGATGTTTAAGTAACTAATGGTTAAAAAAGAAATATGTTGCTATCATTTAAGGGCGATTCAACCTGGATCCGAACCGGGTACTTGATATTATGTTAGATGCTTTTGAATTTCATTTGGAGGAAGAAGACTTCTTTATAACTCTTTTAAAAGAATATTCATCGAATTATGATAAATCTACAGTGTGCCATATTTTAGGATTTAAATACCAGTTTTATAAGGTGAGATTATTATATTTCACAATCACGTTGGGGGTTCATGAACCAATTAGCCATTTCCCAATCGAACAGGGTACTGGGTCTAGTCGGTAACCACAAAGCATCTATGGACTGTTTGGAGGGACAGAAAAAAAGACTGAAATCATTTGTCCCTCCAAGTACATAGATGCTTTGCGTTTCACAACTAGACCCAGTACCCTGCTTGATTGGGAAATGGCTAATTATACTTTCTGCATGCTTTCCTAATTGAGTTTAGACTGTTTTCTATTTCCCTCGCTTTGTCTGCGAGTGAAAATCTCCTTACGCGGTCATGACATCGTGCTTCACAAACAAAGGTGGTATTTGAAAATTGCCTTAATGGCAGTGTTAGATCGATTGCATGCCAAGTTGTCTCTTTGAAGAAAGCCACAAACATTTTCTCACTCTGGATGGCAAATATATCACTCTCTCTCTCTCTATATAGTTAAGTTAAAAAGGGCAGCGCTTTTTCCATTTCCTCCCTGATTTATAATTTCAGTAGTCTCTCTGGTTCTCGTATAATATCTTCGTTTTCTTCTTTAGGATCAACCAGATGTTCGTCCACCACATGCTCTGTTGTATCTCACTGCTTTACTTATTAAGCATGACTTACTAGAGTTAGATAGCATCTATTTACATGTAAGTAATCACAGAGTATATGTATAGACCATCTGGAATGAAAGCCTCTGTATGGGTTTGCACGTGCAAGAGTGTTAGGATGGGCAGCTTTACCTTCCTCTTTTCCCACATGCGTAAAACACGTGCAACTGCATGTGACCAGAAAAGTTTAGAAAATATTTTATAGAAAAGAATAAAGAATGAGTTATCCACGCAGCGTGGAAGGCGTTTTTCCACCAGATTTTAAAAAGTTTGGAGAATGACCCTAATATTACATTCTCGCATCTAGACCTTTTATGACAAATCCACGACCAGAATTTCTCCTGGTAATAACCTTCCTCGATTAGAACTTATTTGTGTATCTTTTTCTAAATACAGCTTAGTCCCAGTGATGGTGAAATATACGAGGACAATACGCAAGAATTGCTTGATGCAAAACAAGAAGCCAAGAAATTGAATGCTGCTATCCTTACCTCCGTATGTTCATCATTTTGTACTTCTAAATAATTAGAAAAATCCTGCGGAATTTAATCCAAATCATTGTACCTTACGTACGGTCACCTCCTATTTCTTACTTCTTTTAAATGTTTGTCAATCCATATTCCGGAGTTGAACTTCAATTAAAATTTTTGTAACAGGACACAACAAATAATGATGAAAATAAAGAAAATGACAAGGAAATTAAAGTAGAGGTAAAAAATCATTGCAAGGCAAGGCAATCTATCCTTATTAAACCTTTCTTTGAATTGCTTTTACGTCATTCTAAGTATTCCCTGATTGGATAAGAATACCTTTTGAATTACAGCTATTCAATTATTATGAAACTGATTAACCAACTGTTACTCAAACTCCATTCATGATGCAATGCTTTCTATACATCAACATTGTGATTTATCGTTATTTTCAGCATAGAACATTTAATCAGAAGTTTGGTTTATGCCACACGCTACTGCTGGTGGGTGCCTGGCCTCAGGCTAAAGATGCAATGGACAAATTGCCAAAATTTGCAGCCGTGAGTGAGGAGCCTGTTGTAGTGGCCATGTGTAAACTTATACATATCCTTATAGAGCCGATTTACAGACAGTAAGTATTATTTGATCATTCCTTTGTCAAAAAAATGCATCTTGTAACCTATTTGACAGCGATACGTTCAGCAAAAAGACAATTAAGGTATTTTCCTCACGAATTACGATCATGTCAACAGAACGTTTCTATAGTAAGAAATATTTAAGTGTAGTTTTAGCCTGAAAATTCACTCCTTTTAAGATGAAGAACTCCAGTTTAGAGTTAAGTAAGTTATTTTTTGGTCGTAACGAGGGTGTTGGACCGGTTTTTGGTGAGACTTTGTTTATCATTTTGATTTGATTATCATGGAAGTAGCCAATCATATATCAGGACATTTTCTGTCAGGGACTTGTTCGCCCATGCATTGATCATCCTGCATTAATTGCCATTGTTTCTCTTGCTCGTGCCGGTTAATGACCTGCGACATCTTAACAGCAGGGCTCACGTGATACATTCCAGAAAGTATTCACTCTCTTATAAGATTTATAGCCTATAAGCACTATCGTACCAGCTACGTTACTACTGTATGTTTTTGAGTGGATAATTTCAGCTTGTTTTGTCTTTATTGTAGATGTTCATCTAAGGCGGCTCGTGGTCGACCTTATCCTTGCAAACTAACAAAGGGACCCTCACAGTGTAAAGTATTTAGCGATCTCACAGACTGCGTGTTTCCATTACTTTTTCATCTTGGACCGAACTTGTCTTTTGATCCTATTTTAATGGCGAAGGTTATAAGAGTTGGTCGAGCATTTTTAAAAGAAGTAAGTTTTGTTTATAACTCAGAAAAAGCAAGTAATTTCTTTGTGTTTTGTGCCTCCGAATACTTTTCTAATTGTTATAGTTAATATCATTTTGGAGTGAATTGAAATGTACCAAATATTTTTAAATTAAATTTGAAATTATCGATTTTTTTGTAGAATCCCAACGTTGTTCTTGGGCAAGATAGGGATACCAAACTGGTGCGTATTTGACTACAGTTATTCCCATTGTTACTCTTTTCTGCACGTGAAAGCCAAGCTTTAGTGATATCCGTGAAGAATACGTTAAAAAACAATTGTTATAGCTACTTAACTCGCGTATTGAAAATCCATCGTCATTTATCCTGTCAAAATTAGCTGCTTGGAAGTGAGATGCATCAAAGAATGTATATTGTTCATTCTTTGACCTGAAATCTTCCAAAATTAAATATGTTGGTAATTTCCACATTGCAGTCGCTGACAATGATCTGGCAATGTTCATTGACCTACTAATATTCACCAACTACAATTTTATCATCGTTTTCATCGTATATATGTCAACAACATTTCCTGAAATTGAAAACAAAATTGCACGCTTGACGCTTCTTAATTTTGTTGTTTAGCTGGCGGTTTGGAATAGTCTTACCGAGCTCGTTGATCAAGTGTTATTTCCCTCTCTGTCATTATTGGAATGTAATCCAAGTATTGCTGAAGAAGTCTGGATTTTACTCAAAGCATTTCCATATAACATTAGGTGGGGATACGTTAGGTCTCTGAGGCTTTTCATTGCGTCTTTATGTAGAGGATATTAGAGTGGTTGTAACTTGCTATAGCGTATATAATTTAATTTTGCCGAGAGTTTGCTAAAAGTGTTAATAATAAATACTCTTTCAGGTTTTGGAAACTTATCTTCGAGAGTAGTTCCTGTTTATTTAGCTATAATTGCCCGTTATTATTCATACTAGTTACCAATAATAATTATTTTGGTATAATTGCAACATTGTATAGTCTCTGAAAATGATCTGGTATAATGTTTAATGTCCTATACGTATACCAATTTATCATCTTGGGTTCCAGGAACACGTTGAAGAACCTCATTAATGCATTTTCTTTGCTGAATAAAATAATGATTTTTTAGGTATTGTCTTTACGGACGGTGGAAAAACCAATCCTACAATATGCATCCAAGACTTATTGAAGTTAAAGCGAAGACGATAAAAAAAGCAAAATATATCGCTAAGTTAGTAATGGTGTTCAAATGAGGGTAGATTCAATCATCTGTCATAGACAATATAGTCTGGTATACAACGTTTTGTTTAGTAAGGTAGAGATATGAAGTATTCTAACAAGCTCCCAAAATTCTTGCTTGATTTTAGGCGTTTATCAAAAGAGAATGTGAAACAATCCGGAAGACAGATTGGAAAATTAAGCCACAGCAATCCCGGTGTTCTTTTTGAATATGTGAGTTTTGTTTTGCACAAGAATCTGCTATATTCACTGACAGCTATATATAAAGGTACTTCTGTGATCATGTTTCGAAAAATTCATTCACTTTTCTCTTTTAGATTCTTAGTCAAATCCAAAAGTACGACAATTTTATCGGACCTGTTGTTGATTCTCTTAAATATTTAACTCCAATGTCATATGACGTCTTGGCTTGTATCCTTATTAAACCAGTCATAACAATATGGGGTAGTACAGGGAAAACTAATTATATAAAAAGTGATCTAACATGCATAAAGCAAGTGTCATACTTCCGTCATTTATATTTAGGAATAAAAACAAGTGCGAGTGATGCAATGAGCAGGGATTAATTGTAGAGCCATGCACAGTCTGAATTTCTAGCCATGTCTCGTGGACGTCGTATGTGGTCGCACAATGCTGATGATTTCAACTTATTCACTGTATTCATGCTTGTAAATGTTTCCTTAACTAAATATTCAGACTGTATCATTGAAGCATTGGCAAATCCTGAAAAGGAGAGACTAAAACTGGACGATACGAATATTTCAGAATGGCTTAAAAGTAGGTTTATACGTTTAGTCTTTTATGATGTATATTATAGATGTATGAAGTATATCGATGTAATGAACACCCTATGAACCATTCCATGTTAATACGGACAACCATGTCTATAAGTTATGGGGAGCTGAATGCATGAACCATTCCCAGCAATAGACTATAAACATGCAGTTTTGAACCATGCATGTACCGCTACAAACCCTTCTAAAATATTCACACATAGTCCATATATATTTTCGCAGGTCTCGCCATTTTTTGTGGAACGGTTTTTAAAAAGTATAGCATCGAACTAACTGGTCTTCTTCAATACGTGGCTAACCAACTGAAAGCTGGCAAAAGTTCGGATTTACTTGTTTTGAGAGAGGTTGTGCAGAAAATGTCAGGGATTGAGATTTCGGAAGAGGTCACCATGGATCAGATTGAAGCTTTGTCGGGAGGAGAAATGCTCCGTGCCGAGGTGAGACCCGTTAAGTGTTTGTGCAAGTTCACCATTTACACAAACAAGTTTTCAAGGCAGCTAATATGATACGTCCAATCGTATCGATCCGACAATTTCATGGGCTGCTGAAGTAGATTCTTGTGCACTTAGTAAACTTACAGAATCGTTTCTGTTCATCTTTATCCTGACTATGGGTCTGACGAAAGGGTACACTATACGTATAATAGTTGGCATTAGCTTAGCTTAGCAAAGACAAGCTTAAAGCAAGTCTTTTCTTTGAATTTAATTGTCTTTGTGTTGAGAATGGTTAGTTGCAAGCCTTCACTGTAAGTAGTTATATTTTCAACAAGTGGAAAGAGTGGGAAAGAATTTTTGACGAGAAGCATGAAAATGTTGGTCTCCAGTGTCACTACATTAGTGAACTCACCAGACTTTCTTCTTTAATTTTGTTAAGGGCGGTTGGTTTGGGCAGATACGAAACACAAAGAAATCCTCCCAAAGGTTACGAGACACTCTAATGGATGGCGACTTAGCGTTTCCTCTTTGTATATTAATGGCACAGCAGCGAAATTCCGTCATCTTCTTTGATGAATCTTCAAACAGACACTTGAAACTGGTTGGCAAACTCTATGACCAGGTTAGTTATACAAATGCTCCTGCTTGCAAATTAACTGTTAAACAAAAAACAACTGCATTAAAACAACGGTTAATTTGTGATGTTAGTAGTGAACTAAAGGCACATATTTTATTACTTTCAGTGTCATGACACGATGGTTCAGTTTGGTGGATTTTTAGCAAATCAATTAAATAGCGAAGATTATGATAACAATTTACCGCCATTAGAAGACCTTGTGAAGAACTTTTATCTCTCTCAAGATGCTGCTTTCTTTTTAGCAAGACCAATGTTTGCTAACAAGATACAGGTAATGATTCATGTATATTGGATATAGGTCCTTAACCCATTCTGGCTATACGAATAAAGGACAGTGCAGCATATAATAGCATATATTCAAGCTGTTGAAAACGACGATATGATGAGGTTTTATATCAATTTAGGCCTCGTGAGGGCATCTTTCAAACAAACACTTTCATTGCAATTTATTTGAGGGGTTTAAGACGATCACTGCAATAAATCCAAATTTCAGTTAAATCAAATATCTATTTATATCAATACCTGTTTACATCATAATGCTAACCATATCTTATATACATTTGTATAGTTGTTATAAGCAGCTCCTTCAAAAAATATTTTGCTTAATTCAGGCAACATTTGAAGAGACTCAAAAGAATGAAAAATCCAGGAGTTTATCACAAAAAGTGAGCAATAAAAGTGCAATTCCAGAAAGTCATAACTTTCAAAATATGATCAACGTTTTCCTTTCTTTTAGCAAATTTTTAAATTATATATAAGTGCTGTGAATTCAGTGTTGGAACCAGTCACAGGAAATGTCATAGACCTCCATCCTTTAAGAGTTTGGAATAATATCAGGTAATTATATACGTATGTACCCTTCGTATTGTTGCTTTGAAAATTTTAGTAAATAGTTTTGTATAATTCATAGCACTTGTCACCTCAGAAATATACCATAGCCTGCTTTCCTACCTAGCATAGTTCCCCCTGCCCCCCCTCCCTCCCCGGCTGGTTTATATACCAACGTTCTTTGTACTCATGATCAAACACGCACTTGACTACCAGACATAAAATATATTTGATGAATGCAGAGACATGCATGTATTTGAAACGACAAATGTATTTCATGCGATTTTTGTATATTTGCAAATGGTATTAGTGTGTCAAGGACAGGAATAGCTGTTGGTTCGAATGAACAGTATTTATAAACTATTTTAAAAATTCTAGTCGCTTAAAAACGAATAGTATTTCATCATACGATTCCAATTTTTTTCATTTTGTAGTCCTCATTTGTACGTTGCTTTCTGGTCTCTCACTATGTACGACCTTCATGTTCCTGTCGAGCGTTACGAAGCAGAGAAAAACAAAATGAATGATCTCCTAAATAATCTGGATGAAAACAAAGAACTGGTATGATCGCGTATTAGCTATATATATTATAATATTCCATTATAAAGCCTGGAATCATGAACAGGCAACGAACACAACAATAAACAAGGAAAATAAAGTTTCGGAGATTGTATGGGCCGTCGATCTTTAAGGGAAGACCTAAGTTTTAGATGAAAAAGACGTTGAGATAAACTGATTCAAGATAATGATTTCTTGTAATAAACAATTTTTGGTTGCTGTTAGAAAACGGTTTACCGTTTATCGAAACGGTTTACCGTTTATCGAACCACTTAAATTTTCCAGCAATAACCCTGATATTTCTCCTGCATGTGAATAAAACAACTGTGTTTCCTAATTTAATCGCAAAATTTTGTTGATGTAGAATTCTGCAAGCAAAAAGAAAAAAGAAAAAGATCGATGTTTAGGTGCTATTGATAAACTTAAAGAGGAACAAAAAGAGCAAGAACAACATACACAAAGAATAAAAGAATGGTTGAAACATGAACAAGATAATTGGATACCTTCAAGTAAGTACAGTGGTATTGAGGGGGAGTGGGGGGTAGAAAGTGGTAAAAATTGTGCTGGAGCAGCGGTGGAGATGAAGTGTATCTGACTCTTTAACATTCTGTTTAACTGGGTTACTGCATGAAAGTGTAAGAATTTTACCCTCTGGTCCGTAGCTCCCCTGCGAGAAGTGGAAGAATTAGCGTCAGGTTATTCAAATTAGTGAACTATTTTTCTGTTATATTTCAGAGTCATCAAAGAACGAGTCAGTTACTCAACTTTTGCAGCTGTGTATCTTTCCAAGATGTGTTTTTACTGCCAGTGACGCTATTTTTTGCGCTAAATTTGTACACATGCTTCATAATTTGAAGACGCCGAATTTTTCAACATTGTTGTGTTTTGATCGGGTGAGTTATATCCACGTGATTCAGGTAGTATTCTGTAAAAGCTACCCAACAAAATGTGTTAACTTATAAAGTGTAACTTGCATATATGAGAGTGTGGCTCCCAGGCCAAATGACGTAATCATCGAGAGGCTGTATTGTCTTATTTCTATTTCCCAGGTCTTCTCTGATATATCTTACACTGTGACCACGCTGACTGAAAGCGAGGCTAGCAGATATGGTATGTTTTAATAAGGAGTTTAATAACACAGATTCATTTTAAGATTTAAAGCGCGCGAAGTATTTGGTGCATTATATCGACGTTTGCATGGCGCTCCTGGTGAAAGCCCGCCTTTTATTTGTATTATATTTTTAAGGCCGCTTCCTGTCATCAATGCTGGAAATTGTTGTACGTTGGCACAAGGATAAAAAGACTTATGAAAAGGTAAATTTATAGTTGTATTTTTTGTTGCATTCAGTGGAATAAAGTGAGCAAATTAATTTTTGGTGTCGGACAAAATGGATGGACAAAATGAATGCATTTGAATCCATTTTGTCAAATTAACATTTTATAATTTGTAATGTTTTAGTTCTCTTGTTCAGACCTTGTGCCTTCTCAACCACCTTTTTTATTCTGGTTATTGTACACTTAAAAATATGCTAGAAATATATACTATTATATTATATAGTTTGGTTACACCATTCTTACAGTAAAGATTGTGTTTTCGTTAGCTTTGTGATGTACAATTAGTCTTTCATATTTTTTCCTAAAAGGAATGTGGAGGCTACCCAGGATTTGTGACGGTTTTAAGAACAACGAATACTGATAAAGCAGAACATTTGGATTACGAAAACTTTCGCCATGTTTGTCATAAATGGCAGTATAAACTAACAAAGGTACACTATCTTCATTTTTTGAGACAGTAATGGTAAACTAATATAATAATAAACTAATAGTAAACTAATAACTACTAAGAACTGCATGAATAATGCACAATTGGATTTAGTTAAAGATATGATTATTTGGATGACAACAAAGATTGTTCACCTTGTATAGTATTAGAATCGAAAAGGTTCTAAATCACTCCGGACGGGAAACGCGTAAGGACTTGCAGTAGTTGCAGGCATTTTTTCAGATTGGAATTTGGAAGGCTCTGTTTTAAATTCACAAAAAACCAAACATGACCATATACTGGTCCAGAGTGGTTTAAAATACGGCAATACCGTCATCGACTCTTTACCAGAGTAAGAGTAACGCCTGTAATTCCTGCGATGTTTTCGTCATGTCCTTATATTATTGTAAACACTTTGTACTGTACAATTTACACTGAACATATCTTCTTTTGTCCTCATTACGATAGGCTCTAGTCGTTTGTTTGGAATCAAAAGATTACACTCAAATTAGGAACACAATAATGGTCTTAATCAAGGTCAGTATTGGTGTTTTCACTCGTAATATTTAACAACTGACGTACATTAGCTTTTATCAATATTTTATGTCGATTACACTCCAGATTCTTCCTCATTATCCGAAAGTTTCTAACCTTGGTCTGGCCTTGGAGAGAAGAGTAGAAAGAATTTGTGAAGAAGAGAAAGACAAGAGGAAAGACCTTTATGCTTTGGCAATCGGGTATGTCCATTAAATATCATAGAAAGTCATAAAACCTGAAACTTTTTTTAATTTAGCTGTGAAACGTTTCTGATCTTAATCTCGAAAAACTATAGTTTCCACCTTAATTCAATGAAGGACAGATCTCCTGCATCTGACAATTTCGTATTTTAGCATTATAAAATGCTTCATTGATGCATAAGTACGAAATATCATCGTTAACTTGTTTAACGAAATATTTGATTGTTTACAGATATGCAGGAAAGTTAAGAACACATAAATCAGAAATGATTCCTGAAGGAATGTTCCATAAGAAAGCCCCAGATGCTAAAGACAAGGTTAGCATTTTCACGAAGAACAGAAACATGTCGGTTTTGTAGAGGAAGATCCATTATATCATATTTATAAGGTTGTTTCTCTGTTGTTTTTTTGTTTTGAAATATAGGCAAATGCAAATGCTACGCCGAATGCACCTCAAAACGCGTCGAATGCTAATTCTCAACCAGATATTAAACAGGTATATACCTTTCATACATGAAGCTTTTCACAGGTTTTACAGATTGTGGTAACTGTGATTTATTTTCGAAGGAAGTGGATGGGAATGGGGGAGATTCTCAAGAGAAACATGAAAAACAAGGTCAGTTTGAATGAAAAAGGCCATACTTCTTTTGTAGTGTATTAGGTCGTAGAGAGTATAGTCTATAGAAATATCGTAATTATAGTAATGGTGCATGCATATAGTGTTTCACGAAAATGCGTACGTTTTATAGTTAACCATGACGGCAAGACCAAAACAAGGTAAGAATTATTTATTGCAGTGACACATTTTTCCTTTTATAATATCCGAGATTAGTCAACATTGAGTTTTTTCAACATTTGTAGCGACACAGCCGAAGTTAACGATGTCGAAGAGAGCAAGTCAACAATTAAACAATCTTCTTCACAAAGTATCGCAACAGAAAAAACTTCATCCAACTCAGTGAAGTAAGTCGCGCTCTATCTCGAAATGAAAGAGCAAACTAGCCTTAAAACAAATTTGTATTCAGCCCCAAACCGAGGGCATTTCCTAGGGATACGAGCTTTGTTTTCAGACGATCAATCTCAATTATGGATTCTATTTGAAGAAGCATGAAAAATGTGACGTTTATATAGTCTGATAATAATTGTATGTTTTATCAACAAATTCACCGAATAATTCATCATTTTATATTTAAATATGTTGTAACTTTTAGAAAAACATCTTCGAGTAATGGTGTTAAGGTGTCTACAAGTTTAACAACTAAAAAATCTTCATCAAATGTTGCGTCAAATGACGTCAGTGTAAAGCCAAAGACCGAATCAAGGTAAATATTTAGAGGACCAACAAGGCGATCGTAACTTTGAATACCCTAACATTGAACAACGCAAACTGTGAAAGCGAACCCCTGCATATTAGGTTATAGGCATCAAATCTTCATTTGATACCATCACCGCACCACACTTTGTGTATATTATATATTGTTGGGTATATTGTGTGTTTTTTATCGAAATATTCATTCTCTGTTTTTCATGAGTCAGCCCATGCAGGCTTTGTAGAAACATTATCTCTTTGACTTTTAAATAATGTTTTAACTTTTTATTTTAGCAAATCCATGTCGGCCTCTAACAAATCCAAAGAACTGAAAGAAACTGATCGCGAAAAACAAGCTGGGAAAGAGAGTGATAAAGCGAGGAACTACGATAAGGCAGAGAAATCAAAGCGACCGTCACCGAACGACTCTCCCCGAGATGACTACGATAAAGGTATTAGTACTCATGGCCGATCCTTTTTGTTCACGATGATGCAAAGCTGTTTTAACATCAAAATCTTTGTTCATATAGGCATTATATAGGTATATAGAATTGCAACCACTTTTTGTAGTTGTGAAAATATTTCTGATTAGAGACCATTTATCCCTATAAATAAATTAGCAGATCAGTGGGTGAGGGTTGCCCTGACAAAAAAGTTTAAAAATCTCAACAAGGCATCATCATGTAATCTTGATCGTATCTTTTTAGAAACCAAGAGGCGGAAAATGGAGAAAAGTGATGGTCGTAACTCCTCACCATCTTCCAAGGTCTTTATTTTGTAAATTTCTATTATCTGAGGAGGATTGGTAGTTGAATGATATGAAACTTGTTTTTCAACCATACAGGAAAGTACACCAGTGGATGGATCTTTATCGAAGGTAAGATATTGTATCCTTTCAATTTGATGGATCAGCATTACTTCGTATGATTGTTTTTGTGAAAAATAATTTCTTCACCATGTAGAGTCGTGAAGAACGATCGAAAAGTAAAGAAAAAGACAGAGATAAAGAGAAAAGTCACAAGTCTGATCGCAAGAGAGTAAGTTTGCAGTAACTTGGCTGGCAAAATTTCGTCAGCAATTGAATGAAAATGCATAACTTAAATACATTATACAAGATACAGCCAAAACACCGAAACGAAACTGCCTTACTGGCTTTTCTTGAAATTATCGAATATGATGTAAACATAAGTCGTACTTTAAAAGTGATGTATAACTCATTAGTCCTAAAACCGAACGGCGATTTAAGCTAGTTTTAAAGAAAGTTTTAAATTTTCATTCAGACGTCTGATGTTGTTGAAATCAAGGAGGTTAAAAAACGGAAAGAAGATGACGATGCAAGTAAGTTAAATATCTTGCGTAAATATGAGGCATCTAAAACGCTGCCCTTCATGCGTTGCGTGTTCACATCAACTTTGTGATTTTACTATAGTCACTGCATGTCTAGTTGTTTAATTATGATTAATATGGCACCCAGGAAACCTTTTGTCGTTTTGAGATATTTTACTTCATTGTTTTTACTCCAGGTCCAATGAGAAAGTCAGTTCAGTTGGTAGATGAAAAACCGAAAGAGAAAGAGAAACAAGAGGTAAAATATTATCAGCAAAAATCTGCCGGACAAATTGATGTGTTCATGCAAGCGAACTTGGTTTCGTTTTAATAAAAAAATACCCTTTAGCCTAACGACCGCAGAACAATTGAAAAACCAACACCAGCTTAAAACCGGTTTGCCGAATATAGACATTGCTCCGTTTACATTCACAACGTTTAATTATTTGAAGGAAAAAACAAAAACAACAATTATTAAGTTGTCTCGAAAGACGGAAGAAGATGGAGTGAAGAAAGAGAAGGAAAGGGATAAAAATAAAGAAAAAGAAAAGGATAAACACAAAGATAAAACAAAGGTGAATTGAAGTGATCAGTCATAGCAGAAGCGCGAAAGTATTCTCGAATTTCCACACCGTACTAGTACTAGTATAAAGATTGTATTCGATAGCTCAATACCTTCTGCTTTGTATGACTGGCCAGATTGAAGTTACGTATACTTAGGTGAAAGATAAAGACAAGGAGAAAGAAAAAGATAAGGACAAAGATAAAGAAAAGGAAAAAAAGAAAAAATCAGAAGAGAAATCCCAAAGTAATAAGGTTTGTTAAATCATAGTTTACTGTTTACATGCACTGTACGTGTCTTGTTGGCAGCTGGATTCAGCCTTTTGCAACTATGAATTTCAAAACTTCAATAGCTGAAAGATTCATGTGCAGCTGACTGGGTAGCCTGATACATACCAGGGCCTGTCTGGGCGATGCTGTAGCATATTGCGTGGGGTATACTATTAGTTCACAATTTTTCCCGTTTTTAGAAAGAGCCCAAGAGTAAAGATAAAGAAGCAAAAGATGAGGAAAAGTCGCAAAAGAAACAGTATCCTTTTATACAAGTTTCACTTCCGTATTTATGTAAATTTACGATATCATACTCCATAAGAGAATCTTGCGCATAAAGCTGTTCTCTAAGAAATATTTTTATTTGATATTGGTTTTGTACAATTGACAGTGCGTGCATATATATCTTACAAAGAAAAAGAATTCCCCAACGGATTATATATGAACCATGAGATATAGATCACTTTTGTTGGATCCGGAACGATGTCCTTATATAAACTAACCGCGTTGACCTTGACAATTAATCTTCGCTACGAACAGGCTAATCTAATATAACAATAGAGTTGATGTTCGCTTATCAATGCACGATTCGTGAAAAACATGCGCCTGTGGCTGACTGATATTCGCTTTCTTATTTCTCATTAATAATGCATGGTTAAATAACTTCAGTATGTGATATTTTAAACCAACTAGACACAGTCACATGATTTTTATCACACGCACCCCCCTCGTCCAGACTTAAGAAATTGGAAATTAGAACATTAGAAATTTCATTAATGCCCGACAACGTTATCATGATGTTATTTTACAGATTTTCCTTGATTTCAATTGCTTAGACATTCGCATTCAGAATCAAGGAGATCTAGATGACACTGTGCCTCATTTTTAGTTTTTCTTTCTGTAAAATGTCTGTAGAAAATATTCTCAATCCTGCATGCCTTTCATGTAAAAACGCTTTATGTTTCTCGTGAAGAAATTACTTGAAGTGAAGTTAAATAGCGGATATCGACTCATACTATGTTATGACTGCTTTAGAGTTTCCTGGTGAACAGAATGCTGCTATGGTAACATTTCTGCAGGTTTTAAGATTGAGAAATGGCAAAATAGATAAATACCGCGAAATATAAGCAGACCGCACATGACGAAACATCATCCTGAGTTGTATAAGACGAACATTATTTATTACTGCAGTCTGAAGTTTAAACCTTTGGTAGTGTGAAATTGTATATATAACATGAAAACATATCTTAACACCAACATACTGCATAAAAATTTCTTTTAGGAGAGCAATTCGCTAAAAGCGTGTTTTGTACTGTACACATTTTACTTTCAAAATACATTCCAAAGTTTTAATCCAACACGCTTGTGGAATTCTTTTTATCATCTACAAAATAGTATATTTCATTCTATTAGCTTTTGTATTTTAATTCCGGTGTAGTTAGGGCAAATACAATTCACAATAAAAGATGAACGTGTGAACTATATATTACGTATTGTTTCTCTGTGTCAATGTCTATCAGCGTCTCATTGCAATTCATCAGTTGAAGAGATCGCATTCAGTGAAATTAAAAGCCCAGGAAAAAACAGAATAAGTTGTTTTAATCGAAGATTGTAACATAATTGAAAATGGAAGTTATAATTCGTGGTAAGTAATATAATTAAAATATTTAATGAATGATAGTATGTGTAGTGACGAATTCCCTGCCAGAATGAGGTTAACACCTTCTGTCTGTGATGAGTGGCAAATATTAGCACTTGTAAATTCCCCTTTAAAATCACTACTGAAATGATTAAAATTGTACTGAAATAAAACAGAATGGTCTGGACGTTTTTTCTGTGCCCATGAGTTTTTCATTTCACTACGAGATATTGATAAACGCCATGTACGAAAGCAGAAAAAAATTGCGCAGAAATTCATAGCAATCATTGCTAAATCAGACGTTCATTGATTGAAATAGTCGCTGGAACTGATTTAGAACTATTTTTTCTGTTGTAGACCAGGCAAGACGTCGGCAGTTTTGGTGGCCAAGAGACTTCGAACAGACTATGAAAATACCTTTATCAAAAAACGGGAGGTAAGGAGTGCTCGTAAGTGCTCATTCAACCAAATATACTAGCGTACATTTTTTGACTGAAATAAGCGAAAGTCAATTGTTTGGGTACTGTCTGTCGGTCATAGCAACTATACCGCATGATCACTATTTTCAATATAAAATTATACTGTTTTAAACCATTGCCGGCCGAGCCTTCAGGCAATTGGGAATGAAGTTTGTCTTGGCACTCTTGCACTTGTTTCATTATCTTTCGTCGCCAATGTTTTGTTTTTCTATATCGTTTTAAGGTGACGTTGTTAAAACGACTATATTTTTGTTTTCTATAGTCCTAATCTTATATATCAGCAGCGGAAAGGTTTTTGCTAGCTGACTATAGTCTATAGCCCTGCAAGTTCAATTGAATCAAAATTCTAAAATCAAAATTAATCGTCTTATTTTAATAGACGTCGTCGGTTATTTTGCCGTAATGGCGTGTATCTTCGTGTTACCGCAGACAAGCATGTTGCTGGTACAACCAATCCATTTGATCCTACAGGTATTAAAATCTATCCTATCTCATTCATTGGGCTGTTAAAATGATCATTGAGGCCAGTTTTCTCCGTTTTACGCGTTCATTAGTTCAAGTTTTGAGAATTGAGGGGATAAATATTTCTCTTCTAGTCGTATTTGATCTGATACCAGCAGGAGGAAACAGTATAAAAATCCAAAATGTCAAAAGTGGATTGTATGTTGCTATTGACCAAAATGGTGATATAATGACTAAGGTAAGTTCAATGTCCCATGAAGAATTAAGTTCAATATATTAGTATTATCACTATTATGACTTATGAGAGTCATTCTACTTCACAACCAATCATGCAAATCATTGCAAGTTATGCAGTTCAGGACATGCTGTCGTAACACTATAGTCGGGTAAAAATCGTAGTTTTGTAAAAACTTTTTTTGTTTATTTCATTTTCTAGCCACATGCAGACAGCGAATGTGTATTTGAGGAGACAAACAATAGCAATTTTTACGATATCTTCAAACGACCAAGAAGCGTAGGACCTCCTTTTGTGTTGGGTCTTTGCAAGAATGGAGAAGCTGAATCTACTTTGTATCGAGGGAAAAAACAAGCAAAATTCAGTGAATTTTGTTTTATCTCACAGCTCATCTATTGCTCTGCCTACTCTGCAGACCACGCACAAAAAAAGTGTACAGAAATTCTTTCTGACCAAACAGATAGCCCTCTTATTTATAGTACGACAAGAAAACGTGTTGTTGCCTCAGTAACACGGCAGGAACCTGTACAGACACGTAAATTACGAGCAGCACATTATTACACTAAAAAACAATGAATCATGAATATGAGATCATTTCATTAAAGACAATATTGTTAAGTGTTGTACTTTATTAACGTTTTCATGTTTAATGAAAATTTTTTCTTTGTACCAGTTCATTATACTAAATATATCTTTGATCATGCAATACACTGTAAAATATGCAACTCGATGGTATAGCCGTATCCAGGACCAGGAGTATATATTATTCGTCTCACTTTTGTATGAAAATCGTGGTTGGAAACAAAAAATCAACATGCAATGAAAATCTTGTAGCGCACTTCCACCCAAGGGCGTCATACCTGGGGGGATTGAGAGGGACACGTTACACTCACTGGAGTGGGGGACGAATATCAAATTATGCCCTAATTTTTACCCGGTTTTATAAAGTTATTTAAATTTGTAGTAAAACAAAAGGCTATTTCCGTGGAACCATAGACAACATCATATTAAATACCTGGGACTGACAAAACTACAGTAAACAGAATCTACAGAACCACGGAACATAAAACTACCGAACCTTATCATCAAATGTGGTATAACAACCGATGCTAAGTTGTTTGAAGACGCTGCCACGCTGCTCTCTGGTTATATTGGAATAAACTATGGATCATATAGAACCACAGAACTACCAAAGAAGTGATAATAAAGTGGGGAACTATGTCCCATTGATTATATCTTGCGATTCATAATTAATTATTTATTATTTATTACGTAATTATATTGTGTGACGTGTGTTGCTAAATAAATATTTTTAAAATAGTTTATATTTCATTTGACGTCCCAAAAATATACGACTGAATTCAAACACATAAATAAAAACAAAATACGACAAATATTTTATGAATTTGCAACATATTTCTCTACCGACATTCATATGTTTACTTCCTTAAAAACTCGTCAAGTGTTCACTTTCATTGTGACATGGTTATCTTACGCCTCTACATATCTTCTTCGGAAGCCTCTTGGTGTTATCAAACCAGACTTAGAAAAAACTCTTCATTTGAAGAAGTCTGAAATGGGATGGCTTGATGCTTCCTTACTCTTCCCTTACGCTGTCATGCAAATGCTGCTTGGAGGTTTAGGAGATAAAATTGGTGCAAGAAAAGCTTTGACTATTTGTTTAATTGGTTCAGCCTTTTCAATGGTATGTTAAGTAATTTACTTTGCTGTTTTAATTAATTATAAACCAAAGACAAAACAAAAAAGGTGTCGAATTATGAATGAAGCTTTTCAATAGGTAAAAATACATCAATAGACAAATTTATTCATATTTCCTCTCTTACCAAATAGATAGTAAATTTAAAGCATATAGGGAGAAGATTTTGAAGAAGATTCTTCCAGGCACTTGAAATTTCTCTTGCTTAATTAACGGGCTAATTGAAGAAAAAGTCCTAGTTTTATCCATTTAATTAATTGATTAATAGTTTAATTATTCTATTCTAATGGAAAGGCAATTGGAATCTCTAAGCTGCGGGGGACATTAATTGTGTATGAATCTCTTAACTACATTTTGGGTAGTTAAATCATAGTTAATTTACACATCTAATTCTAATTGGCCAAACCTTTTACCAAATATGTGTAGTTAAATTTTTGTTAAAGTAAATAAAATGCTTGGAACACTGTTTGAAATTCGAATTATGAATTCATTTTTCAACTTTAGCATTGTATCTATTGACAACTCGGAATATAACCCAATTTTGCCGACAGGTGTACTTGTGGGGTGCAGGCTACAGCAACCCCTGGAGCTATATGCCCCTGTGCTAGAGGGAGAGGCTAATGGGTATTCATGACAGTTAAAAAAAGACTGCATGTATAAGGTATATATCATTATGGTCTCATTATTTAAAATTGCTGAGTAAACTGAGTAAAGGAATTACATCACTTCCTTGAACATATCTCATAATGACATAAAATGAAAAGACCATCATTCAAAATACTAATCATTCAATAGTTTTTATTCAGATATCATTTGGATATTGGAAAAGATTTCTAGTTCTGGTCATTCTCCTGTTCCTAAATGGAACATTCCAAGCAGTAGCTTGGCCTAATTGTGTCAAAGCTCTCAGTTCCTGGTACTCAGATGAGCACCGTGCATCTATATTTGGTTTATGGGGAACATGCATTTTTGCTGGTGGGATCATGGGAACATCACTGACAGTTTATCTACAATTTATATATTCTCCAGAGTTGGAAAAAGTCTTTTTAGTTCCTTCATTGATTGTTTTCGTTACTGGTTTGCTTGTCTTCCTCACGCTCAAAACACCATCCGAATTAAACATTGAAATTCCTGGTAAAAGTCAAGAGACAGAAACAAATGTAGGTGAAGATGCAGAGCTGCTAAGCGTTTTTGACGTTTGCCGTTTAGAAAGTGTCCCTGAACTACTTGTAACAGTGATATGCATTAAACTTGTTCGGTATTGTCTGTATATGTGGCTTCCAATGTATCTTCACGAGGCTTTGAAATACAGTAAAGCACAAGCAGGAATGCTGTCAACAACATTTGAAATTGGCGGAGTTTTAGGATCTGCCTTTATTGGTGTTTTTATTAATAGGTAAAAAATTATTGGTAAAAGTTATTTGAACACAGATTTACCTACGTCTAATTAATTATTGATTTTATCTTCAAGAATCCTTAATGGTCGTGAAATGCTCGGATGCTTCTATGTGGTATTTCTAAGCGCAATATCACTTTCGTTGTTTCTGATAACTAGTACCTGGGGTCTGGTATATAACTTGATTTTTACATTAGTCACAGGCATGTTGAACTGTGGTCCCACATCCATCTTAACTGGATCAATTCCAGCACGTATTGGACAAAAGGTGCATGCTCAGGCCACTGTCTCTGGAGTAGTAAATGGTACGTTATGAGTCGACTATTTCACTCAAAGAATTTTTAGAAACAATTGGGCATTTCGCTCGTTGAAAACTAAATATCAGAAGGTGGAACAATTGCTTCAAATTAATGAATATATAGCCTAAACTTCAAAATATATAAATTCCACAGAATTATCATCAACCATAAACTCACAAGGAATCTAGCACACGCGGTTTCTTTTTGTTTCGCCAGGCGATTTTAGGCTAAAAAATAATAAAAAGCAAATGTACTCAAAATTTTCTTCAGACACAACCAATGTTTTTCTATAAGAAAGAAAATGTTAAGCGAAGACAAGAATGCTGACAAGAGATTTTAGTCATGCCGTTTAACAACAGTGATATTTTTCTTAAGGTTTTGGTGGTGCTGGTGCTATTGTGGAAGGTCCATTAATTGGTTTAATAGTGGATTATTATGGATGGTCTGGAGCATTTTATTTAATGGTTCTTCTATCTATCCTTGCTTCTCTGTCATTATTGAAAGGATCTCAAGATGTTAACACCTAACTATATGGAAACTTTGGGCTTTAAATTATGTCAATCCAGTTCCAGAACAACGATCAATCATCTCATTTTTTCGAAAGACAAAACTACGGCGATATTGAAGATGGCCTAGAACCAATGAGCTTAGTTTAGGCCCTCAGTACTGTATATAGGTTGGTCCATATATGGTTGGTCATACACGAACATTGTTTGACCGTGAAATTTGACCGTGAAAGAATCTGTATTTTTCTCCGTCCCAGCGAAGCCGGTGTTCTTTCTTTGCCGCCCTGCGGAAATGTATTGGTATGTGAACGAAATTATTTTTCCCGTGTTTTCATGGGCCGCGAAAGTATTCAGGAAGTGGGGCATTGACAAAAAAAGGCCACTCTCGTATGTATCAGCTGCATGTTCGCTTGAGAGAAGAGCATATTTTTTGTGTGTGGGGCATGCAAGGGAGCACTGACAATTTTCGGGCCTCAGTTTGGAGAAAAATCCGGACCCTCAGGCTCAGGCAGACAGGCACTACATGTACATCAACGTCACTACTTTTGTACGTGTGCGCAAAACTTAAGTAATTACACTGTTTTGTGAAATGTTACTTTGTTGCTCATTGCTTAGCATAACAGTAAAGTAAAATTACAAATTTGCAAATGTAATACACTAACACAGACATTGAGAAAATCATGAACGTCGTATAAATGATCTAATATCAATTCTGAATTCACAGACATTCAATTACCAGTGTTTGAATGCTTCTTACAAAAGTAATAAGTTCGGTTCAGCAACTTCAGTTTTACGAGTTATTACGAAATGTTTACAGCTTGAAAAACATGTTAGTTTAAGCATGCCCCAGGGCTCAGGGGTGGACTGAACTGTTAGTGATTCGGGATCTTTACGACTTTAGTACTTACACGACCGTGCTAGTCAGGTTTCGGTAGACTGGTTTATCGTAACATGACCATGGAAATCCTATAGGGTCGATGATACCGGTTTATGGTATACTCTAATCAGACTCGGTTTTACCGGTTTAAAGCCGGTTTTCCACTAGCGATATATTTCGCGCGAAGCGATACTCTACTTTTGTTCCTTCAGAGCTCCCAACTGCAATCATCTGGAACAAATTTGCCCAAATACAAAAGAATAAAGTCGCTTTGCGCGAAAAATAACGCTTGTCGGGAAAACCAGCTTAAGGCGGTATCACCTAGCCTGATTAGCCTCGCAGATATCGGTTTATGGTTATCCGGTATACCGTATAAGCCGCTATAACCCAGCCTGGAATCCTCGGCAAACCCATTGGGCAAACCTGATTAGCTGAGCCGTGTGAACCAATAAAAAAATGGGGAGAGTTCAGTGATGAGAGTATGGAGTACTTCATGTAGTACATACATGATTTTGAAATTAAAATTGCAAATTGCAATAATAATATTTCTCAGTTTTCTCTGCGAATGACAATAATTTCTGTAAAATCATGGTGACTGCTTTGAAAACTCGTCAAGTATTCACTTTCATTGTGACATGGTTATCTTACGCCTCTACATATCTTCTTCGGAAGCCTCTTGGTGTTATCAAACCAGACTTAGAAAAAACTCTTCATTTGAAGAAGTCTGAAATGGGATGGCTTGATGCTTCCTTGCTCTTCCCTTACGCTGTCATGCAAATGCTGCTTGGAGGTTTAGGAGATAAAATTGGTGCAAGAAAAGCTTTGACTATTTGTTTAATTGGTTCAGCCTTTTCAATGGTAAGTTCGTAGATATGTTAAGGTTGTATACGCATAAACTATATGGTCAAATCCAAATTCATGTTCATGCATAATTACTGAACTTGACACGATGCACTATGCACCTGCACCTAAGATATTCCAGGTAAATCAGTAAATGTTAACACTTAACACCGCAGAAACTTGGTGTTTATGAATAAAAAGTTCAATTTTGCTTCTCAATACGCATTCTGCAATCTTTTGACAGCTCATCATACTCATCTGACAGCTATGAAATGGCCATTTTGAGGCTTATTAAAAGCATACACAAGGTTATTAATTCAGACAATTTGGTTTTTCTGTGTGGAGCTTGAAAACGTTTGTGTTCAAGACATATTTTGTTCAGTATTTATAACTCTTTTTCTCACCAAGTTTGAAGCTAAGGTATTGAGAATTGAAGTCCTACCAATTTCTGCAGTGTCTGTAACTTCAACGTTCCTTGATAGTACACTGCCCCAGGTGTTTCTGGGCAAAAAAGTAACAATAAATAGTTAACTGTGCACAAATTGGTCATAAATACTAATTAATTGTCATATTCCCTTTGTTTCAGATCACATTTGGCTATTGGCAACATGTATTAATGCTTTCTCTTTTACTTTTCTTAAATGGAACATTTCAAGCAAATGCCTGGCCAAACTGTGTGAAATGCCTTAGTTCATGGTACTCAGATGAACATCGAGCATCTATATTTGGTTTATGGGGAACATGTACCTTTGCAGGAGGAATTATTGGCACTTCATTAGCTGTTTATTTACAATCTGTTTATTCACCTGATCTTAAAATGATTTTCATAACACCATCCTTGATTTTACTTTCTATTGGTATATTGGTATTTTTAACAATGAAAATGCCTTCTGAACTAAATATTACAATCCCAGGAAAAGAAGAACTGACTGGCTCAACCTCAAAAAGTGATAAAATTTTAGGTTTTTCAGAAGTTATACGTCTCAATCTTGTTCCAGAACTAGTGGTGACTGTTATTTGTGTTAAATTAGTCCGGTATTGTCTATATATGTGGCTACCAATGTATCTTCATGAGGCTCTGAAATACAGTAAAGCACAAGCAGGAATGCTGTCAACAACATTTGAAATTGGTGGAGTCTTAGGATCTGCCTTAATTGGTGTTTTTATCAATAAGTAAGTTAATCCTGATCTTGTTTTACCAAAATATTGTGCAACCTAAAGTAAATTCACTATTTTACATTTTAGAGTATTAAATGGTCATGTTCTGTATGGATGTTCTTTGTCTTTGTTCCTAAGTGCTATGGCCCTTGTTGCTTTTCAAATAACAAGCACTTGGGGTATAATCTTCAACATAACCTCCATGTTAATTGCTGGTGTATGTAACTGTGGACCTGATCCTCTTTTAACTGGTTCAATACCAGCAAAAATTGGAGAGAAAGTAAATGCTCAGGCTGCTGTAGCAGGTGTTGTTAATGGTAAGTTATTTTGATTTTCTCATTTTTTCAGTTATTAGGTCATTACATTTGTTAAAGGAATGCCACAACTAGTAAGTGCGCCATTCTTTGCATAATTTGTAACCCTCATTATTGGTTTAGCAACAAATTATCATAATATAACTGCAGATGAAGTAAGCCCTGTAATTTTTACCACTTTCAGGTTTTGGTGGTGCTGGAGCTATTGTGGAAGGTCCATTAATTGGTTTGATAGTTGATTATTATGGATGGTCTGGAGCATTTTATTTCATGGTTCTTCTATCAATTCTGGCAACCTTTTCGATATTAAAGGCGTCACGTAATACAGCAACATGATTGATGATTCAATTAGTTTAGAACAAGATCCTGCAACGATTTGTACGAATCTCTACCAAAAACTTTTTTATTTCTCTATGGTTTGCAAATGTTGCGAGTTTGTTTCTCACGTTTGAAGTTTGGCTTCAACACTGCAGTTAGCAAATCTGAGTTTCATTTGTTAACCAAGTTAGCAAGCGAAACTCGGAAACTCTTACATTTCGAGTCGTATATCGTTGGTTGACGACAACAATTTGCAGTTCACGACAGGGTTTTGCAATCAGTCTTTGCGAACTTCCCCTACGGCTACGGCTACGAGTACCGTTTGCTCTATTTACAGTATGTAATTACCATAATTTTACAAGTGTGGAATCAACTATCAAGGTTATGATTATTAATAAGCAGTTGAACGCGATGTCGTCATGACACAAATCTGATATCATGTGTTGAAACTGGCCACAACATAACTTGCATGGGCATAAATTTCATTACGCTGGTGGAAATAGATATTTGGAGCTGTAGAAACTAGAAAGAACAAGTAATTAGAAAATGAGCGGTGTAAATTGAGGTAATTCTTTGCGCAGTTTAATTAATAATAATTGCCGGTGTCGAATTTTGACGAGATTTGCCATGCAGAATAGAACCTCAACCGAATCACAGATGAGCTATATATCTCATCTGTGCCGTATTTATCCTCGAAAGATAAATTTGACACAAAAAGATTCCCCCAAGAAATAGACGAGAAGCCAGTACTGTATCAATATTGTTAGAATTTTTAACATTTTTGTTTTTTTGTTTTGTTTTTTTCATGGACGCATTTTTCACAGCGAATTTCGTCAAAATTCGACACCAAATTCTAATTCGTCAATGAATTGCAGGATAATCTTGACCTAGGAACATTTTGGTGAATGTAGTCACAGAAGAGAATGACCAGTCGGAAAAAATTTACATAAACTGCACATTCCTTAATTATTACTAGGGATTAAATACGGTTTGCCAATAGACGTAGCTAGCCAGTTAGTATTAGAAGTGCAAACATTTCGGTGATACTAAGCTTATAATTGTTGACACTACCTTGTGCACTCTCAGAGTAGAATTTAAGTGAGAAAAAAGATGCAAATCCTATTTAAATCTTTTTTATAGCAATGATAGTGTCGCATATCATAGGAATATGTGCTTGTCTGGAAGAACATAATAATGTACATGCAATATATTTAATACGACAACAATACACATGAAATGCTATAAATATTTTGAAGTCAATTTATAACAATGTAAGAATGATGTCGTGTATGGGTGATTTCCGGCTTTTTCGTAATCATGCGAAACCTCAAGACAGATTGTTTTTAATAGCGTGATTGCCTTTACTAAATATTTCAAACATCAATTTATTGATCAGGTTGCACTGAGGGGAACAATGACTTAGTCATCGGAGGAATGTTTTGGTTGCCTTGGTTCCCTGTAATGCGCCTTCTACCTCTAATTACATTATCCATGCTCTTGTGACGTTACCAAAGATATCCGCTGCGGGGGGCTGTGAATGGACAGAATCGGCCGTTGAAAAAGCACCAAGAAAGCGCAGTTTTGCGAGGTTGAGAACTCTAAAGACAAGATACATTACGTACTTGGTTTCTAATACTTTCGGGAATAATGTACGCGGTGTATATAGGCTAAATTACTAAATATGTGAATGTTTGTTTTCGGACAAAGGGCAAACGCCACGAGAGATCATGTTTGAAGTATTGCCTACTGTGAAATGTGAATCAGCTGGTTATCAGCAGAAATAAATCTGCAGATATTGAATAGTATATTGTATCTGGCTATCGTAGATACGTTTCAACGACATGGTTTGTACACAGTACGTGTTATTTGGGGTTTGATCTACCTAGATACTTGCCATGAAAATATATTCGACGCCGTGGTCAGGGAAACGGACAAGTGGCGTATGGAAGAGGGCAATATTAGGGTATTTTACCTTGTACTTTTTTACTGCTGTGTCAGCACGTATTTATACATGGCGAGTTTTGGAAGAAAGTAAACGTGGCACGATTGTTGCAAATTTAGGTCGATATACAAAGAATTTCACAAACTATGAATTGGCTATTTCAAGCGAGAATTTCGTATTTAACAAGTCATCAGGCAATGTAAACACGAAGAAGGTTATTGACAGAGATGTGTTGTCAAATCAGTGTTTGAATGGTACTGAACTTGAAACAGTTCAGTTTCGTTCAACAAAGAGTGGGGAAGATGATATTATTGCTAAGGTTTTAGTATATGATATAAATGACAATTGGCCACAGTTTACTTCAGATCTTTATACAAGGGCAATTTCTGAAGAAGTTGATCCAGGATTTATAGTTCAAATTCCAACTGCCCAAGATAAAGATTGCGGAGTAAATGGGACAGTGAAATATACAATACTGAATTCAGATTGTTTTCGAATATCTTCAAACCAAGAATCCTTGCATATAATTTTGGAAAAAAGACTTAATCGAGAATCGAGAGAAATGCACACTCTAAATATCACAGCATGTGATCAAGGTATTCCATCAAAGTGCAACTCCACAATATTAAAAATCACAGTGACTGACTTCAATGATAATAAACCAATGTTTCATAATTTAAAGTCAAGAGTGCCAATTAAAGAAAACTGTAGTGCTGGCAAATTCATCTTAGCATTGAATGTCTCAGATAAAGATAGTGGAAAAAATGGGCAGTTTACATTGTCTGTGTCTGGTACACCAGAGTATAGTAAGCTCTTTGATATTAACTCTAACCATGAACTTGTATCAACAACATGCTTGGTATATGACAAAAATAAACCATATATTGATATTGTAATTAAAGCTGAAGACAAAGGTGTTCCTGTTCAACATAGTTATGCTTCCATCCGGATTGATGTCGTCGATGTAAATGATCATACTCCTGTACTTTCTTTTCATCGTATAAGAAATGTCTCTGAAAATCATAATGTATCATTTCTGGGTATACTTGGAGCATCAGATGACGATGTTGGTGAAAATGCAAATGTAAGTTTGAAAATCATCGATGGAAATCCAAATAATCAATTCTATTTGGAAAGAATTAATAATCAGAAGTTGTTCTATTTAAAATTAAGAGGAACATTAGATCGTGAGAAAGTGGCTGTATACAATATCGCAATTCAAGGATCAGACAATGGCAATCCACCTCTAACATCCTATATCAATGTAGTCATACCTGTTCACGATGAAAATGACAATTACCCAAATTGTTCATTCCTAAAAGATCCCATCTTTCTTTCTGAAGCTTTACCAATTGGATCATTTGTAACTATTGTGCAAGGTGAAGATAGAGATAAAGGAAAGAACAGTGAACTGAAATACAGTTTTGCTCATCATAGCACCTCTTCTTTGTTTAGCATTGTCAGTAGTTCTGGATTGATTACTACAGCTGCCCTTCTGGATTATGAAATGCATACATCAATTACATTGCAAGTGAATGTTGAAGATAATGGTGATGAAAAACTGTCATCATTTTGTCTATTGAGCATCAATATAACAGATGCAAATGACAACAAACCTTTATTCACAAACACCACTTTTATCCTCAGTCTTTATGAGAATGCTGCTAATTATTCTGTCGTGGCAAACTTGACTGCCTTTGATGCCGATGCAGAGAAGAATTCTGAGCTAACATTTAGCATGTTGTCTCCATCACCTATAGTTGAAGACACATTGAATATAGATAGGGCCACAGGAGCAATACACACTCTAATGCCATTAGATAGAGAAAGTTGTGACTTTTATCACTTTACAGTTCTGGTTCAAGATCAAGGAAATCCAAAATTATCATCAACAGCAGCTGTTGAATTGAGAATTTTAGACATCAATGACAACCACCCAGTGTTTTATCCTAAGGAGTATTATGTGAATATTCAAAGAAATCAAACTGATGCATTTGTAGTCAATGTTACTGCTGAAGATGTTGATAAAAATGATAATGTCTTGTATGAAATCATTATTAAAGACCCATCAAAAGCCTTATTCAATATCAGTAAGGAAACAGGAAGTGTTACTTTTGCAAAAATCCCTCGTCTAGATGCAAATGATGTGTTTACTTTGGATTTGATCGCCAGAGATAATCAAGGACATGTTTCAAATCTTTCATTTATATATATCACAGTCATAACATCTCAAGATGATGTACCTCAATTTGAAAATGAACTGTATAATTTTGATGTCAAGGAGAATACCCAAGCCAAGACTTACATAGGAAAAGTCAAAGCAACATGTAAAACATGTAATGACATCTTATACAGTATTCACGGTGGTGATCAGGAGGGCGTATTTTTCATTGACAAGCGTGGTGAAATCAGAACATTGGGTGATGTTGATTATGAAAAACAAAGTTCGTTTAAGCTACAGGTTATGGCAAGGACACAGAAAAGAAGAGTGTTAATTGGTTGGGCAACTGTAGTTATTGTTGTGGAGGATGTGAATGATAATCCACCAATGTTTCAAAACCCTCAAAAAGTTATAAAAGTGAAGAATACTGCTCCTGTTGGTTCAGTTGTGTGTATATTAACAGCATTAGATCCTGATTCTGGCAATGGGGGTATTTTGAAGTATGAAATTTTCCATGATAGTCATCAGTTATTTTCTATTCTTGACAGTGGAGATGTAATGGTTGCAAAAGATTTATCTCAAGGCCAAAATAATTCAGCTATGATAACTATCATTGTATCAGATTTTGGTTTTCCACAACTATCCTCGGTGCTAAATCTCACAATTGACATTATTAAAGAGAATAGTCAACCTCCGTATGTACATAAAAATCATGGTGTAATTTCGTTGCTAAGAGATACGCGTGTTAACCAACAGTTTTTCAATGTAACAGCGTCAGATCCAGACGGTGATGGTTATGCCTATGGTAAAGTATATTTTCGTATGTTTGATGATGATAAAGTATTAGACTTATTTGGGATATTTCCTGCAGGAAACCTGTATGTCAAAAAGTCGTTGTTCCTTACCAGCCAATCAAATTTTTCAGTAAGAATAATTGCGACAGATGCAGGAGAACCCAAGTTGAACTCAACTTCCCAGATACACATCTCTGTATTACAAATGCAACAGCATGAAAAGCTGTTTCGGACAGATCTTTTCAGGTTCTACGTCTTTGAAAATGAAAACTCTGGTACTGTTTTTGGAAAGCTGGACTTTGTGGCGAAGTTTCAAAATTTAAACGTGGGTTTGGTAGAAGAAAATTCATATTTTGCTTTTGATCATGTGACTAATGGAATTAAAACTAAAAAGAGTATTGACCGGGAAAAGTTTAAACTTACAACAGGCAGTAATGATCTTGTACTTTATGCTAAAGCATCCCGCAGAAATGATTTTGGATTACACACCATTGATCTTTCAACTATTGTCGTTCAAGTAAAAGACAAGAATGACAACGTACCGGTGTTCAGCCAATCAAACTATGTCATAAATATTGAGGAACTTGAAAAGGTTGGAACAGTCATCCTTGAATTAAGAACTCATGATAACGATGAAGGTGATAACGCCAAGGTTAATTACACTATAGTTAGTTCATCTCTAGCAGGGGCAGTTGTTGTTAATGGCCGCGGTATGGTTATTTTAAATAAACAGCTGGAGGAAAGAACTATATCCTATTTCAATTTCTCAGTGCAAGTTATGAATATCGCGCCACCATATTTTAACTCATCTTGCTTTGTTGAGGCCAACATTCTTGATGTTAATAACAACGAACCACGATTTGCGGAATCCTTCATCACGAAGAATATCAGTGAAAATTCTCCTATTGGTCGAGAGGTTTATCGTGCAAAGGCTAGCGATGATGACAAAGGCAGAAATAGCCGGTTGACGTATACAATAACATCAGGAAATCAAGAAAGAAACTTTGAAATTGATCATGAATCTGGAGAAGTGAAGTTAGTGAGAAAACTTAATTTTGAGAGAACGCAAAGTTTTGTTTTGACAATTTCGGCAGTAGACAGTGGTGTTGTGCCTTTGTCGACAACGCAAATCTTGATTGTGAATATTACCGACGTGAACGATAACGCTCCTCATTTTATGGAATGTATTTCAGTTCTAAAACTCACGGAAGGTGTCCATGTTGGTTCTGCAATTATGCAATGTACAGCGGTTGACAGTGACGTTGGAGATAACGGACTCGTTCGCTACAGTATTTCAAGACAAAAACCAACAGGTGATTTTTTCAGAATTGATAGCAATGGTACTCTATATGTCAGTAAACCATTAGATCGAGAACAGTTTCCAATTTACAAGATCGACATTGAGGCGGAAGATAGTGCTTTACCCCAGACCTCTCGATTGACGAGCACAAGAACAATCACAATCGAATTGGAAGACGTCAATGACAATTCTCCGAGATTTACATCACCTCCAGCAGTCAGCATTGACGTATCACGTTCAAAGGGCGACTACATAACAACGCTAAAAGCATGGGATCCAGACTTAGGATCAAACGGAACATTCACATTTAGTAAAGGAACGGATAGGGACGCAAAATATTTCAACGTTGACGAAAGTGGTCGTGTTACCTTTGCGATTGAACCTTCATGGAATATTTTGTACGTACAAAATGTATCTGTGACTGATTCTGGTGCAGAACGAAGAAAATCAGAACAGGAACTAACAGTTTTTATGTATAAAAAGGGTGGTCTGTCATTTTCCCAGGACGTTTATAATGCTAACATCATAGAAAACCAACCAGTCGGGACATTTGTGATTAAAGTAACAGCAGTGGCAAAACCAAGAACTGTTGATACAAAAGTCAGATATTATATGACAAATGATACTAGTGAAGGATCTCTTTCTCTTGATACAGCAACTGGAGTAATCAGTGTGAAGAAACGTATTGACAGAGAAGGTAAACATGGACATAAAATAAACCTCATCATTTGTGCAATAGATGTAAACAGCAATACCTCATCGTCAGCACGCGTTCACCTTAGGATACTTGATTTAAATGACAATATTCCAACGTTCAGTGATTATGTCTACGCAAGTTCTGTTTCAGAAAATGCAAAGATCGGCGATTTACTGTTGTTAGAGGCTGATGACGGCGATGATGGACGAAATGGTTCAATAACATACGAAATTATTAGTGGAGATCAAAAGGCGGTTTTTCGTATCAACGAAAGCACCGGACAAATTTCTGTGGCTAAAAATCTTGACCACGAAGTTCAGTCATCGTATACTCTGAATATAACAGCATCCGACAATGGTATACCTAGCTTAAGTTCCTGGACAATTGCACTGATTAGTATAATAGATGTCAACGATAATGTGCCAGAGTTTCAAAAGCGTAATTACTCATTCACTGTGGTAGAAAATTATCCATCTGGGACCATAATTGGACAAACAGTTGCTTGCGATCCCGATTCTGGGGGCAATGGTGTTGTTTGGTATAGTTTGACTGGCGACGACGCACGCTTTTTCACGATAAATCAAAAGAGTGGAATATTAAGGACAGCGGTCTCCTTTGATAGAGAATCGATTGATTTTTATCTACTCAAGGTAGTGGCCACGGACAAAGGAAGCCCAACAGCATTTTCTTCAGTAGCCTTGGTTTATATAAGTATTTTGGATGAAAATGACAACAATCCAAAATTTAATTCAAGTCCCCCATACATAGCAACGGTAAAGGAAAACTCGGAGGTTGGTACATCTGTAGTCACCATGTATGCGAATGATAAGGATGTCGGTCTTAATTCGACACTTAACTACGCCATAACGGGGGGAGATAGCAGAAAGTCATTTCGTATATCTAACCGAGGAACGTTATTCACTACGTCAATCCTCGATAGGGAGAACATTGCTCGATACAATCTTAAGATTACAGTACGAGATTCTGCTGCAATTCCCTCTCAAAGGCGTTCGTCTACAACAACGATGATTGTTCATGTTGAGGACGTCAACGACCGCACACCATATTTTGTATCAAACAGTGTTATTAGTGTAAACGAAAACCACGTTTTGGGGATACCATTTGCCGTTGTTTCAGCAAAAGATGAAGATACAGGTTTGAATGGTAAAGTGTCGTATGAGCTTCAAGGATATTTGGCAAAGTCTCTCTTTCAAATTGATCAGGACTCGGGTAAATTAAGCTTGAGACAAGCCCTAGATAGAGAAACACTGGTGAATAAAATGATTAACATAACGGTGGAAGCTAAGGATCATGGAGAACCTCCGAAACATAATCAACAGTATATTCAGATCATCGTTGAAGATGTAAACGATAACACGCCAAAGTTTGAATCTCATGTAAAGTTTTTAAATGTTTACGAAAATATCTCAATTGGTAGTGAACTATTGCGCGTAAATGCCGTCGATATAGACCAAGGGGTAAATGGAAAAGTTGAGTTTGTTATATCTGCAGGCAATGTAAATGATACATTCTCCATCCACCCAATTGATGGAGTAATTACCGTGATAAGACCACTCGACCGCGAAATCATCGAGAATTACCAAATTCAAGTAACAGCTTTTGATTTGGGTTCACCTCAACGTAAAAACTTCACCGTAGTTCATATTCACGTGCTGGACGTCAATGACAATAAACCTCGGTTTCAAAAATCTCCATCATCAAAACCGATTAAAGAAAACCTTCAATTTATCGAAAACGTAATCCAATTTGTGGCTGTTGATGACGATGAGGGCAGAAACGGCGAGGTTGTTTACAGTATCCTGCATCCTGAACGAACGCCATTTCTCCACATTAATGATACGACAGGCGTGATTTCCTTGGTGGAGTCACTGGACAGAGAAGCTCAGTCAAGTTATTCAGTTATAATTGAAGTTAAAGATAACGGCAGCCCTGCGCAGCATATTCAAACTAAGTTTAGTATTTCAGTACAGGACGAGAACGACAACAGTCCGGTGTTCATCAATCCAGATCTTAAACCAAGTATCCCGGAGGGCTCTCCTATTGGTTCACAACTTTGTGTCATGAATGCTACTGATGCTGATTCCGGAGTCAATGCAGACATCTCGTATGCGTTAGTTGAAAACAATGGTCGATTTCAAATTGACCCTAAGACTGGTAGAATTTCTACAATCGCTGAATTAGATCGTGAATTACAAGGCTCAGAATTCGAACTTGCTGTTAAAGCAGTAGATAATGGCGATCCCAATCGAGTAACTTGTGTTACTGTAATTGGACGTATTGCTGATATCAATGACAACCAAGCTAAATTTGAACCCAAGACGCATTCAGTTTACATTCCATTGGGAGCTCCTATTGGGACGTTTGTTACTATAGTTACGGCCTTTGATAAAGATGAAGGAATAAATGGACAAGTAATTTACAAACTTGAGGACAATTCAAAAGAATTCTTAGTTGAACCACACACTGGTCATGTTTTGACCACCAGAAGCATATCGTCGTTTATCACCCACAGTCTTAGAATCCAGGCTATCAGTGTGGAAAATGATGTAATGCAGGACGTAGCGATCGTAAATATCACCACAAAAAGAAGGAAGAATTTCCCTTCATTCAACATTCCGGTTTCTTCATATACCATTTCTGAAGACGCAAAACCAGGATATTATATTCTTAATGTAAAGGCTGGTGAGGCAACGTTGAATATCGAAAGTGGAGACCCTGACGAACAGTTTTCGCTAGACATTATCTCGAAAAATCTGACACTGAATAAAAATCTAGATTATGAGAAAAGGAATAACTACAGCCTGTGGTTGAAGGCAAGCTTAAGTGTACACTTTTCAACGTACACCAACTTGCAAATATTCGTTCTTGACTCTAACGATAATATTCCGGTCTTTCGGCAACCTCATTATGACGCATTCATGACAGAAACCAACAACACAAACGCTTTTGTGATATGCATCTTGGCTGAAGACAGCGATTCTGGGGTAAATGGTCAGGTTGAATACAAAATTTCTAACGAATCTGCGTTAGAGTGGTTCTATATTAATAACAGTACTGGCTGCATCTATACAAATCGCAGAATTGACAGAGAACAGAATTCTTCTTTTAGTTTTACCGTTCAAGCAAGAGATCATGGCTTGCCTACTAAGACGAATAATGTCTCAGTGCATGTTAATATTCGCGATGCTAATGACAATCCTCCAATTTTAAACAAAATTTCGCCAGTTTACCTATTTGAAGATGAATCACCAAATTTACTAGTGACAACTGTCTTTGCCTATGACCAGGATGATACTTCGACAATTTCGTATTCACTCAAACGAGAAGGTAACTTCAGGAATACTTTCATGATCACTCCAGCCACAGGAGAAGTCATTCTCACCAAGAAGTTAGACCGAGAAACTGTGGAACGCTACCCGCTTACGGTATCAGCCTCCGATGGGAAATTTTCAACAAGTGCCTTGCTGACAATAATTATAAAAGATGTTGATGATAATCCTCCAACATTTCCCGAATCGTCTTATTCAGCTAAGTTCAAGGAATTACAACCAGTGGGAAGTGTGGTAATAAAATTAAACATATCAGATAAGGACATCGGTCGGAATGCTGACGTTGTGTATTCTTTCAAGCGTACGCCAACTAGTGAAATATTTCGCGTTGATTCGAGTGGATTAATTACTTCTGCTGCTCGTTTTCAGTTCAAGAAACCATCAGGAGGTGACCGCATGTCAAATCTATACAATCTAACTGTTTATGCTTATAATCCTAACCATCCGTTTGCTAAACCTACTGCTACCGTTGTTGTCGAAATAACCGATGCAAACGATCACCATCCTGTATTTGAAAGTGATAAAAAATATGCGTATATTGCCAGCGTCTCGGCAACTGGTACTAAAGTTACTACAGTTCGTGCAGTCGACAGATACGATGTTGGACTTAATAGTGAGGTGTCTTACAAAGCTACTGGTGGAAATGGTACAAGTTTATTTTCAGTTGAATCTACCACGGGCGACGTCAATGTTGCGGGCAATATTAATTCTGAAATAGATAAGTTGTTTCTACTTGAAATACAAGCTGTAGATCGTGGAACACCGCCTCAAGTCTCGCCAAAAAATATCGCAGTTTTCATTACGGTAACAATAAAAAATCAACATCCTCCGATATTTACTGAAGAGAAATACAATGTGAAACTAAGAGAAAATTATGAAATTGGAAAGGAGTTTCTCCGTGTGGATGCGATCGACGGCGACAGTGGCATCAATGGTAAAGTGAAATACAATATACTCCCAGGCAAGCAGGGAAAGTATTTTAATGTCGATAGCCATACTGGGTCTCTCACAATCGCGAATGTGAAACTAGATTATGAATTTTTAAAGGTTTATGTGTTCGATGTTCAAGCAGAAGATTACGCTCAAAACCCACTGACTGATCAAGCAACAGTAACTATTACAGTTTTAGATTACAACGATAATCCACCAGAATTTCAGAAATCGTTGTATGATGTAAATATTGTAGAAAACAACCAAGTAGGTTCTGAAGTTGTTACGATATCCGCAACTGATCGTGACACAGTTGGCAACACCATAACGTACACTTTCGATGAAGAAAATAAAAGCTTTAAAATTGATCAAAATACTGGAAAAATAACGGCGAACGTGAAATTTGATTACGAATCACGGAACAATTTCACCCTTACTGCCCTTGCAAAGGACAGTGGTGATCCACGAAAAACGTCAGATACTAAAGTTGTTGTTAATATACTGGGAATGAACGAGTTTACACCATACTTTAAAAAGAAGACGTATGTTTTCTCAGTTCCTGAAGATGCAGATGTTGGAGAAATTGTTGGTCAAGTTTCAGCAATTGACCGAGACAAAGGAATCGATGGCCTTGTTCAGTTCATATTAGTAGACCCGAGTGGTCGTCACAATAATTTCGATATTGGTAAAGATACTGGAGATATTTATGTGTGCGGTCGACTTGACTTTGAAACAGTTCATACTGTTGAGCTGACTGTTCTTGCCAAGAACCCTGTACAAAGGATTTTGAATGCAGATAACACGGATAAAACAAATGTAAAGATAGAAATTCAAGATAGGAATGATCCTCCCAGATTTCTAAAAGCTTTTATGAAAGTTTCAGTGTATGAAGACATCGCAGTCGGTAGTGTGATTGGTAATTTCACTGCCATTGATGAAGACACCAAAAAGGATTTTGTATCTCAATCTCTTAAGTACTCAATCTTAGATGGCAATATGAACGACTCATTTATGCTAGAAACGTTTGGCGAATCTGTCAGCATTAAAACAAGTAAACATCTCGATCGTGAAGCTAAGGAATCCTTTAATTTGACCATTGCTGCTAGTGACATACTTGATCAAACCTTGACTAGCCTTGCGTACCTGTTTGTTGAAGTAAAAGATGTTAATGATAACTCGCCATTTCTTAAACGAGGTATCTGCCCTGGCCATGTCAAAGAAGGCCTTAAAGTTGGAACTGTCGTGTTACGTTTTGATGCGACTGACAAAGACGTAGACCCAAACAAGGATCCGTACACTTTTAAGATCGTGAACAAAGAGTCCGTTCCATTTTTTATTGATAAGTTCACTTCAGAACTTAAAACGTCCGAAATATTGAACAGGGAGAAAGTGCATCTGTATGTTTTAGAAATAAGGATAGAGGACAGCGGGTACCCAAAGAAGTTTTCTGAAAGTTCATGTGATGTGATTGTGGATGATGTGAACGACAACAGACCGTTTGGAGATACTCTAAATGTGCAAGTTTCTGTTCTTGCGACAGGTTTTCTCGGCGGGATCATTGGTGATGTCTCTCCACGTGATCTTGACGAGATCAACGAGTATACATGCAAAGTTGAAGGGGACCGCTTTAAGGATATCTTTGAATTTCGGCCCAAAACGTGCATATTGGACATGAAAAAACCTCAGTTAAGAAATTACATCCTCAATGTTCTTGCTGACGATTCCCTTTACCACGTCTCGTATTCCTTAAACATTTCCTTTAACAGAATTTCTGAAGTAACGAGCGAAAGAAGTGTGATATTAAGGCTTTCTGGAATATCTGCAAAACAGTTTTTGACTGTTATGAATAATCTGCCTTGTGTCCCTGATGCACAAATTTACAGTATACAGAAAGTTAACTCGAGCATTACGGATGTCCTGATGGCTTACTTGCAAAATGGAGCGTATATTTCCAGAGATAAACTATCGCAAATTCTCGCAAACTGCAAAAACGCCCTGGAACGTGCAATTGGCGCAACAGTTGTTGATACAAACTATAACTTATGCTCGACGTCAGAACCTTGCATTCACGGGAGCTGTCAATCTCGCATATATCTGTCACCAGAGAACCGCACGAGTTTGCGTTCGGGAACTGAAGTATTTGTATCCGCTCATCATGAGGCTGCATTCCACTGTATTTGTGATCGGGGTTACTCTGGGGAATATTGTCAGTACTCCACCAAGGTTTGCGAAGGAATACAGTGTAAGAATTCTGGTCAATGTGTTCCAACGGATGAAGGTTTTTCATGTAACTGTCCATCTCATTTCACCGGAAAGTATTGTGAAACTGCATTGGATTTATGTGATCCCAACCCATGCAGTAAAGCGTCGAAATGTCTGAGTACTCGTGAAGGACCTGTGTGTCAGTGCGATTTTGGAGGGAGAGGAAAAAGGTGTGAATTGTCAAGTATTGGCTTTAAACCACTGTCCTACATGACGTTTCCTAGCTTGTCAAGTACTGATGAAAACACGAAGACTAACATATCACTTCAGTTTGCTACAGTAGAGAGGAATGCTTTAATTTTTTACAATCAAGTGGGAAAGAACGATGGAACATCTCGCTTCACTGCTTTAGAAATAATTGATGAAACGTTGAAGTACTCGTTCAATCTCGGTGATGAAGTTGTCATAATTACCTCCGATACGATCGTTTCTGATGGTATTTGGCATACTGTTTCTGCTGTTAGGAATAATCAGGTGAGCAATCTCGAGCTCCAATTACAGAAAAGTCTCATATACGCGGTCGTATAATATTGGTTGTGGTCAACTGACTCATTGTTTTCCATGAATAATCCCTACTGAACGAAAAAAAACAATAAAACCGCACTAAGAATTTGTATATTTTGTATCTTTAGAGTGGATATCTCTTCATTGATTCGGAGGTCGTTTCGTCCAACGACAAAATAACTAAGAAAAGGTAGGTCATGACTGTTGAGCTCCTGCAGTAATGGTGTGCACACGGTAACTATACTTTCAAGATGGACGCTAGGTTTGTACACTTTTGTGTATTTTTATAAAACTATCTGCTTGTTCTTTGTTTAGGGAACTTCATCTGGGAAACTCATCATTGTATATTGGCGGAGTTCCATCCTTGGATATTTTATTTTCTAATGATGTATCATCTTACGACTTTGTTGGTTGTATGCGAGATATTTACTTGAATGGCATAGAGCTCAATGTAACTATGACAATATCAAAGTATGGAATTATCAACAGCTGTCCTCGAGTACCTAAGTGTCAGGAAATTTCGTGTCACGGAACCAGTAGATGCATTGATAAATGGTTTGATACACTTTGTCAGTGTACGAATGACGAGTTTGGTGGAACAAAATGCAATCAAAGTGAGTTACCATACAAAAGAAATGTAAAATATGTTTGGTCAAAGAGAGAAAATTTTTTATCGGGTTTGGAACATGGTATTCACGCAAGATGAAAAGAAGAAATTAATTAGCATATTATACGTTCACCACCTTAATAACATATTTCTGGATTTAGACTGCTTTAAAAAGTGTCTCATTGTCGTATAGCAATAGCCTACGAGATGTTTTTATTATACTTTCTATAATAATCTCCTCTTTGCCTTTTAGAAATGAAACCTCTGACATTGTCAGGTGGGACTTTACTGCGTTTTCACTTCAGTCCAAGCTTTCAGCGCCAAACCCAGTTTTTACAAAAGCAGGGTAAAAGTCGCCGACGAAGAAATGTGAAAAATTTTGAAGTATTTTCATTGAATGTTCGAGTTAGAAATGACGATGCGTTTCTTTGGCGTGCTAAAAATAACCAAGGAGATTTTACTCAGTTACATGTGCGTAAATATTTGTAAATTGGTGTACTTTGAAAACGATTTGATGTCATAATATGACCTCGTATGTTACTGCTGCGTACTGATTTTCATATTTTGCCAATTTGTTTTAGACAAAGTCTGGGCTTGTTCATTTATCATTTGGGAACAGTGTAAAAAAAAGGAAACAAGTGATCATATCAAACGTATACGTGAATAATGGCTATTGGTTTAACGTATCTGTAACACGAGATCCATCGAGAAACTCTCTCGTGCTAAGTGTCAACGGCAGTCAGAATCATACGCAATCTAAGGAACCAACCATACTTCTTAGTGGAACCTGGACATTTGGTAGTGCAAAAGCACCAGACGTTTCAGTTGATAACTTTCAAGGCTGTTTATCGAAGATAAAAATAAATGGAGAAACAATTTCATTAAATGTTAGCAACCAGTACGGTGTACTGACGCTTGAAGAAGGAAAATTGATTGACGGATGTGAGTCCCCTGATTATTGTTCCTCCAGTCCGTGTTCTGATGGTAGGTGTGTAAATAACTGGCATTCGTTTTCGTGCGTGGCATCTCTTGACGGAAGTGACAGGTTAAGTATCGGTGCCATTGCCGGCATTGTTTTTTTCTGCATTCTGGTGATTGCTATTATCGTTGCTGTGATTGCAATAAAGAAGAAAAGAATAAGAAAGGAGTTTGCAGCAAGAATATCTGGCAGAACTAACGTAGCAATTGAACGTGATCATTCTGGCAGTTCAAGTTCACTATCCCTGCCCTCTCGTAAGACACCTTCACGACACAGTCTCAGTGACAGTGGAGTTGATGTAAGAAACAGAAGTAGTTCTTTATCACATGAAAACTTGAAACAAACTGCTTCAACTGGCACAAATGTGATTGCACTTGGGTCTCCTGAAGATTACACAATTGTGGCGTCACAAAATGACAGTGTGTCTGATGATAGAGACAAAGGATTTACAGACTCGGAAAGTGAATATTGTATGACGAATCAAGAAACTAATCTCACCATTTCATCTTTACCTTCTCGTGTACAAAACAGGCAGTTTAATAGAAGACGCCCACCGTCAAAGAATGCATCAATGAAATATGACAAGAAAGTCCCTTTCCTCACCAACCGAGGGTTTTTAAAAGATATGTATGAACCTTCAAGATCAACTTCACCCACTGATGAGCCAGAGAGTATAGAAATGCAAAATTATTCCAATGATTTCGAGAATGCAGAACAGTATAGCATTGGTGCAAGTTTTGCCACTTATAGTGACTTCAACGACCCAAGTTATAACCCATCACGATATTCAGACGATCCTATGCGTTATAAACCTTCTTTAGAGCGATTTTCAGAATCGGATGATTCAACTGTTGATAGACAGTTGAACGACTTGCCTGATACATTTCAACCAACGGCACATTTTGATAATTCCGGGGAAAGTTCAGATGGCGAATTTACTGCGAGTGAGAAAGATTATGTTCAACAGGAAGACGACGAAGAAGCTAGAGACAACAGAATAATTTTAGAACCCGCGCAAATAGATCTACAGAGCAGTAGATCAGAGTCGTACGATGATGATAGTGATCAATATGACGGTGAAATGAACGTTGATGACCCTGTTGATTTTAACGACATTTTCGGAAGAAAACCAAACACAAGTAGAGAAATACATATCAAACTTTAGCTGCATTAAATTACGAAGGTGTAGAATTAATTTTCTAATCAGTTGTTAATGTCGAAATGTTGTAACTGTTTGCATCTAATGCATATAACGATTTCTTTTTATACAGAAATTATTGAGAATACATATATATATAATATTATTTGAATATCCTCTTGTTTTGTAAAAGTAATTCTAGAAGGAAATATATTTCATACGTTGAATTTGACTGTGAGATTACTAGAAGTAATTCGCCTAATCACCTGACTGATTTTGCAGGGGTTTTTTATTTTAACGATATTTTCATTACATCAGCTGCTTCGTGTCTGTTAGTTGAGTCGTTTGACCACAGTCGTTTTCGAATTTTTTTACCACTTCGTTCACGTGATGCCATGATGGCCGTTATGACTACCTTACACTCAAGTGAAGATTCATTTTCAAATACAGAATGTCTATAAATTGTAGGTGATGATTGATGTAATATTTGATGAGATGATAGCTAATATTTTGCTAGTGTATACAATTTAGTCAAGTGTTTATTACTTACTTACTTATTAAGTGTCTTTCACGAGTTTGAAGTTTCACACCTCCACTTGGTCAGTCTTGGTGGAGGTGTATAGACAGTCCAGTTAATTTCAGGTCAAAGTTTAAATTAGGTCAGCGGAATTTCTAATAATAACACTCCACATTCTCAATTCTCATTCTTCAGTTTAATGGACAACATGATTGATACTTATCCTTGTTCACTAAATTATACACATTCTTTACGCACACTTGAAAATGGATAGTATAAGAATGTCCCAGGAAGAAGTTGAGAAAGATTCAGACTGGAGTTTAACTGGATTCTTATTTGGAAATATTAATGAGAAGGGAGAACTTGAAGATGAATCTATATTGGATGAGGTCAGCTTTGAAGCTAGTCGCTCTTTTTGCAAATTGTTTGTTCCATCTACAGACAATGTTATGCATTACAAGGCACTATTTCATGTCTAGCATGTCTTTTCAATAATAGGAATCTCGAAGACATTTGTCTCGCTTAGAAAGTCTCGGTGGATTAGGAAATTTGGTTAAGGATATTTCAAGTTTAGAGGAAAGGTCTGAGAGAGTTGGTGTTTTTGATGCAGTTGGAGGTTTGTTTACAGTTTAACCAATGTCATCCATCTTTGATGATGCACATGCCTGGCTACTGGTTAAAATATCCATGGCTCTGTTTATATAATTTGAGAGCTTTTTAAAGCTGTTCAGAATGAGGGAGATATTCCACTCTGGCATTCTTGAGTCTTGACCTAGCATGATTGCCTGATTATTACATAATTAATGGTTTCTGTTAACAATCAATCACTGTAAAGGTTCTGAAAAGCAGGGGGCTGCTACACCAAAGCCTTTCGTTCACTGTATTCCAAAATTATATATCACCATGCATGCATGCAAACTTTCAAAACACTTAGAATTGCTACACATCATTATAGATTCTACTACCAAGGCTTATAATGCAGCCGATTTTAGTGAAATTAATGAGTTGGCGGATGATGAAGAAGCAAATTATAGACGTGGGTTGAAATTTGTTTCAAGAGATAATGAAGGTATTTTAGAGTGAAATTGTTTTAGGATTGAAGAGAACTGATGTAGTATATTTGAACCAGTAAATGTTTTAATGTATATTTCCAGCACGTTCTAGTAAAGATGATAACTATGATGAAGACAGTGACCATGAAGCAGGTATATTCATCTGTTGCTCTTTATTAGTTACTATTGTGTGTCATATTAACCACTTGTGAGACATGTATTTAAATCAGTAATCTCCAAAGGAGAAAGTCCCCCCTTAAAGACTGCTCTATGTAGATGAATGTTAACTGTCTTCACACAGATGCACTCACAAAGGCTGAGCAAGATAGATTGGCAATGCCTCCACCAATAGTTAGTGACCAAGTTTCAAGTGTTGGAACAACAAAACAAGATGGTAAGAAGTTGGAATTGTTGATTACCAAATGTTGTTTACATTTTTTGGTCAGATTGTATGCAATAAAACTTTGTGTTCAGTTTTCACATAGTCTAAAGTCTAGAAATGACTAATAACATCTTGAGATGATTATAATTGAGGTTATTTTTAATGTTTAGATGTGACACAGCCAGCAATTATTTCTAAAATGCAGCAGGTTATAATCATTAAAGTAAATTTTTTGTTGCATTATTTTTCCAAAGGCATGTCTGATACTTCATTTCTACCTCAAACATCCAATGGTAAAACAGTTCTTGACCTCTTTCCTGAGTTTCGGCCTGGTAAGGTGTTGCGATTTTCTCGTCTGTTTTGGCCTGCGAAGCCATCCTCGTTACCGCAGTTATGGAGAAATGCCAAGAAAAGACGAAAGAAAAAGAAAAAAGATGAACCAACGACACCAGTAACACCATCATTTAAGATTCATGATGAATATATGTCAGATGATGAGGTAGAGTAGTCATCTTTCTATCTTGTGGAATATGACTTACATTCGGAAATATAGCAATAATCTGCCCTTCGGATATCACGTCATCATGCATCGTCCGATCTTTAAAAAAGTCACTGTGAAAAATTACAGTTTCAGTATCTGCTAGAGGCTTGATCTAGATCAAATGTGGAGAGTATTTTAGGCAAAGAACGTCAGTCTTTTTAATCCTGGTCACGCGTCGAATTTTTCATTCCATGTTGTCCTTGACGATGATAAAACACCCCAATCAGGTTTATGAGGCTCAGAGTTGCAAAAAAGCTGCGAGTACGCGGGTACCACCCGCGAGGAAGGTTTGCTTTGAATGAGGTTTGTGAATTGTAAGGAAGGTTTAAAGTTGAACACTCTAATTGATTACATGCATGTACCAAAAAACCAAAGATTTCTTTATTTCTTAATTATGCTCGTTGCCACTTGACGCAGTGACGTAACGTCATTTTGAGGAAGGTTTTCAAAACTTGAAATCCTACCGGAGCAAGGTTTGAACTCTTTTTGCAACTCTGATTAGGCCACGGATTCCTTTCATGAAAATACAATGGACAATAGACAAAAAGTAATTGAAGGGTGTTCTTTTTATCCTTTTTTTTTCAAGAGTAAAATTGAGATACTTATAAATTGCCTGAAGTATTGATGACTAATATTTTTCTCTTAGGATAAATTGATGCGACCGATAGAGAACGATGGCATCTCTGATAAATCATCAATGCAATCACGCGATGGTTTAAATAAAGAAGACGAAAAAAAGATATGTGCCTGGCGACATGGCCCTGCGGCGTTGTGGTACGAGCTGCTTGGGGTTAATGAAGATGGAACTAATTTAGATTATGGTTTTCAGTTGAAAGATCAGGTATTACGACAACATTCGCTGCTTTTACCTAGTACGCTGTGATTACCTATACAACAGATACTGTAGGATTTATTTTCTATACTCGTAACTATTTCATGAAAAAGCATACAAATGGGAAAAAAACACCTAACAGGAATGTAGTATTAAGTACGAAGTTGATTTTAAGGTTTGAAACATGTACTGTATGCACAGCTCCAACCCTCAATCTCCTTGTTGGGTGAGTTGTTAGAAAGATATTTACTGACCTGAACGATGTAACTTGTTGTTTAAATGAACAATTCCTGCATGACTGTTCTGGTCTTTATTAGGAACGAGATAAAATTAATGATTCAAAACTTAATTTTTGTTGGTGCATTCAATGCTTGAAGATTTGGGTTGGTAAGTGTCATTTCATCCTTAATGCAGATGAAGGTTGAAGAGGAAGAGCGAAATGTTGATATTCTTGAAGAAGAGAGAGAATTTCCATCAAATGATTGTTTTCATTTGGTTGCTATCAAGAGATGGGAGGATGATATAATTTGGTCACCTGAAGATGTTAAACTCAACCCTCTGTCTGAAGGCATCGCTGGATGGATACCTTCAGCTAATATTAGAACTACCTTGGCTTACGCGAACCAACATACGTCAGGTCTGCTGATTTGTAGAATTGAACGCCTGGTGTTCATGTTAACATATATTTTGCTTGGTAATAATTCTATAATGTTTTATTCAGGCTCTAAACTGTCTGGATTAGAGGAAAGTATAAATAAAACGAAAGCAGCTATCAAAGCAAACCACGCCGCATTGGCAGAAAATGTGAAAGAAAACAAGCCTTGGTATTCCATATTTCCGGTTGATAACCAAGAACTGATTTATGGAAAATGGGAAGATAAAATTATATGGGATTCAGAGGTGAACTTTCATCAATCGCTTGGCAATATCAATTGTTGAAGCCGTTGCACTGCTTTGTCCCCTGACGCTTCATAATAGAAAGATATATAAATAGTCGCTATATATCAAGCGCTAGGGGACGAGGCAGGCAGTTGCATGTGATAGAATCTTTGTGATCTGTGCTTATAAAACAAATACTGTATTGCAGTATAAATAGATTCAAAATTCACAACAATCTTCATATGTATTTAATGTCAAAATTTTCACATAGGCTATGCCAAACATTCCTGATCCAGAGATCATGGAACTAGATCCCAATGATGAAAATCTAATTCTTGGAATTCCTGAAGATGTTGTTGTAAATACTGGAAAAGAACAAGAACCAACTCGACGACGGGTGAAATATTTTAAATAAATGCATGAGCTTATATAAACATAACTATACTTAATGGTAGCTATATTTGATCTGATCTGTGGTTTTATGGCGAAATAATCATCATATTTTTCAACCATAAACCGTTTTAACTTGATAAGAAGCTTGTTTATCCGAATTTACCTCTGTCCCGTCTTACTGCATTTGTTTTATAGATATAACATCACAATTCTCTTTCCTTTACCTTATTAAAGGCCCCTATACTTATTCTTATATCTAAATTTCTTTAATTTTTATGTCAATAAGCACATGCATATTTATATTTAGGAACCAAAGAATAAATCAAAATTATTGCTTGGAAAATCTAAAACAGAAGATGAGGATGAGGTACACGTTAGTTTCGATTAAATTGTTTTTATCTATTTATTGGATATTTTGCCACTACATATATTTTAATTTTTAGGACGTGCGATTTCTCGACGAATCTCCGAAAGATCCATTCAATATATCGAATGATAAATATTATAATCCTAAACATAGTAAGTTTTTATTTTTCTATATTTGTAAGCGGAAAACTCGCTCGCGAATTTATTGCTTCGGTTTTCTGCTCTCTTCTCTCCCTAGCTCGTGTATGCTAATTGTTGCCTGACTTTGATTAAATATCTTGATGGTTATTAATCTCTTTCTAATATCGTTTCCATTAGCTACTGCTGAGAGTAGTCTGCAGGCTACAATGGGCACCAATCGAATTCAGGTATTCACAAAAAAACAGAGATACATTGTAAATGAAAAAGAAAATCAATTCTTTTCTATTCTATCCTATTCTCAGCATTCTACGCCAGCAATGGAGTTACAGCGTCCATTCTTCCCTACATTTAACTCAAAAGAGAGCTTAAGACATTTTCATCGCCCTTTGTTAAAACGAGTGACCCACGGAAAACTTGCTGCTCCTGGCCCGCATCCTGTGTCTGGGCTGTTGAAACACATCAAGAAAAAAGCCAAGGTATTTTATGAATAGAATATTGCTGACTATAGAAAGATCTTATCTGTGGAGAGAATTTTGTTCTTTTTCTTTCAAATATGTATACAGTTTTCTAATCATCGTACTTAATTTATAATATATTTCCATTATTTCCAGGAGCGGCAAAAAGAGCGACTTGCTTCAGGAGGTGGGGAAGTTTTCTTTATGCGTGACGTCACAGATCTAACGGGGATGGATGGTGATTTAATATTAGCTGAATATTGTGAAGAATATCCCCCCCTGATAATGGCTGTCGGCATGAATACGAGAATTATCAACTACTATAAAAGGGTAAACTTGTGCTTATGAAATTCACCAACATTCGATATTTTCTTGGCATTTTTCTACACATCTTATTTTCCTCTTTAATATCCTGCATGGTTCACTGAGGCTACTCAAAGTAATTATAGAAGTTTAGATTTGGTGAAGTTTTGGTTAAAGCAAGTCATGCATAAGATTATTTACCTAATTCATCGCCCTATAATGGCCAAGGCAAACTAAGAGATTAGATTTCTTTATAGAAACATGGTAAAGATGAAGGCGCTCCTAACTTTGAATACGGTGAAACACTATATATTCATCAAACATCGCCATTCTTAGGACAACTTAAACCCGGAGAATCGTTACAGGTAAATTCTTCAGATTGTTTGTTACTGTACTTCGTGTCAAAATGAAATAAGTTCAGTTTATAGGATGGTGATCGATTTTTATCATGGCTGTGAATATTAACAGCTAGTAATCCATAACGATAGAGGCGTTATTTAGTACGTGTTCTGTCAATAATTTAGTTCGACATTATTTGTATAATATAATATGATATGTAGAGAGAACAAACACTATCGAAGGCACTAAGCGAGATTGCTTACATAGTAAAGAGTTTTTATAATATACCGAATTGCACTGACATAAAATACTCTCGTAGGCATTGGAAAACAACTTGTATCGTGTACCTATTTATGAACATGCCATGCCCAGCACAGATTTTGTGATTATCAAGACTAACAACAGGTATTTGTGTCCGATTGATGGAGTTCGTGGAAATGAAATCTAATTCAATGTTGGTTCTAGGGAATAACCACTTAATTTTATTATTTTCGTGACTTTATTTTTTTTTGCCGTTTAGTTATTATATACGAGAGGTGAAAACATTATTTTGTGTTGGTCAAGAATGTCCAAAGTTTGAGGTTCCAGGTCCTAACTCGAAGAAGGCAAACAACCATGCACGTGACTTTCTACAGGTCAGTGTATATACTGTATGGTTTATCTATGACGTCAGTCACTATTCTTTAGTTGGACTACCTGATCAATCTTGTCCCCAGTGCCTTGACTCACCTCATTCATTGCACGCGGCCACGCAGTGCATGTGATACTCAGGTGTCAGAGAAGAAGCACCGATTTTCCACTCAGTTTCTCATTGCAAAAATGTCTTGGACTTGAGAATATAATGCTAGGATTGCTTTTTTAATATATTCGTACCTCAATCCTCAGGTATTTATATACAGACTATTTTGGAAAAGTCCTGATAACCCACGACGTATCAAAATGGATGACATTAAGAAAGCGTTTCCTCATCATTCTGAAAGTAGTATCAGAAAACGTCTTAAATTATGCGCTGATTTTAAAAGAACTGGTAATCACATAAATTTGTTTTTATTCCTTCTATAAATGAGATTATTGGCTGGCTATATTAAGACTGGTCTGAGACTAGTTGAGATCTGTGTTTGAGATTTCCATGAAACGTTACTAACTTGTTGTGTATATACATGTAGGTGTTGATTGTAACTGGTGGGTTCTCAAAAATGATTTTCGACTTCCATCTGAAGATGAAATGAGGGCTTTGGTAACACCTGAGCAATGTTGTGCGTATCTCAGCATGCAGGCAGCAGAACAACGTTTGAAGGTCGGTTCTTGATTATAGCTTCTTCATTTAAATTAAGCATTTTTTTTTCAAAATTAAAACATTGTCTAACACAATTTAATGTGGCACTCGTGATGTACCATAAAATGTCTGGCTTTTTCCTTAATCTTAAGAAACGAGAAACCGAGGAAAATTTTATATAAATTATGTAGAATTATTAGATAGCGTATACTAAAGATGTATGAAGACCAATACACACCGCAGACTTGTTGCTTTGCGTGTTGATATCGTTTGCTAGAACTTCTATAATTTGTTTGTTTCATTGTCAGGATGCTGGTTATGGTGAAAAGAACATGTGTGCAAGTGACGATGACAATGAAGAAGAAAATCAAAAAATCGATGATGAGGTTAATATCGTATTCAAACTGAAATAAGAGTAAAGCGGTTGCTTGCGTAGAATTTTATCTAGGATCATTTCCTATAATAGGTTACCCTTTAAATATGATTTCTTAAAAACGGTGATATCAATGTGTCATGTACATGAATACGAATATGCTACACTATTAAATTATTTTCCGAAATGTAAGACGAGAACTATTTCGTACACTGGACTGAAGTTTGGAGAGCCAAGCGCAAAATAAAAGAATTTCTTCTTCTTGCTTGATAATGTTTAGGTTCGAACTGCACCATGGAATACAACACGTGCATTCATATCAGCAATGCGAGGTAAATGTCAGCTAGCGGTCAGTGGTCCTGCTGATCCAACTGGATGTGGAGAAGGATTTTCTTACGTACGAGTTCCAAATAAACCAATTGCATCAAAGGTAATCTTCAAGAATCTTCCATTATGAGCCCACAGAGCATCACCTCTCGTCAATGTTAATACAAACCTTGAAGAACTGTCCAAATTTGTCCAAAGTCTGCCATTTAGTTTCATTAATGTCTGGTTTACAATTTAAGCAAGAAGTTTCATTTCCCTTGCGAGATATACGGTATTTTTTAGAGGAATATCTGTAGGTCAAAAAGTGCGTATTTTCTTATCCATCCAGGATGAAAACAGCGCTCAGAGTGCATCAGTTCGGAAACAGAAGACTGTAACGGGAACAGATGCGGATTTGCGACGATTGTCGTTAAAAGACGCGAGAAAAGTTTTACGAAATTTTGGAATACCAGAAGAAGAGGTAGCAATATTGTCTATCCTCGTGTAATGAAACGGTTACCAAGATCATTAGTTTAGACATGATGCATGTTTATGTGATTGCAGATTAAGAAGCTATCAAGATGGGAAGTTATTGATGTTGTAAGAACCCGATCGACCCAAGCTGCAAAGTCTGGCGAAGAACGTTAGTTTTTTATTTTCATATGTACAGGCATTCATCTTGAAATAAATCTCTTTGGATCTTGTTCATTGGTGGATGCTTCTGAAGGCTCATTTATACGATACGAGTATAGCTGTATACGATTCGTACCGAGGGGTATACCGATTGAATAAACACGGAGAAGAAATGAAGATTTTAAACTGGAATAAGCTACAATTATACTCCCCAGTCGACTAATCGTATCGTTTAAATTAGGCTTCAAGGGAATTTCTTTCATCGTGTTGTATTACCGCAATGAACGGCTGCTGCATAATAAGACATGGAGCACCAAACTGTATGCAGGCGCTTCATAACATTCAAGCAGTTTTTCTTAGTATAGAATCGCTAAAAGTCAATAATCTTGTTTTCCTACTAGGCATGAGTAAGTTTGCGAGAGGATCGCGTTTTTCAATCGCTGAACATCAAGAAAGATATAAAGAAGATTGTCAGAGGATATTTGAACTTCAGAACAGGTAAAATACATTCAATTAATAAACTTTTATACAGAGTTTTATTTAGATGCAGTCTTCAATGGGATACTGTGTCAATATATTATATGGCATGAAATTGAAGTTCATAAAATGATATTGCTAAAAACAATACTAAAACAATATCACATCTGTATGTGACTATGTGGAAATGTGTTGTATATTGCCTCAAAAAAACGACCCAGCACGTGACTATTTACTGCTATTCGATAGGAACTGTCATTGTTTCCATTTCATATTTCCACTTCTTTTCGAAAAATTTTTAGTAGTAATTCAGTTTGTGAAGAGATATTGGGAAATTGAAACAATTTTATTCAGGGTGTTATCATCAACTGAAGTTTTGTCGACCGATGAGGAAAGCAGTAGTGATGAAGATAGTGATTACGATGAACTGGGAAAGAATCTGGAGAGCATGTTATCTAATAAGAAGTCATCTTCACAGGTATTTTTTCCTCATGAGAAGTATTTTTCTCCATAAATGTGGATTTGTTTTATTTGTTTATTTGTCTCTCGCGGCAAATTGCTCTTCTTTCCCCCCCAATTAGTTTTTTCCAGAGTAAATACAGTGGGAAAATATATCGTGTGATTTGTGTCTGCTTTTTTCAAACAAAATTGTTCAAAATCCTTACCATGCAGTATACCTCAGCGTTTCCTAGTAACGTAAAAGTGTTTGTATTTGTCTTAGTTAAGCCATGAACAGGAAGAAGCTGAAAGACTGGAACTACAACGATTACTAAATGAAGATAGCAAAGATAACGTTAGTTTTGTTTACCAAAACATCTCTCAAAAATGAGGATTTTTTCTTATCTTATTTCATTGTTACATTTCGATGATTTTCATAACAATTTGTCCTTTTATAGATTGACTCCAAGGGATCATCAGGTAGGATTCTTTGATCGATATTTTTTCGTATTGTTGGCCGTTTTTACATTTTCTGAAGCAACGACGTTTTCGGCATTCGCGCGCCTTATTCATCAAAGCAGCCACAAATGATGTAAGTTGCAACTAGAAACGAAGTTCCTCAAAGTTCGTTTCAGGATAACGCGCCTTAAACAAAACCTGCTGTATTTGCAACTTTGCATACTCCCTCCGGCGTTCGTCTTCGATTTTAGATAAACTGTGTCCAACTAATTCACCAAACAACATTTCAGGACTTTTTCCTTGTGTCGGGCATGTATTTAATGTACTCTCCACATCTTCCCCACTAACCTCATTCTTGTGGCTAGTTGGTTTACTTAATTTCATTGATTTGGGGAATGATGCTAGACTGGTTACACTGGAGGTATATTCACACTCGTGCTCGCCATCATCATTGTTGTTAACATAATCTTCTGTTGTCTCATCTATATGGAACCTTCGTTTGGCTGTAGTTATAGCCATAGTTTCTCTGGGTTGAAAATGATCATTTAGAAACATCAGTCGGTCATAATATTGCCAGGAATGTGTGTTGTCATCGATAGTTCCAGTCGAATTGCTTTTCTTCCAAAGTGTTCTATGGTATGTTCGTAGACCGTTCATTTTCTTTTTTAAATCTGTAACTGTATGGAGAAAACGCTGTAAGTTATTCGCAATATCTCATTCTCTTCTCTAGTGGTAATATTTTCAATGGTACTATAGCTTATATTTCATGTTAGTTATATGGCATATGTGCCATGAATTAGTTAAGGACGCGTGTTTATTGGAATAAATGCCGCCCGCAATGCTTTTTCAATTTTGGGTCCTTGCAGACCTAACGGACGCCTAAACGATGCGAAGTCCAGGTGGGCCAGATTTCCGTGAATGCAAGTGACGCCTATACACGCGTAAAAACGCTCAGTTTGATGCAAGTTGATGTGAACAGAATTGAACAATGTTGTGCTGCCCACATTGTTCAGAGTTGTTATCAACATTGAACAATATTGCATGTTGAAACTGAATCGGATGTAACAATATTGTTCAATATTGATAACAACTCTGAACAATGTGGGCAGCACAACATTGTTCCATCCTGTTCATATCAACATTTTATCAACCTGAGCGTTTTTACGCGTGTAGTTGAGATCTGAGTGCAAAAACGTCAGCGGTTGAATTTCGTTTCATTGTGTTTCCTTTTATTAATGTTTCATGATTTCGATATTCGGGAGTTTTGCAAGGCTATTGTGCTATTCTTCAAGCTCGTTGGCTGCATTTCTCTACATAGAACGAATTACAATGCATTCCTTTCAATTTAGGAATCTTTTTCTTGGCGGGCGCGCGGTTATTCATATATAAGATTACAAAATATAGCTCCTTCTCTTCGGATTCGTATGGTACATCATGTTATTGCCATATAGTGGATGTAACAAGAGAAAGCAAACTAGCAATAAGATTACCAACCCTAAATCTTGCAAACTTTAATCTTTTTAAAAAATAGACATTAATATCTAAATTTACGAACATATATCATCGGTAGTGGTGCAAGAAAGCTAGACGAGTCTGTGAGAGAGGCTCATTCAGCTGTATCTTGTGAGCATAAACGCAACAGTCATTCAGTCGCCATACTCCGCTTAACTTCGTTCTTAATTCATAATGTTTTGTTTGATCTTCTTAAGATAGTTTCGTGTAATTAACTTAAAACAGGCCCTCTTATCTCTGCTGCGGTATTACACGTATACATGCATTTATTTTGATACGTTACAGACACTAGCTACTATGACCCGATATGAACCAAATTATGCCTTATTCATTGTGATCTTACCAGAGAGCAAACGTTCTTCAGGGCCTGATACATTCTCATTGAGTGTGGCCACAATTCTTTTTTCAATAATTAATCTTTTATCAGACTTTGAATAATCTTCATGAGTGGCGTCATATAAACAAGGTTCTCTTTCCCATTCTGATATCAGTAATTCCACTTGTTTATCGCTCCATTTATACTTATTCTCAACACACGGCATTTTTATTTTTATATCTTCAGAATCTGCTATGCGTTTGTGATCTGACATTGTGATATCTTTACGTTCACGATCGAATCAAAGCTTCTTTGATCAAAGTGCTCCTCTAACATGTGTTTACACTATCACACACGATAAACAAACACGACGGCTTGATTCAGCGTGATCATTAACTTAAAATATGCACTTATTCAGTTAAAGAAACTTTGTTGCCGGAAGGCTCGTCTTACAATAGCAAAAATATCTTTGATACAAAAAGAGGTACTTTAAACAAGTGAAATGAAAGAAAGATATGATAATTCGAAAATGAATTACATTATGAATTATATTATATGCATTAGCAAAACACGTGCCGTTCAATCATCATTGCATGCTAATTGTACAAAGGCTTTGCCTAACGACATGGGGCGCGGACATATTATATTTTGGGGGGGGGGGTTAACTTAAAATAAAGTTTATTGTTAAGCGAATGTCTCTTTTTAGCATAAGCAACTTTTTGGTCTTAATTTGTAGATAAAACTGGGAAATATTTTCTGTAATGAGTTTTGAATCATCTGTGGTAAGTAAGTTACATGGCCTTTTTTGTGTAAAGTTGCTTTGAAACTTCACAGTTCTGCTTGCATGTGTACCGTGATTTAAATCAACTTGTATATGATGTACTTTTTGACTTTGTGAGTATATAAATCATTCAGGAATTCTAACGTTCAATTGGCTTACATCTTGACAAGCTTCAACACAATTAATAACTGTTAAAATTGTGTTTTTTTCAAGACTGGAAGACGGCTGTTAATCCAGAGAACATTCAAAGATGAAGAAGGGAGGCAGTATACACGTACAGAAGTTGTTAAGAATCAACCTGTGATTGATGCATATCTAAAATATATAACTAAAGATAAAAATTACAGGTATATAAAGAATCACTTCTATATGCAATGCAACTTTTGGCAGGTTTAGGAGTTTGAAAAACTTTTGGAAATTATAAGTGAAAACAACAATATTTCAAATGGAATTAAGATGGGTACGGAGAGGTAAATCTTAAAGAGAGTTAAGAGACAACACAGTAAAGAATGGAGAAAGTTAAATTTTTAAGACTGATAACAGTTAAGATTCCAATAGCCGGAAGCCCCGTACGCTGTTATATTACAAATATTCTAAAATATATTTCATTTCAAGGGAAAATTTTGCCAGTCAAGATGAAGTTCATAAAGAGGAAATTAGGCGTGAGAGGCGAAGGTTTGTATTTGAAGTGATCGATAATATCTTATTTATTAGTTTTTAGTTGTGCATTTCACAGAAACTAGGAGATTATAGCATGTACATTTATTTTCACGTTCATGCATGGTTTCTGTATAATAAATTAAACCTTTCTTCTTCCCCCGTGAAGAGGCTAAGACGACGGTGCGGTATTGTTTGGTCTGTGCAAGCTAGAATACTGGTATTAATTTAATATATTTTGTTTTTAGAATCCAAGAACAACTTCGAAGAATAAAAAGGAACCAGGAGAAAGAAAGAGAAAAGGCTCTTCAACCGAAGAAAAAAAAAGAGAAGGCTCCCAATAATGTAATTATAAATCATTTTATTTCATAGCTGTATGCATGAAAACTGTTTTGTTGGTCGGTCTACCACGATTGTTTGACAATTGATTAAACTTTTTTACCAGCTTAAATGTGGTGCTTGTGGGGCAATTGGTCACATGAGAACTAATAAAAACTGTCCGCTGTACCAAGAGGCCGTAGGCGCAACTGGTCCGATCCAGGTCGCAATGACAGATGAACAAGTTGCGGAACATGAAATGAATATGCCTCAAGATGATTTAGTCAAAGTTGAAGGAACAAAAATTACCTTAGGAAAGGCGTTTCTTGATCAGTAAGTTTATAATTTTATGTTAAATATGTGAAATATGCATCCTGCTGTTCATTAGTTTTGAATAGAAGAAGTTGGTAGGGGACTGGGGCAACGAAAATGTCTTTTAATTAATTCCCGTTGGTCGCTCGTTTAGTGCCAACGACTTGAAACGTAAAGCAATGGTTTTGCGGTTTCCTAAAGAATTAGGTATGTGTGTCAGCTTGTTGTTTTCAAATATAAAAAGTTCATACAAATCAGTGGTATAAATCATACATGTGCATTTTATTTTATTTATATACACATCAATATTATTCACAAAGACAATAACATATGACCAGAGAGAATACACCATATGTGACCTTGCATCATTCAACGATGTACATCATTTCAAAATGCCATATTTGTTTTTAGTTAAGAAACGGAGAAGATCTGGTGTAATGCATTGTGACTACCTAATGGTACGAGTGTGTGATCGAGTTTTTATTGACCCAGAAGATGGCGACCGAGTTGTCGTCCGAGTTACATAGAGTTCCCTGGTCTGAGCATGCCTTTATTGGCAACTTTCAATTTCAAGTTTTCATACATTCATCAATTATATTCTGGTCTATTTCTAGAAACGACATAAACAAACTAACCGAAGAAGAACCAACCCTGTGGTAGGTACCAGTGATTGTCTCGAACCTGTCCCACAAGGGCGGCGTTGCCTTCTGGCGTTGTGTAGGTTCTCTGTTTTAAACTTTTGCTTATGCTGTATTCCTTCGTGTTTAAAGGTTGCTTTACAACTGATACTGGAAAACATTTCTACAAAACTGAAGGAGATAAAAGAGGTGAATGAACGTAGAAACTTCTATTAAAAGTGACTATAGTTTGTGACTAATAAATATTATATTCATTTTAGAGCCGTCCTTTCCACGCGCCTGTTTCAATTCGTACTGTTCCAGATTACTATAAAATTGTTAAGAATCCAATGGATTTACAAACCATTAAAGAGGTCAGTTCATTACAGTTCAGGGAGAGGAGCTTTTTGATTTGGGTTTTCGACAAAACTGCATAACAATAAAATTCTTATTGAGTTGTGAACATATTCTAAGATCATAGCCTTTAATGTTGAAAATATCTTCCAATCTTTAGAATGTACGTAAAGGGCTCTATCGATCTCGTGAGGAATTTCTACAGGATACAAACTTACTGTATTCAAATTGCGTTTTATACAATGGTAAGTCTTGTGTAAAATCCAAGGCCCAGGAACTGAGCTTCAGTTATACTGGAACATATTTGACTAAGTATAACGATTAAGTATATCTGATACTTCACATGCCTCTATATGTACATGTTAATATTAAATTTCGAATTTTTTTCTGAATAGTGTATTGTTTGTCAATAAAGTTATATTTGTTTTCTAAGGCCTAGTGTAAAACTTCCATGAAAATCACTCCATACTTCCAGCCCAGGTCTCTCAGTGAGTGCGCAACTCTATTTTCATTAGGAGACAAACATCCGTTGACAGAAGTCGCAAAGAAAATCACTGATATGGCAAAAACAATGATTGATGAGGTATTTGACATAATTTATGCTTATAATGACATCTGACATGACGTAACGTTGCCAAATCCCTGTAGTCTTTATTCTTTTATACAGCAAGAAAACGAAATTATAGTTAATTATTTTCAGTTATGTTTATGCACAATGAATGTATGAACATTAACAATTCTTTTTAGAAAGAGGAGGAAATAACACAAATTGAAAAAGATATCAACCCGTTACTAAGTGACGATCCTCAGGTAACCAAACGAGACATGGTTCTTCAGTTGTTTATGTGATGTAATATTGTCTGCTAGGTTTATTTTAATCATAATCAAACCGCAGTATATCTTAATCAACTGTTCAACGTTATTGTCTTTGTTTTCGTAGACTGGATTTTCTTGGATGCTGGAAAACGTCATAATGCATATCAAAGCTTCAGCTGACGTGAGCTTCGAAACTGTTTTTTCTGAGATTTCAAATTTTCATTATCATATCACATAAGTTGTGAATGTTCAAATATTTTTTACTTGTATTTTTAGACTTGGCCGTTCCACCGTGCAGTGAATGCCAAAAATGTTCCAGATTATTACGAAATTGTTAATCAACCAATGGATTTGGAGAAGCTACGTAATGTACGTTCATTATTTCCAAATCTGACATGAAGCAATGTATAACCCAAATGTTCATTTTGCTCATGGACTTTTTTATTAACGTAACAAAGTTCTCTGCAGTAATTATAGACATCCCTGTAATTTTCCAGAGAGTGCTGGATCATTTCTATAGAAATAGAGAGGAATTCATGGCGGATGTCAATCTTATTCTAAATAACTGTATTTTGTATAATGGTAAGTCATTCGCAGTAAAGAAATCAAATTATGGGGTAAGCGAGGATCACATAATTATATATAACTGTTCTACATGACTGTTTCCAACACTAAATATCTCATTGTAACCTAGGGGAGGAACATCCATTTTCCTTAACATGTCATAGTATGGTTAAGAAATGTGAAGAATTGTTAAAGGAGGTATTTATGTGTTAATACACTGATTATGCAAGGGGTTTTTACTATGCATACAGAGTATTAAAACTATCTTTCATATATAACCTTACATATACACATGTTGGATTTAATTACATCTTCTTAACACATGCAGAGTGCGGATCAGTTTGGGAAACTAGAAGAAAACATTGCAACAAACCCTTTTTACGACGAAATGGACAGTGAAAGCAGGTCGTCGTACATAGCAAGTCAGCCTCCTTCAGAGAGTGGAGAGATGTTCAACGACAACAGTTTAGATGAATTTCCAAGCATTGGTCAAAATGAAGAGGAAACTATGGATAGTGTTTATACGAATGAAGAAAACAGTAATCAGAGCCTTGATCAAGTGTTTAATACAGAGAAGTCGGAACGAGGTTAGAGCATGTGGAGATGAAATAAAACGTTTTTACAATGTGTCATGCATGTTGGCTTCTTGCAAATAACTGAAGGTCGTCAATATGTGGAGGGCCAAGATTTGGGGATTATTTTTCGTATTTAAGTGAATTTTAAAGGTCTTACTCAGGTTGTCTCTTGAGTTCACTCGTGCAGCGAGTGCATGATAACATGGGGTGATCATAGCCCGCTTTATCGGCGTTGAAATCACCTTCACTTTCATTATTTCTCATTATTATGTAGTTCACCTAAAATCAGCTGATGACGATATGGACGTTGATGTAGTGGGATCTGGGGAGGAGTCGTTAAATCAAAGTAATGTAACTAATGATGAGGTAGATGCAGATGTTCTAGCTCTTGGTGAAAACAGCTTAACATTGGAGAAGTTACTTCAAGATCTTGAAACATCGCCTCAACATGATGAAAGTGATGACAGCGGTGATGATGACTTTCCATTTGATGATGGTGATGATGATGACGTAGAAGACGAAGGGGATGATGAAGGACAAGACATAACTATTGAGGATATGGAAGATAACGGTGAAGATACCTCAAGAGATACCACGGAATGAAGTTTACTATGTCTATATAGTAATATAGTTTCCTTTTGTAAATATAATTGCATGGGCGTGGCATCAAACTTTAATACATATACAACCCGACTTTGAATTACGTGACATGAACACTTAACTTAGCTAAAAGTAAAAATGCAACATGCAGCGGTTGGTGAGGCAGTTACATCTTTGGGCAGTTACGCACAGTATTTACATGTACCTTAGCCTTAGGCTTAGACTTGCGTTATGCGATGCAAATTAACGTTTAATTTTAAGTCATCTGTTTTTGAGTAACTTCGTGTTAAATGCTCAGGACAGTTTGTATCAATCCTAAGTCAGTGCGGAGAATGATTTGGGACCACTGACACTATTTTCATGGATTGCCTACCGCTGACGTTCTTACCGGTCGAGATCTTGGGATTTGGGTCGAGTAATTAATTTGGATTTTTTACCGAATTTTCTGAAATTTTGAAATTCGTGAAAGTATGATTTTATGTGCCCAAACGGATTTTTTTCATGAAGGAATGTAATTCTACTCAGTTTTGAACCATTTCATTCTCTGGGATTTTTTATTGATAGGGACGGGACGTTCGGAATTTAGTTAGAAGTTTTGCAAAAATTGAAAAATCTAATGTACTTTAAACTTAAACTATATTTTACATGCATGATGAAGAGGAAACATGTCCTTTGAAGGCTTTATTCTATTAACTTTGGCGGGCATTGCGGTGTATTTTTCGGGCTAAAATGATAAATTTGCCGGGCTGAAGTTTATTGTAATAGTATTACAGTGGATGTTTTTAGGCATAAATGTGTTTTGACCCTCCTCAGAACGCATTTTAACCCGAGCGTAAAATGAGTTCAGAGTCGGGCCAAAAACACATTTATGCGCAATAACATCAACTGTATACTGATATTATGCCGGCTTTTCGTCGCGGGTGTGGCGTGGCTGAGTAATCCTATTCCGAGCTCAGATGTGAGATTGTTCAGCACGTAATGCGATTGTTCCCGGTGGAACTCGAGGCGGAAATGGATATTTCCATTTCCAGCCAATAATTTCCAGGACCTCTAAGGGTTTAGATTCCTACCGATTCCTACCTTGAGAATAGAGATTTGAGAATACAAAAGAATACAATGCAATACAAGGCGGCCTGGCCCACTGAACTATTAGAGTTCACTGGCTTCCGTCATTTGACTCATTTCAGTGGCTTGGCCACTCTTGGCCCTGTGGTTCGAAACAGCGCGCGCTTACGAGGCCTGGGACTAAGCTGGGTTCGAACAAGTTAGCTAAAGGCCTGGATTCGAGGATCAAACAGGTGAAGGATTTGATTGGTCAGAGTTCTTAGCGGACGTCTGCGTAGATAGTAAATCTATCATGCATGGTAATGATTGGCTATCTTTGATCCGGCGCTAAGAATAAAACCCTGAAATAATTTTACAAATTACAATTCAATTTCGAATTTCGCCTAGTGACAAACAACATCAAGAATATTTAAACAACTAAACAAGAGATCATTAGAGATGTCTGGTCGCGGTAAAGGAAAAGCTAAATCGAAAGCCAAGTCCCGCTCGAGTCGAGCGGGGTTGCAATTTCCAGTTGGTCGTATCCATCGTTTGCTACGAAAGGGAAATTATGCTCAGCGTGTTGGTGCTGGTGCTCCGGTGTATTTGGCAGCGGTTCTTGAATATCTTTCGGCTGAAATCCTTGAGTTAGCCGGGAATGCTGCTCGGGACAACAAGAAGTCCCGGATCATTCCTCGGCACCTGCAACTGGCAGTTAGAAACGATGAAGAACTGAACAAATTGCTCTCTGGTGTGACAATCGCACAAGGTGGTGTCCTACCCAACATCCAAGCTGTTCTGTTGCCCAAGAAGTCCGGTAGCGCAGCTCCAACCACCAAAAAAGTGAACTCACAGAGTCAAGAATATTAAAAATTGTTTTAATAGCAACCAAAAAAAAACAACGGCTCTTTTAAGAGCCAACAATTCTCTAAAAGAATACGAAACGAGATTCTCGTTAAATGAGTTGCCTAAGATGGTGATCACTGATTACGGGCGAGCATATTGACCAAGTGCACTTAATGTTTTATGTGACTTGACGATTTTGAAATATTGTGCTAAGAAGCGAAATTTGTGATTTCAATTTGAGCTGACAATGGCCAGGCTAGAGAAAGGGGGGATGTTGAAGGTGCCATGCTTCAGTTGTAAATTTCTATCCACATTTGTAAAGTGTAAATATTTGTAAAAAAAAGTTGATTTGTGGGTACTATCAAATTTTACTGTCATATGCATACAAATGTTTTTATTGTCATATGCAAACATGGATTTATTCACTTTTTGGTCCCCACAGTGTGCTTAGTCATTCAAATTCCAAATATTGCATTGTTATGGGGTGATTTCATTAGTTTTTTTTATTGGGGTACCATGCACATGTTTTTTTATAATTAAAGCCCTTGGCTTGGGTAGTTATACTGTCAAAGTCCTGTAAAAGCCTAGGTCTATGCTCTTTTTAATAGCCATGAAAGATCCTTTTTAGTCTTGATTACATACTATTTCTATAAATAAGGTTATTCCTAAGGACACTATTGCAAGCAAAGGTTGACTGCTGTAAAATTTGTCTGAACTTTTCATGCTTACTAGATGTGTACAAACTTTGCAACAATTCTTATTTATGTGAAACAAGCCCTAAACATTTTAAAAATTGAGAGCACTTCCCCTGCATATATATTCTCATTTGATTAATATACAAGACTTATTTCATAAATAAAAAAAATTAATATTTACATAATATTATCAACAGCAGATTTACCATAAGTCAAAATAAGTGGTAACATCCTATATTTGGGTACTATAAAAATTTCAAAACCCTATATTTTTTAGAAATACACAACCATTAGACCATTGGTATTCAACTCCTTTGACTTTAAAGTTGTGCTTTATTACAAGATGTGCTACCAGATGGTGTTACTTTGTTGCTTGTATGTGTATTTTTGCAGTAACATTGCCAAAAAGTTGTATTTGTTGATGTATTCTTGAAAACAGAACTAGCCTTTTCGATTGTCATAAGTCTGGGAGTTAATATCCTAATTTAAATCCATGCAGGTGTGGATTCTTGTTCACTGCGATTGGCGTCAGTATCCTCTTCCATCTCAACCTTCAAAAATAAACATATTCAAGTGTTGCTGCAAGTTAGGTGTGAAAAACTGATGAAATTGACTATAACAAAATGCTCAAATACTTCTTGGCCAGGATTTAGAACTGCTCCCCCAGGCTCAGGACTTGTTCCATCATATTCATCAGTTTCATCATCAAGTACTCCAGCTGATTCTTCATCTTCACCATCCTCTATTTCTTCTTCCGCAACCTAGAACAAATGTATATTTGTACAGCGAAAAGACAACACTTTGTCATATTAAACAAACTCTAACATTTAGACTTTAACACTGCCAAACCTATGCATACTATAGCATATGAACAATTTTGTAGAAGCACTTGCTGTACATAGTTCACTTAATTAAGACCTCAGATGCTTCTTTAGTTTCTCCAATTGAAAGAAGATCATAACCTTTATCAGCAATTTCTTTCATCTAGCATTCAAATAGAAAAATAATTATGCAATTTTGTTACAAATATAAACTTCTCTCTCTCATTTGATACTGTTATTAAGTAATTGATAGAAATATATGCATGTTTGCATACTGTAGGAACAATTACTTTCCAAATACATCAGTCAGCCATAAAACAAATGTAGAATATGCACAACCCTCTAATCTCTCCAATCTGAAAAACCCCAATTACAGATTAACACAGTACTGCATGCTGAGGTCATCTTTGCCAATCTTTAAAGGGTTCCTAAAAATTTATACTGCTGAGCCTCTCTGCAGAGTGTAGACCTAGTTATAAAGATGCTCTGTACTTGCATTCATACAATGGCAAACCAAACAAATTATATACAGTAGCTTGCCCATGAGCCCATCCATTGCAGTTTTACATAAAAATTGAAATACGATGAGGATGTCATTTTATGTACCATAAATTTGTATTCATCTTCTTCTTGTGCCAATAAAGCATCATCGTCAAGCCTTTCATCCAGAGAAAACCAATCGTGATCAAATAATCTTGGCAAGGGATTCATAAACTTGGTTGATTGGAATGCCATCCTTTCATCCTCTCACTTTCTCAAATCTGCGGAGACTAGACACTAGTAACTAGTTGTGGTTGTTTCACGTTCTTCCAGGGGGGGGGTGCTAGTGATATTTACTCGTACGTATTTAGCACATTAACTTCCTCTTTTTTTTTAATTAAGTTGCACTGCGGCAATTGCTTCTTGGCTTACAACCTATAGATTTTGTATGGAAATGATGTGAGCGAAATTTGCTTAGCCTGTTGTTAGAAAAGAAACATGTAAAAAATTCAAATAACGCGTGTTATTTACCGCGGTTTGACCAATCAGCATGAAGACCGGACGCACGGTAGTGATATGGGTTCAACATTCAGTCAACACATTTTAAGGCGAAGCAAACGAATTATTCTACTAGGATAATACTACGAATTATTCCTTTTACAAATGATTAATAAGTGTCGTTTATTAAAATTTCCATAGTTTCGAATGTCAAGATATTTTGTAGATATTGGATACCTTGTTGTGAGCAGGGAATAATCTAATCGGGTCTCGTATTCTTGGTGTACGAGTCAGTCACTCCTGCACGCTGTACCTCAATCCATATTCAACGGCGGGAGTTCATGGGTGTTAATGAAAAAAATGAAGAGGAAATTTTATGGTCGCCAATGGCTCTTCGAAAAGATTCAAGACACGATGAAGAAAGACAAAAATTTGGATGATCCAAAGTATAGAGGTGTAGCTATACTTGGTCAAGCAGGTTCTGGTAAGACTTCAGTATTATTGCAATTGCTTCATCCAAATGAAGGTGATAGCATCCAAAGCGAATTGTCTAAGAACATAATAGCGTATCATTTTTGCGAGGGTGACAATCAAGAGTCTTTAGATGTTGATCATTTTATACGAGACATTGCGTTACAGTTGTGTAAACATGAAAAACTAGCAAATTATAAACAACGGTATAATTCGGGTGACATACAAGATATCCTGAAGAAAGAACACAGAAATGAAGATCTTATGAATATTTTTAAGAAAATAATTATTGATCCGCTCAAGTCACTGGTAGTGGAAAATCAGAAATTGCTTTTGGTTGTTGATTCCATTGATGAATCATTATCTAAAGGTGGGAGCCAAGACACTGATGTTATTACCATTTGTAGTTTATTCGTTATCGCTCTACAGCAGAGCTTGCTACCCCCATGGCTACGTTTAATAATCACCGCTCGACGACAGTCTAGAGATGTCATGAAAATGTTTTCTGGTTTGAGAAAGATCACTTTAGACGATTTAAAGAAATCGTATGTTGTGAAAGATGTACAGCAGTACATTTTAGACAGGCTAGATGCTGAGCCTGACCTGAGAAAACACTTGACACGCAATACAGCTGAGCAATTTAATTTACTCCATGTCAAAAGTAATGGGTGTATTCTATATCTTGAGCAAATACTAGATAATGTTATCAAGGGCGTTTTGACCATTGAGGATGTTAGTGATATACCTGGAACATTAAATGGCCTGTATTTATGGTTGTGTCAACGATTGTTTGCTGAAGATGTTTATAACGTTCATCTGAAACCAATATTAGAAACAATGTTAGCAGCTAAACAAAACTTGAGTTTTAATGACTTACTATTAACTATCAAGTTAGTGAATGATGGTGTTAATGAGAAGGAGGTTCAGGACAATTTAGAAATTCTATCACCTGTGTTAGTCTTGGAGGATGGTACCTATCATTTTGTTCACAATTCATTTAGTGAATGGCTTGTGATGTAAAGCACTGTACACGACGCTTTCTCTGTAACGTTGCTAAAGGTCATGCAATGTTGGCTGTTTATTTCATGTGTGGAGGCAAAACATTAACATTACAAGAGAATGAAAGGTTTTTATGGCATTTATTACAAAGCCAGTATCCTTCGAGTGATCCAACCAAAGTTGAGCAATGGTTGAAGTGGAGTGGTGTACGTGCTGAAGACGCTGGCTCACTTGGGGAGATTAAAAGTGAGAGTGCACATAAACTTGGAGATATGCAAAACATTACAAAATCAAATTGTGAGGGCGAATCTCATTCCAACAGAAATGATGGCGTGGAATCTTGCACACAAATGAACAACAATAGAGAAGAAGAAGATAAGGACTGGACACCTCTTTTGAAGGCAGCGTACAATGGCAACTGTAAAGAAGTTCATTCCCTGCTCCAAAAAGGTGCAGATGTTAACTTCATTGATAGGAGTGGTAAGACAGCACTGAGTGTTGCAAGCAGTCAAGGCCATGTAAAGATAGTTCATGATCTTATAAACTGTGGTGCAGAAATAAACACTCGTGATTCTAATGGATGTACACCATTAAGAGCAGCAGCAAGATGTGGTTCATCAGATACAGTTAATTTACTGTTAAAGCATGGTGCTATTCCTGATCTGGCTGATAACAATCAAAGAACTGCTTTGAGAGCTGCAGCTTGGGGTGGACATTCCGATATTGGTAAGTACTTAAAATACCTAAGCCCAATTAGTGCATTTTAATCCAATTATGTGTCTATATTCCCTTATATTGCACTGGACAAATGTTAATTTTTTTTTTGTTTTTCCCCAAAAAAGTTACACATAAACAATCCAATTTGGCTTTCTTGACAATAATTGCTCTAAGAACAATAAATTGCATTTCACATCTTGTTTTCAAGCTGTGCATAGGAGTTTTTTGCATGACCATAGTAGAAAAAAAAACATTCTAAAATTACAAGATTTTATGTAAATGAATTAGTAATTATAAAAAAATATTTGAACAGCATTCACAACATCCTAAACCGTTGAAATATGATCATGAGCTAATGACATAGGCACTTCAAAGACTATAATTTTTCACTCCTAATATTTTTTTATGGACCACCCCCAAGTCATTGCTCAAAGTGTTATTTTCTGCTGGCTAAGGTATGAAAGAAGCAGAAAATGTTTTCTTACACACTCCTGGGGGCCCAATTGTGAATTGGGTGTGGCGGGTGGTATAGGTTGCATAAGCACATTTTGTTGTTTCTTCCACCAAAGCTGACATAGTGACCATTTTTTCTTAAGGAATTTCTTAAGGGGCATTTAGGGTTGGCATTGTAGTAGCAAGTTGATTGATCAATTACTAATGTGTGCATATGTTCTGTTATACAAGATGTATTAGCTGTTATGTTTTATAAAGTTCAGCAGCGGCAGATGGCTGTGGCAGCTCCTAGCAGTGTGTGAGAAATACTAATAAGTAATGACCAACTCTGGATATGGATATAGACTGAGTATTTATAGTAGTAGTATACTCTACCCCCCAAAAAAAAATGTTTATTTGAATGCCACACAATGAGAATCTGGCACCAAATGAGTTTTTAAAAATTTTTGTCATTGCAAAACCTTGCTGCCAACCCTTTCATTTCCTTAACTTCAGATTTTGAGGAATGTAATTAAAAGAAACCTGTTTGCTATATTTACTGGGCCTGGAAGAATGTTCTCATGTTACTGAGATGACAGGGCCAGTGATGACAAGTAATGTCAGAGAATGCAATATTATAAACATATGGTCATGTATAATAATATGAGTGATCCATTGCTATCACTAGTCTAAGGTTTTCTGTTAGGCATTTTGATTAATACTTTGAGTAATGGATTAGTGCTTTTAATTTTAGTGAAAGCTGAAATGGTGTAAGACGGTAAATAATAGTTGGAACAAACGCCATTCTTCGTGTCGTTTCTCATCGACTTTGGTATTTACGTAAATGCCGCACAATTAAAAACACGCAACAGTCCATTTTCCTGACAGCCTTCAGGATTCGTGCTCATTTTCAATAGTCGTGTCTTCAGTTTGATCTCCAAGTGTTGATTGAGATATTCCAGGAGCGTTCAAACTAATAGACGGACATGCGTTTTCAGATGCAGCGTAATATATACTGTATCTGAGGTGTAAATATTTACCCAAATTCCTACTACCCGGAGTAGTTGCAAAGTTAAGCAACTTAGCTACATAGTTGTTAGAGTACCGCTCTTGAAACGCAGATTTCGAGGCGAAGTTGCATCTTTCTCAGCTGCTCTTAATAGAGATCCCCAAGAACTCCGACCATCTTAGTCCAATACCTACACATTGGGGAAAAAAATTCCCATAGGCCTCACTCTAGCATTTGCATAGGAGCAAGGAAGAGCTACCCTGGGTTAAGTTTAATTTACATGCTGTTTTTGTTTGCCTTTCTGGATGGTTGTTCTTTTCAAGACTTTAGAAAATAGAATCTCTATGTTAAAATAAACTGTTTTCGAACAATTTATCCCCTGAAGCTATTGTACACCTGCAAAATGGTCTTAAAACACCACACTTTATAACGGAGAAACGCTTGTAGCTATGAGGATTTTCTCTGTATTAGTTCTTCAGTTGCTGCAGAAAGGTGCTGATCCCAATCATATGGACCATGAAGGCCGCACAGCATTAATAGCCGCTGCTCATACTGGTTGTGTTAAAACTGTTGAAGTTCTGTTAGATCACAAAGCAAGTGTAAATCATGCAGATAGCGATGGAAGAACAGCATTAGCAGTATGTATTCTATCAGAAGCCTCGAAGAACCAACTTGGTAAGAATTTCTTAATTTTTATAATGGTTTTATAATTGAGTTAAATAGTTAGCTACGTTAAAAAGGGGGAATAAACAGTTGCATATGTGAAAAACGCCGATTAATGCTGTTCCATTTCTAGAATTACGCAGTTGCAATGAATGTTAATAGCGATATAAAAATTGTTTTTTATTTTTCATGTCAGATGTGATCAACGTTTTGTTGGAAAACGGTTCAGATGTAAATCACCCAGATTTCGATGGTATGACTGCCTTATGTTTGGCGTGTACGCTGGGCCATAAAGGTGTTGTACAATTGTTATTAGAGAAAAATGCAGATATTGGACATTGGGATAGACATGGCAGGACGCCGCTGATGCTAGCTTCAGCTAATGGACATCATGCAGTTGTTAAATTATTATTGGAAAATCAAAGAGGTAGAGATTGTCTTTGGGTTTTCATAAAATCGGCAATTATTTAGTGATGATAATTTCTGTTATTAGGTAAACAGAGAGATATACCGACAGAGAATTTTTTTAAAAAGGACAATTCTGGCTGGACGCCATTGCTGGTTGCCTCATTCAATGGTACGTGAATTCTAATAATGTAACTTGATTTTTGCTTAGCACTGTCGGCGCATGAAATATAATTCTTAACATATTTGCAGGTTTTGAGTCAATTGTCCAGCTACTTCTCTTTTACGGCGCATCTTTGGCTGAAGTTGATGACTCCAAACGAACCGCCCTAATGCTTGCCGCACATGAAGGCCATACAGCGTTAGTTGTACAACTTATTTGTGCAGGATCATCTGTGAATGCGAAATCTCTTGAGAGACGCACGGCAATTCACTACGCGACATTATTTGGACATATTGAGTGTGTTGAAAAATTGTTAGAAAAAGAAGCTGACGTAAACGTATATGATAGTAATGGTATAACACCATTGAACTACGCCGCCAAGGAAGGTATGCATAAGATTTAGCTAATGAAATGTCAACCTCACAGGCCAGACTCATCGTGGAGCGAAGGTAGAAGAGCCTGGCCTGCGAAGGTTGATGAAAAAAACTATTGAAAATATGATTATGAGCTTGAGTGATTTCTACAGATGAGAGTGAAGCCTGAATCAACTATACATAAAACGTAATACCTTATCAAGAGTAATCTAATTGTTTCGTAAAAAACTAATGCTATAGTTCAAGTAGGGCTATACAGGAGGCAGCGGGTAGGATACTTAGTCTAGTGTTATCTCAGTGTGTTAGTTTTTTTTATTATTTTTTTCTTCAGGTAATGCTAAATTGTGTGAAATGCTGTTAAAAGGTGGAGCGAAGGTCAATTGTCAGGATCCAAATGGAAGAACTCCTCTTCATACAGCAGCATGGAGTGGGTTTTATGGTGTGGCGGAGAAATTAATTGAATATGGTGCAGATGTAAATCATTCAGGGTTGATGGGATACACACCATTAATGACAGCAGCCTGGAAAGGTCATACCTCTGTTTTAAACTTACTTCTTAAGAAGAATGCACAGGTCGATGTCGTGTCTAGCAATGATAAAGCGACAGCTCTCAACATCGCTGCTCAGGAAGGTCACGAAGATGTTGTCAGGTTGTTGTTAAACAATAATGCGTCGTTGTTGCCAGATAAATACGGAAGAGATCCTATGAAGGTTGCCCAGCAAACAGGTAAATTGTTTCAGCTCATTTTTATGGTATCCACGTTTCAAAGAAATATTTCCTGGGGAGGGGGGTTTGAACGTTATGTCTGATAAAAACCTAAGTTCAGTTGCAAAATTGATGTTGAGATGTTCTGCTTCTGTTTCATTTAGTTTAGTGAAAACTTGAACCTTCCTAATGGGGCTAGGGCCTAGGAAGAATATTTGAATATTCCTATTGAATTTATTACCAATTATAACCAAACTAGTTGTAGTCATGAATTATCCAGTAAATTATAAAGCATTGCCCTTGGAAACTACCATTGGAAGATGGGCAATATGCCATGTAATAGTCATTTTGTTTTCATAATTTACAGGGAATCGAGTGGTGGTAAAGATATTAGATTCCTTTAGTTCTTTATCAGTGAGTGATGCTAATTTTACCAACACTCTGAAAAAACAATTTCCCAAACTTACAAAAACGACTTCAAATGTGGACAACTCATCACCAGTTCTCTCTGGGAAAAACAAGAAATCCATAACACGAACAACATCCACAACCAGTTCACGTGGAAAGGAAGGAAGCGGTGAACTGGCTAGCTCAAACACAAGTATTAGTTCTACTGGTCCTTCAACACCTTATGAAGAAGAATATACTCACTCTTATTGTGGTCCATTTGGTGAAATGTCAATGACAATGTCATCAATGTCGAGTTTAAAGCAGAGTAAAACTACCGTGTTGAGTTCTTCCCTTGCAATGGACGATGATGTATTTTTCGGAAGGTCTATGTCCAAAGATTCTGTTCATAAAATACCATTTGACTTTAATATTGCATACCACGGTTGTGATCCAATTACTTTAAGAAAAGCATTAGAAATGCCATCAACCGAAACAACATTATGAACTATCTATATATCATTGCAGAATGTTAACGAATAAAATATATTGATATATACTTTTATAATATGAAACAAGTCAGAGTTATCATTGATTATTTTTTTGTAAAAAACAAAATAAGTACTCCATTCTGATATTTTAAAGGCTGTTTACACTTGCAATTTTTGCTGATTTTCTCCTTTGATGGATTTGAACCAGTGAATTTGTTATGTATGTATGTATGTACACAGCAGAAATTGCAGGTGTAAATGCATCTTTATAATTCAAAAAAGAGGTGCATTAATGTGGTATTGTCATTGATCACAAATCACAATAGTCTGTGCATGGTATAAGGTTGCAACAATTTTTGTACTGTCCTGAGACTAAGTCCAAGATCTAGTTGTCACTATAACATGTCACCATCTGTCATTATTGTGGTGAATTAGCACCAAGGGCTTGGGGTATGTAACAAGACTGACCAGTGCTTTGCCTGCTGAGTGTTGACATTTGGAAGACCATTACAGTTACTAAAAAAAGCTGCAGGCTTAATTCACACCACAATCAACAGCCTTTTTTCATTCACTGAGTGAAAACTTTATCATATTCTCAAAATCTCTGTAGCTTATTCTTCCATCATTGTCTCTGTCAACCTCTTCAAACATTCTTTGTAAGTCAAAATGTTTTATAAATGGTGCATTTTTTTCAAAAATACCCTTAGCATCTTCAAAAGTTATGAACCCATGGCATCTTGTATCGCATGCCAAAAATAATTGTCTAATCCCATCATTTTGATCTTGGCCAGACAACTTCGACTTGATTATGCCATAGAACAGTTCCCGTGATATTCCTGTGGATACATTAGTTTGTTTTGAAAATATTTCATTCACTTCGTATTTAGAAGGTTTATAACCAAACAACTCAATGATGGCTAACTTCAGTTCATCTCTTGTTAGAAATCCTTTGTTTCCGTGGTCTACGTGAGCAAATACTTGGAAAATATGTTGTTTTTCATCTGTCACTCCTATGAACACCGCCATTTTCTCCCAAATACTAAAACAATAATGCATTTACATGAAGTATTCCTGAACAACTGTGGAATTCTGGGATTTGTTTTCAGAAGAAAATACAAAATGATCTAAATTTTTACAGTTGTGGAGGAGTTTTATTATCTTATCGTATAAACTGCTACTTGTAAGATGCCTGAAGGTATCGTATTTCAACCTCCTTGTATTGTAGTTTTGGAATATTTATTTTAAATATTGAAATGTTTGGTCTGATTCTAGGTACAGAAGTCTTTTCAAATCCCTATGCCCCGTCTGGTAGTACATTGGGCATGGATTCGATGGAAGATGAGGGGTATATATAAAGAATATTCATATTTATTGCGCTGTTGCCAAATTGTCAGTTCAAAAACACACGGCATTTAAAGATAAATCGCATACAAAAATTCAACTCTAAACGAATCTAATCATAAAGTGTCATTTTGCCAAAAATAGGTGCGCTTGCGTACACGTGGCTAGCCAATGGATGTTACAGTATATATTTCACATCATTTTCACTATTAACCACTCGAGATACAGTTATCCTGCTTGATTTAGGATGACTGAAATAATTATGGAATCTTGAGTTGCACACAGTTGTGCTATTTTCAAGCCATAGGGAGTGGAGAATGCATGATAATCACTTGTGATGAAGTTACACAAAAATTTTAATTTGATTATTATATTATACTAAATACAAGAAATGTTATTAATATATTGTCATTGATTATCCTGTGTGAAACAACATATAGAGTTTCTTTTGAATTTTAGTCCTGCTCTTACTAATGATGACTTCAGAAAACTGCTAATGACACCAAGAGCAGCTGCTCCTGATGTTGCCCCACCATCTGCAAGTGTTGCTAAATTAAAAGCGTATGTATGGAATAACGTTTTGTACATTGATATGCATGTATGAGAATGTGCAGCAAACAACTAATTTAGACCCATGCATCAAAACCCAGAAATTATAGAATTATGTAACAAAATTAAACCACAATAGTAAATATTGTTTGAAATACGGTTTTCGGTTTAGCTAATACACAATATTGTGTTTCTAGACAAAGCAAAGTATATAATGAACATGAAAATCCTGCTTCGCTAAGAAGAAAAAGGAAAAGGTATTTGTGTTGCTCAAGCTCTTGCAAGAGTTTACTGCAGTAGTGCCTTACATCAATTTATGTGTATATACTTTGGTGCAATGTTTAATCATGACTTGACATATAATTGGTGCAAAACATGAATTATAACACCCAGTCACAGAGATGAAAGTCAATTATTTATTTTCACAAGCCATTATGCAAAATTGAAGAAAATTGAAGAAGAGAGAGAAAAAGAACTAGCAGCAAAGTACAGGGACAGGGTAAAATATAATTGTTCATATAATATACATGACAATCTTTCGAAAGTATTGAAACATGACAGAATTAGTTTTAGGTAAATGTACCTATTATAGCAGTAAGTATACCTTCAATAGCAGAATATCTTACATGAATAATATTGTTTAAATATAAACATTATAAACCTTGTATATGTTTTTTATTCTTATAGGCACGTGAAAGACGAGATGGATTCAATCCAGATTATCAAGGAACAGATGTGAATCTTAAAGCATCAGGAGATTATAAAGCAGTTGGTCCAACAGTTGAGGCAACGTAAGTTGGAATTGTTTCAACTAACATATACATTACTATTGGGTGTGGTCTCCATTGCGTTTCACTGTTAGCAATAGCGACTTAAAAAAATGTGGATATTTTCCATGATACAAATAAACAACGTATTGGCATCAATCAATTGGTCATCAATTAATGGTTCAAATAGTATTAAATAAAGGACCATATGGCATTTATTAAATTGAATAGAGCAGATGTTAGTTAATTACTTGAAATGATCATTTTAGAAATACTGCAGCTGAAATGAGAAAAAGGGCAATTCAAGAAAGCAAATTTTTGGGAGGTGACATGGAACATACACATTTGGTGAAAGGTCTTGATTTTGCCTTGTTACAAAAGGTACCTTAGACATATTATTTAAAGATTGTCAGACCTCAGGTGAGGTACCAAACTCATACACCAAAATATTTAAAATTGGGTAGTTTTAAATTTTCATTCTTAACTCCTGAAATTTTAAAATTTGCTTGCGTAACTCCTTTTTAAGAGGGATGCACACTTACTTACCTGTACCCTTAGGAAAACGATTGACAGTTGAGTTACTGACGTGCAGTGCAATCTATTCAGGTGCGGAGTGAAATTACAGCACAAGAATACACAGATGAGGATTTGATGAAAAAAGGAAAACATAAACCTAAGAATGAAAAGTATGTATTTAGATATATCTATTCAACTAGACTTGGACTTTTTATCCAAAAGACAAAATTAAATTTTCTTGGTATCACTGCATGCATGAACCAGCTATATGATTGAATCACTCAATCTCTTTTCCATCCATTTCCACTTAAATTCTCAGCTCCTACAAATCCAGACATGATAATCAGTAGAGTTTTTGGTTCTAATGCAGCTGTGATATTATGTTTTTCTTAGCATCACAACTCACAAGTGATCTTTGATATTTTTGTAAATTAGAAGTAAACAAATTGAAGAAATTGAAGATGATGACGACAGTGATGAAGATGATGAAATGGAATTTTCAACAGTGATGGGTACAATTATTGGGAAACTAAAAAACCAACAAAAAATACATGACTACTGTATATACATTGTTTGCAGAGGTGGTGCCATCCATAGGTGACCTGTAGGGGTTTAAAGGATCACTAAGGCTGGCTGAATGAAATCAATATAATAGTAAGAAAGCGTAAGGGTGAAATGAATTTACTTTCTCTTGCTTGACAGGACAAAAAATCTACAAATCAATTTTTAAGAGCAGACCAGCTGACAAGAACGAACTTTTTCAACCCGGTAGAATGGTAAGTAGTATATTATATTTCAAATATTTACCATATTATGAATTAACAAGAACATGGGCTTTTTTGAATTTTAAATGAAAAAGTTTATTAGGTAAAAAATCAAATCTAAACTTCTAGGCTTACGTGTTCGAACTGGAGGATGAATATGCTGAAAGTGACATCCCAACCACCTTAATAAGGAGTAAAGCTGATTGTCCTGGAATGGAGGTAAATTGAAAGCCAATTAATGAAAAAGTGAACTCTTTTACTCTCCTAAGTGTTTTACTTCTCCTGTAACTTCTCCTTTTACTTCTCCTGTCTCCTAAGTGTTTTACTTCTCCTGTTGCAGCATGAATTTCCGTAAAAAATTTCAATGTATTATTATTAACGTAATTTTTTTGAAAACTATTCTGTTTTTGTGATTCTTCAGGGATCCCAGGCTATGCTACCCATCACTTTTTACTTGTCTTCCATTCACATCAGTCGACGTCTGAATATAAGATATTCTTATCCAATTACAACTTCTCATTTTGTGTGTTAAATAGGCTCAAACGACATTGACAACAAATGACATTGTTATCAATAAATTGACACAAATCCTGTCTTACCTCAGACAAGGCATGCGGGGAAAGAAGATGAAGAAAAAGGAAAGAGGTATTAGGAAGCCTGGGTTGTAAAATGGTTTTACTCTACGTACAACTAATCTATCCGAGTGATCCCACGTAATCTAAACTGGACTGGAACTAGTTGTCAAATAAAAACCCATTTCACAGTTGAAACAACTTAACATCTCTTGAAATATACGTTATTTCGGTTGCAAATTTTTGTCAGAGCTATGCCTATAGTTCTTATATAGCAAAATCACAAAATTTCATAAAGAATAGAAAGAGTAAAGAGTAGTTTCATGAAGTATAACAACCTTTGAACCTTTCCAATGATAACCATAGAAGCCCAAAAATAAGCATGCGTTATCAACCTTTATTATTCCATAAACATTGGTAGAACACACTTATTTTTAGGCTGCTAATGATAACATTGGAAAACATTGCCTATACATACTTTTCGAAACATGATAATAGATTGCAATGTATTGGGATAAATTGTACAATATCAGGTGTTAACATGGAGTGTTTCATGTCAAGGTAAAAACAAGTCTGGAATGGATGATCCGAATGATCAAAGATATCGAGGAAAAGTTCAAGGTTTAGACAGGTTAGTTAAAACAAGCAAGGATGGACAAAGATTATAGTCTCACTCACAACTTAGAAATAAATAGTGTCTAAATAAGTAATATTTGAAGAGAAAATTTCTCTACGTTTGTATTAACTTCAACTTCGATTTTCTTTCTCGTTTCAAAAATTTTTCGCTTATTTGTAGATTTTAATAAGACGTTTTAAAGATCGTCTTTCTCGTACATTGTCTTATGTTACATACACTCAGCTCTCTTTCGTGATTTCGTTTGTTATTTATTTATTTTATAGTATTTACGAAGATATTGCTGAGTATAACCCAGATCACAACTCCCGAGATATCAAGAAATCTAAAGATGTGAAGAAAGATAAACATAACTACTTTGAGAAGCCCATTCATGGAGAAAGAAATGTGAGTATATGACTGTCATTCTTTAGAAGTGATATTGTATACTATGCAAGTATGTTATTATTTTGAGCCTCCAGAAGAAAATCCAGGAATAAGGGGGCGAAAGGCGTCCTTTCCATTTAGGATTAATGGATTAGGATTAAAGGATTTATGCACTGCAATTTGTTAAGAAATGCCTTTAGACATGCGATAGAAATGCAGCAGGAATAGTCTCAGCTGTCGGTGTTGTTGCCCCATTGCCTTTGCAATGTCCCGGCATCCCTGGACATGACTTTCCTCATTTCTTTTGTTTAACTAATGTTTGTTTTTTGTTTTGATAAAAGGTCGACGATTCCAGAAAACCAGGTAAAGCCTAAGTGTACAGATTGATATAGACCTCAGCGAATAGACTTCTGTGTTCATTCTGCAGGCTGTTAAGACCTTGTCTTCATGAGCTTATTGTGTTCTTGATTAAAATTGTTTTAGATCACTGGCGAACACCTCGTTCCATACATTCCTGCATGCTTAATTTTAACTGGTCAATAACTTATTTAGGGAATTGAGACAGGGTGTTTCCCTCTTAGAAAACTTGAAACACTCACTGTTGCAGCATGTTTGTATATGCATGCCAATATGGATCGGTTCCAATACAATTGTTCATATAAAGAACAGCCTCAAGGACCAGACAATAATATTAAGCATACACGTCCAGCCTGACAAAAATAAATTATTTGATATGTTTTCATGTTTAGAAATTTCGGCTAAAGATTTCGCAAAGAGCGTCACAAAGCAGTTCAGTGACAAGGTAAGTCGACCTCAGACCATTTCAGTGAGTATTGATCATTAGAGAATGTACTTGGGGGGTTTTCAGTAAATGTGCCTCCTAAACAGGCTTTGCGTTGAACGATGTGTAAAAGCTGGCATTTATTAGCCTCTTGACAGCTTGTGGATAGGCTTTATAAAGTTCAATGTATTTACCCAGAAATATTTATTGTCCAATAGAGGGTTTAAAAACGAAATAATCAAGTAAAAGCGATATGCCAAAGTTTGGCATTGATCAAGGTTTAGTAACAGTTCCTGATGCGCCTGTCATTTGGATTTATCTCCCAGGTTGTGTCAGAGCAAAAAGACAAGAAAAAATCTGGCAAACAGAAATCAAAAGAAAATTACGATCATTACAGTGAATGCTATCCAGGGTAGGTATTCCATGTGCCATCAAAGATGATTGTTTTGTTTGGGTAATCATTTAGTATTTTTTACTTAGCATGCAAAATCACTCGTAATTATGTGTCCGCTCAATAAGATCTCCTTAATCCTCTACAGAGGAATGGACGCAGACTATAACTATGACAGTGAAGAAGAAGTGGATTATTCAAAAATGGATATGGTAAGTACACTAAGGATATAGCAAGCCAGGTTTATTATATTGTTACCTTATCGCATACGCCATGGGAAACTTAGCACCCAGTGACAAAACAAGGAAATTTCAAATGCGTATGATTGGGTTAGGTCAGGAATCAGATCTAAAAGTTTATTTCTATCGCACTCGTTGCCTATTGATTATGTCATGAATTTTAAATCTTTGTGTTTCTGCTATGGGATATTCGCTTCACATGGCATGTAAACCTACATACAATAATCAAGTCAAATATGTCTAATTTTCGTATTACTACACGCTGTACCTCACAGGGAAACAAGAAGGGTCCGATCAAAAGATGGGATTTTGAGACTGAAGAAGATTATAATGCTTACATGGAACACAGAGAAGCATTACCAAAGTAAGTTGTGTACGAAAGTACAATTGTGGAGTAAAGTACTTGTATACATCAACATTTTGCGTTGTAAACCCCTCCATCGTGTAGACGGGGGCCAAGTTGTACAAGCGTCATACAATCGTACAGTTGATCGTACAATCTGTTGTTATGTCAACACAAAGCAATTTTCATTAAGATTACATGCACGTAAAGCACGGAAAATATCCCGTACTTTTCATTACTAAAACTTACGATTTTAGTTTTACTGTGTAGTCTATATTTATTTAAACCGTTGTTGTTGCAGGTTAGATCTTTCTGTCCACTCTTCAATTACCAGAGATCGTTTTTAATTCACACCAGCGAAAAAATATAATAAATTTCATTCAAAATGTATATTATAGAGCTGCTTTCCAGTTTGGAGTAAAAATGAGTGATGGAAGGAAGACAAGAAGGACAGGTCCAAAAGATGAGAAGGCGAAATTGGACAGAGATTGGAACAAAATCAGTCAGGTAACAATCCTTTTTGTGCTCAAATGACTGAGACCATATCAATTATGAATTCAGCTTCAACTGGAATTCAAGGTTCATTAAGATTGATTTTAACCATTTAAAACAACATCAACATGACAACATCAGTTAGTCTGATGATGATTTTGCAATAAAACAAGTTGCAATATATCAATGGTGGTCTTACATTAACCTATATATATTTTAGGTTTCACTATTTTTTTTTGGGGGGGGGGTTTGAAATTGTCAGCTGGTATTGGTTTTTAACCATTTATGATTTTTGTCCTATTTAAGATAATCTCAAAACGAAAAAGTGATGGAGATGATCACGAGAGGTGAGTGGTAATTTCTTCTGAATAAGAAGTGGGGGTTGTTTTGGGGGAATCCTGCAGGGTACCTCGACAGCTGGGTTCTAATAACTGTACGTTTACGCAACTAATACTGTACTTTTACCTTGCTATGAGTATTATATGGAAAAACGCCAAACTCTCAAAGGAGTATCATACTCTTAAAACCTTATACCTGCTTCATAAGTGTTTCCTCAAATATCAGGCTGGCTATGCTACTGATTACGGACACAACATTCATAGAGACATTCGAATGGTTATTTATCCTAATGAAAACTTTGCTGAACCTTTACATCTTTAGTGACAAAAGTCAAAAGCTTGAGGTTCATCCCGATTGAAATGCTTTCTTTGCTCTTACTTGTAGTGAAAGTTTGTCTTTTTTAATAAAGGTCACGAAGCAAACAAGAGAGCAAGAAGTCAAGAATGTATTGATGTGCATATATTGTAATTAAACCAACTGGGGTAATACATGTGTAGCTTTTGTCCAAATATTATTAAACTTAATATTAATTAATTAAGGAAATGTGGACATCTTGCTGGTTAGATTCAGGTTTGAATTCACCATTGAAATATTGTTGTCCCCACTCAAAATGCTGACCAAATACTCTAAATACAATGCAGTTTTTTGTATTAATGGTAATTATAAAAATAATTATTGTTACAATAACTTGACCTATTCACTCATTACATCTACAGCCATCTTAGAGGTGATTAAAGATGAGTGCACAAACTAAAAGCTATTGTTATAATAATGCAATCTATTCACACATACAAATTTTATTGGTTTAGCTTTGACTGTTTCTGAGGTGAAACTAACAAAAATGATTGATCCATTGATGTAAAGTCGACTAATATTGTCTTTCTCTTTGGTTCAAATTTTCTAAAAGTAAAGCAAACATCTTTCAGTGCACATACATTACTGATTGAAAAAAGGGTTATTTTTCTAACATTCAGTTATGTTGAGCTAAAGTCGTTATTGTATGTTGAGATTTTATGGATGGAAATGGTTTTACAGAGAAACTAGCCATTTTGACATGGTGATGTAAAACAATACTGCCAATGATACCTAAGATATTTACTAATTAAGCCTTCATTAAACTGGCAGTACTCTTTCTTAGAGATGATTACTAACTTGCTAAACATTGTATGCAAGTTACTTAAGATAGATAGTACTTGTTTGTAGTACTTAATGGCATAATGGATTATTTATACTTACACATATTCAACTTTAGCCATATTAAGGAGTGTTCTTGAGGCTTTCATATTTGGTTGGTTGTGGTATTTGTCAGATAAGTAGACAATTTTGTTGATACCAGATTGAATTATCAATTTTGCACATTCATTGCATGGGAACAATGCCACAAAGATAGTACACCCTTTTACAGTTGATGAATTTTTATTCAATATTGCATTCATTTCTGCATGACACACTATAAATTAAATAAAGGAGGTAATGATTTCATGTCATGGGTGATTCCACCAGATTTGAGGGAGTAGCATTTATTCTAAATTGAGTAATTTTGAATTTCTGTAAATAACTATATTTTCAGCTGAGGTCGATGCTTGAATCACAACAGAAGTCTGGTGTGTTCAAAAATTAGACTGTTTACACTCTCAGATGCTGGTATACAATTAAAAATTACCAGGTCATAACATACATACCATAGGGATATTTTGTATCTAAATCATCATCTGCTTTCCTTGCCCAAGGCAACAAATCATCACTACAACCATTTGGCATGCCATTATACCCTATACCCACTATCTTTTTTTCTTCATTAACAATGCAAGCCCCCACTTGGGAGTTTGGATCTTTGCTTCTTTGAGCTGACAAAAATGCGACAGCCATAAAATATTCCTCCCATTCCAAGTAATCGTCTCGTTTTTTAATTTGATCACATTTCGGGGCGTAACGTTTCGGATTATCGTCCTCGTTCCCTGAGTTATCCTTTGTACGTTCGTGTTCAACCCCGTTTGCCGCCATTGTTTAAATTTGGCGGGAATGATTCCACCCGCAGATCTTACACAGTCATGGATGGATGTATTTAGAATGTGAAACAAACTTTGCGCACGCGCAGCTGCTGTGTTATGCCGAATACCAGACGAACGAAGTGACAGCTTGAAAGTTTATGTAAACTTGTTTTTATTTCAAAATTTAGTCAAATTTACTATTAGGTAGACATGTTTTTACGGACGTTTTCAAATCATGTATAAATGTTCAGTAATTGAACCGTCGTTACATGCAGACTGGACTACAGATGAAGCGTTATGGAATAATTTAAATGATATTGTATGGACATTGCCGGCATGATGTATGCAAAAGAAGGGGAATTTGAAGTCTCTTTGACTGGAGGTTCACCTTGGGGGTTTATGATTAGAACTCAATCAGGAAATGGTCTATACAATCGCGGTAGAGTCATCGTTGCCAAGGTTTGTACATTGAACACATAAATTATCCTTATACATGTTTAGACTAGCCAGGCTGATCTGTTTCTTCTTATAGCTGGAGTCCGCAGTTGTGTTTACTATTAACGATTCTTTTACAGTATTTTATAATCGTCGTTCTGCTACGAAGAATTCCTTGCATTATACGAATACTTACAATAATGCATAGTTTAACGAAGGATATTATTCCTTGGTTATTTTGAAGGTTTCGTATTACATAATCCTTCCTAGGTTCCCTATTATTTTGCCGAAAGCTTGTGCCTCGTCACAACCCTTCCGCTTCAAGCCAATATTCTATTTAGGTCCACATAATGATACCCAATTTTGCCAGTTGTCAATGAGAATATCCTGAAAATTTTATTATTGTACTTTTGTTTCATGGTAATCCAATCCATATGTACACAAAATGAAGAAACTCTCACGTTTCGTTTGCTGAACACTCGCGCATGTTTAAGTTTGCCAATGTGATTTCCTTAATATTTTATCACGATATTGTGCTTACAATATGCCAACCCAAGGCATGTCGTGTATTAGCCCATCTGTTTCAATAAAGCGTCAAAACATTAAAAAGTTTAAATATATTACATATATACAGACAATGGAGCAGTTCGGATATATTTTTTAGCTTATATTGGATGTATTTTAGCCTAATCTTGCAGCAGTCGTTTGATAAATTATATAAATTTGTGGTTTGTAAAGTATTAACAGCAGGACATTCGTATATTATTTGCGATCGTGTTTCAAATCTTTTGCAACGGAAACTGCTGTTATCGCTTTAATATAGATGATCAAATTTCGCAGACATCACGGCATTCTAGATGGTTTAGGAATGATGAGAATTTTCAGTGATAACGCAAGATTTAGGCTCAAAAACTCTGTTCTACTTGCTGCGATTGTTTATCGATTACATGCTTGTTTCGTTGATTTTACTAGCAATCGTTAACAACGAAATGGGAATGGCTATTGTCTTAGAGATTGTCCAAGTATTTTAGCTATTCTTTCGATGCTAATCAAGTTTTTATGCGGCAGCTATTTTGAGCATGTTTGATGACAATTCAACACATTCGAAGTGATGTGTTGAAATTTTTACGTTTGTTGACACAAGGTGAACTGGGACTCGTTATCGTTTTGGTTTCAAGAATATAATAGTGGTATGGCTATCTTCAAAATTATTTTTGTTCTACTTAAAATGTGATCTATTTTGCACTTGAAATCTTATCTTGACCCGTCTAATCATTCAATTTATCAATTATCAGCTTTCATTAATGTATTTATAGAGTAACTAATTTCTGTATATGCTACACTGATATTCTATAGTTATAGTATATTGCTTAGAATTCTGTCTTTCCGACTTTCTGTGAATACAATATGCGAAATTTAACGTAAGATCTATTTTTTTTTCTTCACTGATTTGACCATAGCATAGATCTATCCAAACGATATGTCGGCTGTTTAAGTATAAAAAAATATGGTAACATTTCACGGTTGTTGAAGAAATTACGAGTTAGTGTAGTTCTAATTTTGATTTTATAATTCTAAAATGCAATTAATCATAACAAATGCGCCTAACCCGTCTGATTTAATTTTCTATTATGTATAGAAAAATCTTTCCAAATCTCAGCGTCTATGATACCTTGTTCTAACAAAGTAAATAGGGAAGTCGACATTGTCCGAAATTTAGATAAATCTTAAGTGTATATCGCACATGTTTGGTTAACATGGAAACATGCATACTTTAGATGTTATTAATTAGCTAGATATTTGTTGCTTTTGTGTTTAACGTGAAAGTAACCTGATACGTTTTGGCATATGGGTATGTGTTTTGAATCACACGCATTTCGTGTATGTGTCAAAAGAAAATGGAAGTAACCTTTATCCTCTCTCATTTCTATAACTAAGGTACTACATTATATGAAAACACTGTACACATTTTCAAGATCTGTTGGCTTGTTTCATCGTTGTGAGATTTGGATATCATAACTCCTGTTGTTTACTAAGCTTAAATGACAAAATATTTGCGACATTGTCAACCCACTTTACCAAAGAACATCTTTAAACTTGTTTTCACATGTGTAGATAGGTTATGTAAATGTACATTGTGTTTAAATATAGGTTGTACAAGGTGGCAAAGCAGACAGCTCTGGCAACATTCATGTTGGTGATGAAATACTTGCTGTAAATGGGTTGGAATTTGAGAATGAACAACAGGCAACAAAGTATGTTAAGGATGCAAAGAAAGAACTAATTCTCAAGGTTAAAAGGTATATTGGATAATAAAAATATCTTGTTGATGTTATAAACTGTTTGCTTTCAAAATGATGACAAATGTTATATTGAATCATTCTATTTTGACAGAGGGCAGGACAAAAGAAGAATGAATATCAGGCTTGCTGATAACTATTTTGCCAAAGCACTAGAGTCGCCACTTCAAAAGGAGGTGTACACTCACCATAATACTGAAATGGTTTCGAATAACAAGAGATCTAGCAAAGAATATGAAAAAGATCTCAGCTACAGTTTTGGAAGCAACACTGTTAATGCAGTAATAGATTACCCAAGTGGTCAGTCTAGGAACTCACAAATAAATGTCACAAGACTAACAAGGTCTACAGCTGATTTGTCAGAATACACTCAACCCAAAGACATGTTCTTTAAAGATAATGTATCAAGGTTGGTATCTTATCAATAACAAGCCTCACATATAATTTATTAGTTTAGTTATAATGTCATTGGATTCTATAAAAATCTAGTTTCAGTAATCATACATGAAAACCTTTTGGGTTGCTACATTAAATGGAGCAAGCTTAAACTTGAGCTTAAGGATTTTAGAGAATTGAAAAGTAAATTCTGTATATGTAAACTGTTACAGCAGCATCAAAATAATTAAACTTAAATTTAGTTAGGCCTATATAGATTCATTACATTTCTTGTTAAAATTGGTTGATACATCTGTGTTTCCTATAAATATGTAAAATCAGATAAGGTGAAAATCTTATAAAAGTAATTAGTTTTAAAGATGTCTATACCGCTTATGTTGTAAAAGATACTGATACATATCTACATCCTTAAGTCTATACATCCCTATCCTTCACTGCACTCAGCAGAGTAACAAGCTAGGCATAAAATTGTAAAAAGATGCACATATATTAATACTGGCTTTTCAAACCAGAATGATTAAATTGGAAGTTAAAGCATGCACTAAAAAACAGTTAAGGAAAATGCTTGCTCAAAATTTAAAAGAGAATAATCCATTTTGCATTTGTAAAGCATAGTTAAATGTAAAACTGTTGTGATTTCTATAATCAGATTTTGATATGTGTAAATTGTAAGTTTTTTGAGCTTTATAGGTTTAAATCAAAAGTTACTTCATCAGTATGCATAATATGTATTGATATAGCAAAACCTTGAATGGCTCAGTACAGTGTGTATTCCCAAGGAGGTGCTCTTCACTTATTGTTTGTTTGTAGTTCCACATTACATTCAACAAGACAATATATTCGGTCATTTATGAAAAAGTAAATTAGGTACACTAAATAGTTTATAAAAATTATATAAATATGCTTTTCACCTTTTACACTTAGAACTATAATAACTGAATGATGGTCATAGAGTGCAAGAATTATTTTTAGATTTCATGAGGGAATATGAGAGGAGGATATTGCTTTTTTGTTTTGATTAAAAACATATGTATGACCATGGAATGTCATATAAATAGAATTTCAATTTCCTAATTGTTAGCACAGTTTGTCATTAAATAGAACATGTTTCCTATCCTTCCTGAATTTTCAGTTCACATTTGGTCTAGTGGAATAAACTGTATTCTAGCTAGCGGACTTGTTGCACACGAATGTTTGAAAGTATTACTTAACTTACCTCTGTTAGAATTGTGACCTATGGATACACTTTGCACTTCGGTCTAACAAGTATTTGTGAAAGTGTAAACCATAAGAATTGTTTCATTTGACTATATTTAAAGAGTACAAAGAATGGATGACATTATTTTTTACATAATCTAAAATTAGATAATGTCTGGCAAACTATTTTCATTAACTATAACTACGTCAATTAATTATTGGCCAACGTCATTTTCGAAAGCACTTAACAGGTGATTTATCTAACCACTTGTCACAGCTTTTTTTTGTGATATAAAATAATCCGGGTTTTTTTACTTTACCAGAATAAAATTTTTAGAAACGTTTAATTTTGACAGAGCGTATTCGATTCAATTTATTTGGCAAATTTCAAAATAATCTGTCTGTATTTTTATATATTTCGTGTTCATGGCATGTAAGTAAAAATGCCCCCGGGGCTTGAGGTACATCTCGCACGTCTGCAGTGGTAATCATAACAAACCAATTATAATGATATGCAATCTTGGCATACCTGACATTATTCCTTTGTATGTGAACATCCTCGGTGATCTTCCATGTTATGTTCGGGTAGCAAGGGATACCTTCAATGGATCAATATGGATAAAGCGCAAAAACTGCATAAGGAATTGTGTTTTGATAAAGCGCAAAAACTGCACAAGGAATTTTGCTTTAAATTACTCCCATGGCTCAGTATATATTAACCATCGACTGGATGATAATTATATATAACCAATGCGGAAAAGATTTGTAATGTAAACTACGTTACATTTCAAGGTTCCATAAATTCGAAACCAAAGTTTTATTATAAGGAACGTTAGGAACCTGTAGATTTAACAGTTTTTTCAATCCAGTATTTTAGCGTGTCATTTAACATAGTTGGCTTAACACTGCTTTTTTCAGTAAATGGTTGAAATAAATCCTGCAAGGAGTGCCGTAGTCGTGGATGCAAAGTCCCTATTACTAGTAAGCAGTCATTAAACCAGCACCTCTACGTATTGAAGTTCTCTCATCCCAAGTTGAAGTGCATCCCAAGTTGAAGTGCATCCCAAAAAATGAGAAATCAACGAATAATTAAATAAATAAATAAATATTAAATAAATAAACAAAATAAATAAATAATTATATAAATCATATGTATTAAAAGCTAAATCACAATAACTAACCGTTTAAATATAATTTCTTCAGTATTAAAAGGGGAAAGCAGTTTAGTTCGTTTAACCGAAAGATTGATGAAAAATATGAATATCCACGACTCCGGAGGCAAAATACTTGGAGTGGGAAAGGGTATAATATTAAAATTTTAATTTTAACCAACAAATAAATAAAGACGGTAAAAAATAAAATATAATGTATAGCCCAAACTTTGTAGATTGACAAGTTATGTTTTTTATATGTTTCCATGCCTAACCTGTAAACCTGTTTTTAAAAATTACTTTTTTAGTTCTCCTCCTTGGAAGAACCAGAATAATCCTCCAGGAAGTCCTGACAAAGTACAACGTGTACGAATAGTGAGCACGAATCTCAGTCCAGGACATTATAAATATTCTTCAGAAAATGATAATTCATCGCCCTCTGCCTCATTTGACGATGGTCCTAGACAGTAAGTTATTTTTGTATTATAGTTTTCCCATCAATTATTGACACTAAACTCGGTCACTATTATTACCGAAATTTTCACGTTCTGCCACATCAAAGTTGTTTGAGTTGCTGTTGCATGCATGTTTGTAATTCATTCTCCTTGTTTAATCTAATTGTATGTATTAGTCTTAGTTTTTGATGTATTTAACTGACAAAGGGCATCGTAGCCAGGTATTCGCTACCTTACTCAAGTGTGTGGCACAAATACCCTGGGAACGAGACTGGCTATTCAGTGTGTTACAGGACGCAGTCATTTTAATCCAGAAAATTTTCACTTTCAGCTCAGATGGTAGTCGCTCATCTACGCCGAGTGGTTATAACACGAGTGCACACAAATCATTCAACTCGAGTGCAATGGAAGATCTTAATCGGACATGGCCCTCTGTAGCCATTTCTGATGTCTCATCGAAAGACTCTCATTTGGTATCGCCTGGATCAGCATTTTCTGTTTCAGCTGCAAAATCTCATTTTGAGCAGATGTCTAAAACTAGGTAGAAATTGAAAATTTTTAAATTGTTAATTCAATTGCCTCTCGGCAGTGCTGCGAGCTCGATTGTGCTGACTGATTGGCTTGATGTGTTATCTTCGGTAACCGACGTGAAAAGTTGAGCGATTTATTGATGATTATTCTTTTAACTTAACTTCCCTGAACAAAGCATTAAAATGCTGTCACAATTAATTTTTCAGGAGTGATGAACAACGACAAGTAATTGATAGACCTTATAGCTCATCGTCATCTTTGGCGCCAAAACCGCCATCAAGAACAAGCTCTTTCCGCTCCCGTCTCTCTTCTTCCTCCAGTGTTTTCACAGATTCTCCGGAAAAGACACAAACTTCCAACGGTGCCAGGCAAAACAGCTTCTCGTACGGCAGTAGTACGCAGAATACTGTACATACACCCACACGTAAGGCAAGCAGTGCAGATGATCTGGATAAACCGCAGCCTCCTAAACGTTATAGCCAGTCATCAGTCTTAAGTTCCTTCCGCAGTAATAAAAAACCTGGCCATATTGCCAAAGCAAGTACCCCTTCCCATGTGTATGATCAAGGAGAGAATGATCTCTATCATCATGCTAGAACACAGAGTGAGCCGTCATCCAAGATTATTGCAACTCGTCTTTCTTCAAAATCCTGGGTGAAGAACGAAGGAGAAGATAGCAATCATGAAGAACGAAATGAGCGGTTACCAAGGTCGTCATCATTCTCCCGCGCCCATGTTATTGAAACAAGTAGCGTTCAAACCGTGCGTCCTGAGACCAGGTTATCCCGTCGTAGCGATGATGCCACTGTTAAGACTGTAGTGCAAAGGGACGATACAAAAGCTCCTGTGTATCCAGCAAAACCTGACGTGATGTCTCGTAGTCCAGGCCAAACTGGAGTCATTCAGGCTTTAAGAACTGGTGAAATCGCTTCGGATTGTGGCGACACTCGAATGAAAACATCTCCGAAACAAGATGGACAGAACAATGATAGATGGAATAAACAAGGTGATGGTAAAAAAGATCAATACATGGCTGAGCATCCTAAACCAGATACTTACTCATCTAAAGCCGAAGTGCATTCAAAATCAGATATTTATAAGCCTAAGCCTATAGTACAACCAAAATCAATCCTCAAACGTGAAACGTCGAAACATGAAACAAAAAGAGATGAACCTAAAGAGTCACCTTTGTTGAAAGAAAACTCCTTGATGCAAAGATTGTTACAGGAGTCTCAAGGTCAAGGTGGATCAAGTGAACGTTCCACAGCAGCTGCCATTGAAGAGGAAATAAATCAACGCACTGGTAAAGCGAGTATAACCGTCAAGTCAAGTTTCGAAGTCCCAAAGACTGCAACTGTTGAACAGCACCGAAGGTTCGTTATATAATTTTTTTAACAGCAGAAGAAATTTTACACTCTCGCGGTGTCTCTTTTTCCATGTGTTTACAAAGTTTGATTAACAAGAGTTACTAGGAAAAATGAGATATGTTTCTCGCTCTGCCTTTCCCCATTTACGTCAATGATGTCAACCTAGCTATTGTTTTGAGTCGCAAAATAGAAATTTACTCAATTGCATTTTTTCCGATGTTTTTTTTCACATAATATCATTTATACATCGCTTGGTCACGATGTATTCAGTATTTTTTTTGCTAGTATCGTATAACTAAAGTTGTTTTTTTGACAAAGACATCTGTTTCACAAACCAATCAAAAGACATCGAATAGTATTAAATGTGCCAAGTCTATTGACTTAAAAAACGATGTTTGCATAAGAACGCCATAACAGAGATGCAGAGAAGCGTCTCTGATGTTGTTACGTGCTGAAATTATTCTATAGTTTGGTATTAACAATGTGGTTGATGTCATGTAAGAAATTGCGTGTTTTTGTTTGCTGATTTTTATATTCGCATCGGTTAGATCCATCGTTTAAAAGTAGCGGCGCTTCGACTTTCTTACTAATAAAATAACTAGGATGACAGCCTATCAATTCAGACACATGGCTAGGCTGCATTTTTTTTTATTATATTGTGAGATATTATTGACACAGGAATGGAAAAATATTTCGCAATTGCATTAATGAAAGTAAATAGGCAATAATTGTAAAAAATCTAGGCAAATTGAATTTGTTACTTTATCTTAATCTCGCTCTTTTCAGGTCGGAAATCGCGTCGAATGATCAAAAACTAAAACAAAACACAAAGCTTGAAGAATTAAGGCAAGAAAGTAAAGAAAGCAAAATGAACAGCAAACCACTGAATCAAGAATATGAAATATCACAAAATATGATTCAACATTCAACAACGAATGATTCCAAATCAAACGTAGAACACGATTTAGATGTAAAGACTAGAATCAGTCAACCAATCAAAGACCAATCATCATCACCAAACCTGATGGATTCCGTTGATGACAGTGTCTTCGTTGAACATACAGTTGAGCAAGGCAGTATGGTTGCTGGGCAACCTATTGAAAGTAATATTGATGATATTGATGATATTAAGAATGAAGAAAGTGATGTTGTTACTCCATTTTCTGAGTTGATTGTGAAAGCAGAGATTCAGGAAGCAGTTCTTGAAAGTTATCCGTCACATTTGTCTGATAACAGTGATATTATTGCAGAAAATAACAATCTGGAGACTACTGAGATCCAAGCTTGCCAAAAAGTGAAGAAACGAGTTGAAACGAAGTATGCAGACACCTTATCCCCAACAGATATTCCTTTAAAAAGCATCCACAGTCGTGAAAATTCTGCATCTTCTCTCCTTGAAGAAACTTTAGAATCAGCTAAAATTATCGCAAGTATTTATTCAGTTGAAGGACCAACACGCAGTCCAGATGGGGAAGATTCCTTCTATACGGCAAGTGAGATGCGCCGTCAATCGTTGGCGAAACGTGCTGTACGAAGTAGACCTAAACTTGATTTGTCTACATTCACACCACCGCGAGGTCCCGATCAATCATTGACGAAGAGCGTGCCTGCTGTTCAAAATGAAGGAGATGATGACAGTGCTGGAAACAGGTCCACAGGATCACTCTCATCTAGTGGAAGTCGTCCAGATAGTGGAATACTTAGCCCAAAGTTGGAGGCTCTTGAAGAGCAGAAGGTAAATATTTGTGTAGTGTACGTTTTGTTTAAAATCAAAAGTGGCTCTCTTCCTGACAAGTCAAGTACTTCTTGGGACTCTGGATGATCGCATCCTACGTCTTTTTCTACGAAATCCAATCCAAAATGTTTTCTTACTGCGATATTCCAGTGGGAAAGAAAGAAGTTATAAACCAACGCGCGAATCGATTAGTTTACCTGATACTTAGGTTTACCTGATACTTAGGTTTGCCGGCCACATCAATAAACGAAGCTGGTGTGGGGCTTTCAAACGTTTTTTTCATCTTACCTAACTTGAAGTACGTACTTACATGTTGTTTAAATTAATCTTTTCATTTTGAAGGAAATCCTCATTTCAAGTATGAAGAAAAAAGTTGAGTTGTTACAAGAACAGGAAAGCGAAATACAGGAAGAAATGAAGCAAAATGATAATTTGGGAAAACAAGTGGCAGAGGAAGTGAAAAGTAGCACAAGTGGAACGGAATACTCCAAATTTGAACTATTTGTGGGCGAGTTAAACAACATTATTGGTTTACTGTTGTCATTAACTCAACGCATGCATCGCTATGAAATATTATTACAGGACATAGATCTGGCTGATGAAAATGGACGCGATAAAAGAGTAAGTGTATCATATTATAACAATTGCAGTACAACAGTTATGTGTATAGTATTTTACTAGTCGACCTGTTTGTAATGAAAGAATTACCATCGAATAATTACAATATTATTATCTTTTCTAGGATGTTTTACTTCAGAGAATTGACGGGGTTAAAGAGCAGTATGAAGAAGCATGTAGACTTAAGGAAGTCAATGATAAACGAGGAGAAACTGTGTCAAAAATTGTTGAAGATTATTGTTCTGACGAAAAGTTCGCCGATTTTCAACATTTTGTAGATATGAAGACCCAGCTAGCTCTCACTCGAGCTGAAATACGTGATAAAATCAAACTTGGTGAAGAGAAATTGAATGCTTTAACCTCAGCGCATATTGACTGGTCTACACTTGATCTTAGTATGAAATAGCTAACAAGTTTATAACAGTTCTTTTTAATTCGCGTGTGTCGTTGTGTGGCGAAAAATTATTCTAACTTTTAAAGTTTTTAGATGAGAGTGTGCTGTTTAAGAAAACGTGTGTGACCTTGGGACGATAGTTCTTAGAGTCGGCTCCTTAGTTGGGATGATGAGGGTTGAAACAATGCGAACATATAATTTTATTTCAACATGCGGGCGAAACCTGCATCAGGAAAACTGTAATGCTGATTCTTCGCACTGTTCTACCCACTTTTATGTAAAAGTATTGAACTTCAAAGTATAAAGTCGATGGCCTCAGTCTGTAAAAGTAGGATGTTTACCAAGTTGTATAGTTTCGTATTTACAGTGCTTTGTAGAAATTAACCTTTTAATTGCTAGTGACTTCTATACTTAGGAATGTGATTTTTTTAAAAAATTGGTAACTTCATTAATTAGTGCATGTATTGTAAATTATAAAGAATGAGATTTTTATGAATAGTAAGATACAAATAAGTTTTCTATTTATCGAGTTACTCTAGTCTCCCAGGGTCGGTTGTATAAAAAAAAGTAGTTCACATTAACGACGATCAATTAATAGAATACTTAGCCATTTTTAGGCTACTGGGGGGAACTGTAGGTCAATCATAGGGTGCTGTGGGGAACTGCAAATCAATCGTAGACTAGCATATCAGAAAGAATCTCAGTCTGGATGTCGTTGAAGTTTGTTATCCTTGGCTATCAATACCCTTGCCGGCTTTCCTTGGTTCCAACCAAACTCGTACCCGGGGTTGTGTACTTTGTAAAACTATAATGCGTTAAATCAGCCTGCGTTACGGAGGCCAGCCTGCCCCTTGCTTTTGGAAACATTTGTGAGTTCTGACCCGACGTTAGAAAGAGTAAATTTTGAACTGCCAACGTATTTTGCCATACTTTTGGAGTAAAACTCGCTTTGACATGGTTAATTTTGATGTCGTGACCATGCGAATCCGGTATAGTATAAACAAGGCCATGGGTGGGAAGTGTGCTAATTTCTTTATGTATGAGTATGACCAGTAGGTGAAGGCTTGGCAGCCAACCCAGTACCTGTGCCAGCCAGCGGTTATCAAAGGGTCCGACCCAAGTGGCTCTTCTAGTGTCTCCTTATTCCACTTTTTAAAGGTCTGTTCGCCCAATCCAATTTTGTAGGATTCAATTTACTTCTGATGGATGTTTTATAGTTTGTTGACTTCCACTAGCATGCGCAAGCCAATAAGTGCTGCTTCAGTAATAACAGACTACATTCATAAATGAATTGACCGACAAAATTGGTTCGTGAGAACACAGCGAAAACGCTGCATTCCAGATTGATGCTCCAAGTAAGTCTCGAACAATACTTAAGTGATGTCACTAGTTTGGTTAAAAAAACGTATCAAAGAAGATGTTTATGCATTTACGGTCCGTTTCACTTACGGCATACAATAGTATTATGGTAATATTTTTCGCTGTATGCATCAGTACCCATGGTGTTTGTCAGTTCAGTCAAATACATTTACTTAATAAGGAATTCTGTATGGATACCAAAGGAAACTTTGAAGCTGTAATTTTCAATACTGGCGTAAAATGCACATCTGTTAGGAATCGAACAATTTCATATAAATGCTCTATTGTCAGATGGCTTTGGTGCTTTCCTCCCGGATTTCCGTTATGGCCAAAACCGGCTTCTTATTCGCTGACAAAGTAGGTGTGCGTGTGGGAGTGAATATTATTTACTTCAAAAAATTATGTTCTCGAAGACAATTCAATCGTTATTGAAAACAAGAAGTATACACAACGAAGATACAACCATCAGATTCTACCTTTGTATCCTGTCTTCAATTGTCGGAAATGAGTTGCCCATTTCAGAGGTATGTTGTAGCATTGAGTGTGTATTTACACCGCATGCATTAACTTAATATTTCTCGCAAACTATTAAATTTACATGTACGTAGTTTGTTTTACTCTTGAGAAGAGAATCATCGCGCTTCTTCAGTTGGTTAATAAATGTTAGATAATTATTTACAACAATATTTTTCGCAATTTACAGAACATTTTCAGTAGATTACTGAGATAACGTCGACTAGAATAAATAATTTCTGATATTACCAAGCGGATTTTTTTTATCTTTTGTCTCCGAACTCGCTTGTTTGAAGCCACACGGGCATTAACATTGGAGTGAGGATACCATGTGATGTGATTTTAGAGTGTATATTACATTTTTAAATGTATATTATATGTTATTACATGTATATTACATGGTTACAATACACCATGTGATATGGGATATTGTGTGGTATATGGGTAATTGATAACCAAGGAGGCAAATCCGCGGTATATCAATGGAGTCATATACTTCAGCAACAAAAGCGAATGGTATAATTGTTTTATAATATATCCAGAATGTGCACAACTTTTATCAAATTAATGAGATAGTATTATATAAAAGTTGTATTATATAAGAAAACCTTGATTTCAATGTTGCTTTAATTTGCCCTCATTTTGATTATTGTAATGTGGGCGTAGCGTAGCCAGTCTGTCTATTTGTCCCGCTATGCTAATTTTTTGGTGTTCACTGACTGTGAAAACAATAATTTCTAAAGACATGAATAATTATAATAACTCCATAGAAATTTCCATAGCAGGACAAAATCTTCAGCCTGGCTACACCACTGAGTCTGAGTGTGGGTGGCATGTCTTAGTTTTCATGCAAGGAGTATGCATCATTACGCTTACATAACTTCACAGTGAAAATTAGGAAGTGGTGAACTATTATATCATGTTACTATTATATTGTAGCAAATATTAAGCCTGTGTGTGCAAAGAGCAGTGGTGGCATTAGACCAATCTGCCCCCATGGCTCTAGCACTGGCCCTCTATTGGGTGATGTTACAGAGCCAAAATTGATGTTACAGTTAAAAGTGATGTTACAGAGCCAATAGGAGATATGTGATTTTTCACAATCAAAAGTACTACAAGTAAAGCTGGTCAATTGTAGAGAAAGAAACTGCATGGTCATTTAGGGTTCATTGAAATAAAAAGCGAGCCAGGATACTGGGTATATAATTGGCCTTTCATGTACACACCATGTTACCAAGCTTTAACAAGAAATTTTGCTTTTTGGTGCAAAATTAGAAATTGTTTTGCCACTCGAAAATGGTTGCATCATGCTTGCATGGATTTAGCAGTAAGATGGCGTAAAGGTAGATGAAAAAGACCAATTTGTTTTATTCAGTTCTTTATGCTTCTGTAGTGATCATAACCATAACACAGATAATGGTTTAAAGCCAGGACAAGTTAGCTATGATGATTATCTCAAGGTAGTAGTTTATAAACATCTGGGGCCAGTTGTATACCAATCACAGTCGTGTATTTCTGAGTTAACTCAGTAGGATTTAACTACGCAAAATGTATTTAAAGAGTTTTATACAACCGGCTCCTGGGACCTGTTGTACGAGGGCTGGGTAGCTCTATCAACCGAATACCCATGTCACGCCAAACCTCTCTATTCTTGAAGCAATGTTTCTCTTTATTCATTCTGGAGTCACTACATACAATTTCAATGCCTTTCAATAACTTTCGCACTGATTAAAAAAGTATTTATTTGATGTGATGAATAGCGCTATCAAGCTTTCGTACAACCGGCCACGGACATGTGATAAATATGTAATGAAAATTTTCGTAGCATTCCCGGCCACACTTGCTATTTTCTATGCAAATGGTTATCGTGTATAATCTAAACTTTTTGGACTTCACACCTGTTGTTTTCATTTCTGTTCAGATATCAGAAATTATAAAATATCAGATTCCATTGAGTGAAAAAATTGGCAACAATCTGGTCCATGATGAATATTTATTCATCACTATTCATCAAAGTAAGTTATTGCATTACGATCTCTTGCCCATGTGTCAAGAATGTATGTCTATACTCGTATACCTTATATAACTGCATGTATAACCATTGGATGATTTTGAAATGCTGCTCCGATTTGCCAATACTGTTATTTAGTATGCACTGATGTATATGACGCAGAACAACCGTTCTTGTTATATGCTCATTTTTAGTATTTACAAAATTACTATACTTCTCTTTCCCAAATCGTCTGTATCTATTCAAAATCTTTTTATTGAATTCATTTATAGCATATGAACTGTGGTTCAAATTGATAATTATCGAAATAGATTCCGTCAGAGAGCTATTGTCACAGCCAGTGAGTTATTATTGCTGATTTGCTGTGTTTTTCTGTGGTTTAACATGTGTGATGTACCGCGAATTATGTTAATTAGAGTGATTACTAGATTCATACCCTCTCCTCTGCCATTAATTTAATTCATGGCTCTCAGGTGCCACTGTCCGGTGTCTAAGCTGGATTGATCTTCGCATTAGTTAACAAGCTTTTTCTGCCATGTGCTTCGTAGATACTCGACGAAGGAAATAATCTCCTTATCGTATCGAGGTTGGGACGCATTGTTAAAATACAAAAGGTACAAACGTATCGTAGCGTGAGATACTTGCATGCAGGTTTGGTGAGTCCAGGATTTACACACCTCGGGAGGCTGGACTCACCTCCATGCAATTATGTTTATTATAAAACCTCATGAAACCAGTGTTTGAATATCCACAAATTAATATAACAGTTCATAAAAATACTGAGATAGCTAAATTAATAGAGATAGCGTCTTTGCCTGCTTAAGTACACCATTTAGCTTTAAGCAATAAACGTACCTGTTCGATTGTTTTCGCGACAGATTCTTGTAGAGCAACTTGGCATATTGGAAACTATGACTTCCCATGACTTTGATAAATTCAGGTATCTAAGTATTAGCTATTTAATATACCGCATATACAAGGCGAAACAAGTAAAATTTATTGTTTTGATACACGTGTAAAAGCCTTATGCATTAAAATCTTATTATCTCAGCAGTTTTATCGGTTTAAAATTGCCTATATATACTATGATTGTGGGCCCGTTGGGCTATAGTACAGGTCGGGTGATCAGATCAATCTCTTTTAGGAGGTATTTGTCTCCAGCTTCAGGCTTTCAGAGTTGGCAGTTTCGCCTTATTGAAAACAAACTTGGAATACCGAAGGTTCGTTTGTTTTTCACTTTTTCGCATTTGACTGTTTTTTATGTATAGTCCGTTGAAAAGTCTGTAACCATTCGCGCGATATTTTTGCTTTGTAGGAAAGAAGAATCAGGCACAATAACACTGATTATAGGTATGGCTGATTCAGTAGAGTAAAGACCCTGCATGGGTACGAGGCTGTGGCAGATTGTGCATGAGAGTAATGAGCCAATGTGAGGCCTGCTGCATTTCCCTCTCATACATTCTCTAAATCTATAGCTCTAAATCAGGGATTCGACACAAAAACTTTTCATGAGAAATCGTATGAGCTCAAACTGTACTTCTATACATAAAATGAAATATATCTGAAATATGAATAATTTAATATAGCTCGCTATATTTTTTCTTTATTTAGTGAAGCTGAAGGTTTTAGTTCTAAAGCAAGAGAAAGTATTAAGATATCTGAAAGAGAACCTAACTTGTTAGGTCTTATTGACGTAAGAAACTACTTGAAACAGAGTGATATTCATGCCATATGTCAGAGTCAAAAAGCCGATGCCAGCAAGAATGTTGCTTTCTTCCGAAACTTGGCCTGAAACCGGCTGAATTATAGGTTCCCTAAAAAACCCTTAATTCGTTTTCCACTTGGCAAAATTGTTCTTCCGTTTTTTCAACTGCTTTTTTTTCACTGACCAACCACATTGCTGGATTTCGGTTTTCCTTTGCCCCGCACAAAAACGGCTTTAGTGGAAAACCCGTTGGGATATATTAATGACTTGATATTTTCATTTTAGAGTTGGTTGTGTCGTACCCCTGGCCTTGAACCGGATGGCTTTGATTTCACAGGAAAATTAAGAGATGCTGTGGATATGTGGTTGAAAGATTTGGAAGCTAACGCAAATGTGAGTACTCTTGTGGATATATATGGGCGATAACCTCCGTATATACAATGCATGGGCTGCTTCTTAAACCACGATTTTGTCTCCATCATGCACGCGTGGTGTGGAAATAAAAACAGCACATGCATTATGACTTATCTTATAATAAAATTATATATCGGGAAAACACAGGCAAAAAATGTCACGCAAATAGTTCCTCCATTATCTCTGGTTATCCGTAATGGAGCATGTGGCAAGCTCTCGCATCGTTTCATGCCCTCTTAAGTACATTCTACCTTAAGGATGAAGAAAGTGTCGAAACCAAAGAAGTGTTGATGAGTGAAATAGAGTCGAAGAGAGTAAGGCTGCTACATACATTGTCGTTTTTATCAGTAACATTCTCAATAAATGTTGGGTTTCTTGATGCGATGTTTGAATATGCACTTCTCATTTTGTGTAGACCTATACTATATAGCACCGCATACGACTTGCGTTCATGATTTTTTTATTAGGAGAACTTCAATAATTTATTTGATGAAGAAAAACAAAACAAGCTCAAAATAAAAGGTATATGCATGTGGAATGCGTGAAGAGTGTTGATTTTAAATTGTCAGTTAAATGTAGTCTAGATTGTTAAGTGTTTGGGTCTTTGGGACCAAACTGTTATAGTTTGTATTATCGCACTGATATTTTGATATTTTGTCGCAACACTTTTCGTCCGTTAATCCGCGCCTTCGTCATTGCAATTGAAGACAGCCATTAATCAACCTCGTTCCAAGGGTTTTTCATGGTTAACATGCGCGAGCACGATGCATGTATTTATATAATCTCCCTATACACCATGTACTCGCTATATATTTGTAAGAATAAGTAAATAACTAACTTGCATAAAATATATATAGTATCTGAAGTACTCGAGACAAATGATTTTACCCTGCTTGCGTGCATGAAATGCTTCACCAAGATGCAAATGGTTAAATTAATCTGCCTATTGATTTCCTACGTTTTAGGGGACAGACGATTGTCGTTCAAAGCTTTCCAAGGAGCATTGTTCATATTCTTTTTTAGGTAAGTGTCTAAGTGAATCATATCAGGTATTGTAGTGCCCTTTTTAGTCCGGAACAATACTGTGCCAGCAGCAGTGTAGTCGCAGTATTGTAAAATTTTGTGGCTCGAATGTAGCTAGCTATTGAGGAGAAAAATACTAATATGTATATAATTTTTCTTCTTATAAAGAGACGAACCAAGGTTTAATCAACCTTATCAGATCATTTCATTATTAGTGGACATAGATTCGCTTTTTATCAAATGGAGATGTAAGGCTTTATTATCATTTGTCCTGCATTTTTGTGTATTTTTTGACAATATTCTATAGATTACGCTAAAGTCGTCTTTCCAAGAAATAGCCTTTGTAATAGGGGGTAAATAGGTTATAGCGAACGCATGTAACAAGGGGTGAGATTTCAAACAAACGTGCAATTACAACAGCCAACAAAACGTGCCTTCTAAGCTAGATATTATGTCTCTCTGAATTTATTGATTTTACGCCACGCCGAACACGTGCATGCATTGAAATTATTCATTATACATAGGGACCGGCTGCTAAGTGCTAACATATCTAATAAAGATTTTAATTTGTTTTGTGATAAGCATTTCCGCGGGAAGGGTTGCCAACAAGAGTGTGAATGCTGCATGTGGGACTTATCAAATGCTTATTAAAGCCATATGATATTCTTCAGTATAAACTTTAACTGGAAAGAATCTTGCATGGTTATTGAGAGTGAATGGAAGTGTTTTTTTGTTATAAAATTATCCAGGCACATGTTTAATGTAGTATTTTAACAATCCCTCGTGCATTCTCGTGTGTTTTTAAGATAACCACGCCATATTGGTTCAAAGAATGATTGGTGGGAGGCTTGGCACAGGAGGATCATCTGGCTATCAGTATCTTCTGGCGACTGCCAGGTAATCCATCCAGTGCATGCTGCATGTTATTCCCCTTTGTTTCCATGCAGTATAGTTTTTTTTACTACAACTATATAATTACGTATCTTTCTGTCTGTAGTGACCGTTACAAAGTCTTTCTGGATTTATTCAACTTGTCTTCATACATAATTCCTCAAACATTTATGCCCAAGCTAGACTCTTCCATGAAAAAACGTTTGTCAGTCTTTAAGTTGCAAGTGACCTCTGATGGGGCAGAAGAGAATAGTAATAATGATGAAACAGTCAATTAGGATTTTATCTAATCTTGCATGCATCCTTGAGCGCCACGAACGAATATTCGGACGCCGATGGAAGAATATCCTTTTTAGACTCTTGTTTCATACAACTAAGAAGAACTCAAATTAACCATATTCATAAGAGTGATTTTTTGTGAGAATAATCACGAATACACTACCAATTTGAAATACTATAATACTCCATTTCAGCAAGATGAATAACGCTAATATCATTACTTATAAATAATAATGTTTATTTAATTTATTTTATTTATCTGTTTATTGTACCGTCATGCAGTGTTGCCGTTTTTAATCTGTTCTGGGTCTGGAAGTTGCAGCACACCGTTCTCAGTAAGAGGAAAATGTACCCTCTTTAAAAGTTGAAGTGCCTTTTTCTTGCATACATCGCCTTTTTGATTTTGAAGTAGCAATAGCTGCATGATGGCTTTCTCACACTAAACTGCTTTTAGGCCGCATCTTTCTGGATAAACTGGTTTCCTATGAGTTTTAATCGTTTGACAGAATTCCCTGGTTAGAAACAGTGTATACAAGATACAACAGTTTTATAAAGTGTGCAGTAGTTTACATCTGTTGATGCCATTATCTAGTATTTTCTAACCGCAGCGTATACGTAACGAAGCGTGTTTCTATGTGACTTCCAAACAATGTCAATGAGATACGCTACGTTTCAATTCGATACGGTTGAAGTGGAAAACGACCGAAGATTGAAAGCGGCATTATACAAGGTGTATAAAAAAACGAAAACACTTAATATTCATGAATATTCGCTTTGTCTTTGGTCGTTTTTTATAGTCGAATACAAAGATTGAGTATTATTGAATATTTAGTGCGGCGATTTTTTATACACCCTGTGCAATTTACGTCGATCGGGAGCTTCAGACGTTATTCGGCGGGAGGTATATGTATGTATGGCCAAAGAAAAAAATGCTTTAATACCTTGGCTAGGCAGGCCCAACCTCGTGGTGTCGAGAGCGCGACACAGAAACACCTTGTCGTTGAGAACAAAGTTCGTACAAAGTCAGGTACACCTGGGAAAAAATTAACTCCTAACATCAAAGTCCCGATTATCACTAAACCACTCAGTGCTACCGACAATACATTACAACTTACAAGTTTTGTCTGCAATCATTTGTTATTATTTTCTTCACGTTTCCGCTTTCGATTCCATTGGTATCAGTATTCATTTTCACAAGAAATTTGTCCTAATTCGTTCAATTAAAGGAGCTTTCAACTCATGTCGCGTTTCCATTCATTTGGGAGGTTTGGTCTCGGGTTTGGTTGCTCGGTTACACCAATTATTGATAAGCATTAAGCGGGAAAGCAATCAATTATGAACGCAATTCACCCACATTTCAATATTTATTAACCAATACTATAAAAAGGAAACACGAAACCACGCCAGAAACAAAAATCTATTTTCATTCTTGAATAGTCGGGTGGGGAGACGAGCAATTAACTGACATCGAAAGCGTTCACTTGTAGCCAAAGTATATGCAGTACAATCTTAGGTGTATTATTATGATCTATACCTTTCCTAGGACTAGGTTCGAAAACAATAGTTTTAATGCATTATTGAGACGCTCTGGGGTATTACGCGCTTAATATTTAATCAACGATCGCCTTTACTGCATTTCAGCATTTGTCTATCCCCTGCCGGTACGGCCGTACGTATCATACCCCGCGCCTATCCATACCTTGGTTCTTTCAGGGATGGAGGTGATATACTGACGTAACCCAATCTGGTGTGTCTTACTGGAATATAACACTTTACTCCCTATATTATAATGTTGTTTAATTAATGTGCTATTAAAAATTCGTTTGAATTTGATAGCTTCCTAAAAAATCATCAAAATCACTAATTATCAAGCTAGGCAAGGCCAGACACCAGACAACACCGCCCAAAAAACACCAGCTCTTGCGTGTTGTGATTGGCTGAAATCAAGACTGTACATTGTCCAGTTGTGATTGTGATCACTGGACACTGACCCGACGAAACTCGGCAACAAGCGTGTCAACGAGTACGATTTCGTATAACCAATTTAATATAAAGATATGTTCCAGTTCTTGTTTGGTTTACATCCATTGGAACAACACGTGTAACACACATTTAACTCCTACTTGATGGTATATAATATCGATCTATCACACATTGCAAACGAAAGAAATCTATGACTGTTTGACGTGAAGACCACAAAGCGTACTATTTGAGGTATCAACAGCTGTTTTAATTTGTCTTTTATTAGATCCCAATACTGGTGGTACTATACGCAACCTTTTTTTTAATTTGGAGATCTGTATAAAATAGCAGCATCTTAACTTCATTTTGAAGTCGCATCATATTTACATGATGTATAGATAGTACAAGGCTGCTTGTTCATTTGGTCCAGGATTAGGCCGCTAATAGTTTTTATTACTTTGTGCTTTCCACATTATTGATAATTCATTTCTATTCTAGAGAAAAAGTATTTCGTAGACCCTACCTATGTTATCTTAGTATAAAATATTTTAAGCATCGCAAATAGTTGCATACTATATCCTACAGACATCGCATGGCGGACACTATATATATATACATAATTGGATAACTGCAGACAAAATCTATAAGAACTTTCCTGCTCATTTACTCTGTAGGTGGCACGATTTTGCGAGAGATATTATTAATGGAAAGAGCACCTAACAAGCAATCTGACCAGCAAGATATATGTGAGTAAGAAAATATAATTATTGTAGTATTAACCTTGTTTGTTATTACAGGAAATAAGTTTAGCAATTGCCTTGACTATACTCAAGGAGACCTCTTAATATTTTGCGCATTTTGTCTTCGGTTTGAAGAAGTGTACAAATATCTAATAATTAAACAGTGCTCCCAGTGTAAATACTTTATTTAGAGAAGACCAGCAATATAAGTATACTTCAGGCATTCGTGTATTATTAGCATTGTTTATCGAAACTAAAACGGATGTTCATCAATATTCGAAGCACTCCCAAATATTTCATCGATAAAGTAAAAATATCCTAATACAAAACAAGAAAACAAATGAAAAGTATGAACTATTTGTAAGGTGAGAATATTTATTAGTCCTTGTTTCAGAAAAGTTTAAGTGTTTCTGTAGGAACGAAGAGAGGGTCATGTCGCATTTGATCGTCTATTTTTCTCGGTCCATGTTCGAAGCAGGAATTGGAATGTATATTTACTTTCGACCAATCTTTGTATTATTTAGACATGTTTTTAAGTACAACAAATAACATAACAAGCCTTTATTATAGTCTGAATATATAGACTTTTGGTGCGTTGTGTATAATATTGTTGTTCCAATGTTTCTACGTAACAATTTTTTTATGTGGCAAATTATACAATTGCTACCGGCACACTCGCTCGTTCAGACACAAGAACTGGCATAGTATTTTATATTTTCCCACTATTAGATTTCTAGCAAGTTTGCTGTTGCCTAACAACTCGTACTTGCGTAGGATTCGCCTTGTAATTTTTTATTCATCATGTGTTTCCCCAAGCAGAAACAAAAGCTCGGCTTGAAGCCAGTTTGTCTTCTTATGGAAATGATTCTACCACATTCCTACATATATTGACACAGAGGGTGATGTGAATTGTGAAGGTCGTCCTGGCTTTGCATCATGAGACATCTTTACTGCAATATATTGTATACATTTTGTAATTGGATCAATATATAATATATACTTTTACACTAATACACTGTGTAGAAATTCAACTGAGATAGTAGCTGGAATTTTTATTGTTGTGGTAAGTGCCATTAATTGTACACATTAAACCTTGTGTTTCATGTCAGTACATGTTTTAAAACAGTCATTTTAGTATATTAAATGCTGAAGCCATTTAGTGTATATGTTAATCTGAGAATAAAGTCTTAAGCCTGCACTTCCATAATATCAGTCCAATCATATATAAATGTATCAGAAATGTTTACCAAAGCTTGACTTATTAAAGCAATCGTACAAAGAATTCTTCTATAAAGATTGCTCTTAGTCTTTAACCTTGTCATGTAACATAGGTATGGTACTTTGAGGTGCTGTATGATTTTTAAATGCCCAACAATTTTTTTCTGTATTGGTTTTATATACAGTGTATATGAACATGTGATCAAAACACTAATCTATGGACTGGCTTTCTTTTGCCTTTCTAAGATAACGTTACAAGTAACGTTGTAAAAAACGTAAAAAGTGGCTATACAAATGCTTATAGGTGCACCGATGTATTTCTCTCACACTGTGTTTATTTATAAGGTGATTTAAGATGATTTTGTATGCATGAGTGCAGATATGATATAGTATAAGAATGATCTAGATTATGCGGTAACTATAGGAAGCTTACTCTCATATGAGTTGTACGAAACGGATAAATTATTTGCTTTCTATAATAGGTATAATTGGCAATACATTCATATAAATATAATTAGTTACAATATAAGGAAAGTGCTATATGATATTATAATCATTGATGATCTAGTTTATTAACTTCAAAACAGTGCACTAATTCACCCAACATTTTTGCTTATTACTTTATTCAATGCCTGATGATTTTACTTATTACCTGTGAAATTTGGTAGAAATCTCAACAGCAATTCTCAAAAAACTAAGTAAAAAGTAAACCTTACAGCATTTTTAATGATTATTAAAAATTGTATAAGCTTATTGGTATTTAGAAATGTTTGGATGCAACACTCCTACTTGCATGTCTATACTAGAGGTTTTAATTAAAAATACCATATGCCTTTGCATCACGGAACAAGCAAGCTGTACTTAAGCTCCCAACATGGTGTTATAAATGCAGCCTACAAAAATTATTACCTGCAAAAGTGTATTTTTAAGTACAAAACAGAAGATAATTTGTATTTGTGTGTAATTTAGGAATATGTATGTAAATCCCTTGTCATGTTATATATTTTCCATTATTAATTCAAACCTGATTTGTCCTATATATTATGTTTGATGCAATATTTAATTACGTACTGTTCACTCAAACCAAAAGCATGAAAAACGTTTTACCCACAAGCTCATATATGATAGATTAAGCAGTATGATGGTAAGATTTTCTTATTAATGAGGGTTGTCTGTTTTGCAAAACTGCTAAAAAGGTTCAAGTGAAATAATTTTGGTAATTGTAAAATCTTTCATTAGAAACATATGTATACTTTATGGTGCAAAACTAGGCTGTGTTGACCAGGATCTTTTTTGTGTCAAAGTGTCAAAAGCTTCTATAAACTTTCATTAAAGAATTTTTATTAAACGAAATAATGAAGCATTCTTGTAGGTAGTGCCTACTGAACATCTTCTCTTGTTTGAATCTGTTTCCTACCATGGAACCAGGGAATTATTGTGTAGCTGTTGCTCAGTTGCTATATGAAAATTTGTGATATTTCCTTTGAAGCATCAAACCAAAAGCCTCGTCGATCAGTGCTTCGTAGTTTAAGTTGGAAACGTGCAAATAAAAGAACAAAGATGGAAGAAAGTGAGCAAGAACATGTCTTTGACGAGAGTGGTGAAGGACGTTTCGTAGCAGGTTCTTCACGTGGAATGTCCGACGAGGATGCTGACGATACAATACTCGACAGCACTACAGAGTCGACTTCTAAAAAACGTAAAAAAGTTGGTGTTTGGAAAGCTATGAAAAGATTTTTCAGCAGAAAAAGTAGCAAAGGCTCAAAATCATTTTCATTCGGCGACTCATTGAGCCCTCAAGGTCAACCACAGAGAAGTAACTCAGATCCGAACCTTGCGCACACATCCGGGGAGAGACCAGATGTAGCTCCATTGGAGCAGGGTGCCCGAGTTGGTGAGGCACCAATGGAAACAGACGCTGCGCCAAAGAAAGCTATGAGTGTAAGTTAGCTTTCAATTAATGGTGGTGGTTTTGATGTTTTAGCCCTCCCCATTATAGGCACTGAATCGGCTATGTAGGTTTTCCCATTAACCATGTTGTTTTAATAATTTGGCAGGGTATGATTACCGCAAATCATTATTTCCATCTGGATTTTACGATTATCATTTTAACATATTTAAACGGTTGAGATTGGGAGAGCGAAGATACAGAAACCGGCAGAAAAAGCCTACTCCGCCTTTTGTAACCATTAGCTTTTTTAACCTGCCCGACTAACTTACTTATGTTTTGTATAGCACGACAGTTTGTTATCAGAACTCCGTTCAAAGCAAAGGATCAATGTTGAAATTAACGAAGAGTCATCTAAACCTTCAGGTGAGATTCTGCTCAAGATAGTATAAAATTTTGATGTTTTTCACGACTCTTCTAAACCTGCAAACGAATTATGAGCACTTTAGCAGCAGTTCTTCAACCCCAGTCGCGTTCTGTGTTTGTTTTTAAATAGTTGTATTTTTATTTGGCACCTAAAATAACAAATATGAATTGTAACGATATAAACTTGACGTTACTTGCCAGCGTTCGATTGTCCATGTAATGAGCCGGCAGTTTAATAAACATATTTCATATTTTATGTAGCTGTTGATTGGCAGGCGTCTCCAAGTCCTAGTGCAAATGATTTACTTCCTGGTCTCAATGTGTCTCATGATAAAATAAGAGTTGCGCCACGCCACAGAAGAGCACCAACCCGCAAAGGCGCGAGTTCCGTCCGCGCTGGGGGACAGGATATCGTAGATGGTGAAATTATGCCACGGAGTAAATCCGTTGGTGGGCGCACCAAATTAATAGTTGAACAAACTGATGAAAATATCAGTGGACAAGGTAAGGAGAACGTACTCGAAAAGGAAAAGGAAAGGAAAAATCTTAAGAAAAAAGTCGGGCGACAAAGAAGTGGCCAAGAAAAATCGGACCACGAAAATCTAGAAAAACAAAAGATTGAAGACGAGAGGTTGAAACAGGAAAAACTAGAGAGAGAAAGAACCGAGCAAGAGAAAATTGAACAGGAAACATTTGAAAAGGAAAAATTGGAAGATGAGAAGCGTAAAAAGGAAAAGGAAAGACTTGAACAGGAAAAACTGAAAGAACTAAAACTTGAAGATGAGAAACGAAAACTGGAAAAGCTGGAAAAGGAAAGACTTGAGCAGGAAAAACTTGAAAAACTAAAACTTGAAGAAGAGAAACGTAGACAGGAAAACCTTGAAAAAGAACGACTTCAGCAGGAAAAACTGAGAGAACTAAAACTCGAAGAGGAAAAACGTGAAAAGGAAAAGCTGGAAATGGAGAAACTTGAGCAGGAAAAACTGAAAGAACTAAAACTTGAAGAAGAAAAATGTAAACAGGAAAAGCTGGAAAAAGAAAGACTTGAACAGGAAAAGCTGGAAAAAGAAAGACTTGAACAGGAAAAGCTGGAAAAAGAAAGACTTGAACAGGAAAGACTTGAAAAATTAAAACTTGAGGAAGAGAAACGCAGACAGGAAAAGCTGGAAGAAGAAAAACTAAAAAAGATGGAAGAGGAAAAGTCTGGCGAAGACAAAAAAAAGCAACTACAAACAACAGACTTTAGTGATTTAGTAGAAAGTCTGAAACCATCTAATGGTGCTAAAGAAATATACACAATAAAAAGAGCCGAAGCTGAAGATAAAGGAACAGTTTCTGAGCCTGAAAAATTAGGAGAAATAAATAAAACCTCAGAAGTTGAACCTAGCGATGTCCGTTGGAACCAGAATATCGATAGCGAAGAGCTTAATGTTGATGTTGATACAAAAGAAAATTATTCAATCAAACAGCTAAACACAAAACCTGTTGACGGTATAGTAGTAAACACGGCTGATGATCGAAAGATTGATGAGAATTCTTCACAGGACGTAAGGGATTTTACTGTTTCTTCATTTTTATCAGTGGATAACCCAACTGCATCGTCTAACGAAGGTATTTACGAGACAGATAAAGTGAAGGTTGTCGAACAGTCAAAAGAATCTCAGCCAATGTTGATTACTCACGAGGAAGCTCGTGCAGAAATTGCGACTGGTAAACAACCAGAATCAGTGCCTGCAGTTGATAAAAAATTAGGTGAAATTGATGCAGTCGTAACGTTCGAGAAGAAAGACAACCATCCAGGGAGCCCGCCGCTGAGCCCTCCAGTGAGCCCTCCATCTGCAAGGTCTCCTGTACGAACTAAAAGACTTGTCATTGAAACACCTGAAAAAGTTTATCAAAAACCTATTATGGCTGACATAGCAACCAAAGAAGCAGAAATTGTGGACGACTCTAGGGGTGTCCAGCCTGAGCTGTCACAAAGCATGCATAATCGAATAACAACGGGAATAAAGGAAAAAAATCAGTCACAGGATGATTCAAACATTGGTGTTTCGAGGTTGACGCAGGCGTTTGAACGTTCATCTAGGTCTCAAACCATCTCTTACAGAACAAAACCTGACGTCCTACCGAAACCAAAGGTGGCATCAAAACCAGACAAATCGAAGACGCTTGACAGAAGCTATCGTTTTCCTGTTACGGCAAATACCACACAGAACAACGCTGCAAAACAAAATAATGTTGTCATAAATTCTGATGAAGTACACAGTAAAAATGATGGTTTGTTGAGTCCAACAAAGAAAATACCTGTACCGAAACCAAAACCATTGCCGAAACCACAACCTAAACCAAAGGTAAACACACAAAATGTAACGACCAAAACTGTTGAAGAAGGCAATGAGCAAAGAAAGGTATGTACCGTATGGGACACTTCTTCTATATATACAAATTCATTGCATGTGCTTCTTCATTTAACTTTTGGACATCTGGGACCGGTTGTATAAAAACGTAGTTAACTTTTAACTATAGTTAGTGACATAATTGACCAATCAAGAGTTTTATACAACCGGCCCCTGGATGTAAAGTTGTAGCAAGTAAAATTATGCTTCACACTATATTTCAAAGCTAATTGGCTCTTCAATCACTTCTAACCATTGTTTCGAGTGGTAGGATTGGTCTTCATGAATGAAGAACTTGACTTTATATTTGCGTATATTGATAGAAAGCTCACAGTACCCAATCAGTAACGAATGGCAGTGTAAAATGTTCGGGTTCGACGGAGGGTAAACACCATACTGGAGGTCAGTCTAAAGATGCGGAAAGTGATTTACCATCATTCTGGGCAAGAAGAAATATTTTTTCTCCGGAACAGAAAAGCAACTCGGCCTCCACTTCCTCACAAGAAGAGAAATCAAAAGAAAAACACACGCCATTCATCCAACTGAAGACAGACACTTGTGCTGTATGTGGTTCGAAGGTTTATCAAATGGAAAAGTTCAAAGTGAAAGATAACATCGTTCATAGAAGTTGCATCAAATGTTCCGTGTGTAAACGTCTTTTGTCTGTTGGAAACTTTATTTTTTCGCAAAATAAGATTTACTGTAAACCACATGAACCAAACGTACCTATTTCGCTAGCCACGGTCTGAACATTACTGTTCACGGGGGGACAATTAAGGTACGCTCATGAAATCTTTTGAATATAATTAGTCAGTACAATTTAAGTTAAAAGTGCATACACGCGCGCGGTGCATTCTATATAGTCAATCACAAGCGTCCTTTTCTCATAATTAGCTCTTCTGAATGCTAACCTTGTGTTTGGCATGCAGGTTTTAGGAAAAATGCCGGATTTATAGTCTTAAAATGTACATTGTTTTAGAATAACCCCCTCATGCTGTAATAAACTGAATATATTATTATAACATAGTATAATACAACATAGCGTTGGTTATATATAGTCCAGTATGAGGTTCACAATGTGATGACGGATATGCTGCCATTTTTGGGGACTTTTTTGCAAATTGTGACCGTAACCTGTTTAATCAAAACTGGTTTAAGAAAATTGAAAGAAAAGAAAAATTGACACCAAAAATAGTGGCTATTTGTCATCTGCATGGTGAGAAAGGCTAAATGTCCGTTCAGTTCTTACCCAGATTGCTCCCAGAGAGATAGCATACTAAGATCCCAGGCCTCTAAATATGCTTGTACTTTATAGGTGTAACGTATATTTTGGCGGGCAGAAATGCCTGTTTCAAACATGCCACAATTTACAACAACGATATCATAAACTCAAACTGATCATCTATTAATAGTTTTCGTCAAATGAAAAGCTTGACGTTTGAAACAGACCTGCAGCCAGAATTAATGTACAGGCATTATTATATAACTGCAGACCTGCAATTTATGCAGAAAACATGCACTGGGGGTTTTGAGGCGACCGCAGGCCCGCTTTTGCAGCTTGCTCTCGGGCTCGTCTCAAAAATTCCAAGGCTAAGCCCAAGCAATGAAACCATCTGCCCTATACCTCGTCCAATAATTATATAGTAACGATCGATTGATTTTATAAGTATATACAAGTTATATTATAACCTATATAGATATACTGTATAGAATTCTTCGGCTGTATAGTAGCGGTTACTATATGTCAATAGAGTATAGTTATTTAGCATATATTTAGTACGCGTTTTGCAAAGGCGATTGAACATTCATCTTGGTGTATCTGACGAACACTTTTGTGGAAATTGTATGATTATAACTTATAGCAATAACATAGGTTTTTGTCACAGCATGCCAAAGTGCATGAATTTTTAGAATATTTGCATCCACTAAATTCATTGTTAGAGTAAAGTATAATTCCTTTTTCACAAACATTTTGATTAATGTTCTGTTTATATCTTCCATACTGCATGAGAACCTTCCGGCTAATACTAGAACACCAGCGACACCTGACAGAAAAGTGCATGGCTGGACAATCGAGTTGTCAACCTCGTCCCAGGGTCTTCTGGGTACAAGCCTTGTACACAGAAGACCCTGGGAACGAGGTTGTTGAGTTATAATGTTGCCGCCCTATCTCAGAGAGCCTCTTTCACCTGTATTCTCGTTGCTTTTGAAAATGAAGATTTTTCCGCAAGAAAAACACCCTCGCGATCATGCGTTAATGACCATGCATGCAGGAACAGAACAAAACACATCTCCAATTATTTACGATGTATAACATCTTGACAATAATCAATCATATAATGCATTAACCAGATTTAATTTGCAAATGTACACGTATAACCTGGATTGATATACTACCATTTGTGTAGGCCCAAGGCGATTAATTAGTCATGGAATATAGCAGTATTACATCTCTGTGACTACATTCAGTTTTACTTTTACTTTCAATTCTTTGTCAAAAGATTTAAGTAGGAACGGCTAGCAGCACTCTCGGCAGTAAAAAATACTGACCAAGAATTGGGATGTTTGCAGGGACGTTAGGGCTTTAAGTCAGCTTTCTCTTCCCACCAATTTCATCGATTGCATTCTTTTCGTTTATAACTATAAATATTTTTATACACATCGCTTTAGGAGCAGCCGAATAGCCTGCGCCTGCTGGAGCACCGTCAGCGTTGTACTAATATTTTGTACTACAATTTAGATAATGCATACAGTGACTCTTGTATATACTGTTGTGTGTGTTCACTGTTGTACACGTGTCAGTGGTAAATTCTAGACTGAACCAGGTAACCAGTAGATTGCTGCATGCATCATGGATCATGGATTTAAACCTATATTGCGAGGGCATTTTACTGATTCAGTATTCCTCATCAATTAAGGTTACATGTTTTATTTACTTCTATAGAATATTGGGACAGAAATTATCCATAATTATAAATTAAACGTACATCTATTTTTGCTTTACATAAAACTGCTAACATTCAGTAATGGAAGCAGTTAGCTCAACTGTTGAGTATTGTCCACTATTATATAAACATTGAGCGCTGCATATTAAAAAATACTTAATCATTTAATTATAAATAACTTAAAAACATTCTTTCAAATAAATTAGTAGAACGTTGCATGATCTGACCGTGACTAAAATGTAGGAATCTGTTTGGAAAATGATGATCATGCGAAAGTAATCTTAATAGAATCTGTAGTTCAATGTCAAATCCATCAGATATCATTGTTCATTTCCAAGAGCAAGGACCAGCCTTGGTTATTTACGTATACGTTCGTGATAAAGAACGACTATCATGATCCACAAGTTTGAAGTAGGAATCTTGTCATTCTTTGTTTTCGTGTAAAGCACCGCAATCAGGGCAAGGTACTAAACCGTTTTCATTGCATGTTGTACAGCGTAACGAGCAGATTTCTCGGTTAATTCTGTGCTTACGACTTGTTTTACTTCCTCCACATGAAAGACAATTTATAAATCTTCGTCCACCACATCTTTCGCAATCTTTCATTCCATAACGACGCTGTGATAAGATGAAAAATACAGAAATTACATGAAATACAATACTCGTGTATGACAACAGCCGGTTGTGGGTCTTAGACAAGGGTCTAATGCAAAAAAAAATTTGCCACCCAGCCAATAATACATAATTTGACAGATTCAATTTAAACTTGTATACAATCAGTGACTAGTCTCTAAAATGTTGAAATGTGATTGATTGATCCAGTAATTTTGAATTCTCTTTCTTACGACTTTATTTACATGTACTGTCACGTTGTTAGTTTCATTCTTACCTGATAGCCTGCAGTAACAGATGATATTTTGCCACTTTCGTTTAATTCCTCTATTTCTTTTAGCCCCTATAAGAGTAATTCACAGTTATCCCACAACTGCTGATTACCACCGCTTGCATGCATAAAATTACATAAGACTGGTTTCCATCTAGTAATATGCTAAGTCTGTGCAGTAACCAATTTTGGCACTTTTGTGCAGTAACCAGTTTTGGCACAGAGAATAGGGACAAATTCGCATCCGAACCGGACATATTTTACATCGGTGAAAATGACTTGTTCACGGCGAAAGTGGAAACTATATAGGCTGTAACCAAATCTACACCCGTAGAAGTGTATTCAGAGGTGTTGGGTACGAGGAAGCGGCTGTAGCCCCTGAGAAATCTGACTGGGTGAGTACAGCTCAAGAAATGTTGGAGAAATCAATCCGTGGTCAATCCATGCATGGGTATATTAGGTCAGTTCTATTGATCAAGTGTCCGAGTATTAAAATTTTCACTGAGGATAATGTGAAAAAATTTCCTACTATATCTATATATATATATAATGATAGACCTGAAACATCCTCAAATAAATTTCCATTTTTTTGTGTCCATGCATGCATATATACCGTAGGAGTATCATTAGCCTATTAATAAGTAACTCATAATAAAAATATCATGAGAAAAGAGTAAGATCTATAACGTAGCAACTATGCAACTTTCCCAAAATGTTTTGAAAACTTGAGGACATTTTATTATTTTTTCTATTTTTAACAGTAGCTTTAAAAACAGCTGCCAGTTGTTATCTTCCTATGTTTCATTTTCTGTTTTCCTCGAGAACTACGGTTATATATGATAATTTTATACATCGACGTTTAACATTTTACGGGTATTTTCGAGCTCCAATATCCAGGGGGTATTGTTTCTGAAGCGGCGTTGATCAAGGGAAACTTGGCTTAGCCTTATATAGGTATAGGGAGTATATTTCTTAACAGAACTGCATGACGCATAGGCCTTTCTTGTGGGCGTAGAGTTTTTTATATATTCCGGAGACAGCGGAGTCATCGTTTTCTAGATTGCATTCCAGTAGGGCTATAACTATGCAGGGAGCAGCGTTGAAGCGAGTTACCCAGGTCGAAACATCGAGACGTTTTTTGTCTATTTTAGGCAGTTAATTGTTATACCACATTTGAGGCAAAGTTTTCTAGATTAGTTCATCGATGGAGCACGCTTGACAAGGCTATCTGAAAAGCTATATAAAAGTTGTAACTTAAAGTCTTCATATATAATCTTCAAGTTCAATATAACTGATATAGCCAGATATTTCACGGTGCGAGCTTGTGCATGTAGATGCATGTATTACTCCAACAACATGCACTTATATTAATCATTATTCAGCTTAATGATTTATTTTCATCGTTTCCATGGTAATTCTGGATTAAAGCTAAATTTCTAGGGACAACAAAAAGTTGTATTTATATATGTACACTTTTATGTTGCTGGCTTTGTTAATCACAATTCTTACCACGTCTCAAAAAGATTTATAGCCATTGGGTGATTTTAGCTTTTTTGTTTGTTTCTGGTCACAACTTTCAAGGCAATTCCTATTTCCTACCTGTTAGACAGACAGTGCCGTTAGACACTAGACAGTGCCGTTCGGGTTGATTCAATTTGTAAACTTATTATATATGTACCGAAATCACCTTTTCATGTGCATGTACATGCATTTATATATCTATATCAAATGACGTATACTATATATATAACTTATATAAGTACTACCAGGTGACCAAAAATAATCTTATTTGTAATTTAAATAAATTGTTTCGAACTATGTGCATCGTATAATGGTGTAGATAACGTTTCTATATATAAAGGAAGATCTCGATGATTTAGAAAATAATGACAATAGTTCCTGGACGTGTAAACTATTTAACTATAAACTCAAATTAATTCCTAACATGACAATGTTTATGGTCGTCATGGGAAAGTCAGCAGTTTATATAAGAGTTTCCAAATGCATACAAAACGCCTGGTGTTTTAGGAATGTTAGACACAAAAGATATGTCATCGCCAACTTAGTTTTGGGCATAGTTAGGCAGTTTTTTTATAGGAGTTTGTTTAATTGCTTTTGGTATCAGACAACTAAGGCGTTATTATGTAGTAACGCGTTCGTTTTAAAGACGTTCGCTTTCGTTTCCTTTTTTTAAACTGCGCGAATACATATAAATAGATTAAACCAGCTGTCTTCGACCTCGCTTCTTGGGTAATGTAATATGAAAAGCGAATTATTTAGGAATAGTATATTGGCTAAAACAGTATAGTCCTTTTTATTTCCGTGTATATATCATTCAGTGTATATATCATAAAATATAATCTCCACTTGTTAATGTTAAATACTTTGTGGTTAATTTAAAGAAAATGAGAAAAGGAATTTCAGTTTGTTTGTGAAATAATACAACACATGGGATAATGAGTTATGATATTCAAGCAATTGGATTGTAAAATTACACCACCATTTGCATAAAGCCAAGATGAGTCGAAAATAATTCTCACGATTCCCTGGTTTTCAACAAATCAGTTAAGCTTTTCGCGACATAACTCTGGTACATAAAGCATTAAATAATAATCAAAGAGATAAACACATACCCCAATATGAATTCCATTGATTATAACTTGAGGTAAACTCAGCCCTCTTCCCAAATGATTTTGCATTTCTTTCTGATGCTCCTTATGAATAAATACATCACGTTCCTCAAAGGGAAGACCTCTATTTTTAAACACTTTCTTTACATAGGAACATGCATCTGTCGTGGCACGAACGGCTGTCATAGAGGTCGTATAAATTATAATTTTTTCTTCATTTTCGTTCAAAGCCTAGAAGACGAAACAAATTAATAATGTTTACACATATAGCGGCATGTAGTGAGTTAAGACAAAGTTGAAATGTTTACCTGGTCTGAAGGAGGAATAACATGTCCTTTTGAGTTAAATGAAGCTGAATAACGTCGCACCATATTCTTGTAGCCTCTTACCGTTCCCTTAACACTCTTTAACATCCCATTTTCACCGTTTGATATTTTAAGTCTTTCCATTCTGTCGAAGTTCTCAATGTTTAACCTAGATGATATGTGCGTCGGTAGTGCTTCATAGTGATCTAATTCTTCGTTATCATCATCAAGACGTGAGCCTTCCATTTCTTTATTACAACCAAACTCTTTTACTGGGTCGTTTATAAAATGCTGTAATGTGGAAGGCTTATTTGACATTGTTATCTGACATAATCCGTCAGATTTTTGCTTTGAGACACCATTACGGAATGAAATATTTTTCCCAGTTGGGCTTACACATGAACTATTGTTCGTATTCAGGCGTCGTTCTGCTCCAGTAGAGCCATCAAAACTTGTCGATGAATCAATACTTGAGGAACACGAGTTTCTAGCGGATTTATTCGAGTCGCTACTGGATTCAATATCCACCTCAACATTAGAGCCATTCAGGAAGAAATGATTCCATTTATCAGCGACGTTCTGTTGCTCTCCGTAATGCGAGGAATTATTCTGATTGGGGATTAATATAAAGCCATCTCGAGGATACGACTTCTCAAAGTAACTCATTTCTTCTTCAGCGACGATATAACGGTATTATAGGTAAAAGCGAGTGTCAGCATGCAGCTGTAGACATCACAAGACTAACGGGGAACAATTAATAAAGCATTTAAATGTGAGGAAACTGAGTAACATACATAAATATGCAAATCGTAAGCAAATTAAGAGTAAAGCGATATCACGCAGTCAAAGTGAGTGACCTGCCACATCTTGGTCAACTTCAGCTAGAGATAGCAGGTTGATACCGCATATAGGTTGACCACAGAATATACATTAAGGTATGATTTAACCAATGTTGAGATACTAAAGCAATGATATTTTCTCTTTGGTGGGCGAATTATTATTCATTAGCTTAACTGCATGCTTGTGGTAGATAAATCAATAAATGAAATTACTTGCATCGATAAAATAGAAAAGATCTTGATAAGAATAAAAAACGCGATATGCATGAAATGAATAATTTTGTATCACAATACATAACATCAATATATGAAACTGAAATATAGTTTGATCACAGTCACGCATTATGAGACAGCCAAGGTAAAGTTCGTGCGTCCTTTTTGAATTATTATTTGCTGGTTGAAAAATAGCCACAATGCAACTCAGTCTTTTATGGACCCAGTTCAAAGTCGGCCTTGTCATGTGCTCATGTGATTACCGAGATGAATATTTATAAATATAAGCGATTGACTGTTTCTAATGGATTTGCACATAACCGACCATCATTCTTCTCCCCCTTTTTTCAGTATTTAGATATATGATCAGGCTGGAACTGCTTTAGACTATAAGGTAAAAACTCGCAGTGCATAGCTTGATTCAATCTCGTTAAGGTATACAGCATATCGAAGGTGGTCGACTGACTACAGGTTATGGACTTCAGGTTCACAAACATGCATAAGTTAATTTGTTTAGTCCAGGGTCTTTCCTTTCGAGACGAGCTTCTTGTTTTTTCTTGACTCATGCCGTCGTGCATGGCTATTGCAATATATTTTGCACGAGTCCTGCAAGATGGAGGTGCTTTTATATATCGTTTTAGCGGGATCCCACATCACAGGCTGGTGCAAGGCTTAGGCGACTTTTTGAGCGTTCACACATGACTGCATGTAAATGTGTTTGGTTCCGTGTTGCCTGTTTTAAACATATCTCTATATGTAAAACGCTTTGCCAAAATAAAAAAATTGGCCAATATTTATATTCGCACGTAAATGCGGTATTTTTTAGAGTAAGTATGCACCACCTGCATGGAAAACGTATATATAGTCTATACAGACGTCAGAGATCGTATCCTAATGATATAAAATTCAAGATGGAAATTATCTAAACTGTTCCGGCATAATTAGGAAGATTTATCGTAGTTTAATAAAATAAAAAATTATCTTGGAAAGTTTGATGGGAAAATTAATTGCTGGACATATTCCTGTCTGGGGCACCTTCTTGCATGTGGAGCATGGATAATTTTCAATAACAAGCTCCATTAATTCAAGGTAATCAGTTATTTCCATTCAAATCATTGAATTTTTATTTTTACTTACGTAAGTGAGTTACGTACTATTCTAGATGTCAAAATAAAGGACTGCATGTTCACACCGGATCCAATTTTGCGGCAAATAAATTAAAGTCAATCCAGTACTGCTTTACCAAATATACCAATGACAAACTACATTCCATACGTCAGAAGTGAATTGGATTCGACAAAGTTGGCTCGTGTGAACGGGTCGTTATAAAATCGACAATTGTAATTATCGTATATGCATGTGACCGCAGTGCGTGCACGATCTCATTCAAACTTTATAAAACAGAAAAACAAACATTTTTACTTTCTTTTATTACACTGTTTACTATCAAATAACTGCATTTATTGTTAATGACAAACTTCACTTAAAAGAAGACCGTAAAATTTGTTTCACGTGTAATTATCATAGCCATATAATACTACACAGGCTAATCTGGGAGTTGCATGGCTGAAATGACTTGCTCGAGTTTTTTACTTCATTTTTATATAATCCCGACTTGCCTTGACAATTTAGTTATAAATATATATTATGCTTGTTTGTTTCTGCTTAACAACAAGTAGTATACATGTATGCAATATATAAATTACATGTTCATATCTGATCAAATTAATAATAACTGGCACTGCGTGATTTTCTCTAAATCCGGGATTATTTATGGGTACGTATAGACGCAGGGACTTGATGAATTCCAGTGATAAATTCAACAAAATTAGGCTCTAAAAATAGAAAGAAAAGGAAGTACAGAGGCGAACGTATTAATAAAATCCAAGTTGTCGTTGACGTCTGCCGTTTTAGACACTTATCTTTCTCGCACCCTGACTCTTTGTCTTTGCAATATATTCACAAATGAAATATTAAACTGCATGGCCTGGGTGGGTAACTTACCGGTGTCTGGCTGTATGTTGCCGTGTCTAATTAGGAAATCCAAAATTATGATAGCACAGTTCGTTTTAAACTCTCCTGACACAAGCTTCTCCCTCACCTTAACGAAACGAGCAGTACTACATCTGAATACCTGAGAAGTCTCCATAAACGTTTTGGTTTTGATTTTCAGTTTTACTAAAGTCTTTTACCTTTTCGATCGGCCAACAATAAAATTCATGGACTTCTCCATCGCTAACACAAGGTTGAAAGTCATTGGGTAGCTCAAGATCAAAAGCAAACTCGACTTCTGGAAAAATTCCTCTTTCATCCTCATAACAGTAACTATATATGGTTTTTTTTTAATGAGAGTATTTTTTTAACAACTAAATAATTAATATATGAACTTACTGACCTTACAGCACCAACAGACACAGCATGTCTCGCAAGTAACTCTGGAATAGATGCTTCTTCCTGACATTCTTTTATCATTGTATGACGAACATCATCACCAGCAGTGATACCACCAGCAGCCTGCAGCAGTGTTGGGTTTAAAGTTTGAATGGCATTACAAATAAGTACCCTGCAGATAGAGGCATGTTTGTGTATATCCAAACTTAGGCACATACAGTTCAAAAGAGAGCGCATCACATTAATCTCATATGATGAAGACCATTTTTTGGTTTAATTGGCTAAGCTACATTCTTCCAGCAAAGAACTTTAGAATGAAGACCACATGACAGAGTCAACATGCAGCCATGTTGATACCAGGAGCTTATTTCCATGCATGACATCTTTGCTTTAAGGTGGATTTATGTCATGGAAAGGTAATTATTTGTCACCTGGCCAGCTACAAATTATTATTCCCACACCACAGTGAGTAGGACATGAAATTGACTAGGAATCTGTCTTACTATTTGGTCAAGTTTTCCTGGATATGTTGGTTTCTTGTAACTGCGTCGTGCTATCCACATATGCAGATTTTTATCTTTATCTTGTTTATATCCATTTATGTGAACACCATATTGTTGTAAGCCAAACAGAGCTGTTATAAAGGAAAGCCACTGTTTTGATCATTTTATTAATTGCCTAGTATTTAGTACAAGACAAGGCTAGCTTCATTTTTATTAGATTTTGAGGAACTCACACACTGCGGATCTCTCCATCTGAAATAATGGTTTTTGTCCAAACGACTTACACACATTGTACATCTAAAAAGAATGTAAATATTTGTCGTTTGTATAAATTCATTACAGACCTAGTCAGACTATAAACTTTACCTCATTTCTCCATCCTTTCAATGCATAAAAGATGTCTTTCTCCCGTAAAGATTGTAAAACATTGTTAATCTTATAAGTTCTTTCAGTAGATGAGTTTAAAGTATTGTTTAAACTGACAGAGTCTGAAGTGACTCTAAATACTTTATCATAAGTCTCAAGTTGTTGAAAAACATATGGTGGCACACTGCCAATTATGTCACCATCAACAATGAATGGTTTACAATGCTTTTTAGATGAATCTAAAAAATATACAATAATACATATATAATATATTATAATAACTAAAAGTGTGGCATTAAATTGCAAATAAAAGCTATACAAGGCATATATACCTTTGAGGTGAAAAGAGTTCAATGATTGGACAATATTCAGCATTTTACTGGACCATTCATTCTGATCCATGACAGATTCAAGATAGTCAAACACCCACAATAATATGATATTGCACTTCAGCTAGTATTTGCATCAATGTTTTTATTTTTCACTTTTAGTATTGTTAAAAAATCACAATTGAATTACTTAGGTTTCAAGGTTATAATTTGCTGTAGGAACACACGTCACACATTACTAGAGTAACTAGACACTAGTACCAGGAACAAGGTCCATATCAGAATCTGTGTCAGAATCACAGACGTGTCGCAATCAATTATCAAGAAAACGTACATAGAAATGGATACTTCTGAATTAGAAAAACTTATTCAAGAATGCCATGAAGCTAAAGAAAAAGCGTACGCTCCTTACAGCAAATTTCGTGTTGGTGCAGCGGTGTTGTGCGAGAACGGTTTAATTGTACAGGGTTGTAATGTTGAAAATGCATCTCATGGACAAGGATTGTGTGCTGAGAGAGCAGCATTGGTGCAAGCTGTGAGTTTAGGACATCGAAAGTTTAAAGCAATTGCTGTTACAACAGATGTCACCGATAGATGGGCATATCCTTGTGGTTCTTGCCGTCAATTTATCATTGAATTTGGAGAAAATATGGATATCTATCTCGTCAAAACAGACTCCACATACACGAAATGTAATATCAAAGACTTGCTGCCATGTGCCTTTCAACATTCTTTCCTATCCCAATGCTAGAAACCAAGTTTCCAGAAAGAATTTGTGAGCACACATAAATTTTATTTCAAGCAGTGAAGAAAATAGAAAATGGTTAAATAAAAGAAGAGAATTCTCAATTCTATCAATATAAATTCTAGGGGAGAGTGCGTGTTAGGGTAAAATGCACTACCTTTGGCATGTTCAAACAAACCTAATAATTATGTGTTGCACAGAAAGTCAATGTTACACAATGTTTGATTGGCTCTGATCTTAGCTTTGCAGAGCAAGTCACACTATGTGTGACATTAGTATAATGGCTTTGACATCATTTAATGTGAAAGGTCTATTCATGAAGACCAGAATGTTATCTGTTTTGAGAACAAATATTAATCCCTGCCTATACCTCCTCCTTGGAAATATTTCTTCATCAAATTTACTATGTATTACTCAATTGTCAAATCACTAACATAGTCCTTTGTATTTCTTAATTGCAGCGCTAGTTCATTTATTTCAAAATATATATTACATTGACTCAAAGTATATATGCCATCCTGTAGAAGATATTCTACAGAATAGTTATGGGTGAGCAGTTTTATAGTTTTTTGTTAGGTCAGTTGTTAATCAAATGTGAATCCCATTGTGTTCCAAGAAACTTTTGAAGTCATTGACCCTATGGATTTACCTTCATGTACAGGCCCATTTTTCTTTGTCAGGACAAATGATTTTTTAACCTATCACTGTTTTTCTAAATGCAAACGTTTCTGGGCCCATATTTACTTGCCTATATTGAAATTTTGACACATACACACCATATACTACTCTAATACTGCGGATAAACACAGCTACTACTGTGTATGTTCTCAGTTCTCTAGTCTGACCAACCTTTAGACCAACTAGACAATGGCACACAGATCAGCAAGGACAATAGATTATACATTAACTTGAATATTAATGTCACATAAGTTTTGATATAATCATGTAAAGATAAAAGAATAATATATTCTATATTGCTGGTATTATTTATTTTTATTATATATATGCAAATTTTTTTTAACGGGTCTTAACTCGGAGCATGCGCCCAAACAGAACGACAATTGCAAAGTTTAAAGGTTGTGAAACAACGAAGTCGCGATCGAGAACGAAGAAATAAACTGCTAATAAAAGAATGACTTCCACTGTTATCGAAACATTAATAAGAGAATGTCACTCAGCAAAAGAACAAGCATATTCTCCTTATAGCAATGTCCGAGTTGGTGCTGCATTGTTGTGCGAAGATGGGACAATAGTTCAAGGATGCAATGTTGAAAATGCTGTTTATCCGCTTACTTGGTGTGCAGAAAGAACAGCTATCGTATCTGCAGTCAGTCGCGGATTTCGTAAATTTAAAGCAATCGCAGTGACTAGTGATATTATTGAGAAGCCAATCACTCCATGTGGTGCCTGTCGCCAGGTAATGGCAGAATTTGGAACTGATTATGATGTGTATATGGTGAAGCCAGACTCTACATATACCAAGGTAACAGTCCGAGATTTAATGCCTTACCCATTTTTACCCGAGGATCTACCTTTGGCAAGAATAAAGAATGAATAGTTTATTAACTTATAGAGTACTACAGATTTTAATATAAGTACTGAAGTAGATAGATGTATTGAAAAATGTTAATTTGCTATATTTCTAAGTTAGTTGTTAAAGAAGTTTCTCTAATGTTATAATTTCTGAAATATTTTGTTTTTCCATAGGATTGCCATGGGTCAGCACCACACCTAACTTTTGTGTACTAATTGGGGTGGGTTGGGGGTTGGCCATAACCTTTTTAGTTTGCTGCCAGTATATGTGCATTGTGCATATTAATTAATAGCAGAAAATGACTAAATGTCAAGCTGTCAAAATTACATAGGCATGTAGTCTTAAAATTTAGGGGTCTAAAAATGGCAAATAAGGGTATTATATTGCATCCTCTCTGAAATTCTCACAGTTTGGGATTCAATTTCCTTTGGATATTTCAGCTCAACAATCTGGTATAAATTACCCAACTTATTCCTAATTATGTCCAATCTGAGACATACTTGTGCCATATTTCAAAGATTGTAGGATTAGCCACTTTATTATTATTTACATTTTTACTTGTGTATTGTGTATAGTATCAAGAAATCTGCCAAAACTATTTGTAACTTAGTGCAACATCATTGTAGTAATATTTTAACAGGTTAAAAGAACAAGATGCACATTTTGAATTGATATATATCAGTATTAATTATCAAATGACAATGACATATTCTTATCTAATAGAAAATTCCAATAATGGAAAGTACTAGTTAATAAACTAATGCTAAAGAATTTCTTTACATTCATCAATTATTGATTGTTTAACTTGAATGTAGTTTTGACAGTTCAGTAGTTTCAGTAGTTTGTAAATCTAATATACTCCTCTCACTGTTTTTTTTTTGTGTTTATTGGCCCAATCCTTATGGCACCCTATTGTAAAGTTTAAATTCCTAATGGTGACATGTGGTGTTTCATGGTCTGCTGTTTCCATTTTTCTTTATATAATATACTATCACATATTCAACATAATTGTACATTCATACGCTGTATACATTCAGATCGAAATTTTACTTTTGTCTAGATTTGGTAAATAGATAAAGACAATCATCAGATAAAGACAAAAATATGTGGCAATTATTTTTTATTGATTCCTATACTTTTAAGTTTGCAACAAGAAGTAAATACTTTCCTCTGCTGGTAGTTCAAGATGATCCATTCTTCATCTTGTGTTGCAAATGAGGTGCATGCCTTTCAATTAGTAGTTTGCAAAAGCAGCAACTTACACTGTGGCAAATTTAAATGACTAAATTTATGGCAGGGTTTAATAAATTGTAAAACATTTTAAATAATTTTGAATACTATTTAGAATCTCTCGCTTTTAAAGCTAAAGCACTTTGTTGTATAGGTATGGGTGTAAAGGCGGCTACCGACCACCGTCCACCTAGCAGCTATGTAATGAATGGCATTTGGAAGTGCATTTATGGGCTGGGTTGAATTGTCATCATGAAGATGTCTATAGTATAGAGCAATGTTAGCAACATATCATAACATGTTATTTATCCAGCTATGGTTACAAAAACTGGACCCAAAGAACAGAAGAGGTATCTTCTCAATTTCATGTACAGAACTTCTGCATAGTTATTTAATGCTATATAGCTTATGTATAATCTTATATAATTTGCTCAATAAATTCAGTAGATATGATATTTTTTTTCATCTGTGATTGACAACAACGAATTGCGGAGTCATTGAAAAATAATTTTCCATGGCCTAGGAAACCTTGGAAGGATTTGCTTAATCCCTGGTGATCTCTAGAGAGATTTGCAAAATGATTTAAATAAAATTATGTATAAGGTTTTTTTATTCATGTTAAATTTATATTCACCCAGTTGAAAAATAAAATCGAGTGTCCCCCTCCATTTAGGTGGTATAGCTGCGGCCTGGAGTATTGTCCTTCATAATATACCTTCTTTCCATGCTACTCAGGCAGGTTATATCATTATGTTACAGATTTCGTGATTTGCAGTTAGGTTTAAAATACTTCACTCCCTCCTGTTTCTTTTGCGCTTTTCATGTCTATTTACATGTTCTTCTGGTGACTTGTGTTTTCTACTGTGTTTCCTTTCATTACTAGGTTTCTCATTATTATGGTTCTTACTATGACTAGCCCCCTTATCTGCAACATTGTCTTTTGTACTTTGTGAACATTTGTCTTTAGAAACTGCCCGCACACTCGCCTCATTTGAATACTTTGAAGATGAGTAAGACTTCCTTGTTGGTTCATATTTAACTTTAGTTTTTCCTTTAATCCTCCCATCTTTCAAAGGGCTTTGTGATGAGCTAGAGGAACGATTATCTTCCTGTGAATTTTCTCTGTGGTGTTTTCTTTCTATGAAAATAAAGTTCTGTTATAACCAAGTGATCTCTATACAAAGGTGCTAGCCACTTCTATTTCAAATTTGGAAAGTCTAGGATGTACAGGATGTAAATGATACTGTCAACTAGCAAATACTACATTTAAAGCGACATTCCACCTTTTCTTTTATTGCTTCTCTTGTGATCTGTCAGAGTTCCCATAACAACATTACGTAAAAATCTTTTGTTTGTTGGTATCAAAGGGCACTTTATCCTAAATAAAACATCTTTATTACAAATGGTTTCTAATAACTACACATATTTGTTCACTGAATCTATCTAGAAATAGTTTTTTGTAATCGAGACTACATAGGTGTACTACATTAATTTTGGATAAAACTAAGAATATAAAACAGCCTGCCTAGGTATATAAATGAATATGTCTATGCAAAAACTTTATCCTAGTACTGTAAATATCACTTAGTGTTTTTCTACTTACCATCCCATTGGTCCCATTGTTTTTGCTCTTTCTTTGCCTCTCTGTGTCTCTCTTATGATCTCTTCAAGTGCCATGCTAGATAAAACAATATTATATATACATATATATGGTCTAGAGTTTACAAACTGACAACTGCCTTCTTTTCATATACATTATCTTACAGCTTCTTTCAATTGATCCAATCCAATACAAACAGCTTCAATCTTTTGCAAACCCTTATGGCAGCAAGATATGTGAATGTGAGAAATCTGGTTCAATACTCTATATCACGGTGTTCAGACCGATTCATTTGTTTGATACAGTTTTTCGCATATTTTAGAAATATTATATTATTAAAAGTATTAAGTTATCTATTATTATTATTCCAATACACTTCATTGACATTCTACATATTTGTATATACCTCTCAAGATCACCTTCCTCTCCTCCATCCTTTTTTTCCATTTTCTCTACCTTTCAATCCTTCGGAGTTTTTCCAAAGCTTTCATGCTGTTTTTTCTTTCACTTTTTTTCTTTTTTGAAAATTTGTGATGACTACTGCAATACTTCATTTAGTATAGTTATAAGTGATCCTGCCGCCGCTGAAGACACGTTGCAGGCTCAGAATTAGCGGGAACATCGGAATTAGAAGGAAAACCGGAATAAACCAACCAGAACCAACACATTGGTGGGATTCAAATGATGTGAGGTGGAAAGTCTATGAAAGCAATGGTATTAATATTAAAATAGACGTTTTCCAGGATACCACAGTTTATACCGTCTCCTCATGTTGTGAAATATTGGCAAGATGACATCAGCAGCAACACCGTTTGGAGGAAGTTTTTTTGGTAACAAAACTACGGCATCCACACTGACTTTTGGTACCCCAGCCGTCACCGCTACATCTTCAGCATTTTCATTTGGAACACCGAAATCTACGGCTACAACAGGTATGAGTGGTGTGTAAACTATCCTAAGAGATGCAATAGAGTGAAATGTCATGTTACATGGTTGCTAAATCTTGTCTGACTTGTCATGATCATCCAACATTAGCAACAAATGATTATACATTTGCAGCCACGTTTCACTTTTTATTTCATTGCTCCTCTTGTGACCTGTCAGAATTCCCATAACATTAATAACAACATGAACAACTCTTTTGTGTGTTAATATCAAAAATAGCATATAATTAATAATTATAATAACATACATAATAAGTTTGCAATCGACTTACAATTCACCAATATTACAGTTAAATCTACATGCAGTCTCTCTTATATGTTACATGGATTGTACTGAATAAAACTCATGCCTATATTTTTTCCATAAGCACTTTCCTGGAAACACAAATGCCATGATAGGTACATGTAAAGTTGTATGATGCTTTCTAAAAAATTTAATCTGATCATTTCATTAAGTTCCTTTATAACCTCTGTTCAGGAAATTTGTCTAAGTATGCTTTTCATTTTCTGATCTGGCCCTATATAATTATTATTCCCATGTTCAAGGCCTATAAATGATTTGTGTTTCATATAAATATTTGATTTATGCCTGCACATCTTAGGGTTTGGGTTAGCCACAAAGACGACAGCTTCAAGTATTTTCAATACAGGGGGAACCAGTTCTCTTTTTTCTGGAGGATTAGGTTCCACTGCCACAAAAGGTTTTGGCGGTTTTGCTACAACAACTGCTTCAGCCACTAAAGGTTTCGGTGGCTTTGGGTTAGCTACAACAACAACCACCGCCAGTAAAGGATTTGGTGGATTTGGAACAACTGGATTGGGAGGTTAAGTTTTTATACAATGTTGCTCACTATAGGTGGTTGTGCATGGCAAAAAAGTTAGATTTGGGGGATTGAATATAGTTATTTGAAGTGCATCAACTGAAAAACTTGCTTGTCATGAATAATGGTGCTTCTTTTGAGTGCTAAAACCACTCAAAATTGCATTGCATCCTTTATAGTGATGTATTCACATTTGTGTATATATTTAAATTCATTTGTATTTCTTATATGTTCTGGAAAAGGAACGACAACATTGAATAATACGCAACAGCCTGATCCCAATGATTTGTCAGTAATATTATCCGCAATCTCAGTACCAAATATATTTGATGATGATCGGGATGCAATCTTGGCAAAGTTCAATAAAATGCAAGGATTCCTTGGTGTTGGTCAAGGATACTTTAACAAGAGTATGCCACCTGTTACCTTCAACATGGAGAATCCTTTCTGTAGATTCAAGGTGAGAACAATGTGATTGTATGGCAAAGAGAGTATTAGATTTGCATTGTGTTGTCACACATCCCAGTTTTCTGGTCATAATCTACTTGGTGTAAACCTCTCTCAATGTATATATTTTAGTCAGTGGGATATAGCTGCAAGCCATCAGAACCTGATTCTGCTGGTTTAGTAGCTCTAACTATCAATAAGAAACAGCAAGATGTAAAAACTCATCAACAACAACTTGTTGAAGCACTTCAAAAGTTGTTTGGTAATAAGCCAAACATTGTTGTGTTTGTTGAAGGATTGAAACCGTTACCAGAAGATAAGTAAGTGCATTATGACGATTACCAATCATACCTGCATGCTGAATTATCTTGTGAGCATGTTTTTACTAGTGCGAATTTTCACGAATTTACTACAAGAGTCGTTTATATAATTGTTTTTAATATACAGTAGGTAAATTCTATGCTATAATAACAAGCAATGTAACTTCTCAATGTTTTTCAATCACTGGGAACTTCAATTCCGGAGGTTTTTGATGATGTTCTTCCTCATCATTTTTCCTACTCACAGTGTACTCTACATGAGCAAGCTAATGAACTTCATTGAACTTTATTGTAAAGAAACTCATGTCTGCTGTTATAATAACTGCTGTGTTAAAGTTTGAATGGAGATTTTATTCCAATAGGATACTGTAAAAGCATTGTGAATAATTTTTGTACCGTATACTTAACGTGTTTACTGAAATGTCATCTAGGACTGAAGTTGTGGTTTATTTACTGGAGAGAGATGCCAGCGGAAATTCCAGACGTTTTCCTGCTTCGGAAGTGTCAAAGTATTTAAATCAAACAAGCATGAAGGCAAGCAATAAAATATTGAAATGTTCAAACATTTTGATACATGACTTGGCATGATTACATGTGTACGCTGCATGTCTGTAATATTGACGAGAAACCATAGCTCTGCATGATACGAATATTTCTTACTGTCCATGCGGTTTAGATTCAGCACCTGTCAAACGAGAATGAAAGTTGATGAGAGTTGCTGACTTTCGCTAGTGTTTCCCAGTGAACTCTCATACACTCTATAGTACACACTCATCAACTCTTGCATGCGACTTTGAACTCGTTCAAATTTTGATGAGAGTCGATGAGAGTTGCAAAACAGCTAGCGGTTTGCATTTCGTAGTAGCAGGCTCAGCAAAACAGTGCAAAATAAATGCAAAATACAGTACAAAATACAGTATTCCCTGTTAGGCGCGCGATAATATCCAGTTAACTTTCGCTTCCCAACTCTCATCCTCGTTTGACCGGGGTTTAAGTTGTTTAGGCATGTAACAGTGAACCACATTTAAGGGAGATTATTTTTGTTGTTTCTAATAGTATTTTTCTGTTATACAAATTAGACTCAGTTACAATCGCTTGGGGTGTTAAAAGTGATTGCTAAAGCAGATCTAACTGAAGACCAACTAAATATGTACCTCAGCAATCCTCCTGCAGGTGAGAGGCATGAACATGCTAGATCAAGGAAAACTCCATTCAGTATAACCTGATACAGTAAGAAAGAAATCAAAGAATATACTGCACGTGTTTAACCAAAAGAAATAGCTGCCTTCGGCCAGCGAAATGCGATAAGATTAACGAAGAACGTGTGCAAAAGTTAGCGAGTGTTTAATCTGGACCTTACTAATAGCTAAACGAACACATACTGTATTTACCTAACGCCAAAACGTATCTATCAAAAAAATCTGAAGTATAACAGCTCCTCAAATCTCTGAAGGTTAACTAAATCAATTACCATTCCGTTCTAATATCTGTTCATCTAAATGATCTCGACCCATGCCTATTGTAAGTCATCATGAGATTTCTTTCTCAACGTGCTGTTATTCAATTTATTTTTTGTTTTTTTTCTATAATTGCCATTTTGCAAGTACAAAGGGAATCTGAACTATTACAATAAAATTTGTTTAGGTATCCATCCCATATTATGGGAACAGGCCAGAAAGGATAATCCTCAACCCCACAGGTAAACCACAAATATTGTTGTTTCCTAATATGTTTTCAGATAGGTATCAGGCTTTTTATATTTTATTTATTGTTTTACTCCATAGACTTGTGCCAGTGCCAATTTTGGGCTTTGAACAACTTCAGAGTAGAATAAAGCAACAAGAACAAGAAACTGCTTTACACCAACATGCCCTTGAGGTGAAATTATCATTTCATGCTTTGACATGTTTGTAAAGTATTCAAAAATAACAACTCAATTCACAGCGTCTTCAAAAAATAAGTTTTGTCTACTTTAGGCAGATGTTATACCACATTTAGAACTAGTTATTTGTTTCCATCAGTGCATGCATTGAACTGTGTAACAATGTGCGTAACTGACTTTTTTTTCAGATTTTGTCTGATGATATTACCACCTTACAACAGAAACATACTGAAACTTTAACGAAATTAGCAGAGTACAAAAGACGTTTCCTTGATCTCAGTCACAGAGTACTCAAGGTATACGGTCATCATATAGTATGTTAAAATATGGAAGGTCATTGATTATGTTTTGGTATACATGTATGAATATATTTTAAAGCGTTGGCTTTGCACTGCAGGTGATATCAAAACAGGAAGTAAAGCGTAAAGCTGGTTGCTCTATTCAAGTTAATGAAGAAGATTTAAGGTATTATTGAAGTAATTAACGTATAAAAAGTTGGGTGTAATATATTCTGAATTTCTGCAAATACTTTAATCTGTATGTCGTCTTTTTCAGGATACAGCTTGAGTCAAATTTGGCAGCATTAAATGCGCCAACCCAGTTTAAGGTTAGATAATTAAATTATACAGTTTCTGTAAGGCGAGATAAGTCATAATTAAGTCAATATATACAGGCAAGTTGGTATGTTCCTTGCTTATGCTTCAATGTAATGAAAATAGTGATTGTGAAATGAAGCGAAATTAGGTAGCATCAAAGTCTGACGTTTTATTGCTGATGTTTAAATTATCTTATTATATAGAGTATACATTTGAGGAACCGAGTGCATGTTAACCATATCAATGTGCAGTCATAACAGGTTTCTAGGAAAAAGTCAGTAACCACTTTATTATTGACCTTATCTACAGGGTCGTCTAAATGAGCTTGTGGCACAACTTCGTCTTCAACAACAGATGACCAACAATCCGCTAGACGTCCGTTACTCCATGGAGAAATCTATTCATTCAGACTTGAAACAGGTTTGTGAAGTTTTCACCGAATATTCATTAAAAAAATTGCATGAATAGACAAAGTTTTTATTTTACTGAACAAATTTGTATAATTTAACTTCCAACGAAACTGAAACTCAAGTTTTTGCCTTCGTTTGGTGTAAATCCCACATCATGTAGTCTTTCAACTAACCGAAATTTTGACTTGTTTATATTATATGCTCAGCATTTAGAAAAGCAACAAGAAGGTTTAAAGCATCTTACAAATGTCATTCGCAATGATCACGAGGATTTAAAATTAATTCAACAAGGACTGGAAGAACCTACGCCAAGAAGGTGATAACTGATAACGTACAACTCCCCATACAATATGGTGCTAATTATCATCCACTAGCAAGACTGCTGCTGATACGAGGAACACGATCTAAAACGTGAAATGGCAACAAAAAAGAAAACTGGAAAGTGGCATTAATTTTAATTTATACATACGCACTACTATAGATACACATAATTAAAGTTATGCTAATAAACATGGGACTATCCTAGCATACAGGATTATTGGCGAATAGACGGGTTTTATTTTGTGAGCACGAGCAAGCAGCTATTGGATTCATATGATTGATGGCTGGTGACAGAAAACGGTTTATTCCGCCTCAAATATGCGAAACGTCATTTTAGAAAGGTTTTAGAAAAACTATTGTTTTTCATCTGTATTATTTGGTTCTGCATGACAGCATGTTAATTCTATTGTCTATCATTACCATTGATCATACTTGTGATCTAATTGGTGTGTGATGTAATGACGAATCAGATTAAAGTATGAATATTTAAAAACAAATTTTTTCCAGCCAATTTGAGTTCAGCCTTCAGTAACCTGTCCTTCCCCTTACAAGCAAAGGAAAGGATGCGTTTTCGCGTCAGAAAAACGATGTATTTCGTTTTGTTTGTAACCGCTGCTCTTCTCAATTTCGTGGTGAGCACCGACAGTAGAAACGATTTGAAAAGCCAAGAAGAAAGGGATTTGATGCGTTTGTTTCTGCAAAAAATTCCAGATGCATCCAAAAATGTCGGCCGGCGTCGAGAAGTGCCTTCCTTCCTAAAGAAATTGTTCAAGATGCAGTCTCGTCGGTCCACATTCTCACAGGTCTTTTGTACATTCAGCGAAGGTGAGAATTGAGTTGTGTCAAGACTTATCCAAAGTCTGATAATTGCGAATTACCAAAACTATTTTTGAGGTACCAAAATGGCAAAAGTCAAACAGTAACATTGTTTATTATTGTTTGTGTAGATCGCTTGCTTTCAAACAAACGAACATCTTTATTTTCCTTTGATTTATCCTACATTGAAAATTTTCGTGAGGCTAATCAAATACAGTTACGTGTGTTTAAACGAAGATCGAAACGACGAGATTCACGCGAGTTCTATTACATACATTTATACCAAATCTTTGATAACGCTATACACAATGCTTCTCGCGAAAGCAAACATTTAATTAGTTCGCGGTTTGTTCGTAATTCACGTGGTGAATGGCTGGTATTTGATGTAATATCCGAGCTTAATTCACAAGATATCGTACTTACAACCACGAAACCCAGCTTTTTGCTCCAGATAAAAGCAGTCAACGATCAAGCTAAGTCTAAACCAGTATCGATAGCGAAGTTTGGTCGCAAGCAACCATTTATGCTGGTAATTTTTCAAAAGAAAGTTTCACCGACATCCGAAATGAAAACGCCTAGCAGTTCAAACCTATATCAGTTCGGAAAGTTGCGAATTACACGATCTTCGAGTTCGAACGGTCGACCGACTGGGCTGTGTTCTCGTCGCAAATCGTTGCATATCAACTTTCAAAGCTTCGGAATGAGCAATATTATTGCACCTAAGAGCTACGAGGCCTATTATTGTGATGGAAAATGTCCGATTCTGTCAGGTTCAATATATTCATTTCTTCGAAACCGCTACCGGCTACAAAGTAAAAAGAAGATCCCGGCAGCTTGCTGTGTTCCTACCGAGCTCGAATCTCTACAGTTGCTGTATATAAACACGAAAGGAAATATAATTCTCGATCACTTTAGGGAAATGGTAGTATCATCGTGTGGCTGTAGGTAGCTTTACGAAAATGTTTGAAACCAGAAACCATAACAGCTAATTCAAATTCGAAAGCTTTTAGGCTCTTTGAAGATGTAAGTACAAAGTATATTCAAGTTTGTGGTGCGTATCAGCCTTGTGTGACTTGTGGTCATATACTGTGAGTGTAATTCCTATGGTAATTATATCACTGTTAATTTACACAAAGATTAGTGGTGTTTGTGATAGAGCGATATTATGCAAATTCCATGTACGTTTGCAAAAATCCAACCAGTAGGTGGATATTTACTGACAATCTTTATTAGAATAGGAAGAAACCAAACAAAACTTGATTATTTTTCTACGATACGCATTGGTATATACTAGTTTAAATATGTTTATTTACATCCAATTTACATTATTGAAAACTAATTAAAATCCCAGAAGTTTGTTGTCTACATATTAGTTAGTAGAACCACATTGCATGATGGTTGGTTGGTTGGCATGATTGACTTTCAATATCTTTTCGATTTTAGTTTGCCGCCTCGCTTGTTACACGGAGTAGAATCGAATCAATCGATCGATGATAGACGCAGAACAGAATTCATTCATATGACTTATCTGGCAATATAAATTTTTCATGCGCCCGCTTGGGCGGCGTGAAAATGATTAGCTCCGCGTGCTCGGCAAGTGCCCAAATCATCATTTTCCAAATCATCATCATGCCAATTCTAAGCTAATCCTGTTCTCGAGCATGCTACAGGGGCCGGTTGTTCAAGAACAGGTTAAATTTAACCTGGGTTAAATTTAACCTGGGTTAGCGTTAACCGGCTTTTGAACAACCGGCCCCTGAATGCTAGATATAAAGTGAGAGACGCCCTCGTAGGCCTCAAACTGGGGGCTAGGGTTAGGAATCTCTAGAGCCAATCTTTTGTCCAGAGCCATAAATTTATGGCAGTGATTGGACACGCTACCACATTGGTAGGTCGGGTGGTGACAATCCGCCACGGACCCATCACCACTGAGCAGAATACTAATAATGGTGAAATTATATGAAGTATTGTAATAATATTTCAATATGGCGGCAGTTTTGTGTAGAATGGTAAATCTGCGCCATTTTCGTGTCGTTTTAGAGCATCGCAAATTGCTGTCAAGATGCTATATTTCCTATAATTATACAGTAAGTCAATGCGTGCAATCCTTACAGAGGTATAAAGTGTACAGCCTGACGGGAAATGAAAAAAGCTTTCTTATTAACTCCTTGACGCAATGTAAACTTATTCGACGTAATTCAGTAAAAACTGCACACAGTAAAAAAAGCAAAGAATATCGTTTAAACAGTAATATTAAAGCAAAAAATGTTCGCTTAATTGATCAAGAGGGGAAAAATCTTGGAATTATCACTTTGAAGGAGGCCCTTGAAAAAGGAAAGAAAGAAAATTGTCTGGTAGTGGAAGTTCGTGAAACTCCCTCAGAAACTGTTTGCAAATTGGTCAGTCAACAACAACTTTACGAGAAAATGAAAGAAGAAAAGAAAAATGTCAAAACTAGAAAGATAAAGGAGGTGAAAGTTACTGCAAAAATATGCAAGCATGATTTAGACATTAAACTGAAAAAAATTGTTGAATTTTTGGAAGATCGAGATAGTGTTAAAGTGTTTGTCGCCCATCGAAGATTACAAAATACAAATGTGGATGATAAAAAGGCTTTGATTCAGAGGATAGCTGAACTTGTCAGTGATGTGGGTTGTTTGCAAGGAGAAGTAAAAGTTGTTGGTAATGGTGTACGAGCAACATTTATACCACTTCAAAGGAAATAAGTTTATGAGGTTCATTTGAATTTGGGATTATCCATCCTATTAATATTAATACCAATCAATTCAACATAGGTCATGCATGGTAGAGAGTAAACAAATTCAGTGCATTATTTTCCTGAAAATGGAAAACTCTTTAAAATTAGCATAATTACTCTGAGCAACTGCTTAGCAGGGTTTCCACAACTTATTTGCATATAGCTGTCCTCTTAGGGGGATGGCAATGACAAAAGAGAGAAACAAAGAGCTTTTGAAAAGAATGCATAAAATATTATATTAAAACAGATCCCTCCCTCCCTTGTGGTTGCTAATTGCAAGGAAATTTCCTTGCAATGTGGAAACCCTGCTGCTTAGGTCAGTCATTTTGGAATTTTTCAATTTTGTCCCTGTTTATGCAGGTAGAAATCTTAGAGTCAATATGATTTTCTTAGGACTGGTAATGACACATTTAGGGCTATTAATATTTGGGCAACTTTTGTGCAAACTCCCCCAAAACAATCCCATTAGGGATTGTCAAACCTGTTAACAGCATCATTATTCCTTTTGCAAATTCAAAATGGCCAATTATGCATGTGAGTGTAATATTGCTCAGATAAAGGGGATATCAATAAATGAAAGAGTGGTTTGGGGCTGTAGGCTTCTATATATTATATAAACCTCAAAATCATCTCATGCTTGTTTGAATCTTGCATGATTATAACTAGCATGTGTAAATGAGCTTAGGCATCATAAATGAGCTTTTCGTCACAGTAAAACACATTTGATCCTTTGAGATCCTGCCAAGGTGCTGTTCTAAACCCCTGGTCAACAAGAAACTTGTTTCTTCTTAGATGTCGGCTGCTCAATCATTTGAGTGTCAAAATAGCTGGCATTAGTAAAAACCATTATATCATTTGCTTGAGACAGACGAGTAATTTTTAACAAATAATATTTGTCAGTGTCAAGCCTATGTATAATTTATGTTCAAAAATATGCTTGTCAAGTATGAAGTTGTGACGAGTGTATTTCGTGCGTGCAATTCAATTTTGTTTTAGCAGAGCGGTCTGAAAGCCGAAGAAGTCGGAGATGCGAGCGAAATTTCGTTCCTGGTGGATTATTTGCCGACTACAATACAGTAATTGCTGAATTACTAACGTCAACAGAAAGTGAGTTTATCAGAGTATGTTTAGTCTAACGAGATCTAAGTCCAATAGATAAATACGGTCGGCCGAGTCGGGATAATTTTACGGGAAAGATAAGCTGAGACAGAAGAGTCTGGTAACTCTCAACAAAACTTATCTTTACCTGAAAGAACTTTCTGTACATTTAAGTTCTTTCTGAAAGAACTTTCTGTACATTTAAGTTCTTTCAGTACAATGGTTATACATGTTTATATACAGTATATACAGTAGTCAGTGTTTCAAAAAACAGCGTGAACTTGTAAAGCCTAAAGGAACCTAAATTTATAAAGCTGGCGAAAAACGTATACCTTAATTCACTACGAGGCGTTTGCTTTCTTTACGTGTGACGAACATAATTTATGGGAGGTGAATAGAAATGCGAAGGAAATGTGTTACAGCAAATGAATTTATAGACAAAATATCGAATGCTAGAAAATATACTGAAGAAAATGTGCTTATGTATGTATATAAGCGTACCATTTCAAGGTGAAGTGAAAAAAATGTTTTGGCAAACTTGCAAGCGAACTCGGAGGATATTAGTGACCAGGCTAATTTTCTTATTTCTTAATACTTATTACTTGATTAAGTTGGAAAAAAGAAGTCCAGACTCCTGGTAACTACTGGTTAAATAGATTGAATGCTAATTCATAGGCCAAGCGCAAATTAAATTTGTTGTTGCGGCAATTCTAGAATTTTCACAGCGCTTGCATGTCTAAGAATTGATCTATTTTGCTTAGAAAAAATATTTATGGTTTAATGGCTTCTTAGACAATGGCAATGCACCTGTTCTTATGCATTCTATTCGTCACCACATTTGTCATTAAGAATTATTGCATAAATTATGGCGTATATACTTCGTACAAGAATCAGCTGAACTTCTATATATTTGGATGGTACTACTTTCAGTTACCAACCAGGAAAGCTGAAAAATTAGCTTGACCAGAGTGGCAATTGAACTAGAGACCTTAAGCCTTTGGTTTGCTAGTCCAAATGCTCTTCTAAAGCCTGCTTTCATATGTCGTAATTCATCGGCGTTCTTCAATGACCTATTGGCAATGATCAATGAAGTGTATAATTTTCTTCGATAGATAAAGGATTTTAAACCAGGATTAAGGGCTGTTTTCATGAGCCAACTCGTCGACATTTGTTCGCAATAAAGACTTCCATTTTCTAAAATTGAATGCAATTGTTGATGGCTGAATAAATATTTACGGTAGTGTAGGAAGTGTTGCTATCGTGAAAATTATGCATGACAATCATCAGTTGGTCTCAGGAAAAGTATTTTATGTGCCATATCATTTTCCTGCAACCTTCGTTTGCCAGATAGCTTAATTAATGAGTATAGAGAGAGGCCTACAACTTCGTGAATATGCTGTGGTCGATCTTTGTATTGGGCCTTACAAAAAACATTAAATAATTAAAACTTTAAACAATTTATACCTTTATTTACATTTAAAATGAATAAAAGTAAAGACAAGTTTAAAAGTCTAATGCATTCGAGATTAAAATTATACACCATTCAGTCCATTATGACCACTTTATTGTTGTTAGTGCATTTGTAAAGTGGATTATTTTCGAATAAGCAATCATCTAATGGGTTAGTCACGTCGTACTCTCCTCACAGTTTATTTATATATGAAGATGCTTTTAGGCTATAACTAATAACGACAAGGTTCATGCATGTGTGTCACAAAGTAGACCATAGTTTCGAAACAGTGATCCACTAAGGCAGAAAAGGTCTGAAATATAAATAAAAGCAAAATAACACTAACCCATGCAAGCAGTTCATTTATTTCAGATCTCAAGAGATAATTATGTATTTCGTAGCATGCATGCACTTCGCATCTCTCCTTATTAACCCGGTTCTCATACGACACGTCACCGACAGTTGCCGATGTCGCCAGTAACGAAGAAAAGTTTTAATTTCATTGACAAAACCCAACACTAAATATTTATAAATATTCGCTTCTTTTCAATAACAAAAGGTCGTAGGCCTTTGGGATTGTTTAGGTTGCGTTTTTTTATACATCCTGTGGGTCTAATGTATGAGTGTAATTGTCAATTGTAGTTAGCATTATATCTTCAGGATCGTCGACCCCAACAGTGTTTAAACACTCAATTTCCATTAACCGTTGATAAAATACTATTACCTGAAACATGACAGGCATTGTTCATACAAAACAGGTGCAATAATTTATAAAGTAAATTCAATTTTCATTTTGCATCATTCGATCGTTGGCTTGCATGCTAACGTGTTAAACAAATTAAACCACATAAAGGGACAATTTTTCTCTGTACTCAACATTAAAGGGAAACAACAAACAACAATATTAAGGTTAGAGGAAAAATAACGATATCAAGTATTTTAATTATAATGACCAGTTACATAAATATCACCCTTTAACCCTCCATGTCGTATATTAATAGTTAATTTATCGTTCATTCCCAACGCGTTTGCGCTAAATATTGACACATTGATATATATATTTAGCTATATTATATGGTTTTTGCGTGGCTTCCCGTTGTTTTTTATAGACATGGAGCTTTTCTTAAAATAACATGTCTTTTTGCTGCTCCAAATTTGGAAAATTAATGAACGACACGAACAACGGTATTATAAAGTACACAAAGTATGGGAGAAGAGGAACTTATAATGCGGCATGGTTTTGGAATAAGAAAGAAAAAAAATTAGTGGGAAATTAAACGTGACTAAATCAGCGACTGTTGCAATAGAAATTAACAGGAGCTAGTCCCGTTCTAATCACATTTGCATGTAGACTACAGTAACTCAATTGAAAATATCTGAATCTGTATTTTATTCTTTTATTCTATATAAAAGGCAAATGGTTCAATCGCACCATCCCCACAGTACCATTGGCATTGGCTCAACTTAAGCGGCCATGTTGTTTCAAAACATTTTAGTATATAACAATAATAACATTTGCTGTAGCGATTGTTTTGGCGGGGTTGTTGTTACGTTGTTATATAAATAGGAAGTTTATGATTCACGACGCGGCCGGCTCCACACGCGAGACAATAGGTATGCATAATTTATGCCCACGACAGTTCTTACGACGCCTTCAAGTAAATGATCAAGTCATTTTCACGTCTTCTTGAAGATATGAAAGCAACGGCAACGTGATAGCTGATTGGTAGTGAAACTGCAATTTCAGCCAGACATCGGAGGTTCTTAGCCCAATTGAAACGTTTGTATGATTATTTCAAAGTCCTGTAGCAATTGACTAGCGATGTCGAGTTAATCGTAGCGTCGTAGACGGTAGATCCTTGATTAGAGAAGCGCGACGTAAACGCGGCCTCTGAAATTAGGACGATCAATCTGTTTCTACTCCACAATAATTGACTTACACTAAAGATTGCATGAGAACTAGAAATTTCTCTCCCTTTCCCGGCCTTTTAGAAATATTTGGAATATATCTGTGATTGTATTTTAATACCATTTTCATCATCCATCGATTGCATTGATCAAAGAGATAGAAGAAGACAATAACGGCGCCATCAGTATAGTACTTAAGTGTCATAACTAGCTAGCTATCTATCCATATGTTGGCAAAATTTGTCTGAATCAACGAGATACTGTAGCTACTGTTGGGAACAATGTTTCCCCTATAATTTTGTGATATAGGCTTACATATATATATCGCATGAAATCGCACTCGCAGTTATCGTAATATTCGCGTCTAATTTAGTATTCTGTATTGGAAATTTCCTAAATAAAGCTCACCAGTTTCTATTAATACTGCATGCATGCATTTGTGTTAATGTATTACACAATAATTTGCTGTAGCTCTTTGAGCTCATTAATTGCAATTAACGTCATTTACCAAGCCATCTGCATGACTGTTATTTCATAATCAACTAGACTACATGCTGCCATCATTTAAAGTTATACTAAACATGGAAACAGCATGCAAATTTTTTGCGGCTGTAACTTATTTCCTAGCTTATTAACATTTACAAAATGTTTACACAAAAATCCCGGTTCAACTTTAGTCTAAATTTTCGTTTTTTGCTAACTTTCAGAAGCTGGTGTCTTTGGAATTCTTCAAAAATGGGAATGAAGTTAATCACTTTCAATGTTTTTCTCTTACTTGTCTCAAGTTCAACCGGCGGAGGTTAGTTCTTGAACAAAACCGTAATGTTAATACGACAAATGATGTCGAGCATGCGACAAAATATTTTTATTGTATAGGTATTGCTATTATCTTTTTTCTCTATATAATATTTTCACTCCTAATAATCTTATATTTATATAAATGATTAGGAATCACTACAGCAAATGAACCATGACGGTGAATTCATTCACATATAGTGTTTAGATCTCTTTCACGCACTGGACCTTTGCCTAGGTGCTTATGCATTCTTGGTTTCCATATGACGTCATATTATTATAGAATCTGTCATATTGTGGGCATGTTGGCTTTCACAAAATTTACTTCTGTTTTTCGAAGGAACAAACTCAGTTACTTACAGATTTACTTTTTCCTTATTTACTTTGCAACTGCTTCCTATTTCCGCCGTACTGTGTATATAGCAGGTGGCCTTCTCAATACAGCAACGATAAAAACATGATTTGTGTTTTGAAATATTGACCAAGATAGCGAGGATTTGACAACCCACCAAGCTATAGGCTGGAGGGGAGACTCATGTCATGAAATTCGAAAATTGTCAATAAAATACATTAAGAATACCATTTTTTCTCATCAAAAATATTGTCAGAATGCAGAATTCATCTGTCTTCATTTAATATGGATCTTTTTGCATGATATTTTTTTCGAGACACTTTGCATGTATTTATAGTTATATCACGCATGATAAAATTGAAAAAAATAGAAAAGTCAGTATAGGACAAGTGAATAAGATACAATTTTTGTCAGAAAAATGCATGGCTATAAGTATAATTACTTTGCTTTCTATGCATAAGTGAGGAATTAGAGACGCCAAATGCAGTTGTTTTTAAGTAAACTTGGTCGCGTCGTGGTCATTAAAGTTTACAGACCTCGACAGACTTGAAAGCCCATGACCAAGTAAAGCCAACATAATTATTCCTGAAAACAAGCAGGCCGCATGCACATTGTCGTGTCAATCTCTTACCTCTCTTTATAAAAATGTTCGCACAGCTCAAAATGACAAAATCATAAAGTCGTAGGGAACGTTGGAGGAAACCTAAGAAATGAAACGAACGAGAGAGTGCAATTAACGAACAAGAACCAACACCGAGAACACAACGACGATAAAGCCCCCCTAAAATAGAAACTCTTGATAACATGCAGCAGGGATAATAATAGTACTGACCTGGCCTGGACCAGGCCTAGGCCTAAATGTGAACGTTGTTTATTCGAAATACAGGCCAACAGCAGAAGGTGGCCTGGACCGGACCTAGACCTGGCCTGGGGAAGATTTTTGTAATGTAAACAGGATTTACCTAGTCCTGACAAATTTTGAACTTAATACTGCATGTGATTTGTATAGGATACATATAGTATTAGCACTTTTCGGCAAGTATTTTGTCAATTACTTTGGCTATCCGATATCAGCAACAAGGAAGACAGTGTGAACGTGGCACATATTACCTAGACTTGTCCTAGATTATGTCCAGGTCAGGTCTAGGCCTGAAGTGTAAACACGGCTTTTGTTACATTTGTGGAAAATATTGAGTACATCGAGAAAATGTGTTATTTTTGAATTAGAGATCGGTAGATGTCAAGACAATCCTTGTCCTGATGAACATGCAAAATGCACGTATATGGGGGGGCAAGACTACAAGTGTGATTGTAACGAGGGATACAAAGGAATAATGCATTGTACAGGTAAGTAGAATAATTCGAGTTCGAGTCGTGATAATTTTTTGTCAGAATTGCCTGTTTTCAGTATTCTAGATTCTAATAAAACCCGTAAACACTTTTTGCTATGATTTTGAGTACGATTTTTTTCTTTTGATAGATGTGAACAAGTGAATTAGTTACTGATGTTCCAATAAGAGCTCTTATATATCAAAGCATTTGTGACTAATTACACGGTCACATCAGTTAAAAGGAGAAAATCGTACGGAAAATTCGCAGAAAAAAATTGCAAAAGAGTGTATTGTGGCTTTTAGACCGATTGTTGAGATCTCAGATTCATTCCTCAAATATCGTTAAGTCTTAGGGGGAAATTTATTAAGGACGATTTAATAACAGGCTCCTTGTTTTTCCTTGTGTGTTATACGAATACTTACAAAAAGGCCGTGGGGACCCGTTGGGGGGGGGGGGGGGTGATATCCTCCCAACAAAGTTTGTCATATTTGAGATATTTGTATACGGTTTCATTACCCGGCAGGAATATAATATCTCATCTTTGAATGTTTCTGTATGTTTTTGTTATTTATAGACATAGATGAGTGTTCATTAAATATCTCTTTATGTCACGACAACGCAACATGCCACAATACAAATGGTTCCTTCCTTTGTATCTGTCCTCCTGGTTATTTTGGTGATGGACATAACTGTTCAGGTAAATAGACTTTAATTGCATATCTATAGAATACCATCATCATCCATTATAATCCATTAGGCTGTATCGACAATATGCCACACTTGATATACGTACTTGTGATGATAGTCCCGTCATGTTTTTTCTTGTATATATTTATTTGTAGCGAAAAACCGTTTTTGTAACTTTATGAATGTTAACTTCGTCACATTTAACGAAGTACAATGGATATCTACACGCGTAAAAATATCGTATCTTGTAGCAAGTTGTTCACAAGCTTGTAACAAGATTTGTTCGCACTGCTTGTCCCAAGCTGTTGACAAGATGGGACAACTTGTTAACAAGTTGTAACAAACTTGTTGAATCAAAAAACTTGCTACAAGTCTGTTCCAACAAGTCTGGTACAAACATGATCTGACAATCTTGCTACAATCCTTTTCTGTCAAGTTTGTAGCAACGTTGTTGTATCATATCTGATAAGACTTGTCAGAACAATCTTGTAACAAGTCTGATAGTGCCATCGGACTTGCTACAAGTTGTTAACAGCTTGTCCCAAACTTGTTACAACAAATTGGAGCAAGCGGTGCGAATAAATCTTGTTGCAGGCGTGGATAGACTTGTAACAACTCTGCTGCAGACTTGTTACAACTTGTGCGTTTTTACGCGTGTATCTGATGTAATTAACCGCTAGCTGAAGTAAAGCTAATTGTTTTAGACTCCAATTGTCCCCCAAACCGACTTTTGCTTTCTAATACCCTGTAAAGGAATGACTCTTTACTGTTGAATACCTTTATAATGGCCTTTAGAAACACGTTGTATATTTTCCTACAATAATGTAGTAGTTTTATCTAGTGGGATATTAATCAGTGCTTAACACAAATGGCTGTCATAGAAATGCGAAATGCCTCTATAGATTTAGTTCTTATATGAATGTAACTACATGTGACTTACACGTGACTTAGGTTAGTAGGTTACATAATATTAATTCCATACAGTTTTAACACTAAAACAAAATACAAGCGGCTATCATAGAAATTCTAAACGTCTCAATAATATTGGTTATAATTATGTAACGGTGAATTATGAAGAAAATAATAATAATCATGCAATGTATCAGTTTCAAGACCTGAATTATGTGCGTCTTTCTTTGAATATTTACATATTAATACATATGCCTTTGTTATTATCTAGACATAGATGAATGCTTTTACAATGATTCAAACTGTCACGACAACGCCACATGCGAAAATACTCCTGGTTCCTATGTTTGTAACTGTGTTCATGGTTATACTGGAGATGGACATAACTGCTCAGGTGAATAAGTTATCTGTACTATACACTATCTTCCATCCATGTTTTCCTGATCATGCAGTATTATTATCACGAGTTTGCCAGTTTACCAGGTTAATACGCTAGCCAAAGTTATTTTTTTATTACAATGATTAAAATGACCAGACTATTTTTTACCAGACATAGATGAGTGCATTTCCAATGCTTCAAACTGTCACGACAACGCCACGTGCAAAAATACTCCTGGTTCCTATGTTTGTAGCTGTGTTCATGGTTATACTGGAGATGGACGTAACTGCTCAGGTGAATAAGTTATTTGTACTATATACACTATCTTCCATGCATGTTTTCCGTCGTATGTTAAAAAGTGACGGTAGTATATTATCATGTGTTTACCAGGCGCAATCATTGGTGATGTTCGAACTCTAAAAAGCCATTATAGCATTGTAGAAATTAAAAAATATAAGTAAACTTGACTTAAGAACAATTTTTGTTCTGTTTACATGTTTTCGTTTCAAAATATTCCAATTTTGAATGTCATTCTGTTGCAGATATAGATGAATGTACGACAAATCGTTCGCGTTGCCATGTTTACGCCGAGTGCGTTGACACTGAGGGAAGTTATTATTGCAAATGCTTCAAAAATTTCACAGGCAATGGCACTTATTGTCAAGGTATATATAGACGCACATAGGTTGGAAGTTACGTGGCTACAGGGTCTAAAATCATATCTTAATAAGCAAACCAAAGTTAATTTTTTATTATAATGACCAGACTACATTTCTATTAGACATAGATGAATGCTTTTCCAATACTTCAAGCTGTCACGACAACGCCATGTGCAAAAATACTCCTGGTTCCTATGTTTGTAACTGTGTTCATGGTTATACTGGTGATGGACGTAACTGCTCAGGTGAATAAGTTATCTGCACTAAACACTATCTTCCATGTATGTTTTCCGTCGTATGTTAAAAAGTTACGGTAGTATATTATCATGTGTTTACCAGGTGCAATCATTGGTGATGTTCGAACTCTATAAAAAGCCATTATAGCATTGTAGAAATTAAAAAACATAAGTAAACTTGACTTAAGAACAATTTTTGTTCTGTTTACATGGTTTCGTATCAAAATAATACAATTTTGAATGTCATCCTGTTGCAGATATAGATGAATGTGCGACAAATCTTTCGCGTTGCCATGTATACGCCGAATGCGTTGACACTGAGGGAAGTTATTATTGCAAATGCTTCAAAAATTTCACTGGCAATGGCACTTATTGTCAAGGTATATATAGACGCACATAGGTTGGAAGTTACGTGGCTACAGGGTCTAAAATCATATCTTAATAAGCAAACCAAAGTTAATTTTTTATTATAATGACCAGACTACATTTCTATTAGACATAGATGAATGCTTTTCCAATACTTCAAGCTGTCACGACAACGCCATGTGCAAAAATACTCCTGGTTCCTATGTTTGTAACTGTGTTCATGGTTATACTGGTGATGGACGTAACTGCTCAGGTGAATAAGTTATCTGCACTAAACACTATCTTCCATGTATGTTTTCCGTCGTATGTTAAAAAGTTACGGTAGTATATTATCATGTGTTTACCAGGTGCAATCATTGGTGATGTTCGAACTCTATAAAAAGCCATTATAGCATTGTAGAAATTAAAAAACATAAGTAAACTTGACTTAAGAACAATTTTTGTTCTGTTTACATGGTTTCGTATCAAAATAATACAATTTTGAATGTCATCCTGTTGCAGATATAGATGAATGTGCGACAAATCTTTCGCGTTGCCATGTATACGCCGAATGCGTTGACACTGAGGGAAGTTATTATTGCAAATGCTTCAAAAATTTCACTGGCAATGGCACTTATTGTCAAGGTATATATAGACGCACATAGGTTGGAAGTTACGTGGCTACAGGGTCTAAAATCATATCTTAATAAGCTAACCAAAGTTTATTTTTCATTATATATAATGACCAGACTATATTTTTATTAGACATAGATGAATGCTTTTCCAATATTTCTAACTGTCACAACAACGCCATGTGCAAAAATACTCTTGGTTCCTATGTTTGTAACTGTGTTCATGGTTATACTGGAGATGGACATAACTGCTCAGGTGAATAAGTTATCTGCACTATACACATTATCTCCCATGCATGTTTTCCGTCGTATGATGAGTTTACTATAGGTGCAGTCGTTGGTGTCTGTGTTTTCGTATCAAAATAATCCAATTTTGAATGTCATTGCAGATATAGATGAATGTACGACAAATCGTTCGCGTTGCCATGTTTACGCCGAGTGCGTTGACACTGAGGGAAGTTATTATTGCAAATGCTTCAAAAATTTCACTGGCAATGGCACTTATTGTCAAGGTATATATATACGCACATAGGTTGGAAGTTACGTACAGGTTCTAAAATCATACCTTAATAAGCTAACCAAAGTTTATTTTGTATTATAATGACCAGACTATTTTTTACCAGACATAGATGAGTGCTTTCCCAATACTTCTAACTGTCACGACAACGCCATGTGCAAAAATATTCCTGGTTCCTATGTTTGTAATTGTGTTCATGGTTATACTGGAGATGGACATAACTGCTCAGGTGAATAAGTTATTTGTACTATACACTATCTTCCATGCATATTTTCCGTCGTATGTTAAAATATGACTGTTTATAGTATATTATCATGTGTTTACCAGGTGCAATCATTGGTAATGCATGTAACGAATGTATAAAGATAAAGAGCTGCCTAACGTTCAAACTCTAAAAATGGCTTATATACATACACACATAGGTCTGATTTAAAGCACGCACGAGTCTAAAATCATACTTTAACACGCTAACCAAAGTTTTTTTTTTATCATAATGACCATACCATTTTTTACTATAGACATAGATGAATGCTTTTACAATGCTTCAAACTGTCACGACAACGCCACATGCAAAAATACTCCTGGTTCCTATGTTTGTAACTGTGTTCATGGTTATACTGGAGATGGACATAACTGCTCAGGTGAATAAGTTCTCTGTACTAAACACTCATCTCCCATGCATGTTTTCCGTCGTATGATGAGTTTACTACGTGCAATCGTTGGTGTCTGTGTTTTCGTATCAAAATAATCCAATTTTGAATGTAATCCTATTGCAGATATAGATGAATGTACGACAAACCGTTCGCGTTGCCATGTTTACGCCGAGTGCGTTGACACTGAGGGAAGTTATTATTGTAAATGCTTCGAGAACTACACTGGCAATGGCACTTATTGTCAAGGTATATATAGACGCACATATAGGTTGGAAGCCACGTCGAGGGTTTAAAATCAGATAGTACCAATACTTACAAACAGGGACGTGGCGTCCGGGATTGACACCCTCTAAAAATTGCTTTTAGAAATTAAGAAATTTAACGTGACTTAAGAACAATTTTTCTAGTTTTTATTATAATAGCTTTCGTTTTGTCTACATAGTTTCGTATCAAAATAATGTGGTCCAATTTTGTACAATGCGGAATGAGAACCAGAAATTTCCTGATTTTAGTGTTCTAACTCTAAATTTGCCCTTTTCTACCCTAATAATTTGTTTTCTTATAGATGTGGATGAATGTAGTCAAGGTCTTTGTCACCCTAATTATGGTGAATGTAACAATACTGTTGGTTCCTTTGAATGTCGTTGCTTGCCAGGATTTATTGGAGATGGATTTAACTGTACAGGTAACATGTAGAGAACAGTTTTATCATTCTGTCATCAGGATTTACATATCCATGTTCATAACCGTGTCAATGTAAGAACATCATGCACGAATTGGAAGAATTTGATTAATATGTTTACGATATTGAATGTGGATTTGGACCAATACATTGCATGAATTGTTTTATAATGCAAAAAAATTAAGCTCAAAACTTGGATGGATAAATGCAGTTACAATATAGACAGATATAGAAACCTTCCCCGATGTTTAGATTTCGACGAATGCAATCATTGTTCATTTGTCTACACTGGAGATGGATTGAATTGCTCAGGTGAAATGTCTCCATGCATTAGTCAAATTTCAATCGTTTTAAATTTTTTTATAAAAATCATGATATCATGCAGTCCCATGCATGATTATATCCTAGTTGACAATCCGTTTTTCAAATTCTCTTTTTCAAATTTTCTCAAAAATTTTTCTCAAATTTTTGATTAAATTTAATTTCTGTTTTTATTACGATGATTTAAAGATGATGACGAATGTTGTACAACAAGAAAAAGTTGTCATCCTGATGCCGACTGTGTGAATACAATTGGATCCTATGGTTGTCAATGTCATCACGGCTACACGGGAAATGGGTTCAGTTGCACAGGTAACAAACGACATAGTAGGTTCGGACGCTTTGATTTAATTTGAAATTTTATTGTATTTATGGTACTTATGGTTTCATGTGCTTTCGTCAGGAGAGTTAGTATGAATAGAAATAGAGGATCTATTTATTAAAAGGATAGTGTTGCCAAAGTCGGCGATGTCGCCAAAGCAACAAGAGAAGAAAAAGGGAATTCATGCGATAAATAAAACGAGTGTCTATGTTCAGTTGTTTTGATTTTTTAGTTGATGATAATGCGTATTGTATAAAAGACAAAAGTCAAGATATAACCTGGGAGCGTACAAAAGCCGGAGATGTTCAAACATATTCCTGTCCTCGTAATCATTTGGGTGAGAAAAATTAGATGTTGTTTAGAGCCGATCAGCAAATCTGTTGAACATCATACTAAATCGATACGTCTCACTTTGTTAAAATGGACTCAAGATGATATGTCAGCAAAATTGAAAAATAACTTCCGACGATTAGGTGGCGTTGAGGGTGATACCAACAGTCGAAAATGTTAATAGTTACACTTGATTATATAATTAATTATTAATGGTTTCTACAGGAATATAGTTCATGATTAAGTCTCCCGTGAACCGTTTTTAATGAATAGTAAAAACCAATATGCGGAAAGACGTAACATGTAAAAAGGTCGTGTATGATTTGTTAGAACTCATCATTGTCAGTATTGCGTCACTGGCTTACTGCATGGTATGATTTCACAAATAATGTATGAGTATACCGTAGTAACCACAACATGTCTGTGACATATGCCTAGATATATTTTCACTTTGGTTAATAGGAAACTGTTCAAGAAAATGTTCAATTAAAGCAATTTGGGAGCTTCCTGATATGAGTAATTGTGTTTCTCCAAAGTTAGTTGAACTTGATAATCAGGTAATCTTCATAACTGAAGATGATTTGAATTTTGAACCGCAGCAATTGGTAATCGTAATTGGTGTTTAAATGCTGCGAAATGCTACGAAAACTGGATAGTGCTATCCACTGTAGAGGTTACATATAGGTTGTACTGTATTCTACCTCGTGTAGCGGTAGCGCATATTTATTACTTATCCTTTTATGATTTAGTTCGAAGAAGAAGTTGTGACAAAACAAAATATTTTACAAGGAAGTCTTGCACTGTCCAACTTTACAAGACTAAATAGCACGAAATTGTATGGTGGTGACATTATAACCTCTGTAAGGATCCTGAAGCATTTGGTGTTTAACAAGAATCGTTCAAGGTTGTCAAACTTCACCAAAAATGATATTAAAGAATTCGCCACTGTGAGTATAGTGGACGTTTGAATTTTCGAAACGTTTTGTGGATATATTAGGATTTCAGACAAGTTTATTTGTGAATATCTGCAGTTGGCCTTCTATATATATTCAATTCTATTATATAGGTATTACATCATTTGTTTTATACCTAAATATATCGCCCATTAGTAAAAAGTGAAAAAGAGAAGGGGGTATAAAAGTTCAGATTTTATTAGGCACGTTGTCAAAACCCTCATTTTATTTTCAGAGCTACAGTCAAACCGTGAACAACTTACTAGAAACTGAAAATATTCCTGCTTGGGAAGGTGTGAAAAAGGTGAAATTCATTGAAATATATTTGCGTCTGAGGTTTGCCCGCATAGAATCGTCAATAAAAGCCAATCATCTGTCCATATTTTTACCAGTTTGTTTAAACTCTCTAATTGCTATTTGGGCGTGGCCGAAAGCATTGGTCCACTTTACAATTATTACTCTTCAAATTCAAATTGCTATTCAAAAGTTTCTTCTTAGGATTAATACAAATGAAAGGAAAGACGTCTTGTTCAGGGACAATAATTATTACGATATAATTATAGACACAGAGGTGACCTGTTTTTATTTTTGTAGCGTAAATTGACTGCATTAACTTTGGTAACTAACGTGGAAGATTTTGGCGACATATTATTAAACAGACAGATTGAAATTCTTCAACCTGAAGACGACGTAAAAGCTTTACCATCATCTTTAGTATTTGTTAATTTGGAGAATATTGGTGAGAATTTGATTTTTTAAATAAAAACTCGTGCTGTAGTTATTATGTGATGTTTTATATGTCTTCGTTGTTTTGACATTTCATATTGTGCCTTTCAGAACTTTCATCAAAAGTCATAGACGTGGAAAATTTTAGGGGTTTTACATTCGGTAGATCTTCTTCGGAAGGTGATTATAGTGCTATAAGTTTCCCAAGCAGTTTTTTTGGAGAGGATAAAGAAGGTATATTTTTTCAGTACAGTATATCATTTTACATATATTTTACTCGTATCCCGTTGCTGTTCTACATCGTTTTAAGTGCCATTTCAAAAAAGGCGGTTCGTTGGTTCTTTGTTGCAAGAGTTTTCGTGAAGTAACAATGCCAGTTTCATTCTACGATTGTTTGCTATTATCTAACCCTATTAGCCGAAAGAGAAAATAAGTACAACTTGGAAGATATCACTAGGAAGAGCTCAATACATGTGTTATTATGCCACTAGCTATTTGATTTTGACCTATTTTAATTGTATAATTGCATGTACTGGCATTGTATGAGTATATGATGATAATACATAATACATTGTGCACACAATACATTCTGCATGTAGTAGCTATGTATAGTTGCTGTATAATATAATCCTAATTTTATAATCCTAATTTTTTCCTAGCCCATAGCTCAGGTATATTCAACGCACTTTATCGAAACCTTGCCATCATCCTAAATGATATGGAAAACAGGTAATATTGAATACCGTTATATTTGTTTAACATCTTATGCAATTTTATTTTAAATTTGGGAAAGTTGACAGCTAACGAAAACTACATTTAATTGAACATTTCATGAAAAGTGCATATGACGATACATCTGCTAATTCAGAAACAATATTCATGCATGCACTCGAGTATAAATAAATTGCCAGATTTATCACCAATTCTGCTCAATCTGGAGCGGAAAATATCTTCTTTATTTTACATTTTTTTCTTGGTTAAATGTAGCTACTGCATGCATGCAATATTTTAGTCACATAACGTCAAACCGAGGCCGAATTTTGAATTGTCAGGATAACGAGTGATTCTTAATATTTTTAGCTCAATATTAATGAATAGCTCTCGTGATACGGATATCATAAACTCGGTTATCATAACGGCAAAGGCTGTTTCTAACAAATCCGTTTCATTCAATAATCTTGTGGATCCTGTCATACTCGTTTTCAGTCACATAAATCAGGTAAAGAAGCATAAGAATGGACATTGGAGGATGGGTTAAGGGGAGTGTTGAAAATGTAAACATTATTTCCATTTCTTTTCTAGCAACCAGACATTCGACATCAGTGTTCATATTTAAATACAAATTCCGCAAAGTAAGAACATGTGTAAATTTATCGCTACATAACTTTCAGTTATAAAATATGTAAATCTTTATACCAACTTTCAGAGCCAACTTTTAGAGCCAACGTTCGGAGCTTATAAGCTTGAACTCTCATATCACGATTTCTGTGAATTCATGTACTTCGCAGTCACTGCATATCAGTGCCATCATATCCCGTTATGGCTTAAACAATGTATTTTTTCATACGATTTTATTTAAAGTGCAATTTAAACTTCTTAATTCTAAGTGAGTCGTGGAACATGTGGCTTAATAATGGTTGTTCAGTTCATTCTGAAAACATTACTCATACTGTGTGCCATTGCTCTCATCTTACAAACTTTGCTTTGCTGATGGATATACATGGAAGACAGGTTGGTACTTGGTAGAAAAATAAATTACATGGCAATTAAAGAATATATCACAACTAATATCTTTCTCGGTTCGTTTCCAAAATTTACGACGTTAATTTTCAGTTTTTCCCCAATACATCTTTTTAATACCAGGCTAGTTTATAATCGTGATGAAAAAAAAGGAATATTTGAACAGTTTAAATTTCTATCCAAAACTCTTCTGTTACTTTAGGCTTAGCAAATGACTAAAAATGACTAAAAATATTTCAACAATTTTTTTAGAGTACGATGTCTTTAAAACATGATCAAAATCTGACAGTTTTATCCTACATAACCTGCAGTATTTCCTTGATCTCTGCTTTTGTTGCTGTTCTCATATTTTGTGTTTTAAGGTAGGTATACAAAGTGTAAGCCACAACAAAATCACTGCGTATTAGACAGGATCGCAAGGTAATGCGCTTGCGTAGGCTAATAAGCTTGCAAGGTAATATATTATGTATATCTGGATATCGGAAACCCCAGTGTTTTTTACATAGGTTGAATAGTGATCGAATCTTGATCCACAAGCATCTCGCGTTAAACATATTTCTTACACAGTTGGTGTTCCTTATTGCTCCACAATGTACCAATATTCAAGTAAGTATATAGAATAACTCAGCAGCTAATAATTAATAGTAGTAAGATAGTAAAAAAAAATTATATTTTCAATTAAATAGTGGCTTTGCAAAGCCGTCGCTCTTTGTCTCCATTTTTTCCTCTTGGCATTGTTTTTCTGGATGTTGGTTGAAGGAATTTGCCTGTACAATGCTCTCATTAGAGTATTCAGTGCTAGAGCACATGGAACAGTGAAGAAATATTACATTTTAGCATACGGTGAGTAAATTTATACTTTTGCTTCTTTTCCTCCAGTTGTCAAAAAGTTGTCAAATAATTGCGAGTTGCGACTAACCTCTTTTTGTAATTATTTCAAACCGTATGGGTCTATATAAATAACTTATCACGTACAATCATGTTACAAACCAGTATTTGGAGTCATAAATAGATATTATTCCATACATCTTCAGCAAGGTGCTTCGATGAAGATATATCTTCGCATGCATAATGCATAATTATTGTGTTTCAGGAATTCCTCTTATTATTGTGATGATATCAGGTGGATTATATTGGGAAAAATATGGAACTGGAGAAAAGTACGTTTCATTAAATATGCATTAAATATATAGAACTTTTGTGCATGTGTACATCTGTTTAACCTGAATTTGAGACCCGTGTTACAATTATATTTACATATTTTCGCCAACTGAACACATGCAACTTTGCCCTTGCACTACAAACAACATATAGTGTATTGATTCTCGAAACAGGGCTATATTACGTATTTAGAAAGCTCATTTAAAAATCTCATTCAAAAAAGCTCACTCGAAAAGCGCATTCAAAATGCGCCCTCAGATCAGAAAAGCCTTTCTTAATTAATTAAATATTCCAGATGAAATCAAGCTTGTCTTACGACGTGATTCAGATCTTCCACTTAATGAATTTGAGTGTGAGTACTGCATGAGTAGGCTTTTAGATTACAGCATCGGAAATAATTGCATATGCAGTACTGTTAGGATTAGTTTTTCTACTAAAATCGCTCAGCATTTCTTCATCCGCTCTTAACTGTTAGCCTATATAACTTGTTATATAAGTTCCAATATAACCAGGGAGCAGCGTGGCAGCGTCTTCAAACAACTTAGCATCAAATGTGGTATAACAACTGCCTAAAATAGACCAAATACTTCTCGACGTTTCGACCTTTCGATAACTCTCCTGACGGTCGAAAGGCCCACAGTTCGAAACGTCGAGTTTTGTCTATTTTAGGCAATTGTTATACCACATTTGATGCTAACTTGTTATATAACTTGTTATATGACTTAACCGGCTTCACACCAGACGAGTTTCCCGTTGCGTTGAGTTTCCCCTTGCGATAAGTTTCCCTTTGCGATGAGTTTCCCGTTGCGATGAGTTTCCTGTCGGATTTTAAGCCTTTAAGGGCGCTGCCTAATTCCCACTGTGTGTTCTGAGCACGTACGTACACGCACGTCAAAGTTTAAATGCTTTTAAATTTTTATTATTTAACACCTATAGGTCAACAAATGCATACTAAACTACACGGAAAACTAAATTCTTTCGATTTATTCACTTAGTTTTTTGAACGATAACTTATATATAAACATTAAGAACTTTGTACGTGCGTTTTTTGAAGTATTATAATATGATGCATGTTATGTTTTTTTTTACTTGGTTACGCCTCCAGAGTATTTAGTTAAGCCGTTAAGGATATTGTAGCATTGAGCAATGACATTGAGCAATTATTATGTAAGCCAGTTAGGTACGTATAACATGTTCTGTTGTATTCTGCCATAAAACAGTTTGGGAAAATGCGTTTCGATCGTCGAAGGTCCTCATCTTACCGTGGTTTACATTTGAATGACAAAATTTTGGTTGGAGTTGAGATAACAACTCAATACTTAGGTTCAGGAACGATTTCTCAATGTGGAGGAACAGATTATGAAATAGCTCGTGTTATATATGACATCCATTGTCTATATGCAGAAGAAAAAAAGAAGTTAAAAGATGCTCGAGAAGTTGTTGTATTTATTGATAGTCAAAGAATTGACATATCCAGTAGAGAAGAAGATCATGTTTTGGTCAACTTTCCTTTGACTCAGGTTAAAGACGTAACGTTATGTCTCAACAAAGGTCCTTACTCTCGAACATGCGTCCTCGTAGCGAGAGAAAATTTCTTTTCTCAGTACAAGGCGTACGTATTTTACTGTCAGACTGACGACATGGCACACGAATTTTATGAATTAGCAAATTTGGCTTTTCAACTTGGCTTTAAATTGCTCGAAAAATTTCACCGCGGATCAAGCAATCGTTTATCTCGAGGAAAAGGCAGAGCTAAATCTAGTATAACGAGACGCAGTGTGGGAAGAAGGTCGTTGCAAGATGATGATTCAGATGGGAATGATTATGTGTTGTCTGAGGAATATCAATCAGATGAAATCAGTAAAGTTGGATGTTGTTTTGAAAGTGAACAGTGTTCTTCTAGTGAGAGAACGGCCACTATAGCTATTCAAGATGAGGACATTCTGGAATTTACAACAGGATCAATAGAGCTTAGAGAACGACAAGCAAGTTTTATTGATACTGAACTAAAAGAGAACAGTCGCTTCGAACATATGCATGGTTCAGAATTTCAGTTTGGTAAATGGTTTAGAAAATCCTACCGCAGGATTAAAAAATACTTTAAACAAGAGTCAACGGACGAGGGGTCATATATCGACTTTGAGATGTGTAGCTGAAAGACTCGCAATTATTTAGATATGCGCTGCTAAACATTATTTATATATTTGAGAGAGTTGCGACTACTTGGTAACGCACTGATTGAAATATTTAAACCACTATAGTGTAATGACAAAGAAATGGTCGGTTGTTTTCAGACTGTACAAGAGTTTTAGTAAAAATATAGCGATTTGATGTTAAATTTGATTTTATTATGTCTTTTTCTACTTTGCTACATAGCCTATATTATGGTCTCACTTCTCGGCAATATGCTAATTCATGCTTTTTGGCAATCGTTTATTTCTGCATGTTGTTGAGATTCATTTTGGATTATAATCTTGGTACACTTTTTCTTAGGACATGTTGGATCACGCAACAAGTAATCATTTCAGCTTTGGTTCCCCCTCTTGGTATCGTTATTTTGGTATGAACTAGACATTGCTATATAAGTGCACTAAGGCCTATTTAAGGCCTGCATAATTCATTGCACTAATAAGGCAAAGCACACTTTGTTTTCAGGCCGTCACGGTCGCATGGGCAGATTTTCAAAGCCTGCTTCGCGCGCGCGGGCGGAGCGGACAATCCCATTTGACGTAATGGAGAATAGCATTTAAGGCTGCTTTCCACTGACACGCACGTAAAAGTCTAAATGCTTATATATGATATCTTTAAAGAAACTATATATAAGTGAATAAATCGAAATTATAGAACTTAGTTTTCCGCGTATTTTAGTACGCATTTGTTGGCCTAGATTTAGAACTGAAATAAAAATTTAAAAGCATTTAAACTTTTACGTTCTCGTCCGTGCTGAAAACGCTGCGGTGGAAAGCAGCTCTAAAACTATAAAATGTGTTTAAAGCTATAGCTACATGGCAATTCTTGGCAATATTCATATCTAAATCTTATTGTTTTTTCATATAGATGAATGCTGTGATTTTAGGAATGGTTATTCGCGTTCTTCTCCATCCTTCAAGCCTACGAAACACAAAACGCAATGTTGTGAAAGATGTCAGGTATGAATGCAACAATCTTGCAAAAAGCGATCGCGCAGGACACGGAAAATTTAGTGTATTCAATTCCTCCCCGCCGGCCCAAAGGCATAACTCCCTTTATTTGACCCCTGATTGGCTTGTCAAAATTTTGGCATCCTTTTGGAGACGATTTTGTCACACTGGGACATTTGAAAAGTAGTCAAATAACATAACGCGGGAAGGGTCTGAATTTATTGAAAAAATTCATAAGCAAGTGATGGAAGAAGCGATGGAAGAAGATTAATATGAGATTGTGAGGGGGTGTAACGACTGCATGTGAAAGAAAGATGATAGTTATTTTGTTTTTCTCGCAGATCAAGCTTGAAAGCGTCGATTACTTTGCTTCCTTTATTGGGGATTTGCTGGATATTTGGATTTCTTCAACTCAACCGAGATACTATAGTTTTCTCTTACATCTTCGTTATTTTAAATGGAAGTCAGGTAACCTCGATCAGTGCATAGACAGACAACGTAAAATATCCCGCTTATAAGCGCTTTTTAATTTATCCAAACATTCTCATTTCTAGGGGTTTTGTTTCCTCGTATTTCATTGCTTGCGTAATAATGAGGTAAGCAAGAACACTTTGGGGTCCAGGAATCAGTGGAACTGTGGAAGGAGCGTTATAAACTCTGTATTATAGAATTTTTGATCATTTCACTTCGGCCTGTTTCAATCGTCGAACGTTCGTGTACCAAATCTACGGTTAATAAGTCTTTGTTTCAGTTCATTTGCATTTGATTTGGCACATGAAAAGTTCGACGTCTGAGGCTGGCCTTAGACCGTTAGTTATAAAATTCCAAGTTAGAATTTCATACGATTTGCACTCGCCAATATCGCCTAAAGGCAACTTTGAAGCTTTATCGCCTGATTAACATTCCATCGGGTGCACGAAAGTTTTTAAAACTATCCGGTGAAGTAGAAATATCATACTAAGTTACCAATCTCAACTTGCGCTATTGTTATTGGGTAATCGCGAGTCTATAATATAACCAGCAACACGCCAAACTTCCAGTTGTTATAATATTCTTGTTATATCTCGGCAGTTCTATCAAGAATTTCTATTTCAGGTGAAAACAGCGTGGACCAAAAGATCGCCACTTCGCTTCAGTGAATTTCATTCTGATCAAAATTCTTCTTCATCAATTCCTCCATTACCACTGCAAAATGTTTCTTCTCTCTCATTATTCACAGTAAGTAAAATGCATTGAAATATAGGCATTATAGATCACTGGAAAGCTAACAGAATATACCCAAAATATCCACAGTAAATTACGCCTGGTCCTGCTCCGCATTTATCAATTGTTTGAACACTTAGCTGGTTTAACCCAAATCACTTTCATACAATATTTTCACTGCATTATACGATTCCAGTTTTAATTACCTCCATTATCACAAATCACAAGATATTCAAATCAAAAATGAGCTTGAAGAGATGTTTCCATGGCAATAGTGATATTAATCATCATAAATTGTCTGTGAATGTAAGACTTCTTGCATATTTTGTTGTATAGGATGAGAATCGTGGTGTGCAAAATATTCATTACCGTAACATTTTTGGTCCAAATGATTTTGATGATGCTGTTTTGATGAGAAAATCGAAAAATAGTAATGTTCAGGTCTGTATTTAAAATTTCCTGAAGATAATTGTCGATAAAAGTTGATACCAATTAAGGTTTCGTTGTGTGCGCATACAGCCGTTAGGCGCACAGCTATTTCACTTTTAAACTAATTAAATATTAGTTTATGTTATCAAAATTGGGCAAATATACGACCTTTAGTTTGTTCATATTGTTAGTATTTCGATCGCTCCCACTTGTATTTTGTATCAACAGTTCTTTCGGTATAAAAATAACGTCTATACTTCACTAAACTCAAAAAACACATCTATCAAAACACATGCCTGAATGGCAAGGCTTGCAAACTCGGTTAGTATAAGCTGAACCCTTTAATTTTACTTGAAGGGAAACAAAAGATTCTCTTATATTATTAATTATAGGCGGTCCTGCTGTTCGTTTTTTAGTATAGTAGTTTCTAATAATTAAATAAACAATAAACTAGAAATTTCCAAATATATTTAGAACAAGTTTAAATGTGAAGTGAAGATTTAAAATGTGATTTAAAGACTGAAGTGCTGCGATATTTAGTTAAGACTTGATTCACTCGCGATTTACTGGCAGTTTGAAGCAAGAATGCATTTTGGGAACAGATATATCAACGTATTTTTTTAACAACGTGTTTTTTTCTTATAGCTTAAAGAGGTCAAACCAAGAAATTCTTCAAATATTTAGATATGCACTTCGTACAAAATTGCTGCTTGTCATCAAAAAGTCACAGCAATATTCAACATCGACTGATCTAATCTGTGAACTATAGCCACCCAGTTGCACTATAAGACTCAAGAGTTTCTAGTAGGTGAACTAGCTTCATAATCTGTGAGCTATAGCTGGATTGTTTCACTGCATGCATGAGGTACTAGTTGTCGAGCAGCTGTATATAGTTGTGAACTAGTTGTATAGTTAGTGAACAACTCGAAGCTTCTGCACATATAGAGTTGTAAAAATATTTGCTGTAAATTTGGATATACATGCACGCATGGATATCGAACAACATGCATGGCAGAGTTGCAAAAAAGCTGCGGGTTCACTTTGAATGAGGTTCGTTAGGGGAAGGTGCATGTACCAAAAAACCAATATTACATTATGATGGTTGGCATTTGACTTAGGTTATATTGTTAGTTACCAATGCAACTAGCACCAAGGAAGGCAGGATGAGTCATGTGACTGATGTGTGCGGTGACGTCACATGAAGATTTTTGAAATCCTTCCCGAAGAGAGTTTGAACTCTTTTTGCAACTGATGCATGAACTTGGAAATGTCAGTCAATCCAAGTTTAGTGCGTATGCCCAAGTTTCCTGCAATTATTTAAATAAATTTTAGCTTTGCTAAACACAAGAATAATGACCTTTGCTTCTTTTTGCTTTTTTTTTAATAAGTGCGCCCAATATTGAACATCGCGAGTGAGTATTGTCAACGATAATAACTTTGCACACTCTAAGACAATCTCTAAGACAATCTAATAATGTTTAAGGTCTTTTAATCTAACAGGAAGATCTACAGGGGGATTTTCTTATTTTTTCAGTTGAATTAATTGGGGGTAAGAGTACTAGTTTAAAATGTTTGCACGACGTAACATATTAAGAGAAATTCTTACCATTGCCTGCTTGCTTGTTTTTCATGCAAAATAGGAAATAATTCGGGGTGATGTGTATGCAAATTATGTTTGAATCACTGAAGCGAGATAAAATATACTTGACATGCAATAAAAGCTGAGAATAACGCGCAGGCCCTCCACCAGGATATCCATGCATACATCATGACCGATATGTCGTATTCGCCATGAGTAATTTGATATTTTAAAACGTTTTAAAGATAATGTTTGATCAATAATCGATGTATAAGCCACATGATTCTCCTGCCGTAGATTATGAGCGAAGATATAGAGTATAAATAAGGTAAGAAACTATAGCAGGTTTTAATAATATTGTCATTAGATAGAACCTGCATGATAACTGAATCGCTTATGAATTTTTAAGCTGTGCATCAACAGGCATGTATTGACAACTATTGTAAAACATTAACCATTCCCAAATCTTTTTTTGGATATTTAAATCAGTTCACATCTAAATCAAGCGAACTTGTAAATCTTGTAATTATCCTGGTAAACTTTGTTGATGCAAGTATGAGGCATGCAGTGTTTCGTATTAAGCGTCTTGTCAACAGCTAAATACGTATTTCGATACCTGCAGTTAATAGTATAATAATAATTCAATAACATTGGGCAATGTCATTTATATAAGAAATGGGGTAACTTCTGTAGACTATAGTATAATAACAGAAAAAGGTTTTCTGCATGTAGTCTTGCTCATATGATATGATATTACCTTGGCTCACAACTGGGCTCACATAGTTTCTGATAGCTGTATATACACCGGCGTGTATTTTAAAGGATCGTCGAAATGGCCGGATTCCGTCAATGACTATATCACCAGGGGCCGGTTGTTCGAAAGATGAATAGTGGTTTTCAATCGCTTTAAAATCGCCCTTTTGGGATATAACTTTGATTATATCTTAGTATTCCTAAATTGAGGATCCTCTTTAGCAATTGTTGGTTCCAAAGGCAAAGCTGAAATTTTATTGCTTTTCAAGCATTTATACAACGGTTGAAAAACTCACTATCCGGTGGATATAGCGCTATCCGGCGTTCATACAACCGGCATATACCCAATAACTAGAATCATATATAACCCAATGACTATCAATGCATTGGTAAATTTCGGCCATCACTTCAATCTTATATTCAGTGTGTACATACAATCTTTTTGGATGACCTTTTACTGAACCGTTAAACCCATTTTCTATAATAAGGGCATCTTAAGGAAATTATTGAAACCGTTGTCAAAAAAATATTCACTGTAAGCGATGGTTTATTGTAAGCGTGTTTACTGCAGCGTAGTTACCGCAAAACATTTACACGGCGACTGTGTAATAACAACAAAGAGTACTAATATATTTGCATAGATTATTAGAGACAAAAGTTTGGCAAAGAGTGGGAGTTCAGTTTCCGCTACCTGATTGCACAGTTTCTAGCGATGTGTGTAAGGCAAATTTATTAACAAACTGCAGTGCAATTCTTTAAATGGAAAGGGCATCTCCCTCCCCCCTCCGTTCCTGCTGCTAGAGAACATGCAAGAGGGGCAACTGAACCTGTTTCCCTGTAGCCCCGGTGTCTCTGTCCTCACCCTCAAACTGTGAAATATTTGTCAACTTGTTCGTAATCAGTCGATTGGACAATTGCAATGGCATTGTCTATCAACTGAGCTTGGTATGTTCGGTAGCGAACCATAAGTTTGACGGTTAAGTGATCTCGCCAGAGGCTAGCTGTCTTGCCGGCTCAGTTAACAGTTTTGAAAGACATTTGATTATAATTCCATGCCCATGCATGCAGAAACTTTAGGCTTCAAAATATGGTTTTCATGTGTCGTAATTCTTTGACATCGTCTATTGGTCGGTCAGAATGTTGCTAAAATTACAAATATCGCAGACTGCATGTCGGCGATCAATGCAGCTCAAAAGGGTCAAGCGTCAACGAGCCTGTTTTAACATCTTGCATCTCGTAATTCTCATTTAACAAATTTTTAGCGCACTAAGTTTTGGCGCCACTTAATCTACAGAACAAAACTGTCACTTTGTAAACACTATTAAAATATTTTAAAAATTGGACGTTTTGCCAAAATAAAACTTATATTGCAGGTATACTTATCATTATCATCACAATATTATTAACAATATTCAAATTATTTGTGTTTAAGATGTTATGATCTTAGCTCCATCTGGTCATAATGGAATCATACTCGATGGATCCTGTAGTCCAAAGAAAGGTTCACGCATCATCTCAAAACAACCTTGCAGATGACTCAAATGAAAAAAATTCAGAAACAAAAGGACCCAGAAAGATAATCAATAGATTTTTTCATTACACGACAATTAATGGTCTTCAACGTTTGGCATCTGCTGGTACGATATTGGGTCGTTTATTTTGGATTGCAGTTGTTCTTGGTGCTGCGGCATTGTTTTCTAAAGATATTTATGATCTAGTGCAACAGTTTTATTCACGTCCCGTGAGTGTTGTGTCGAAAATTGAATATTTCAGGGTAAGAAAATTGTAGCATATGGCAAAAAGTACTGTAGCAAGTTAAGTAAAAACGTTACTGCTTTTTATGGCAGTGTCCGTGAGCACTCTTTAAGACGCATATCGTCCCTCAGGCGATAAACCTATATAGATAATGTTGGGCATTTTTAGAATATGGTTGAGCGTAATATAAGGAATTATCAAGGCCAAGGTTTCGTTATCTGTCGCAGAGATATCCCACACTACAATGTTATCACACATTTTTGCAGTGAATAGTAATTTCTATCGAAAAAACCTCTATGTGGATAGGCCAACAGCCCAGCCTGGCCCAACCACCGTTGAAATCCATATTAGGAAAATGACGTCAAGAAATCACTATGGAAAACGTGCTTATATTTGCGCCATAATCATATAATCATACTGAGTCGCTGACGTCATTGTTATGACGACGAGTTGCTTTTTTTCTTAATACAAATAAAATACAATTAATAATTAAATGGGTTTTCTCTGCTTAGGGCGGCCGATCACGACAGCAGTTTAAGTTGTTTTACCGTATCTCTGTCCCCAGAACTTTTTCATTTGCATGGCAGATAATGTTAAAGGAATAATGCTATCATACTTTTAAGTTTTAGAAATAAGACTCACTTTGACATGGCTAATTTTGATGTCGTGACAATACGTATTGTATACAGGGCCTAAGATGGCGATTTTGCACTGAAATTGATTAATGGGTGTTTAATAAAGTTACAATCGTATTGGGCTGCCCATGTTTTCACTTCTCTCCTAAATTTTTGAATGAACACTAAAACCTAAAACTGTTATTGAATTGATCTTTTGCAATGTAGCCCCAAGTTTTTGAGAACAGCCAATTTCGGACTTGACTGACCTTTAATGATTCATAGGGTATGGAATTTCCTGCTGTCACTTTTTGTAATGTAAATCCAATAAGAAAGAGTGAAGTCAGTGCGAAGCTTAAAGAAAAAATTGAGGAACGGGATAACAACACCTGCTTCCGCGAAGGTAAACATTTTCTACTGATTCAGCAGGAGCTTGAGAAGTTGAATTTCTTGAATATAATCCTTTTCCAGGCCCTCTTTAACATCGAGCCATCTAGCCTCTTACTGGCTTCAAAAGATATTACGAATAATAAAGTTTTACAGCTCTCCTATCAATTTTTCAAATAACCAAACACTATCAGAATACTCGTAGGCTTCATCTTTTTGTCAAACCAATGTAGATTTACGAGGTAAAAACAGCAAATGCGAGGAAGATAATGATGAGGAAGAAGAATTTGAAAACGAGATAGATCATATTTTATCTGCAATTGACGAAGAGACGTTGGTAAAAAGTGGTCATCAACTGGGTCAGTTTATTGTTAGTTGTCGCTTTAATGGAAAACGTTGCAGGTGAGGAAAAATAATTTAGAAAGTCGTTTCCACAATAGCTATTAAAAAAGACACAGCGGATAAGAAAAAATCAAGACTTTGTCTATGCGATCTTATAATGATTTGATAAACATGAAATATAGATCAGAGCACAAATACTGGCAATCAAAGAATCGCATCGAATAAACAATCCACCAAACAATTAATTTTTGTTTCAATTCTATAATAGAAATGAGAAGTACTGGGTGCGATTTTGGGATCCTTATTATGGCAATTGTTTCACATTAAACAGTCTTTTTCTTGGAAGAGACCCCAACATACCGTCATTTAAAGCCAATAAACCAGGGAGTTCGTACGGTAAGCAGCCAAAACTAAAAGTACTGATCTAGTTAAACCTGGAATGTTACTCCTCAGTACCAGTATTAATACTGCATGCAGTTTTTTAGCTACCGTACTCATAATGAAATTTGCACTTCAATTTTACCTGAATTATGATAGCCATATGGCAGTAAAATTGTTATATTTGAAAAATGAGAACTTCGATCAGACAGACTTTCGCAGCATATATTTTCCAGGTAACCACAAAGTCGAGATATTACACATTCAGTAAAAGTGTTAGTGTATAATTTTTCAATGCCGTAGCCGTCCTGACGATTCAGAAACTGATTGTTTTCACAGTCAATCGACACTAAAATATTAGCATATCAGGACTAAGTCAGCTGATTTCACTAGTGTAATCTTTTTAATTTTCAGGGTTAAAATTGGTTTTCAATCTTCAGTTGGATGAGTATATCCCTCAGTTGACAAAAGATGCTGGTATTAAAGTATCTATTACTGAACGTGATGAGATGCCATTTCCTATCTATAACAGTCTAAGCCTCGCACCAGGATTTAATAACGAGATTGCAATGAAAAGGGTAACTATATGAGGATATAACTGTATTTCAGGAATATTGACCCTCTCTCGGTTAAAATGAATATGATTACACCCCCCAGAGGTTATTCTAAGCTGGAGTTGCTACCACTTTTTGAAATGGTAAGAAAATTTCTGGATATGCACGAAATTATTATATGAGTAGCTGTAGATACACAAATGTTACTAATTTCCTTCTCAAGAATTTTTCTTACAATTCGAAAAAGTGGTAGCAACTCCAGCTTAGAATAACGCCTGACACCCCCCCCCTCCCGTTGTCAATGCTGGCTACGCCACAGAAATATACGAAAGCTGGAAGCAAAACAGTTTTTTGATCTTTTATTTTTGTTTCACTATATAGACAAAAATTGAACGGATTGACAGATTTGAAAACGGTAGTTGTCAAGCAAGTCGGGCATTAGGGGAAAAGAACCCTTACAGGATAAAGTATGGTGCAGGCTATAGTGTCCAGGTATAATATATATGTCAAAGCAAGGAAAATGTCACATGTGAGCATCTGGGGCCAGTTGTATAAAAAAAAACTAGTTAACTTTTAACTGTAGTTAAAAGACGAAATTGGCCAATCAGAGTCATGTATTTCTAAGTTAGCTAGGATTTAACCATGCAAAATGTAGTTAAAGAGCTTTATATACAACCGGTCCCTGGCTATCAGTAAAAAATAGAACTGGATATATCACATATAGAATTATCGCTAAATATTGACGGCTGCCTGCATGCAGTGAAATAATTCTACTGTAATATTTTATTGGTATATAGGTTTAAACTTCACGTTCTCTTTATTCAAATTCCCCTTGTCTTTATTTTTTCACAGGCGTGTCTTCAATATTGTTATGCGCAAAGCCAAATCCAAAAGTGTGGTTGTGCTGAATATTCCTTCTCTGGCGCTGCTGCAAAGGGAAAAATTTGTAATGAAAATGATGAGACAAGTGGTAAGGATTCCATACGTTAGGCAAGATTTATGATCGTAGTTGCGTATTCTAGCTCTCTTCCTACTTTCGTTGGTTATGTTTTTTAGCATTACTATTGTAACAAGTGACACTCAAACAGTGTGAGATGATCTGTCTTTAAATTGGATCATTTCTTCCTAGTTCCCACTGCCTACCATGTTCAACAGAACAAACATTATGTGCATTTTCTCATTATAGAAAACCGTGTGAAAAGATATTATTTAATGCACTTAACAAATAATATAGGAAATATAGGAAATATAGGAAAAGTAATCAACGAAGCGTATTTGCTATTTCAGATGCCTGCATTGATAAGTGGAAAGATGCAGATAGTACTTGTGAAAATGATTCGAGATTCATGTTCGTAAGTTGGACATTTTTTGTGTAGATAAATTAGAATTTCACATAAAACGTAAAGTTTTAACAAGAATGCAGATTCAATGTCTTGTTTAATAGATTTGTAGTATCGAAAGTAGAGCAAATTGCAAATTATAGGAGTTGTTAATATGTACAAAATTTAGGAATCGCAATTCTGCGACGAGATGAAAGAAACCGATTAGGAAGAATATTTTAGATATCGCAAAGAATACTGAGTGAAATGTCATCATTTTGTATGGAACGGTTTATCCTAGCTAGGAGAAGTGGAAACTACATAATTATAAAGACTAATGTCAGTAATGTAGGGACTGATGTCAGTAAGACTAATGTAGTTGCATTTGACAATTACCTATAACTATGCATGCTAATATGATCCATTTCACTCACTCCATATATAGGGAAACAATTTACGAAAGCAGTTTGACGTTTACGAAATGGCCGTATGAAAAATCGGTGGTAAGAAAAACGTGTCATACAAATTTTTGTCTCTGATAGCTATTAGCCAGATAAATCTTCATTGGAAAACTAGTGAGATTCGTAGCATATATACATTAAGCATATTGTATGACTTGCATGAGACGCATCAGGAAATAGGATATAGTCAAATTTAAAGAATTTGTTCTTTTTATCAGTGCCCACATTTCCTGCATAAATTGTTTTCCAACGATCTTAGTGAATTTACATCCATCATATTAACTATGTATGTTCAGTTTGTGCGTAAGTTCTTGCACATAGCCCCATATTTATAGAAGAATTTTATACTACTTTAGGAAACTGTTTTGGAATCGCTTGGTTTCAATTATTCAGACTATGGCAGGAATATCAATGAAATAAGGTAGCCATAGCCTGGTGTGCTTTTCAGTTTGCCTAGTTGGCCGCCAAGTGAGAAAATGTGAAAACACTGCTTCATGCCTTATTTTTGACGAAAGCTCCGTAGGAGTATCAGGGAGTCATTGCTAACGGCCTCGCATTCTTTACTGCAATTAACTCGACCAACCTGCTTTGCGCGCTTAGTATTAACTAAACTTGTTTATCTGGTTATCTACTAGCCAACAGCTAATCGGCTATTCGTGCATCCGCGAGTCGTTTCATTGCCGGAGACATTTGATTATTGTCTGTATTACCTTTCAATTGGCCATTCTGAAGTTGTAGTAGTAGAGGACTGGTGATAGTGAGGCTAACAACGCATTAATTAAAGGGACTGTTAACTGTTTTTGAGACGTAAACAAAAGGTTCATCCCAAAAACAGCCCCATGATGCATTGTTATTTTTGGGACCGACATCACTCTTTATCAATAATTTGCCACTTTGACCACAAAGTTCCTGGGTTGACGACTGATTGGGTGCCATTTCTCCCCCTTTATTTCATGGCTTCACACGCCTCATAACAGCAAGTTTTTTCTTTTGACGATTTGTTTTATTATGGCATTTTTATAGAGGCAATTTTTTGGCTGCAAATATATTTTTCAAACGATTTAGAGAAACGAAGATTGAGGAAAGTCTCAGCTACCAGGTCGGTATTTGCGTGCAAATGAACGATGATAAAATCATCGGATAAAATTAGTTTTATCATTAGTTTTATATACAGTGTGTATCAAGTTTAGCACAATAGTAAAATAGTACTTCTAACTGTGCAACGTTAACAAAGATTAGACATGCAATGACAAGATATAGAATGTCGCCTGTTGCCATCATCTCGTATGCATGAACTGTTTGGTGAAAATGGAAACTATATAACGATAATTGGAGAGGGGGTGTAGCAGTGGCGTGTGAGATACGATAATTGAGGGAGGGGGTGTAGCAGTGGCAAACGAGACACGATAATTGGAGGGAGGGGGTGTAGCAGTGGCGTACGAGACACGATAATTGGGGGGAGGGGGTGTAGCAGTGGCGTACGAGACACGATAATTGGAGGGAGGGGGTGTAGCAGTGGCGTGCGAGACACGATAATTGGAGGGAGGGGGTGTAGCAGTGGCGTGCGAGACACGATAATTGGGGGGAGGGGGTGTAGCGCAGCAGTGGCGTACGAGACACGATAATTGGAGGGAGGGGGTGTAGCAGTGGCGTGCGAGACACGATAATTGGAGGGAGGGGGTGTAGCAGTGGCGTACGAGACACGATAATTGGGGGGGATGTTAACAGACCTGTAAAGACAATAGATTTGAAAATAAATCAATCTTGCACAACATGAATATATGCCGGCCCCCAAATCGTCTCTCGCACGCGCCACTGGTGTGTAGCATTAATAGTGCATCACCGCTGCTTTTCGTATATTTTAGACAGCAAATTTGCTGGCTGATATTGGTGGTCAAGTTGGTCTTTGGGCTGGCCTCAGCGTTATATCCATGTGTGAACTGCTTGAGCTTGTGGTTCTACTTTTTCGAAACTTTTTTCAAAGACGGAATCGTTGACAACTTTCACTGAAGATTACGATTAGTATACGTGCATCGTATTTAAACTTTACTTTAATATACTTATAGACTATTTTGTCTAGTGTTAAAAGTAAAGAGTAAAGTTCTACAAAGTTTAACTTCTCTTCGACACAAATCAACAATTTATAATAATGGCGTCCATAATCACGAATACAGAATTCATAGTAATAGTTACACATGCATATATTTAATAAAAATGTATATTGTCCTTTATTGACCTGATCAGTACATTCACTTTACAAGCTAAGACGTTCGATGGTTTTATATTTTTTATATTGATATTTATTTATAGTTTTAAAGTTCTCTCCACATTTTATCAAATGTTTTTTTATTAATGCTTGCTAGGGTTTCCAAGATAGCCCAAACTTCTCTTGCTTCTATTAGCAAATACTCAGCATTATCAGGATACATTGCGCTTGTTTCGGCAGAAAAACAACCACTCTGACACAACCTCGCTTGAATACAATAAAATATTACATCACTTTCCTCCTGAGATAGGGGACAGTTCTTATGAAAGCCAGAGACTGTGCATGCACCAGCTTTGATTATGTCATCTGCAGATGCAATGCCTACAGTAACTACACTCATCATGTATGCAGCGGCTATAGCAATTTCAAAAACTCTGCAACTGTAATTGACATCTCCAAAATCAATGAAACCAGAAACTTCTAAATTCTTAGAATCAGGGTTTTCTCTGATAATTATATTTCCACCATTGATATCACCATGGATGCATTGCTTTGGGAGAACATCCAATTGAGGCTTCACAAACCTTTTGAATGAATTCTGCACATCTTTTACTAACTCTTTTTGTTTTGATGTAATAAAATCAAGACCACTTAACATTGTGTCAAAGTAATACAGATCCCAACGGAATTTTAATTTCGTCAAGACAGGACAATTCAAATCCTAAAACAAACAAATACAATGAATTAAGGTGGTTTCCTTTTCAATTGTAACAATTTGCAGATATATAATATAAGGTCTATAAACACAAATGATTCACGTATACCTAGTTTAGCTACAGTATGATAGAGTTGATAATAATGTGGATTAAATAATCACCAACAATGTAAAGGCTATTTTATCCACTATATAGAATTTGTGCGCTTAGTGGTCTCCTTTCTTTCAATTATTCAATACACCCTGTAATCTATTTACAATACAATTCCAAAGGTAGTGATGCCCATGAGGCACCACCATGATTGCTGCCAAGTGAGACTCTCAAATTGACTATCACAGGTTTTGTATAATACCTTTAATGCATTAGAAACTTTGGCCACAACTTGACCAAGTTGAAGGAAGAGCTGGTATTTGAATGAGTGACCATGCTTTTTATATTCATTCATCGTCTTGCCAGGTATGAAGGTGAACAAACACACAATACAAGGATATAAATTATCATCAAGTTTTGGCTTTTTTGCTCCATCTGCAATTGGTGTTGATGATAAATTGTGTACTTCTAAATAATCGCCACTCAAGGTCTTTTGTGGCACAGGGCAAGCGATCCCAGCGTCTAACAGGCAAAATATAATCTTGTGCACAGCATCTACGAGATCCCTTTCGTCATAACATTTGTTGTAAACTTTCAGTAAAAATTCACCTGCCTTGCCATCTTTCACACCACTTAGGTAAAAATTTCGATCATCATAGCTGTCTAGTTCTTTAGCACTTTGTTCCGAGTTTGAGTCAACTTCAAGACCAAATATTTCATTTGCCAATTGGATAGCTTTTACTCGTGTTACAAGTGGACGTTCCATAGCGAGCGATACTGCAATATCACAGGGGAAACTATGGCAAAAATAGACTGCGAAAGCGGGCAGAAGAACATTTGCTGATCACATTTGTAAATATCATTTGAGTGCTCGCCGGTTAATGATTTATGTTATTATATGGCACTATATGGCACACGTTCTTGTGACTAAATGGCATGCACTGATTGGTTCTTTGCCGGTCTGGAATCCCCAGTATTAGACCGTTGCCGTAGTAACGGTCCAACATTGGTAGCCCAACACTCGTGTTCCGCGCGCGTACACGCCACTCAGTGATTAGCATATATTAATTTATCCTAAGGTTGCCAACTTTATCACCAATTATCAATAATATATCACATACATACATGTAAAACTTCTATAAAAACTGAAAAACTACCACACTACGTAATTGCGGTAGCCCAGTGGTTAAGGCTACGGCCCACCAGGCTGTAAGGGTAGGTTCGAATCCTACATGGGAACGGTGCGATTTTTTCCACCGAAATTACTATTTAATTTAAAATTCATCGAAAAGAATTAGGTCAAATAAAGAACAATAGCTTTCGACAAATGATGCGGTGGTCTAGTGGTTAAGACATCCGTTTCTCACTCCGAGGACAAACGTTTCAACACCAGGCAATGCAAAAAATTAGCCTGAAAAATTTCGGTGTGATTTGGAAGCTTTAAAACCGTTAAAAGACTTCTCGGCCTTTGCGAAAGACTGTAAATTGAAAAAAAATTGAAATAAAAAAGCTGAAAACAAATTCTCGCGTCCAAAAGTACTTGAAAATTGAAAGAAAAGCACAATTAAAAAAAGTTTTAAAAACGTGTGTCTTTCTAAAAAGACTGAAAATTTAAAAAGTCAGAAAAAAAATTAAAAAAATTCCCGCGTTTAAAAAACTCATGTTTACTTACCTTAATTTTTTTTCACGAAAATTTGACAGGGTGATTTTCTCGAGAGTGAAAAAATTTAATTTTTTTCACTTTTTTGAAATTCTCTTAGATTTTTTTTTCGACGCGAAAGTGTTTTGTCTTGGGCTACCTGTGTCTGTCTTGGGCTACCTGTATCTGGCTTGACACAGGTAGCCCAAGACAAAATACTTTCGCGTCGAAAAAAAAATCTAAGAGAATTTCAAAAAAGTGAAAAAAATTAAATTTTTTCAGTTTCGAGAAAATCACCCTGTCAAATTTTCGTGAAAAAAAATTTTGGTAAGTAAACATGAGTTTTTTAAAAGCGGGAAATTTTCTAATTTTTTTTCTGACTTTTTAAATTTTCAGTCTTTTTAGAAGACACACGTTTTTGAAACTTTTTTTGATTGTGCTTTCCTTTCAATTTTTAGGTACTTTTGAACGCGAGAATTTGTTATCATTTTTTTTTTTTCAAATTTTTTTAAATTTACAGTCTTTCGCAAAGGCCGAGAAGACTTTTAACTGTTTTAAGGTTTCCAAATCATACCGAAATTTTTCAGACAATTTTTTTGCATTGCCAGGAGTTGAAACGTTTGTTCTCGGAGTGAGAAACGAATGTCTTAACCACTAGACCACCGCATCATTTGTCGAAAGCTATTGTTCTTTATTTGACCTAATTCTTTTCGATGAATTTTAAATTAAATAGTAATTTCGGTGGAAAAATCGAACCTTTCCCATGCAGGATTCGAACCTACCCTTACAGCCTGGTGGGCCGTAGCCTTAACCACTAGGCTACCGCAATGACGTATATATTAAGGCTGCTTTCAACATATAATCCGATGGCCGAGTGGTTAAGGCTACGGCCTACCAGGTTGTAAGCGTAGGTTCGAGTCCTGCATTGGAAAGGTTCGATTTTTCCCACCGAAATTACTATTTAATTTAAAATTCATCGAAAAGAATTAGGTCAAATAAAGAACAATAGATTTCGACAAATGATGCGGTGGTCTAATGGTTAAGACATTCGTTTCTCACTCCGAGGACAAACGTTTCAACTCCTGGCAATGCAAAAAAAATGGCCTGAAAAAATTCGGTGTGATTTGGAAGCCTTAAAACAGTTAAAGGACTTCTCGGCCTTTGCGAAAGACTGTAAATTGAAAAAAATTTGAAATAAAAAAAATGAAAACAAATTCTCGCGTTCAAAAGTACTTGAAAATTGAAAGAAAAGCACAATTAAAAAAAGTTTTAAAAACACGTGTCTTCTAAAAAGCCTGAACTGGATGAAGAAAGTCAGACGGAAAAAAAATCTAAAAATTTCCCGCTTTTAGAAAACTCATGTTTACTTAACTAAATTTTTTTTCACGAAAATTTGACAGGGTGATTTTCTCGAGAGTGAAAAAATTTAATTTTTTTCACTTTTTTGAAATTCTCTTAGATTTTTTTTTCGACGCGAAAGTATTTTGTCTTGGGCTACTGTGTCTGTCTTGGGCTACCTGTGTCAAGCCAGACACAGGTAGCCCAAGACAAAATACTTTCGCGTCGAAAAAAAAATCTAAGAGAATTTCAAAAAAGTGAAAAAAATTAAATTTTTTCAGTCTCGAGAAAATCACCCTGTCAAATTTTCGTGAAAAAAAATTTTGGTAAGTAAACATGAATTTTTTAAAAGCGGGAAATTTTCTAATTTTTTTTCTGACTTTTTAAATTTTCAGTCTTTTTAGAAGACACACGTTTTTGAAACTTTTTTTGATTGTGCTTTCCTTTCAATTTTTAGGTACTTTTGAACGCGAGAATTTGTTATCATTTTTTTTTTTTCAAATTTTTTTAAATTTACAGTCTTTCGCAAAGGCCGAGAAGACTTTTAACTGTTTTAAGGTTTCCAAATCATACCGAAATTTTTCAGACAATTTTTTTGCATTGCCAGGAGTTGAAACGTTTGTTCTCGGAGTGAGAAACGAATGTCTTAACCACTAGACCACCGCATCATTTGTCGAAAGCTATTGTTCTTTATTTGACCTAATTCTTTTCGATGAATTTTAAATTAAATAGTAATTTCGGTGGAAAAATCGAACCTTTCCCATGCAGGATTCGAACCTACCTTTACAGCCTGGTGGGCCGTAGCCTTAACCACTAGGCTACCGCAATGACGTATATATTAAGGCTGCTTTCAACATACATATCAAACTCTTTCCCTATTGAGATGAACATTTGCTCAAACTAGTGTCCAGTTTTTTTCTGTTACAAAATGCGCGCCTTGTAAAACAATATGGTGTCTAGACCAAAGCGCACATTATGCAAACCTCAACGTTTTGTCCACGAATTTGCGGTTCGATGTGGAAAAAATCATTTAAACGGGAGGCGAAAGACAATAACCTCTACGAGGTTGAGATTAAAGAGGTTGATCAAAAAACTAAACGTGTTCGTACGCATTTTAAAGGATACGATTCGCGTTTTGATGAATGGCGACCCTATAGGCTATGGCAAAGATAATATATTTCCCGTTTCTTCAGCATGAAAAGCCTCGTGTTTTGGCCGCCGCTTCAACATAGACGATAGAGTCGATAATATAAACAACAATAAAACCTTTTGATTGAAATTCGCTCTTACACGCGCAGGTATAGCCGATGTGAACGATATTAATGTCCCTTATTCCAGCATATTATATATATATACACAATATATCAATAAGAAAATCACTGTAGCAGCGTAGGCTATTGCCAACGCTATTTACAGTGTATATTTAGACAGCATTTGTCAGGCTTAAAATTTGTCAAAATATACACAACTGTGGTATTATACAGTACTATATTAAAGCATACAAGGTGAAAATATAAAATTCCCTTGCCTGCTTATCTCGTAAGTAAACGGCGGGCCTCCATTCCGATTGTGTTCACATCACCAACAGCAGAGACTGCATTAATCAATGTGTGAACAACATATGTAAATGCCGACCAATGTCGCAAAATACCTACAGTTCATGGCCATCGGTCCGAAGCTAATTCACGTTGAATATGTACGAAATTCATATCAAAATACGCGCCAAAACATGTAGATTTCAATTCCGAATGTAAGGAAAAGAAATATTGTATAGTGGAAGCAGTACGAGGAGTTTTCCCGCAACTTCCGCTCTAAACGGCGATTTTTGACCAATTTTCTTATATAGCCCGCAACATTCAACCCCCAAAGTCCGACTCCGGGATACGACGAATCTTTACCAAAAACAATAAATAATGTGTGGCATAGGTCTAAATTTGATAATCCGCGTGTAAGTGAAAGATAGCTTCAGTTTCTAAGGCACACGAACAGAAAAAGCGCTTATTTTGGACAAGTTTGTATTGCGCACTGCTGGGGGTATCATCGCTTGTAACGCGATATAGACTATTTGTATAGCGAGAGTTTGATATGTAATCCGATGGCCGAGTGGTTAAGGCTACGGCCTACCAGGTTGTAAGCGTAGGTTCGAGTCCTGCATTGGAAAGGTTCGATTTTTCCCACCGAAATTACTATTTAATTTAAAATTCATCGAAAAGAATTTGGTCAAATAAAGAACAATAGATTTCGACAAATGATGCGGTGGTCTAGTGGTTAAGACATTCGTTTCTCACTCCGAGGACAAACGTTTCATCTCCTGGCAATGCAAAAAAAATGGCCTGAAAAAATTCGGTGTGATTTTGGAATCCTTAAAAATGTAAAAGACTTCTCGGCCTTTGCGAAAGACTGTAAATTGAAAAAAATTTGAAATAAAAAAAATGAAAACAAATTCTCGCGTTCAAAAGTACTTGAAAATTGAAAGAAAAGCACAATTAAAAAAAGTTTTAAAAACACGTGTCTTCTAAAAAGCCTGAACTGGATGAAGAAAGTCAGACGGAAAAAAAATCTAAAAATTTCCCGCTTTTAGAAAACTCATGTTTACTTAACTAAATTTTTTTTCACGAAAATTTGACAGGGTGATTTTCTCGAGAGTGAAAAAATTTAATTTTTTTCACTTTTTTGAAATTCTCTTAGATTTTTTTTTCGACGCGAAAGTATTTTGTCTTGGGCTACCTGTGTCTGTCTTGGGCTACCTGTGTCTGGCTTGACACAGGTAGCCCAAGACAAAATACTTTCGCGTCGAAAAAAAAATCTAAGAGAATTTCAAAAAAGTGAAAAAAATTAAATTTTTTCAGTCTCGAGAAAATCACCCTGTCAAATTTTCGTGAAAAAAAATTAAGGTAAGTAAACATGAGTTTTTTAAAAGCGGGAAATTTTTTAATTTTTTTTCTGACTTTTTAAATTTTCAGTCTTTTTAGAAGACACACGTTTTTAAAACTTTTTTAATTGTGCTTTACTTTCAATTTTCAAGTACTTTTGAACGCGAGAATTTGTTTTCAGCCTTTTTTATTTCAACTTTTTTTAAATTTACAGTCTTTCCCAAAGTTCGAGAAGTTTTAAACGATTTTAAAGCTTCCAAATCACACCGAAATTATTCAGGCTAATTTTTTTGCATTGCCAGGAGTTGAAACGTTTGTCCTCGGAGTGAGAAACGGATGTCTTAACCACTAGACCACCGCATCATTTGTCGAAAGCTATTGTTCTTTATTTGACCTAATTCTTTTCGATGAATTTTAAATTAAATAGTAATTTCGGTGGAAAAAATCGAACCGTTCCCATGCAGGATTCGTACCTACACTTACAGCCTGGGGGCCGTGACCTTAACCACTGGGCTACCGCAATTACGTATTTATTAAGGCTTTTATTAACATATAATCCGATGGCCGAGTGGTTAAGGCTACGGCCTACCTGGTTGTAAGCGTAGGTTCGAGTCCTGCATGGGAAAGGTTCGATTTTTCCCACCGAAATTACTATTTAATTTAACTGAAATTCATCGAAAAGAATTAGGTCAAATAAAGAACAATAGCTTTCGACAAATGATGCGGTGGTCTAGTGGTTAAGACATCCGTTTCTCACTCCGAGGACAAACGTTTCAACACCAGGCAATGCAAAAAATTAGCCTGAAAAATTTCGGTGTGATTTGGAAGCTTTAAAACGGTTAAAAGACTTCTCGGTCTTTGCGAAAGACTGTAAATTTAAAAAAAGTTGAAATAAAAAAAGCTGAAAACAAATTCTCGCGTTCAAAAGTACTTGAAAATTGAAAGAAAAGCACAATTAAAAAAAGTTTTAAAAACGTGTGTCTTCTAAAAAGACTGAAAATTTAAAAAGTCAGAAAAAAATTGAAAAATTTCCCGCTTTTAAAAAACTCATGTTTACTTACCTTAATTTTTTTTCACGAAAATTTGACAGGGTGATTTTCTCGAGACTGAAAAAATTTAATTTTTTTCACTTTTTTGAAATTCTCTTAGATTTTTTTTTCGACGCGAAAGTATTTTGTCTTGGGCTACCTGTGTCAAGCCAGACACAGGTAGCCCAAGACAGACACAAAAGTAGCCCAAGACAAAATACTTCCGCATCAAAAAAAAAATCTAAGAGAATTTCAAAAAAGTGAAAAAATTAAATTTTTTCACTCTCGAGAAAATCACCCTGTCAAATTTTCGTGAAAAAAAATTAAGGTAAGTAAACATGAGCTTTTTAAAAGCGGGAAATTTTTAAATTTTTTTTTGACTTTTTAAATTTTCAGTCTTTTTAGAAGACACACGTTTTTAAAACTTTTTTTAATTGTGCTTTTCTTTCAATTTTCAAGTACTTTTGAACGCGAGAATTTGTTTTCAGCCTTTTTTATTTCAACTTTTTTTCAATTTACAGTCTTTCGCAAAGGCCGAGAAGTCTTTTAAAAAATTAGGAAAAAGTTTGGTAAAAGTTTGGAAAAAGTTTGGAGAAAGTTGGGAAAAATTTGGGAAAAGTTGTAAAAAGTTGTAAAAAGGTTGTAAAAAGGTTGGGAGAAAGTTGGGAGATAGTTGGAAAAAGGTTGGGAAAAAGTTGGAAGAAAGTTGGGATAAGGTTGGGAAAAGGTTGGGAAAAGGTTGGGAAAAGGTTGAGAAAATATTGGGAAAATGTTGGAAAAAATGTGGGAAAATGTTGGAAAAATGTTGGGAAAATGTTGGGAAAAATGCTGGGAAAATGTTAGGAAAAGGTTGGGAAAAGGTTGGGAAAATGTTGGATGAATTATTGTTAAAAATTTTTCAAAATTTCACTTAAAATTTTATTTAAAAGTTAAAATTTACAAAGGTTGCCATATGTTTTCATTGCTGTGCAATAGAAAAAGCTGTTTGTATAATGGTTTAATCATTACTGCTCAACTGATAGACCGTTTTTCATAAGAGCTTTTCACTTTTTTAAAAGTAAAATGCAGCTGAGAAACTGACAGGACAGAAAGGCTTGTAAAATAGCTGAGCAGCCAACGAGCATGGTTAGTTAGTTTGATGGGTTTTTTACTTACTGGATGTAAAGCAGTGAAGTTCTATACGTGCTAAAAAAATCAACGATAACCTTTTTTGCAAAACTGAGTGAGTGCGCAGGGGTTTAGCCACTGACCTATGTTTTTCGAGGCGGTTGCCAGTAAATTATTACATTACTTTTAAAAATTGAGATTGCATAACTCCTAATCCTGCGGATTAGTCTATTTTCATTAATAAACTCTGTGGGCGGTAATGCGCTTTACTTTAAACTTATAAGGATATTTAAGTAAACATTTTAGCAAAACTATAAAAACCAATACCAAGTTTGATACTGGATGTGGTGGGATATATGAATATAGTTATAGTCAAATAGAAATCTATATTTCAGGAAAATGACAGTCTTCTGTTGTAAAAACGTTTCCCTACACGATCAGCTGTTCTCAGACGAAACTTTCCCTCTTGTATGTATGAACCTTGAGTGAGACTTACCGTAATTAATAAGGCGACATGCTAATGAGAGAGAGCGAGATGAAAAAATGACAACCCACTATTACGTAAGACTACGTGCTATGGTCTTCTTGCCGTCGTTAATACAACCCTTTGTCATCGTATATGTATCACAGCAGAGTTATGTGCAGGCAGTACATCGAGCAATTACACTCTTTCATGTATGAATTTTTTATACAAGTATGATTTCGTTCTGTTACGTTGATCGACAAAAGTCAAATGTTGGCAGCTCAGAAAAGTCTCAAGTTGTTCACTCTGCCAATTGGAAAGAGCAAATTCATTTGAAGAAGGAACTAGAGTTACTCAAACGACAAGAGAGTGAAGCGATAAAAAGAGTCCGGTATGATCAAAGAATGATTACTAATAAATTTCTATATCGTATTTTGCAAAGTATTGAGCATATAAAGGCCATTGAGAAGGTGAAAGAAGAAATAAAAGAGTCAAAATATCAAAGAAGCCAAAATTATGACCAAAAGAAGAACGATTCTTCCACGACAACATCAAACTTGCCCAGACTAGCTTCAATAACAGAACGACCGATATCTGGACTAAGTGGAAAGGTATACAAAAGGGAGCGTATGAAAATTCGACCAGTTACTGCTAGCGAGATGCAAGGAAGAGCTTGGGAAAGAAGAATAAGTTTAATGGCTAAAAACATTCAGAGGACAAAAAGTGCCTCTCATGTTACAACAAGGAAGCGTGAGGAACTATACGAACGTTAGGTGATCAAAATTAGAATCTTTAAAAACCTTCATATGACAAGTTTTTGCAAACAACACACTGTCGTCCGGTCGCGGTTGCTAAGCAACAATATATTCTTGCAGGTCACGATAACCTACAAAATTTAGCTTGTTTTATACGTAAATACGTAATTTTTAAATAACCATCCCGAAATGTACCGCATCGGCGCATGTTCTAGAATTCAGATATCAATCTATCGAGACTGTCCGAAGATAAATATATATGAGAACAGCAAACATGTAACTAGGAAATGCTCTAAGATGATCAGATCAACCTATATGAATTGCCCTTAAATATATAATCTATACACTCATACCGAGATATGTTACCCTCGGGCTCGGCAAATAGACATTTAGCGACCGCGGAAGAAAATGAAACGCTACAGCTTATGAATGACCTACAAAGCAATCGCAATAGTTTATGTATATATTAAAACTATGGAAATATTTGTTGACTTATGTAGAAATTTTATTCTGCGATGTTTTTAATTTTCTTATCCATGGCCATGAATCGTGATTTTTAATTTAGATTTATTAGTGTGAACACACGCACGGGCCTAGAATTATGTGTCATTTGTGATTGGCCTCATTTCCGTAAGTTATATTGGGCATTTCTCGACCAACGTTTTTAAATGTAAACGTTTTCAATTATGTTATATATCTACAGATTTGGTTGTGTGATACTAATTTATACTAATCAAATGGATTCTTTTCAATGCTTAAGGATTTTTCATACGTTAAAAATGGAATCCAGCTGAGCAACCGAATAGAGGGTCGTAAAGTGGTTCAAATTAATCGAGCTGATGCTGCTTATCAACTAGACTCTATGCTTGAATTTAGATAAGCGGTTTATTCACAAGCGTGTTTCCATTTGTGTGAAATGGTGTTCAATTTTATGAATTAAAAATATGGATACTCATGTCTGACTATATATAAACGTTTAACCCAGTGTGGGGATGATAGAATTCTAACAATAGATCAATTCAATAGTTTTTGGAGGACAGTCAGGACACATCGTACAGGGTGTATAGAAATAATCCAATTTCAACAAGTAAGTAATCAAACTTCAGAACGCAATTGTGCCAAACTGACTTGCACAACAAGCGAAATCTTCAAATTTCAATATAGATGAATCAAAAGTTTGTCCAAAAATCTTGACAAAATGGCATTTTTTTACCCGCAGATTGGTTGAGAGAAACTATTGAAATTCATTGTCTTTCGTCTCCGGACTCCGGATGCTTATTAAGCATTCTTTTTCGGCGACGTTCAACAAAATTCAAAAGGTAGCCGTGACTGATTTATGTTTGAATTATTTCCTTTGTTTGGCGTCGAGCAGAGTAAAAATATGCGATTCAGCAAACATTTTTATGTTATTTTTTCTTCACAGTATAGTTCGCGGAATATTCTAACTTATCTTTCATATACAGCTCACTTCATGGTCCATGCCCATGGTAATTTCACTCACTTCACAATTGTATATAATACAGAGCTCAGTGGTGACTCTTATTCCGAATATATCTTACGGGTGAATATTTCATATTGGAGGGTAGAATTCCCACCGAAACGATTAACAGTTGTCAGCAAATCGAACATGCTTAAACGTAAACAAACCAAATCATGTCTCCGTATCGTCGCCTTGTTTCAGTTGCAAGGTATGCGTCAAATGTAGACTATGATATCTTACATGCATGCACTATATTCTATATTCAATGCACGTGCTTATATAGTACGCTTAGGCTACATAAATATTTAAACGCAACTCTCGTATGTTTTATCTAACAAGTTCGACGATGCTTTAGATGGCATTCCATGTCCAGAATTCTCCATCTCATTTCCAATTCCATTACCTGCAGCCACTTCTTTCTTATCAAGAACCAATGAACGATCGTTACTATCTCGGCAAGTGCTGTAACACGATTTTCTTAGTTGAACGAACCATTTATACTGAGACAAGTATTTTATGGCTTCATTTCGAAACTTATCATGAAATATATAGTAAATAAAAGGATTGGCTGCACTATTGGCAAATATTAATATGTTCATTGCCGCCAGTAGATCCCAAAAATACTTGAATGTTTCATCGGCCTTTCCATAATCCAACCACAGCCACATTATCTGACTTGGTAAATTACAAACTGCAAAAACTATAGTAGCCTTGAAAAACATACGAATGACTTTCGTTGCTTCTGTATTCCAGGCTTTATTCAACGCAGAGTTATCACTAGTGAAGCGGCAATTTTGTTTTCTGATTAATTCCTTAACAATCTTCACGTATGCAAACGAAATTATGGACAAAGGGATGACATAAAATAATACACAAAGTGATGTTGTATACATCTTTCTGTACTTCGGATCCGGCCATTTTTCATAGCACTCTGTACCATCACTTCTGAGTGTGATTGAATGAGGTATCATAAGTATGGCAGAAAACAACCATATTCCGAGGAGAATATATCGAGCCTGGGTCCGAGTTATCTGACTCTTGAGCGGATGAATGATTGCCCGATGTCGCACAACACTTACAACCGCTAGTGTAAAAATAGAGACGGTTAAAGCTATGGTTTGAACTGGAGCGTAAATATTGCAAAAGAACGGAGCATATGGCCATTTATAATTGTTCACAATAATTGGAAACTCGAGCGGGATTGTGCAGGAGAATATTAGGTCGGAAATTGCGAGGTTGAGAATAAATAGATTGGTTACTGTTCGTAGAGATTTTCTTCGATTTAAGATGAAACAAACAGCAGAGTTTCCACCAACTCCAAGAAGAAATATGAGGCTATAAAATGTCCAGAGTAGTATTTTAAGCCATGGTCGATATTGCATTGGTGCTGCCTCAGTAGTGTTAAATGCGATCGCAGCTGAAGGTGTCAATGAAGGTGTCCATGAAGGTGTCATTATATGTGGGAGGATGAAGTACACTAGATTTTACAAGTTCTTCGGTGATCGATCATCCCTCATTCAGCTGAACCTTGGACAACTAAACAAGAGAGGAAGCAAATAGATTATTAATTTAAACTGAAGTAGTTCTGTTCGTAAAAAATAGTAAACAACTTCTTGTTTACAACAAACCGGATGTATTACCATTTCTTTTGATTCACTTTCGTTAACACAAAGGTCTTTCTGTAATATTATATTGATCACGTTTACCGAAACAAATCTACCGTGTCATATAGTACAGCTTTTATAATCTTCTGTCCGTTAATGGCCTTTATATGGCATCACATTTGATAAGAGTCAGCTAGCGTTTGCATATGCACAGAAATCCATTATATTTTGAATTAAATTAGAAGCTAATTAAGGTAACACCGACTACCAGAAAAAATAATTCCACTTCAATCGTTTCTAATTTGTTCAACATAAGAACCCAGAGTTTTCGATCACGACAATTTCTCCAGTAATCCGAGTTCAAGCGGTTTGTAAGCTAAATGAAATATATAATAATGCTCTCCCCAAAACTAAGAGGAATACTCTGCATGACGCCTAAAATAAGATAATGTCTTCATAAATTAAACTTCTATTCACACCCACGTTTTTCTCTAATAGCTCCCGCCATTTAAATGTTTGCTTCGTCCTCATTAATTGGAGTAACTGACGAATGGAAGATAAACATCCTGTAATTGATTGTTTCGAAATCATTAGCATACATGCATATATAGGATAGTCGAAAGTTCCAGTCTTAGCCTTTTTGTAAACACGCGGGCAACATACCCGGATAACGTAAGGCATGTGGGAAATCAATCAGCTTGCATGGGGATTTGAACAGATCACCGTGAGCTATGTTTAATCCCCATGCATGCAGAGTGGTATATAGCAGTCAGACAGCAATCTAAAATTACTATATATATAAAAAACCTCAAAACCGTTGATGATAATCTGATAAAAAATTCTGTTTTCATGCATGTTCCTAAATCTCATCCAATTGCTTGTTATTATGCATGCACAGATCAGTTTTTACATTTCCCGTTGTTTTAAATTAATAATACCTCTTTTCGGAAGAAAATCAAATTTAAAAATTCATTATGAATAACTGCTGTGTGTACATAACACGTGTGATGACGCAACATTGTTGATCACAATTGGAGATTAAAATGATTTTTCTTTAAAATTCAACTATTTCTGGCCAAACGCTCACTTGTATTAACGAATAATCTTATATAATTCATATTCATCATTGAATACCCATCTAAACCATTTTGCAACGCTTGATTTAGGATTATACTTTATCATTTTTTAAGGAATATTATCGGACAAGCCGTTGCCAATTCGTTCCATTGACACGGACGCTTCACTTGCCCAAATTCCTACGAACTGTCTAGTACTGCACGTCAATGATAACTTGTTAGTCCTGGTGCATAAAAAGGTCGGCATAAAAAGCATGAAAACCGAGGGGTTTTTTACATTTCTCAGTAGCGCTACCATGCATGAATAATATTTTATTAGTTTTAAAAGTAAACTTAGGAGATATTGGCCTGACAATTTAGGTAAGGAACTACTTTAGTTATTCTTTGAAATATAATAAAGTGTAATCTATAAAATATATTCCAGCAAACTATAGTCGACGGAAGAATTTAACAATATATCACTGAAAGCAGCTATAATGAGACCATGCGCGTTATACTGAGACGCAACGGGAAAGCAATATCTTTTGATCAGTTGCATGCGAGGAAATGAGTCAAATGACTGAGTGGGCAGGAAAATATGGATAAACTGTTGTGAAAATAACAAAAAATTCGACTAAGTGCGATTACGTGCCTGGTTCAGTCTTCCACACTTATTATAACTGAAAATATAACTGAATAAATATATATATATTAAAGCCCTGGCTAGCCTTGGGCTAACAAGTAATATTATATATGACTCACGAGGAAACATGCATAAAAACGTCCATAAACATGATAATAATATATCCCCATACCCATGATAATAGTCTCACCGCGGCCATATATATGCACGATACAATACAACTTTTATTGCACATGCATGCATGCTATGTATAGAAAAAAATTTTTCATTGGTGATAAATGTGCCAGTAAATAAGGTTTAATTTCACGAGATCGTTTCCGCGTGTTGGCTTATTTCATGAAAAAAGATGTTTTGCTGTTTCGGAAAAACCATACCGAAACTCGATCAAGCTTCTAAACAACAGTGCGTGCATGAAAATGTAAAATACATTCTATTTACAGAGATTTGGATCCGAGCTAAGTTGATAACAGTCAAATGGAACGTTGTTAATTACTGAAGAGATCTGGAGGATTGTCTTATCTGAAGGATTCTTGAATTGTGGATTTCATGCATCCTGAAAGAAATGTTCTATAATCCTATAATTCGGAACTCTGAAATACCGAATTAAAAGGCAAAGTATATTAGGACAAATAGGAATATTAAAAATTACGTGCCCACTGAATAATTAATTATAGGATTAATTATATTTGATTGCATGCGTTCATATGTAAACAAGGAACATGAGATACGGAGCGAGAAAAAAGGTTCAGGGACAAGAATGGGGACTAGAGACGTATGTCCAAGTCCATTTCTTATAGTTTCACGATCGATCTTCTCAATCTCAATAGAAGGTCATATTTCAGTCAGGCAAAAGAATGCAGGTGGAGATTGTCGAAATGCAATGTTGTGGCTAGGAATGGTAATCAATCTTCATTAATCATGCATCTTTGAAATATTGACACGAGCTGGTATATTAAGGTGTCGCATATATATATATATATATATATATATATATATATATATATATATATATATATATATATATATATATATATATATATATATATATACGTGCTTTCTCGTTAGGGTATATGGTATGTCCTTGCATGATTACTCATTCTCTGAGAGAGTAAACATAACCCCGGATTTTAGAATCCGTTTTCCCTTATTTTATTTACAGAAAACGGACAATGATTTCAATTATGTGTAGTCCAAAGTCCTTTACATTAGAAAAGTGGTTTAGGAAAGAATTTGGCATTTACGCATGCATTGTTCAGCTGCTGCTCAAGCCACGAATAGTTGAGTGTTTTCTGACGTACTCGCGCATGTAATTTGATTCGACTTGGATTAGACCGAGTTTTGCCTGCACGAAACTCGGGAGAAACATGAAGAATACGCTCAAAAGGCCTAACCACGATAAAGAATATATCCACCATTTTGAAGGCACGGTTACACAAATATAATATATTAAATATAAATATAAGTAAAAAAATTTTCCAAATAAAATAACAATTTCCAGAGTAAATTCACCCTTACATCATAAATAGACGCTATATTACTTGTCTTTTGCTCTCAAGCTTGAAAAATGTACGATGGTCGTCTTCATGGGAAAGGCTCATACGTTCGGGTGGGGTCATCACAATTCACAAATGTACAATTTCGTAATATTTGCGTCAAACCAGCTAAAGTAGGGATATATACCTAATCACAGATTGAAATGCACCCCGGCCGCCAAAACTGTCTGAAGGGAACAGCATTTAAAAAATGAACACAAAAAAATCCAATCAACTCAGATCATGGGATTAAAATACCCGCAATTGACATATTTTAAAGGATTATACAACTTGTGCATGCCTACTTGTGCCTTCTAATTTAAGCATATATATGTATATATATATACTCATGCACTAGAGTATATCTCCCATGCGTTAGGGACTCTTAATTATCGTCAATGAAAAATCCTTAGCCTTAGAATATATATAGCCCTTGTAAAGTTTACTGTTCTGTACAAAACTAAACAGAATTAACTCGCTCCTCTAATGCCCCGTAAGTTACCATTATAGCATTGGGCACTTTTTTAAAACAAGTTTACATTTCATTTACTTTTTCTTGTATAATATATTTTTAAGCCAAGATTTACGCGTACATTTGTTCAAAAGCGAAGTTCGTGCACGGTGCATCGCTCATGCAGTCCACGCGTGAATATAAATATACCTTAAACGCTGAGCTGCCACACGCTGTGAATTAGGACGTATGCGTTGACCATTTAACGGCTAAAGCAGTTTAAAAATCTCTGATTGCTTTGCTCTCGAGTTTTGAAACCTCAGAATGCAGCAGCAATTAAACTAGCAAATGTACACATGTTTTTCTGTTTTTATTCCGGTATATGCAACCTACCATACCGGTGACTATCACCGGCTATATAAAGATCGACGGCAAGTGATACATTCACAAGAACACTAAGCTCAAGAAACCATTACTCATTAGTTAACAAAAGATATATAACTAGATCAGCGATACGACCGCAGGATCAGTAAAAAGATGGAAGGAGGGGACGCCGGTTTATGCAAGAGTTTCTCGATAAACTATTATAACATATATATAATTTACGAGTGATACATTTTTTATAAAAGCCAAGCCAAGAGCAAGGCAAACATTCAGTTATACAAGCGAGTTACTTACCTTTACTCCACATTACACCTTGTTTGAAATGCTTCAATTATATTCAAAGAAACGTATCTTGATTAAAAACAGCAGTTTGGGTGAAATGACATATGCCGATATGGAGATGCACCTGCCGCTACTCCATGAATCAGCTTCACGAAGATTATTAAACAATGACACTTAATTTGTAGATTTACACAAGATCATTATATAAAATAACAAGCAAGACAGGACGGTTGTCTTGAAACGATCTCCTTGTATATTTACAATGCGGAAAACATCAATATTTAAATACTTGTCATAACAGATAATCACGGATTTTAAAAACACTTCACATTTCCCTCAGCAGTACCTTTGTCGGCACATATAAACCGGTCCAAAATATAATTGTCTAAAATATAATTGCGCTATTTCGGAATAAAACTTTATGAAATATAAATCTTTATGAAATCTGAAACTTTATCTTCAAAAAGTCACCCTCATGTCAGAGCAAATATGCAAATAAATAAGTATTATTTTAGTTCAAGTGCAGACAGATGTATTATAATGAAGTTTCATCACTGATTACACGCCTCACTATCAATTATGATTTATGTTTATTTCGTTTTGGGTCACGACAATACTTAATAGTCTTCTTCATACGAATGTTTTTGAGCGCAATTTCAAAAATAAAAGATTTTTTCCGGGAAATGTTATTCGTTATCAGTATAAAACGGGTCGATAAACAGTATAGACTTTCGCCATTGTTTGATTTTGTCTCACAATTTTGAGATGCGTGCAATTCCAGTGTGAGAAAACACAGAAAAGTTAAACCTACGCCTGAGGTCAAATAACTTTTAAATTAATACATTGCTTCCCCCTTTCTCGTGAAGGGGCATTTCTGAGAGCGATTTTGTTGTTTGTTGATGGCATGCATGTGGCAGCACACCACCCTTAATTAATGTGCTGTGGTTTTCTTAATGGAGCTACGAGCGTCAATCCTGGAGAGGGATTTAGCGGGGGACTCAACCCAGACAACCCCACCCTGTTGAGTTTAAAATTGACTCAGTAACTCGTCGCCTTTGTCGAGTACGGTAGCAAGGTTGGTAGATATGCTGAAAGCTTCATCGTGGCGGAATGTATGTCGTTCAAAAATTGGCCAAATTTTTGTGTGAGTTGGTGGATATCATACGTTAACTTAAAATGTTATTTTTCGCTTGGCAACGAATTGTCTTTGTTGACAAAAAAAGGATACGGAGAACTGATAAAGCCAGCCCTCGCCAAATTGAACATAACAAAAACATTGTTTTCGCAAAGAAGACACACCGTATACAGGGAACTCCCCATATAATGAAAACAACTTCAACTGAACATGAGAAAAATCAGAAATGCTATCTGTGTGACAGATGTAATTATAACCATGCAATAACCAATGCATGAGGATTTAGAGAAGCCGGACGACGTTGGTTTAATTTATTCTTGTCTTTCTAATGGATGACTGCATGAATTAACGATTATCGCAAAAATGTCCGACTATGATACTATCACTAATAATATTTTAACAAAATTGCCCGCATGACGTTATCACCAATATTACCTAACCTGCATGCAGGAGAGGATGAGGCCCACCCCGTTCCGTAGGCGTGGTGCATGAACATGAGCACATTTCTTTCATTTTGTCATTGAAGTTCACCACAGCTGTTTAGCTACATTCTTATCTCTGCTCATCATATCCACGTCCTGCATGACATTTGACGGCCATGTACTGCTTTTTGTTAGATATTTTCGCAATGTTCGACTGTTCAAAACGTTTATGTTTGGCGGAATGAACATTCGTCCTTAACGTGGGAGCGCTTTGTGCTCGTTGCAACTTACCACTGACTGTCTTTATCTTTCGTTCCCATGCTCTTACACGTAGTTCACTTGCTGTGACAGGTCGTGTTATTACTTGCTGAGACTTTGCTGACGTTTTACCAGCATTTGCCATCGATGATTGCAGTCCAGGTGAATTACGTTTTGAAATTCTGTTGTAGCTTATATTGGCTTTTAGATCGTCGTGAGTTTTGATAATGTCGATACTCCTAGAAACACAGCGACGAAATTTGTTGGCCACTATTCTCTGATCTAAATATATGCGTTTTATTGTGCCATTTTCTTGTCTCCCCAATGCATCCAACTCTTTACGTAAGTGAACTTCTTCCTTCCAATTCGCACAATGCACTTTATGAGACTTTTCAGAGTTCCCAGTTGCCTCATGAGAGTGTTGTCTGTCGATGTAATTGAAATGACTGTACATGGACCCTTACTTAGTATAATTCACAGCAGATCATATATATATAGCTACGTACATGCATGTGGTGCATCCAAGAACAAAATCCTTTACACAACACAAGATTACGGCAGCTTGCCGTGGCCACAAAGAGTGAAAATCCAGTAATCTTATAAGACTTAAATTATTACACAAATGATTGGTATAACCGACTAAGTCGCGTAAACATTATTCGAAGCGCATCAATGATCATGGAGAGCGCAGGTGCAAAATAAAACATGAAATAATTATGAACGCACACTATATATATTGCAATAAAACATTTGAGACTCAGTTGCTTGGTTTTCAAATACTGTTTAAGGTCAATGTTATTCAATTGAACTGCCTAATTTTTTTTCTGTTACTCAACCATGTATATATAGGCTTCAAAACATCACAGGTAATTTAAGATCGCAAAAAACATGTTTATTATAATTTGTGTTATTGATGCAATATTGATTGTGTTTTAGGAATGCGGACAACTATAGAAATATCTGACTTTAAGAAATAAAAAAATCAAACGATCATGCCTGCAGATACCATGCACATATACTGCAGCAGACGACTAATGTCACAGTATTTTTTACTATAATAACTGCTGTATCAATCGCTTTGCCCAATACGATTTTAACACAACATAAATCAAATGGATTAACTAGGCTTCCTTCTTTTCTTTATTTGAATAGCGTTAATGCCTGCCAAATCCCCACAAACAATAAGACCTTATTTTTCATTTAGCATTTTGTACGAACATGAGTTTGTACAAGAAGTGTTGACACTTTCAGTAATCTACCGCAACGCAAGCATACAGCCCACGTTCAAGAGATCACGACGAAGAAAAATTTATTTTCCTCATTTTCATTTAATAAAATTGACAATGCTCATTAATATAAACGTCATTTGTTGTATAGAACCCATATAATTCTACTGCTCCTAACATGGAACAGGCGTATAATTTTTTAGCTATATATTGAATATATATATATATATATATATATATATATATATATATATATATATATATATATATATATATATATTGATATCATTTTTTCTATAAACAGACAGGTCACCAATACCTTCGCTTTATTGTGTTGACGAGCGCCAATAAGGTTTGTTTAGACCTTAAGGCTTGCGCATATGAAACTCTACCAACTTGGGGAAATCCAATTAAAGAACCTCAACGCCATCTCAAATCCAAGAAAACACGCCTGTAAGAACAGAAAGATGATGTCTCTAGATTTATCCCAAGTAGAATGAAAGTTTAAACAATTATAACAGTAAGAATATTATATAAAATTTATATAAAACACTATCTAATATAGATAAACAGACAACATCTTTTTCACCCACCCAGGGATGTTCGTATATGCAGCTATACCCATCGTAAAGACGACCAAATTCTACCCTAATTCTGTATGTCTATTTGATATGATACTAATTGACGTTGCTATACTACATGAAGTTTATCGTGAACTACTATGCATCCTAACTTATTAAATGTTCTGTATTTTGTAAAAATGAAAAAAGAAATTGTCATGGATATACGCGATTGCACAGTATAATATGTAGTAAAAGCTGATATAAAACAATCTTTATTGAAGTAATTAAAAGACTATACCGCATTCGCAGGAAAGGCTCGTAGCATAACTGGCGTCAAACCTTTAAACAAAGCCTTTGGACCTTCTTCTCTGATCTAATTGATGTGATTAAGATAAAATACAACATGTGGAAAATGCTCGAAAATATCAAAACTTAACATATTCATAAAACACGACAAGAATATCTACCGTGTATCTAAAAACATCGCGCAAGCCTTTAGGATAAGTTCCTTCGGGAGCTAGAAATAAAAATTATGCTTCTTTCAGCTCACTTGATTTAGGCGTTTTCTTCAATTACAATTTTAGAATTCTGTTTGAATGAAGTCCATTTTGTTAAATTTTTATGTTAATCATGCATATATCTTTATATTTCGTTCTGTGTATATCATTATATTTCGCTCTGTGTTCCAAAAACGAGTCAACACTGCAAAGTCCTGATTGGCCACCTGGCTGCATTGTCCAATCAGAAACATGCTTTGTCCGTAAATACGTTATATGTCACAGACGTTTTATAAGATATGGACTTTGAAAGAAATTTTATGAAACTGGATACAGAACATAGTAGAGTAAGAGAAAATAACCTTATACCTGTCTGAAGTCTGGATTTAAGGCTGTCTGGTGCAATTCCTGGTATCCATCCCATCATCCCAGCAAATCCTAAATGAATGTAATTTGAAACAGTATTAACAAATATCTGGGATATAATAGGCTACGCGGCCACCAGGTATATAACCATTGCTATTATTGCTACTCTCTTGGTTTTGAATAATGAGTGTAAGAATCACCCAAAATTACATTCATGACCCAACGTTTCGACACTCCGATCTCGTCTCAACATGACGTCATCTGCCAATGAAATATGTAAATATTCTTTTGGAAAATAGATCCTAGATTCCTAGTATCCAAATATAGGGCTCATGTAGTCAAGGACTCGCATTAATATGCCAGGTTTCCTAACAACGCCTTTGTTCAAAACGATATAAAGTGGTATATACAGTGGTAATGACTTCAGAATCATTCCACGCGTTGTTGTGTTTTTTTTGTGCCCTATAAATAGGAATGACGATCGCTACTTGCCAAAAAAATTTACATCTCATTTGCAAATGACGTCATGTTGAGAGAAAAAAGGATCAAAGTTTCAACATCAGATCATCCCTGAGTCCTAACGAAGACACTAGACAGAAGTGTTGAAACGTTGGCTCGTGAATGTAATTTTGGGTGATGATTACTGTCATCATTTAAAACCAGAGTAGCAATTATAATAGCGATGGTAGGAAGTATTAGTTTTTCAGATAAAGCCATATACGTTATTTACCTCCAGCTACAAAAATTCTCAATGGTCCAATGTCTGCTCGACTAATACAAAAAGAAGAAAAGCTTGTTGTAAAGGCGTTCATGCGGAGACAGAATTCTTTATTTGATGATACATTCTTTTTATGCCATAATCCGTTATCAAAAGGCATGAAATGATGAAAGCAAAAATAGCAAAACTTGAGACACAAATTTTCATGTCCGTTCTCTGCAGGACAAATAAAGCACTACATGCAGTGAGTGGCGTTACCTAATATTCTATAGCAGGGCCAGGAGTAGACATGGACAAGACATCGGTCTTATTCTTATTGTTTGGTGATGGTACACAATGTTGGTCGTTATGGTTACCGGATTAGTCGCTAAGAAAATAATGAGCACGAGTACCTTAATATAGGGTTGTTTTTGGTTAGCATTAGAGCCAAGCGTCGATGGTTTGATAGTCGTTACACGTTTAATTCAGTGGTAGGAAGACTGGTGTCCAATAAACACGTCATCATGCTTTGGGTCATCTGTGCTATCCGCACGAAAATTGTATAAACGCAACTCAATGATCATCATGATATTCTGCATTATTCAGTAGTTTTATTATCACCCAGTAAAAATAATTGGATTGAATTACCTCACATAAGAATTAGAGTCCAATTTATTATCGGATTTTAATGAGAATGCATACTATGAGAATACATATTTAACTTTTTAGTTTTTATTGACCTCGTTTGGTATTGGTATATTTTCCTATCCAGTCAACTTACCTTTCCCCTTCCGAAGTCATTAATTTCAAAAATATTTCATATGTCATAAAGTATACGCCATTCCCGGGTATATCTAAATGCAAAAACTCTCAAACTTAATATTACCTATATGCATGCATGTCCACGTGTTTACCATGGGCCAACTCTTTGTAGAGATTCCCTCAGCATTAGTGCCGTTACATGTTCTTATAACGGTTTATAGAAAATGCATATATGTGTACATGAGTATATCCTGTATACCTCTCAATAATGTCGCAGCAGTTCCTTTATAAAGTCCTTTTATCCCAGTTTCTTTGAAGATTTTCCATGCACAATCAAGAGGACCTTTATATTTTGCTTTCTCTGGTGACGTTTGTTGAATCTAAAATGCATGAATTATAAATTTATATATACGCGATAATTGTCATAAAATAAGCAGGGAAAGGTTCATTGCATAGGCCCTGCCTCCATTGGCAAATTTTGAAATTCATGCAGTATGAGATGTCCAGGATATCTCGTATCTATACCTGTAGTAAACACTTGATTCTATCAGCAGGCACCATGACAGTAGTTGCAAAAACAGCAGCCACCATACCAGCCTTAAAATGTTGGATATTGCTAAAACAGCAAAGAGAATTAAGCTATATAGTTTTCTTTAGCCGCAACTGTTGTAAAAAAGTTGTGTTCGACAAAGTCCAATTATTCTCGTTGTTATCTGCATGTGAACGGTGACAGTATATATACAGTGACTTCATGCAATTCTGCAAAAATATGTCGGAAACTTTGACGTGTTCACGAATTAATCACTCAAAACCAAAATGCACCTCCTTTGACGGATTGTTAATCGTTATATTTTAGTTCGCTTTTCAACACCAAATGTTTCGTCATACGTGTCTGGCAGTGAGAGTCATGTGGATATACTACCCTAGGTTTTCGATAAAGAAACATATTTTTTCTCGTTATCAAAAACTGCATAACATTTGGTACCTTAATTCGCCATTAGGGTTTTGAGGTTGTTGAAGACGTTTACCAATAGAAGATCCAAGAAAAAACATCGCACACATTGGAGTCGCAAGAAAAATTGGCGTCGCCATTCCTTTATACAACCCTCGAAATCCCTAGTGGAAAATTCGTAATAATAATTTCTCATAATGTCGCTAAACGCGAGATGCAATATCACCCAAATTTCATTAGCTACGCACTAAAACTGATGACCAGTCTAACTTGGTGTAATATGACTAATATCATATTAGGTACGACAGTAAAGTAAAGAGGACTGTGGCCGCAAATGCTGCCTGAACTACAGAACTAGACATCTATATCTGGTATTCTATGCACAGTTAGAACATTTCCATTATCAGGGATACCATTGGATTGATTCAGGAATCGCTCATACACTTGTGGGACTCAGTGGGAGTAGTGACTAGTGAGCATCTATTATGGATTAATTTCGGCCATTCCCTATATAATTATTCCACTATTAGAAGTATTATTAAAAATATGTAGTTATTGACTTGATAAAAAGCTTTTGACCATCTCATCTTCAGTATACCTCGAAAGCACTGCCACTGGCGTCATAAAACTAAAGAGACCGAGCTTTACTGTTGAGTTAAAGTGCGAACACAAGCTAGGTCGAGGTGTTCAATGCAAGCCAATATCAATCAGCATTTGGATTCTATGGAAAGCATTACTTGCACCAGTCGTATGTTAAAGGTTTATGATGATTCAAAATGACATCATGTCCTTGTACTTCAGTCAACTAGATCTCAGCGTGATCATCTTGTTTCAAAACTTTTCCTTTCATTTCTTTCGCAAGCTCATTATTGTACAAGGGCCAAGACATCCTATTCTTCGTCTTCACCATGGCACGTGTGGATGTCATGTAGTTTTGTCAATCAAAACAATACTTTCTTCCCCCTCATACAATGTCAATGATCAGAGAAATGCAATGTCATTGTCATGGGAGGTATAAAATAATGTTAGAACGAACAGATTGTTTTAGCTAGGTAGACAATATACTGACAGATGGATGAAAATAATAAAATCCTGTGAATAGCAACAGCACAGATTTCTGAAACCCATCAGAAATTTCTCAAGTCTTCGCTGAATTCGTCTCCTACGTATGTCAGCTCCTTGTTCATTAATATGTTGTTTGTCAGGTTAACAGACTCTACGATGACTACAAATCACAGTTTTTCCATAAGATCATGATGATTTATCATAGTACAGACTTCAAATATCTGAAGCTGGATGAGGCGATAATATACTCACACAATGCGCAATGGAGAATATTGGGAACCATTTAATGCATTGTGAACATGGGATAAAATAAAATTGCAAATCTGAGATTTTCCCACTGTTAGTTTTAAAAGTTAAGTACATCCCAAGTTGTATACCAGAGCCACTCTGGCTCCTGATTCCCATCAAGTCACCACAACTCAATACAATCAACAATGACTGTAGTCCATTAATCCCTTGACATATAAAACAATATTTTCTTCCCCCTTTGACACTAACGACTTAAACATGACGTCATTGTCACTGGGGGTAGGAAATAATGTTAGAAAAATTGCTTAATTAAGTACATATATCATATTCAGATAAATAATGTACATGATTTAAGATTACAGTCTTCATTTACACCTTTAGTAAATGCTTGATGCACAGAGCATTTAGCTGACAATGGACATGCTAATTTTTATCTTGTTACAGTATCACAAGAGATGGTATTCCCATATAAGAGGGAAGAAAAGTGATAACATCTGGATATGACATTAAATCCTGATAATAAAAAGTCTGATATCAAGATCGATTTAAAAAAAAATATTACCCCCATAAGACATAGCTATTATATGTCATATGGACATGTTATTGTAGAGTATTAGTAACAGCACCTCTTTGACAACAGTTTTCTTAGCACAATCTAAGGTTCCTGCAAACTGTGGCAATTCACCAGGTGCCACTTTTGGCTGAGTTTGTAGACGAACCTGGACAATGACAGAAAAGTAAATTACACAAACTGCATAACACTCGTGCTATGTCAGGGAAAGAAAATACATCTTATAGTACAATCAAACAACATCCTAAACAAACACCGCCCTATCTAAGAGAGCCTGAATCAGCATTTTGAGGTTAGTTTTTAAAGGTATTCTAAAGAATAATCATCACTCCGTTATTGAGAACTTTATCAATTTTGTTGTATTTTAGTAGTTTTAAAACTCTTGTGTGAAGGTGGAGAAATTGTTCAATTTGACACTTTTAACCAGTTTAATTTTGATTAAATTTCTTTGAGAAGCCTCGCACAAAGCCTAGTAAATGTCAATGTTCAATTTGGTATATTTTAATTTTAATATGTGATAACATGTTATTTTCATAACTGTATTTTTATAACCTAATCCCATAGGTTTGCCTATTTTGTCAGTGATTATACACAATTTAATTGCAAGAACCTTTTGCCAAAGCCTCTTTCCAAGGCAATCAAAATTTAGCAAACTCTACAGTGGTATAGCTGAAATTGCATACTAATACATTATCACTGCAAATAACAATTGCTCCACTCTATGGAGATAACAATTGCCACACCCTGTTTTTACCATTATTATGACATAGGTATGCAAAACATGATGGTTTTTTAAGTCACAGTTTTATTTAAGGAAAGTTGATTTAAGGAAAATTTAAATAAGTTTCTTTCACTGTCAAGGGAACTGCCTGTAAATGTTTTATCATTTTACAAGAATATTTTACAGTTTATTCCCTCAGGCAATGTTACACTGTAGAATGATGCTGCAATATACCCCGAGAATAAATATGCAACATTTCACTCCTAAAAAGGACATGGTTATTCAAATAGAGTTTATATAGTGCCTGAAACATTCATAGACGTAATTGAAATGTAAATTAACGGCAGTGGATTTGAGAAATAAACTGTTCTTGCGGTACTGACTTACTGTCGTCTGTCGAAAGTATTTATATTAAATATGTAATAAAACACAACACATCAAAAAAGAAATTTTGAATATTACCTTACCTTAATAGTATCTAGAGGATGACCTGCAAAAACTAAAGCAATTCCACCAACACCGCCAGCTAAAAAGTTCTTCAAGGCTGAAGAACTGACGTGATCTTTGCTCTCCATATCTTCCGCCATTTTACACAACAAACCGATCGTATCGACCTTGCGCAATTATTAATTACCAATCACTCGACCGTGACCAAAATATTACTGGAATGTCACTTTAAAGAAGGTACCCCACTGCTGGTAGGATGACCACTGACCAGATTTATTACCAGACTCGGTCGGATGCACAAAAACATTCCCACCTGACTTTAATAATTACCAAATTTACACCAGGAGGGCCTGAAGGGGGAGTCTAGATTTGAGCAGCTTAGGTTAAAAGATTTTCATATATGGTCAACCCTGCAGTGAGTGAGGGCGGGCGGCTACTAGCCAGATGCAACGAGAAACATTTTGTGATAAGTCAACTCACTCAATTTGTAGGCTGCATTAAACATGCGCACCTCTCTTGCACATGTCATTCGGGATTTTAGATTTTTGAGCTGTCCCTTGGAAGCGACATGCGTACCCGCGGCTTGTCACTAGCCTTGTGTCTAGAAAATTGACCGAAGGGCCTACCAATTCTTTTGTTTATTTCATAATATAAGCACCTAAACCATTTATATCAATACCACAACTCGTTCCTGAAACTACTCCGTGAAGTTAGGAATGATTTCAGTTTTCTATACACCCAGTTGAGACTTGAAAGGGTGGTTAAACTTAACCGATTCAAAAACCCTCAAGAAAATTCCTAGGAGTTTGCTATTGTATATAGAATATGAAACAATATTTATTGACATAGAAGAAATTCATTAAATAAAAAGTAAAAATTTATACAATACTCAACTTTCACAATTCAATAATTCCTACAATCGTTTAATGACGGTGTAAATAATTCACTGACTGCAGCTACCAATTTGGTGCGATCCAGTTCAGCAGTTTCATTGCCATTTCATAACCAAGGAAACATGCCTACAATGATATTCAATAAGAACACATCTAACTAGGGGGTCTTCAACGTCGTTTGCAGGCGAACCCAGGAAATGCAGACATGGCATTTAGGTAACATGCAGCACCATAGCCTAGGCATAAAGCTGCTCGTTCACCACAACCTCTTTAATGGTTAATTTTAAAATATCTTACCGCATTAGCAGGAAATGCTCTTAACATAATCGGTGTCAATCCCTTAAATAAACCTTTTGGTCCTTCTTCGCGCATCTACATAAAGTGTAAAACAAGACGTTTGTTGAAAAACAAAACCTTGTCTCCAGGCTTTTCCCTCAAATGGTAGAAAGATCGTTTATATATAGCTAGGAGAAAGTCAAAGAAAATCTAGTAGAATTTTAGTATTGTTTTGCCATTTGGCCATGGTATGGTAAAAGACTGGAAAATCTTATATTGTACAGTTTTACTTTGAATGATCTGACTATAGATGCATAGATATTCGGCGATCTAAAGTGACATCTTTGAAAAGTTTGGAGGTGAAATGGCTTCAACCTGACTTTCACGGGTTATGCTTGTTACTTACTAATTGTGTAAAAACGTCGCGAACGCCATTTGGATAGGTCCCATCTGGTGCTATAAAAGAAGTAGCATATAGATTTGTACGCTGTCAACGCAGTCATAGATACCTTAGCTACAGTCAAGAAAATATCTTCTCTGTCAACACCCAATACCTGTTTGAAGTCTGGACTTGAGTGTATCTGGAGCGATTGAGACTGTCCAATTTGCCATGCCGGCAAAACCTAAACATTACGTCATATAGAGATCAGGAAACAGTGTTGGAATAATCAAGTTGCGAAGTGTAACAGACAGTTGACTATGCATGCCTTCGTGCACACGGTAACGTTGTCGAGCGTTTTCATTTTCGTTTTCATTTTCGTTTTCATGCCAAAACGGTTTTAAAACACGGTCAATTTACAATAGAAATTGAAATTAATTAAAAATATTGAGCATATTTAATATTTTCCCTTACATCGTTTGGACAAGACGTCAAAGCGATAAACTAGATAAAAAAGATTTTGAAAACGCTCGAAAACGACGCTCGTGTGCACTTGAAAAGGCATGCAAATGATGCAATTGAAACACATGCAATTGACAGAAACAAGTAAATATTTACATGAATAATCATACCTCCGGCAGTGAGAATCCTTAAAGGACTAATGTCATTACGTCTGTGAGAAAGAGAAAGAAATAATGCATGTGAAAAATAAATCGATTAAACCATGATTAACCTTACCTATCCTTGTAACAATGCAAACTTTTATTTAAGTTTCGTGTACATCACGCTTTGTACTACATACGTACTGTACATACTGTACATAGCAATAGTTTTCATAGTCTCCATTTGAACTTACGTTTTTCCTTCTGGGGTCAACCATTTTAATAATGCTTCATATGTCATAAAGTACATTCCACTGCCTGGTAAATCTAGACAGAATTTTAGGATGGGTTAACACCATCAAAGATTCTGTGATAGCAGTAATGATTTTGCAGAGATAATTTAAGCCAATTAATAATGATTCTAAAATTATAATTCACTGCACACTGCACATCACATGAAAGTCAAGAACATGCTTTTTAAATACGCATGTTGAACTGCTCAAGCAGAAATGGAAAATAATAAATTATATCTAAACAAGAAAATTGAATATTTGTCAGGGAGAATTCTACCATTCTGGCAATAAATATGCCTTTTAGTAAAAAACGTTTTTATAAAAACATTTTGGTCTGGTATTTCTATTGCGGACCTCCTGCTCATTTGAAGACACACAATGTTTTATATACAGTAGCTACCTCTTAACAGTGTGGCACAAGTTCCTTTATAAAGTCCTCTTATTCCACTTTCTTTGAATATTTTCTTCGCACAATCTAAAGGACCACTGTACTTTGCTTTCTCAGGTGATGCCTGTTGAATCTATGATCAAAATTTAACTTCAGTCAGTCAGTCAGTGATAATCAGGTGTCAGTGACTGTAATGTGAAGTGGCACTGTGAAACTAACAGTATGTTTGAGGAAAGTTTACATAAAAGGGCATGAATTAGAATTATTATATATACTGTACGTAATTATTATATATACTTTACATATAATTATAATTAATACATACTGTATGTGTCAGTGCATTCAGATATTATTTAGAAAATCCTTTCATGTAATGTTCAAACCTGTAATAAACACTTTATTCTTTCTCCTGGAGTCATTATACCAGTTGTAAAAACACCAGATACCATACCAGCATTGAATATCTGCAGATTACTAAAATTAATTAAGTAAACTTCAATTTAATAACATATTTCCAGAAAGAGGTTATTCAAGTGGTAATTAAAAGGTTGGCACTGAACAAATTAAGTTTTCATCACACAAAATGTCTTCTCTTTAGCCCAGGTGCATGGTTCACAAATTTTTCATGAATGGAGGAAAATTGCTAATAGAAACACCCTGGGTAATCCAGCTATAAATGTACATACCTCATCTCTTCATTAGGATACTTTTCTTGAAGTTTCTTTCCAACAGAAAATCCAAGAAAACAAAATGCATAAAGAGGAGTAACTCCAACTATAGGTGTAGCCATGCCTTTATACAGACCAAGGAATCCCTATATAATGGTAGGTATAATAAATATCCTGCATGATCCTTCATCAATTATAACTCTGTGTACATGGAATTGGAGCTTTTAGTTTTTATTTATGGTAGAGAAGATAGAGGTATGCAAGTCCCACCTCCTTTGAAATAGTCTTCCTGAAACAGTCAAGTGTTCCAGTGAAAAGTGGAGTTTCTCCAGGTCCAACTTTTGGCTGGGTTTGAAGACGGACCTGCATGGTAATAAGGTTGATTAGATTAATATATTACTTGTCCATGGTCTATTGGGCCATGCTATACTAGCTAGCTATTGCTATAGCAGCCCAACTTTCATATGGCCACATAGTCTGGTACTCATTTTCTTATTCTGTTTTGTGCAAAAATGTGTTGTTTAGGGACTGAGCTAGGGAGTAAGATGAAAGTAGACATCCTTAACACTGACCTACATATATAGTCATCTAGGTCAATTCATGAGGTCAACTGATCAGAATTTTCTGTTCCCCCAGGCCTCAGGGCACATACATGTAGTCCACATTCCCTCTTTTTTTCACTAGACCCAAAAAGATTTAGGAGTCTTCTAGTGCTCTATTGCTCTATTCTGCTCTGCTATTTATTATGGGGTGCATATTCAAATATTTATACATTTGAGTATATACCCCTCCAAAAAGGCCTAGCTACGGCCCTGGTCACAGAAACATACATACAATTAATACAAATATGCCCTAAAAATCCCGAATTTTCTCATTTCATAAAACAACTACTTTACTGAAAAATCATATAAATACGTGATTTGGCAAACTGTAGAATTTTGGACTTTGGACTCACATTAGTCACATAGTTTTAATATTATCAAAATGTTACAAAGCATGAAAACGTTCACAAATCAAATATATCAATATTATAACAGAAACATGGGAAAAAAACAAAAGTTAAAACAGTGAATTAAATCTTTAAAAACACTATTTTTATTTATTTACGTCAACAAATCAAGGCGCTACGTCTGAATGCAGTAAAGAAATAGTAAACATTTTAAGAATTAAGCAAACCTTGATGGTGTCCAAGGGATGGCCTGCTGCCACAAGACATACTCCACCAACTCCACCAGCCAGGAAATTTTTCAAAGCGGAGGAACTACCGCCACTTTCTGCTTTCTTTTCTTCTGCCATACTTTTCTACGTGTCAAAATTGATATCACGATTGTGTTCAATGATGGGGATGTACTTTGAAAGTACTATACCAAATTTACATGAAGTACTGCAGAAAAACGTCATCAATCTTGCTGGATCATTGAATTCATTGAATGTTTTTAAAAAATATTTTTAAAAACTTGTGTATTTTAAAACCAGTTAATATCTTGCATATTATTTCTTCATATTTCAACTGTTTTCATCCTAAAGCACATTGTTGATGTTTTAGAAACATTCCCTTTGGTTCCTTGTGGTTCCTTGCCGTTCTGATCACCATGACAACAAAGTTGTTTTTGTTTTTATGTCTGGCAAATGCAACATGATCTGACATGGAGGGATTCATATCTAGGGCATTTTGCTTGCTTCTGAAAACTACATGACTAATATCTGCACGAGGGTACAATGGTACAATATATTGTCAATAAATATGTGGACAGGCGATTGCGGTGGTTAGATTTCTAGGTGGAAATCCATAGTCAACCATGACAGACACTTTGACATCGCTATTGAAGGAGCCGTCGGCAAATAAACCATCTCTAGCTGTTGGGAAAGTTAGTTCACATTGGAAACTCTTAAAGTCCTTGATAAATACTGATGAAGACAATGGGAAACACGTTAAAGGCATAGATGTTGATAAATATCCAAAAATAATTAGTCATGGTATTCACCATCGAGGAAAAATAAACATAAAAAGTTCAAAAGAGCAGACGTTAGAGTTTGTGGCGTCTTTGTTGGATTGTTATGCTACTTTGAACAATGAAGGCAAGATTACAGTTGTTTCTCCAAGTGGAAAGACCAAGCGAATCAAGTCTGATGAATGCTTCAAAGGGATAGTATTTTCGACAAAATCAAAACAATGTATCTGCTGGGGTGATAGTGACAAGTTAAAGGTAGTATTTTGTTCTAATTAATGTTATGCTAGCATATATATGGTTGATAGGAAGTGGATTATGTTTTGTGGAGCTTTTTCAAATTAATTAATGCCAAAGAAAATAAGGGTTCAATCAATGGAAATATATTAGCTATATGGATACAGTACACTAAGGCTGTGTTCAGACTGATCAGTGCCCAGCACTGGTGTGCCAAAGCACCCGGACCCGGTGCTCATAAAACATGCTAAGCACAGTGCCCTTGTTGAGGTACTACGTCTGGAGGTAGTGCCCTTGTTGAGGTACTATGTACATCTGGAGGTAGTGCCTGTTCCTGGGCACAGTGCCCTTGTTGAGGTACTACATCTGGAGGTAGTGCCCGTTCCTGGGTGCAGTGCTTAAATTCATTTGGAAGTGTCATATTCAACTTAGGCGTCAGAAAAAGCGACAGGCATCGGCGGGATGATAATTGGCTGGCACTCATGCCAAATAAGGGCGCTTGGGTATCATGGCAGATAATAAATGGATTTAGATTTTCAGAGATTGAAGGATTGTAGAAATGTGGATAGTTGTAGAAGTTATTGCAGTAGTAATCTTTTTCCTCTGGATCAAATTTATTCAGCTTTTTTTTTGTATGTGTAGTTGATGAATGAATCATTTAAACCTGTCAGTACATCTCAATCAGTTGCAATTATACATTGGTATGTCAATTTTTATGATCTCATGTACAACTGTAGTTGCTGCATTTTAATTGTTCAAATAATTGCACATGCATATAATAAGGGAAATGCATTGTGCAGTGTACCCATATACTTTAAAAAAAAATTATTTGTCTAGTGCTGTGTACAACAAGTCAACACATGAAGTTATAACAGCAGGAGATGGTAATATTACTGTAAGTTTATTGAAATTGTATGTTGTACAATTATTCCAGTTGTGCTGTGGATGATTATTATTTTATATTTCTCCTAAATTATTTCTTGTTATAGTGTTTTGATAAAATTAATAGCTTTTCTTATTTCTTCCATGGCCTATAATATTAAGTGTATAGTGCGGATGTTTTAAAGAAAGATTGACATATGCCCAGAACATTGAATTCTAGATACTGTAATTATTTTTTTAGTGTTGGAGTTTCCGTTATGGCGGAAAGTTTCTAATGCCTCGTAAAATTGTAACGGTAAGAATCTATTTTCCTAATCTATACACAGTTCAATTACACAAATTTGGCAAAAATATTTCTAGAGACTGCATTTAATTATCATAATTCTCGCTAATAAAATTGTTGTATAAATTAAACAGCACTTTGAAAATCCAGAAATAGATCCAGCATGACCTCGAGCATGAATGCTATGGTCATAGACTGTTATTAAAAAATGTGGTTTAGGACAAAGCAATATGTTCCTTGTTATGCCTGAAATAAAAAACATGCTTCGTCTTCCATCGAGAATCACGTCCTTTCGTTTTCTGGATAGTAACCCATAATTGGCCGTTTTCACACTAAAGACGCATAATGCGTCGATCTTCTCTGGTTATTCGTCTTCAGTATAAAGACGGACAACAGACGCATAATACGTCCAGACGATTAATGTTCAGTTTTTCGTCTCAGAGACGCAAAACCAACGATAGTTCGTCTAGACGGATAATGCGTCTGCCCGTGTGAAGACGGCACATAGACGAATAATTCCGGAAAATGAGACAGTGATAAAAGAAACCAGAAATTCTAATGTAATCTATTCGCGCGTGTTTCCATCGACTTATTCGTCTGATTAGTTGTCCCGCCTTTATACTGGACAAAAAATATTGAAGACGCATTATGCGTCTCTAGTGTGAAAACGGCCATTGGCGACAACGAATGACTTTGCACGCGTTTTGTCCTTAATGCCTGGCAAAAAGAAAACTATGAAAATGGCATATTGATGTGTAAAATGCAATATGAATGACAGAATGAGTAAACATCAGTCCTTGATAAAGTTGGATATATACTTTTAACACTATTGTACATACAATACATTAATAAATTGTGTTTATTTTCAGGAGAACTTGGAGAACTCTTCAGTTTCTGGGATATGTTTAGAAGACTCTTTAAGCAAGAGTCAACGTTGCTTTATATCTACTGGCACAAATATCGCGTCATTCAATATTCTTGAAGGAAAATGTCTATCTTTTTTAAAAAATAGACATGCTCAAGAAATAACCTGTTTGGTCTATTTCAACCCACGCAAGGTAAACAGAGTCTTAGTTCTCTTTCAACGGATTATAAATTAGGCAGGATTTTGCGCAGAAAGTGCTTGATGTTACCAAATTCCCAACTAGAAACAACTAATAGTAATGTAATGTTGTCTCATTTCTTGATAGTTCCTAATATCAGCAGCCAGAGACGGGTCTATTAAAGTCTGGAACGATGACGGGAGTTTAGGAATTGCGTTCGTAGGACATCATGGTTGTGTGAACAGTTTAGCAATCTATCCATTTGGTCAATTTATTCTCTCAGCATCGAGTGATATGACATTGCGTGTTTGGAGTTTAGAAGCAAAAGATGAAGTAGATCGAATGCAATGTGACTATCCGGTAAAAGGCATTGAAACTGTCATTGGAAAAGATAATCTGTATTCATTTACGCCACAAGGAATTGATTTGTGGAAAATCAAACACATTCACACTGAGCAGACATTAATTGGGTAATTTTCTAACTAATCTTTGGCTATTTGAGCCTGGTAATTAATCATTGACAGTCGGTGTTCCTTATTTTTTTTCCTGTTGGCGCCGATGTCATGAAGCAATGTAAAGATGGACATTAAACCCCATCATATGACTTTGTTCTGTTTTAGTTGCAAAATAAAGAGTTTAAAACAAACGACACATCCTAAGGTTCGACCAATGTTTTACTATGTGACTATATAACAATACTGCAGATGCTGTGGGTGAATACGCCTTCCTATCCCTTCATATCCTCCTAGGCCCTAGCCAATAATTTCTCTTAATCCACAGTTTCCACTACGCATTGTATGTGTTTGTGCGGATGCTGCTGTTCGCCTTATTTCTGGTAAAACTGGTGATATAATAACCACATTTCTGGTTCCTGATCTTACTACAGTAACTGATGCAGTTTACTCGGCGGGAGAAGGTAAAAGAATTGTTGAAATTTTTGCACTTGCTTGCACGCAGCTCTACCTTAATATACCTCGCAATAGCACTCCAGGTTCCATGGATATATGGAGACGGGGTAAGAAGACAGGATAAAAAGCGCTATTTTATCTGTAGATTTAAAAGATATCTGCGCGTGAGATCCTGATGCCAAAAAATATAAAGTTTGGTAATTCGAGCTCATATTATGCAGCATTATTTATTTTTATAAATTATGCTTAATAAAGAGACTTCAAGGGCGGGGCATTGTAACCTATTCCATAGTCAGAGTTTCATACAATTGAAAAAATCCTTTTTCAGATTTACTGTTTACGTTACTTATCAATGGAAAGATATTAAAAGGTTCAACAGACACAAATCCTAGTTCGTTGCTGGAAGTCTGGGAATGCAAAGGTATGCCTGATGATTCACATCAGCCAATAGAAGCATATCATCTTTATATACAAGTTACTCCGATAACATTTTTGTGATATCAAACTGTACTGACTATTATGCTGTGTGTAATTCTCTAGACTTGACGAGTCCTTGCACGTGCTTGTGTCTCTATGAGTACATTATCGAGGTACAGAAAGAGCTATAAAGGAAGACATCCAAGAATATAACGATGTCATTGCATGCATGAAATGTGATGTACAATTAACTGAATAATTACTAAAGTACACTTGGTACAAAAACAATGAGAATGTTCGAAACAATAAACAATTTTTATATTATAAACGTGTAGGATCTGTTGGCAGACACAACGTGGCAAAATGTCGTCCAAGCTGCTAAAGTTAAGAAAGCCGGTGCATCTTTAGCAAACGACATTGATGATCGAACACTGTTGTTGGGCGGGTGTGTCGATGGTAACATCGTCGTGTTTGACTGGAAAGATAAGAGAAACCCAGGAAAAGTAATATTCAAAATTGAGGTACGTATGTGCAGATACAAGTGAAATAGTGGAACGTATGTGCAGTTTTTTTTGTAAAATAAAATGTGAAATGCAGGAGATATATGCCTTGTAGGGTAAAACATTACGTAGGCTATAGTACAAGATAACTGCATGTTCATGCGTGAAAGTTTGTTAAAAATGTCAAAGATCCTTGTTTTTTTATTGTAAGAGTGAAATTCAGTGTTTTTGTTTCTTTCAACAAACAATATTTCTAATGTTTTCAGGGTCATCGTGATGAGATAGTTGGCATGATATCGAATCCGAAAATTGATCGTGTTGTGTCATCTGGCCTGGGTGAGCGTGTTAACTACGTTTACTAATGAGAATTGACGTATGCGTACTCCATACATATATACAACAGGAACAAAATATCGTAATTAAGAATATTTTTTGTATATTTTTTGCAGACAACGTTGTAAAAATTTGGCGTCTTTTCCCTTTTGCTGAAGAGGCGTTAGCTCCATTGATGACTCTATATTTTGATGAGCTGCCACGTCATCTCTGTGCATCACATCATAGATTACTGGTAGCTCTTTATGAAAGATCACGAGCTAATTATGCCGTCACAGTTTATAAGACAACACATAAAGGTACAACTGAAGAGTCCATGTAGACTTCGGCCTAATCAGTTATATTCTATTTATATCTTCTCTACGAAATGGTGGAGCCGAAAGGAACACTTCAACCGTTACATATTCCTGTACATAGTTTTATTATTTTTTATTTGTTTGTTAGAGCGGTTCGACCATCCCACTGAGGACGACCACAACGATGAAGTGATAGCCGTGAGCAGTTGTTTAAAAATGAGGTTGTTTGCGACTGTTAGTTTAGACGCAACCGTTCGCATTTGGGATGAAAGCAATCGTTTAAAGCGAGTCATAAAATTGAATGCTACTCCTTCAGCGTTGTGTTTTTGCAGCGAACGTGGTGATATTATGGTCGCTATTGGAAATTCTCTTCATCGAATCAAATATGCAAAATGTGAGCCGCTAATATCACTCCTTATTATCAGATTTCATTACTTCGCCTGTGTATATTCCTTTTGTTATCTGGTTCTCAGTAAAATAATCAAAACAAACTTAAGGCAGCTTTGCCTCTGATTGTCCATTTCTAATTACATATAACATGGATTATAATTAGGAGGACAATTTAATGACTAGAAATTGTTTTTTCAGATCTTCCTCAATCGTATGTCTACAGAATGGTTGGGATGGAATTCAGAGATTTTTCTGCTGATTCAGTCATTTCAATCGACGAGACAATATTGAAAAGTCTTAGTACTGTGGACCAGCAACGTTTAACAAAAGCCCGTGTATATTCTTCTGGGAATGCATATGAACCAGATCCACTGACAGATCGTGAGAATGAAGAAAAAAAACAAGAAGCAAAACATCGTGCATTGGTAGGTCCTGATTGAAATACAGCTTAAGATAGTTGCGGCCAAGTGCATGTGCAGAGAAACTGTAGTGTGCAAACATTCATTTTATAAGGAACGAAAATATTATAGATAAGGTATTAGAAATGAGTTATGAGTCGGACGAAATAATATTGATGTCCTAAACTATATTGTTGTGTTATGATATCATGAAGGGCTTTTTGCATTTTCATGTTTTTTAGGAAATGGAGAAAATCCAGGAACGAGAAAATGACCTAAAGAAATTACGAGATGGAGAACTTCATAGCTCGAAAAAGAAACCAAAATTGGACGAAAATTTACAAAATGAAGCCTTTGAAAGATATCTATCTTTGTTTTATAATAGAACATCAATTACCTTACCAGAAAACTCTGATAATGGGAGTGACATTCCCTTATACCAAGATAAAGATGTTTATATTCCAGATGCGAAACCTAATGGATTTTTCTGCATTGATCATCAGTCTTCATTTAAATACAGAAATACTATAGAGAATGAGGACGATTCTAGCGTTTCACAGTCTGCTGATACAGACTTACCTGAGAACAGGTCAAGATCACAATCCCTGCCTATCATAAATGAAGAACCACCGTGCTTAGAATATGAGAAGAATTTTGTATTGGAAGACACTAGTGTTGAGTTGTCAGGGGACAGAACTGAATCATTCCCATCACCAATTGATAAGAACAAACAAAAGACAAAACGTAAAAGTAAATCCGCAGACAAGAAATATAAAAATCGTGTACAAAAGGAAATCGTTGTAGGAAAATCTCCAGGAAGTTATCCAGTTCCTGTTGACGCATTACAAGACGTCTCTCGTGAGTGTACTGAGCTTGCAATGGTTGAAGACGAAAATGGTAAACAATACGAGGCAATATTGATTGCACCTGATGGATATATTCCTAACTCGGTTGTCGCGGCTTTATTTGATGACATGAGAAATAAGAAAGAACCAGAAGTACAAGAGGAAATTATACCGTACAGGCCGCCACAGTTGACAATGGCTCAATTGTTGGAAATAAAAGCAGGTGCAAAGATAACGGTATCGGTACGTGTTGCACTATCTATATCTAATATGAACGATACGTGACTCCATAATTTACAATAATCGTCCAATAAGAATGAAAAGTTTATATAATTTTGTTCTCCAGGAAGCAAATTCTGAGTTTAGTACGGAAGATGGTATTTTACCGACAGTAAACAAGATCGATTATGAAGAACAGTTACGACGTGTCTTGCGAGATAGTCCATCACCTGAAATACTGTCTGATGAAGAATTTATAATGCCTCCAGAATCGCCACCAGCAGAAACTACGAACACGAAGAAACCGCTGTTAAAATCTGCAACAGAATATTTTGCCACCAGAAGTCCTTTAATAAGAAGTCCCTTGCCTGTTTTAAGGAAAAGTACTTCACTCTTGAGTGAAACCAAAGATGAACCAATTGCAAGGTAAATGACAGCTTGAAATAGAATTAGAATGAAATTTTTCTCAGATTGAAAAGATGCAAACTTTCATTTCTTTGCCCATGCAATCTTTTCTCTACGGCGTCTTCTTGCACTTATTTTGTCCTGAATCTCCTCCTGGTGTATTGCAATGCGCGACACAAGCGCACCAACTTATTTCAACTTTATGATTGTTCTATATCTTTCATTTCTCATAGCAATAGTTTCGACGTGCCACCACTTGCACAGGCTCCTGAGCCAGCGGTCAGAGTGAGCCGAGCGACAACACCATTACCTATCGAGCAAGCTCAACTGCCAGATTTTATATCACAGTTTAAAGGGCTTAAATGGTTCGATAAATTATTTCCCAATGCTAATCCATCGGTGGGTTTTGTTAAACATACTGCATGGTATACGTTTAGGCGACCGTTAGTGCTTATCGACCTTTATCTATACTTTGATAATTCATCAAAATTCATCATTACGATTAATTGTTACTGTACAAGAAAATGCGATTATATGAGAACCCAAATAATAGTTTTCCCGAGAATTTTCCAATTTTTAAACACTCTATACTTGAAGGAAAACAAGACTAGTACTTTGCTAAAAATGCCTTCTAAATGCTTTTCAGACGTTTCCTAAACCATGGACAATTGACGCGTTTGTTGAACTGCTGCTCATTTTTCTATCAAAGACTCCAGATTACGATATGAAACACCATATTTGCGCTGTAAGCACTATTTATCGCTTATATTTTCATGGATTACAAGAGTGCTATAATACCCCATGGACATTGAATAGAATTTAATAGAGACAATACTCTCTTTATTTCTAGGCAATAATTTTACTTCGTGGTCAAGAGTCATTTGACGACGGGTGTGTGAAACAGATTTTGAAAGCTTTAATAGAAGAATTGAACATATCAAGTGGTTCTCTAACGACCTGGAACTTGGAAACAAAACAATTTGTTCGATCAGCTCTACAACTGTTAAAAATGATGAATAAATATACACTCGAAGTTGTTGCAGAGTTCATGTCACACTTTATCTTGGGTGATAAAGAAATAAGGTACATTATGGTTATACTGAGACTGATACAACAATGAGTGAAGAAAGAGCTAGGAATCTATCATGCATGCATTGCTAAACGTAATTTTTAAAATACATATTAAAAGTATTATGAACACCATTGGTCGACTAACTGTATAGTTACTGTTAGTTTATGAATGCATTTTCTCAAAGTTTTACTTGCACAGCCTTTAATGCCATGAGTGCGTACATAATTTACTGGCCAAGATAAGGGTAGCTATATCATGCATATCTGTTGCATTTTAGGGCATTCGTTGCCGATATTTTCCATGAGATTGGAGTTCAAGAGGCAGACCGCTATTTCTTTCGAGAGTTGGACGAGTTTGACACCTGGGTAAGTTTACTTGCATTATTATTAAATAAATTAGGCAAAAATTATTTCCTCATTGAACTTGATTCTTTGATCAAATATATTCAGGGAGTGCCAGAAAATACAGTGAAGTCTCATATTCACAGACAATGTCTTAACTGGTTAGATAAATGGTTAACACAATTTAAAGAACACATACGATCATTGGCAGGAAAGATCAACCGTGCACGCAGTGGGCAAGTTGTGAGGTATACATGCATTACTCGACTCAGAGTATTATTATGGAAATAAACACTTCAGATGCAATTATTTCTTGAATGCAATTATTTATCATTTATCGGATGCAATTATTTATTGGATGAAATTATTTGTATCGGTTATTTTAGGGGCACTAAAAATCCGAAGACACCTCCACAGGTCAAAGGAATTTTAAAGGGAAGAGAGGTAAATTTTGAAAAAACTCGCAGTAAAAAATAACCACTTGTATGCCCAAGTATTCTGGTCAAAGAAGGGTGTTTTTTTGTTAAATCTTGTTGCGATTTCTTTTAGTCAAAGACGAAGGAAAAACAAACGGGAGGTAGGATATTTTTTGTTGATATAGCCGTACCATAATGATTCTCTCATTTCATACCATACGCGTTCTTTATCTTTAGTTTCCTGGAATTTCCAAACAATGGGCGACGCAGCAGCAGACAAGGCACATGCTATTGACGCAATCAATTATTTCTCGGAAATGCAACTTCAATCTGAAATAGAAAACGCAAAAGCCAGAAGATATTCCTTGAAACGACCCGACGGAGAGGACGAAAAAGCAAGAAATACTGTACTTATATTACCTTCCATTCATACGTAAGTCAACTTTTCCAACTTCTCCTAGAAAGCCAATACATTTTTCACAACTGTGCCTGGGATTTTTTTGTTTTGTCCGAATACATCTAGAAGGTACACTATCTTTTCTGGAAAACCAGCCAAATGACCTCGCGATAAAAGATTTTCTCTATTCTTTCAGGAAGCCAAGTCTTGCCCGATTAGGTGAAACACATTGCAGTCACTGTCACCCAGAAAGGGAGACTGCGCTGTCCTATGGTATGAACTATCTATATGTTAGTCACATCCTAAAAATTTCTCAGATATTCACCTCGGCAGCATTCCTAAGGATGATAGAACATCCAACAAAATATATATCCTTTTATATACCATTTAATCATTCAATAATTTTTTTAGGATTTAGATTACCACCAATCCACCAGCAGACGTCTATTATAGTAAACAACATTGCATTACGTCTAAAGACAATCACATTAAATCCCTTTCCTGCGAAAAATGATGAAAAGATCTACGAAAGTTTTCAACATCATGAACTTTTAACTTTACGATCTGCGCAGAAATATTTTATCCCCTCGCGATCATACGTTCAACCAGAGACTGTTAAATGATCGCTTCGAAGAATCAATTATTCTGCTGACTGTGCATGCATTGTCCGACATTTTCTAGACATAAAATTTGTACAAATTCTTGAAGTGTCAGGTATTGCTCTTTGCGACTTACTGGCTACAAAGACGTAAATAATTTATTTTATATCTGATAGTGATACCATGCACTCTTACGTTTGATAAACGCGTTGCCTTTCGCCTAAATCAGCTGGCTGCAATATTTTCTAATCAGAATAAATATTGATGGTTTGTGAAACAGTCAATATTTGTGGCTCATACAAGTGAGCTGGTATAGTTATCCAATAAAATTTCAAACAATTTTCTAAATTCGTTTTTAAATAACGGTATCCGAGATCTTAAAATAGGATGTTTAATGTACTGTCATTAAAATGTAACGGTATTTTGATAAAATGTATTCATAAAGAATTCGAATTATATATCTCTGTTAATTCTTGTTACTATATATTTATTCAAAAACTTGTGGTAATAATATCATAACTTGATAGTAAAATACCTATTCAAATCAAAACATCTTAGCATATGAACTTTTTGATGGTGAATATTCAAAATGCTCTACTTGCAGTTTTGACAATACTTTTGTCTAAATATTGATAGCCTTCCCGGCGTACGCTGCTGTATTGGCTTCTCTGAACGCCTCCGAAACCGTCTGAAATTAAGTAAAAAGAATGAGATGAATCAACCAGCGGTCAAACCAAATATAGGTCAACTTAACTCGCATTCCCGGCCTCAACGAGGGTCTGTTATTGTTGTTTATTGTTGTTTATTGTTTTTCCTGTTGTTTTTCTACAGTTTCCCAACTGAAGACTAAACCTCTCTATCTCGTATTAAAGCTATCACAAAATAATATAAAGATTTACCGGATGTGCATGACAGACTCGAGCAATATCTTCACAAGATGCTCCATATTCCATAGCTAGAGCAGCTTCATTAATAATTTCTCCAGCTGACGGTGATATCATATGTACACCAAGTAATCTATCAGTTTCCTTATCCCCTAAAACTTTCATTAATCCATCTGAATCTGCATTAGTCCGTGCTCGGCTGTTCGCTGCGATAGGAAATTTACCAACCTTGTACTTCACACCCTAGAAATGATTTTTTTTATTTTGTGTAATTATAAGAGCTACATGCATACAAGAGCTAAAACCGACCAGACAGGTGCTATTTTGTTCTCGGGATACTCTTTCAGTTGGTTGACTTCACACTCTCAATATCTTAAGCGTTCAGCCGGCTATATAGATAGCCAATAATCATTACAATTCTATCTTGCCTACGATATAACTATTCACACAGTTTACATATTGCATGCAAAGTATAATCGGAGAATTAAGAGTGGATGCAATAATGGTTTACCTCTTCTTTGAGCATTTCCTCAGTCTTGCCCACCCATGCGACTTCCTAGTGTTAATAAGATGAAGTATAAGTAGACCGTTTTATACAAAACGTTAATTCCGCTAAACAGTAAATTACTCAAGTAGTTTTATTGCCCTGTCAAAGACATTCACTTACCGGGTGTGTATATATAACAGAAGGAACACAGTTATAATCTATGTGGACTGGACCACCAGCAATCCCCTCGACGCAGACAATACCTAAACCCAGATATGGGGACCATATAGTCTGCTACCCTGCAAAGCTCGATAAAACACACAAAAATAAATAATGCACAAACCTTCGTCTTCAGCTTTATGAGCCAACATAGGGCCTTCTACAACATCCCCGATTGCATAGATACTGTCGTTAATGATTTTATAAAAATATTAGTTATGCAAAAACTACAATGCTGTACATATTAAGATTATAAACAAATGAAAATCTTGTTAAAATCTGGTATACAATTCAATAATATGCATGGAGTCCCCTTTTCAAATTAACGCACTTTGAAGATTGCGTAAATGAACATTACGAAATTCATTTTCCCGGTTTAAATTCAAATGAAAATTATAGTAGAGCATGTAAAATCTTGACAGAAATCCCATGCAGATGAGATATACCTGGGGATTTTAGTCGCAAATCTAGAATCAACGGGGATACGTCCAGCCTTATCCAGCTCAATGCCGAGTTCCTGGAGAAAACGCAACATGCATGTTAATTGAACCAAAGCTATAAATTTATACATAAAGTTACCCTAGTCACTAAATGAGATTACCTGTAAACCCAAGTTATCTGAAAATGGCCGCCGTCCAATACAAACTAATAGCGTATCACATTCAAGCTAAATAGGGGTTGTAAATTTAGATAGATTACATATAACAACAGTCTTCGGTTTATTATAGTTAATATATTGAGAGAATACAATAAGAGAGAGTCGGGAGATAATCTATAACCATGAGCGGATCGTCGTCTTAATCGATTTATCATTATACTGTATTTTTTATAGTCATTTAATAATGCATTCAGTTTTCCAAGAAAACCTATCTCACCGTTTCTTTTTTAGAACTATCTTTCACTGACTCGATGCTGAAAATATTAAACAATTTTTTTTTCAATGCGGTGTATTCCTCGGTCTGGAGCGTTTAAAAAGTTAAACAAGAGAGAAAAGGCAAGAAGTGCAGATAAAGCGATAAAATTACTAATAGCATCAGGTTTTCCATGCATGTACTTTTTCCAGTGAAAAATGAATTGTTTACAATACTCACTCTACATTTACAACATCACCAGATTTAGTAGCACCTAGGAAAAAAATTGTATGATTATGTTTCCTATTTCAGGAATGCATGAACCAAAACAACTTAGTTAACAAATACCTGTCACTTTTGTATTTAGTTTGAAATTCATGCCTTGCTTTTTTAGTATTCTCTGAAAATTCTTTCTACAATAAAAACAACTGTCAGTGTCATAGTGTGGTCTCTATCGACAAAAAAACAATCGATGTTTCGAATTTCTCGTGATGGTACTATTCTGAATAAAAAAAAATTAAATATGATACAAAACAAGAACATTTGTACTGGATATCAAATTTGATAGAATATTTATGCTTCTTCAACCATTCAATTTAAATATTTATTGCTTAGTTTAATAACTTTGATAACTCAGTTCCTCATAGATGGTTGAATAGGATAAAGCCACTTTTTCTTGTTAAACGTCAAAGAGACATAAAATCGAGTTAAACTCACGATATCTCCATATCTATGCCCATTCCCCCGACGTGGCCTAAGAACTCCACAGCAGTGACCTTTGCACCAAGTCTCTCCCATACAGAACCCTAAAGTTTACAAAAGCCAAAAATTGGAACAAGCGGGAATTTTGTTTTGGACCAATCGGCAAATTTGCCAACATTTTAAGTATCCCATCGTGCTCAGGCTGGCAGTACGAAGGCGGGGGAAATATGAAACAGGGCTATAAAGCTCGTTTTCCACTTGGCGAATTTATTCGCACGATGCGAAGCGATATCTGAAATCCGGTGATGTTATTGGTTTGCGAAAAATGTCGTGAAGATATGGTCAAATGAAAAAGAAACGTTACCAGTTCTAGACCAATAACACCAGCCCCAATAAGGATCATGTTTTCTGGAACTTTCTTTAGAGATAAAGCCCCGGTTGAGGATACTATTGTGTCTTCATCTATCTACATAATAATAAAATAATAAACAATAGTAAACAATGCTGAGGTGAGGGAAAGTGACTTTTCTATACATTAACATGCTTTGTCAAAGTCTTAAGTCTGTAGCTTTTGTCCAAGATTATGAATTCGTAATTTACCTCAATACCAGGGAAGGGAGTGACGACCGAGCCTGTGGCTATAAGTATATTCTTTGTTGTTATTATTTCCTGACTTCCGTCATCTTTTAACACTGTAACCTAATTTAACAGAAATAGTGACCGTTTGTTAAGGTAGAACAGGTGCCGTCAATAAGATTATATATGTATATAAACGAACCCCATCCACGAATACATTCTCAGGTGTAAGATTGACCACGGAAACTAAACCTTATTAAAAGCGTGGAATCAGACAAAAATCGCTTCGGTCGTGCGTTCATCGCAAGCATCTCAAAATGAGAAACATTGCTAAAACTCGGCCTTTTATGTCATCATCTTCCACAACATGGAATTGAACGGAATTTCCACTTATTTAGTTTAAAAGGAAACACAAAACTTGTGGGAGTCATGTTTGAGAAAAAACCTCTGATAAAGACTGACGTACGCATGCGCGAAAGAAAGAATTTACTGCGAAAGCGTAACTGAGTTTAAATTATTCTGCCTTATTACTCTTAATGAACAAGATAGTCACGTAGAACTTACTTCATTTGGTGATGTTATTTTGCCATGTCCATGAATTTCTGTAACCTAGTGTTTGAATAATATTAATATGACGGGTGAGTGAGGCATTAAATATAGATAGATCAGCCTCTTTGTTAGCAAATATTTATTTTTTTATAATTTTGTTGGAACGTGATGGCTACGATAGTTATAGTAGACAAAATATATAACAAGTGCTTTTTTTGCTTCTAAATTTCTTTTTCTTTTCTTCTTCTAAAATCCATATTAGTAATTTATGTAGTCTCTGAAAATTGTAACCTCATTGTTATTTATTATTAATTTTCTTTATAAATGAAGAGATGAAGGACTGGCCTGGTCCAATTAAAAACCTGGCATAGGAACAAAGAGACATTAAAATATAAAAAAAGAAACAAATGCAAAATATACATACTTTATTCTGTTTAAATAGATGTGCTATTCCTCCAGTCAGTGACTTAACAGCAGTTTCTTTCTGTTTCATCATCTGATCCAAATTTAGCTTTAGATCTCCAACTAAATGTCACAAGAAAACATTAGCTTGCAGTTTGTGGTTGTACGGTTGCATGATGTAATGATATCTGCCAAGGCAAGTGAGATAGCTTAGTAGAATAGGAGGGTCATGTTTGTATTTCTGTAGCTAGCTGTTTCCTAATAAAATGAACATCAACTTCACATGCAAAAACTTGATGACCATGAACTAATACACTGAAGATCAATCAATTGTTGAAGAGCAACCTGGAGACCATCTTCATAAACACAGATAACTATTTTGGTAAAGGGTACTCAAATGCCAATCTTGAATATGTGCATGAGCTTTGATACCTTTGGTACAAGCAATCTCATGCTAATTCTTTGTATGGAAATGAAGTTATGTCACTATGAAAGATACAAAAAATACCTTCTATCCCTCTGTCTTTAAAGTCATTAGTGACAGCTTGATGATACAAGTGTGAGTTGTTAAGTAAGGCCTAAAACATAATAGCGATATGATGTGAATTGAAAATACAACATGAATTAAAATTAAAATGAAAAAATATAAGCTGCAGTAGCAGCAAACATTTTTTATACAATTAAACAATCAATAAAATGATTTTCATGTATTTGCAGAGACCAAGAAATTGAATACAAATTAAACACTACCTTTGAAGGAATACACCCAACATTTAAACATGTTCCTCCAAGTGTTTTATCTTTTTCCACACAAACTGTCTAAAATAGGATTATAGTATATTTAGTCAGTCTGATAAATGATTACAATAAACAAAACAATGAATGGTTAGACACTAACAATAGTATGATTAAACAAAGCGTTATTTGCACCTTCATTCCAAGTTGAGCAGCCTTTATTGCAGCAACATAGCCACCAGGTCCTGAGCCAATCACAACCAAGTCAACATTACCTGATGAAAAAAAATTTGTAGGGTTGACAGTAGTCTTAACTCTTAAGGTCAATAGTGTACCTCAGCCACAAGTTCTTTTTAGAGAGGACTTGCCAAATTTGATGAGGGTGGCACAAGTATAACATCATTTTATTTTGAATTTATTTTCTTAGCAATACAAAACTAAATTTGGCTATAAAACAGTCTAGTTAAGAGTTGAATAGGTTATTCTAATGATAAGGGGATAATTCCTTAGGTCCTTGCACACATCAAACTGATAGTCACTCAAAGGTGATTGTTGATCTCAGGTGTGGCAAACTCATAAAAATTTTACTATTAAATTTTTTAGGAGTTTGTACACTCGCACCTTGGGTGCATGTAAAGGTGCAATGGTAGTAATATCATCGAGAATTAAAACATTTCTTTACAAAACACTTGTTTGTTCAATTTCACTACGTGCAGTCTTAACTGAGAAGGAAATACAACAGATAGTATGCAGAGTACTTTCATCAACTTAAAAATACTTACCACCCGAATCAGAGAATTTTCTCACTGCTGCAGAGCAAAGACCAGACACAGTTTTCCAATGTTTAGGAAATCGACAGCCATTTTGCTGTGGAAGACCAAATACAGAATGAAGAGACAGGATGTAAAACAATAAAATACACCAAAAATATAACTTTACCTTCAAAGATTCAGCTAAAATAATTCTCCTAAAGCCCAGCATAGTTATGTAACCTACGATATATGTTTTGAGATATAAAAGTGCAGTACTTCTTGATAGAATTGTGGGCACGACTGACGACCTACGAGGTTTCGTGCTTCGGTATAACATCGGCTATCCTCGGAAACGTCCGCATTTCGGCAGTCTTCAGACACCGGCTATCTTTAAAATAGGGAATGGGGAATGCGGGAATGGGGGAATGCGGGAATGGGGGAATGCGGGAATGGGGGAATGCGGGAATGGGGGAATGCGGGAATGCGGGAATGGGGGAATGCGGGAATGCGGGAATGCGGGAATGGGGGAATGCGGGAATGCGGGAATGGGGGAATGCGGGAATGGGGGAATGCGGGAATGGGGGAATGCGGGAATGCGGGAATGGGGGAATGCGGGAATGCGGGAATGGGGAAATGCGGGAATGGGGGAATGAGGTAATGCGGGAGTAAGGGAATGGGGGAATGAGGGAATGGGGGAATAAGGGAATAAGGGAATGGGGGAATAAGGGAATGAGGGAATAAGGGAATGAGGGGATTAGAGAATGGGGGAATAAGGGAATGGGGGAATAAGGGAATGGGGGAATAAGGGAATGGGGGAATAAGGGAATGGGGGGATAAGGGAATGGGGGGATAAGGGAATGGGGGAATAAGGGAATGGGGGAATAAGGGAACGCAGGAATGAGGCAATAAGGGAATGGGGTAACCGGTGAACAAGTGAGCAGGGGAACCGGGGAATGGGGGAACAGGATAAAGGTGGAACTATGGACTCATTGAGCAGCTAAACTAATAGTAACAGTCTTGAGCCTGAAAGGAACAATTGTTAGTATATATTAGGCATGTATACAGTATTATGGCTCTCTGCATCTAGGACTACTTACAAATATATTTATTGTTATTATTAAATGCCAACCTGGCAAGTGTTAATTGTTATTGTGAAACTCAGGCACTCTTGTATTAGATTTTACCAAAGTGAAAAATCAAAATATACTTGCCTTTCAGTAAAAATTAAAACTATAAATAAGATAATGGTATTGTTGTGTGCTAGTGTGTTCATTTAGTTGGCAAGAAACTGTTCTGTGTATATAATTTCCATGCATGTTTGCATTTGCTTTCAACAAAATCTATAAATGAACCCAATGACCCTTAACTAAGGACCGTCATCCTTTATTAGCAGGTTGGGGGCTGAAGAGAAAAGGGTAGGGTAACTGCATGAAAATGATGAAGTGTTATTAATTAACAATATAAATCCTTTCATCATTAAAATCTGAAACCAGGCGTGAACTAGCTGTACAATCCTAAATCATTATACATCAAGTGACTGACATCAGCAATATATAGTCAACATATTGGCTCTTTCCCAATCAGCATACAAAGCTTTAAATCTTATAAAATCTTAATTAATGAGTCTCAGTCAGTCCTTGGTAGGATGTCTCAGGCCTATAGCTAGTTATATGAAAACATTATATCAGAAAGTATTTTCCCTATATATACTATTTAACTCTACTGTGAATGACTTGGTAATTATGCATGTAATAAGCAATGTTTGCACTTTATAATTGGCATGCAAACATTGCAATACTAAATACTATGTATGTATATTACCTTTTTATGACATTTATTGGAATACATAAATACTTCCTGTACTACAATAAATATCTAAATGCCCTACTTGATTATATACTTGATTATATATGTTTTCTGATATAATGTTTTCATATAACTAGCTATAGGCCTGAGACTTCCTACCAAGGAATGACTGAGATTCATTAAAGATTTTATAAGATTTTAAGCTTTGTATGCTGATTGGGAAAGAGCCAATATGTTGACTATATATTGCTGATGTCAGTCACTTGATGCATAATGATTTAGGATTGTACAGTAGTTGATTCATGCCTGGTTTCAGATTTTAATGATGAAAGGATTTTATTGTTAATAACACTTCATTTTCATGCAGTTACCCTATACCCTTTTCTCTTCAGCCCCAAACCCACTAATAAAGGATGACTGTCCTTAATTAGTTAAGGGTCAGTGGGTTCATTCATAGATTTTGTTGAAAGCAAATGCAAACATGCATGAAAATTATATACACAGAACAGTTTCTTGAGCAATGCTATTCCCATATAACATATGTTCTAGCTGTTGCATTTGTCATTATATTTTGAATAGATATCACTATTGAAAACACACTAGCACACAACAATACCATTATCTTATTTATAGTTTTAATTTTTACTGAAAGGCAAGTATATTTTGATTTTTCACTTTGGTAAAATCTAATACAAGAGTGCCTGAGTTTCACAATAACAATTAACACTTGCCAGGTTGGCATTAATAACAATAAATATATTTGTAGAGAGCCATAATACTGTATACACGCCTAATATATACTAAAAATTGTTCCTTTCAGGCTCAAGACTGTTACTATTAGCTTAACTGCTCAATGAGTCCATAGTTATACCTTTACCCTGTTCCCTGGTTCCCCCCATCCCTCTGTTCCCCCATTCCCTGGTTCCCCCGCTCACTCGTTCACCGGTTTCACTGTTCGCCCCATTCCCTTATTCCCCCATTCCCTTATTCCCCCATTCCCTTATTCCCCCATTCCCTTATTCCCCATTCCTTATTCCCTTATTTCCCCATTCCCTTATTCCCCATTCCCTTATTCCCCATTCCTTATTCCCCATTCCCCATTCCTTCATTCCCTTATTCCCCATTCCCTTATTCCCCATTCCCTTATTCCCCATTCCTTCATTCCCTTATTCCCTTCCCTTATTCCCCCATTCCCTTATTCCCCATTCCCTTATTCCCCCATTCCCCTATACCCCTTCCCTTATTCCCCCTTCCCGCATTCCCCCATTCCCTTATTCCCCCATTCCCGCATTCCCCGTTCCCGCATTCCCCCATTCCCGCATTCCCCTATTCCCCCATTCCCGCATTCCCCCATTCCCGCATTCCCCCATTCCCGCATTCCCCCATTCCCGCATTCCCCATTCCCGCATTCCCCCATTCCCCATTCCCCCATTCCCGCATTCCCCATTCCCGCATTCCCCCATTCCCGCATTCCCCCATTCCCGCATTCCCCCATTCCCGCATTCCCCCATTCCCGCATTCCCCCATTCCCCCATTCCCGCATTCCCCATTCCCTATTTTAAAGATAGCCTTCAGACACCGTCTTCAAATGGCCAGGAACGGAGGAACGGGAAAACAGTGAAACAAAAGAAATGGAGAATCGGGGAACCAGAGAACAGGAGAACCGGGGAACTAGGGAGCGGGAAAACTGGGGAACGGAGGATTCCGGTATACTCGACTATGGTCGAATATATGGTCGAATATATGGTCGAATATAGCGGTCGTTTTCCGGCATGTTCGACCATGGCCGAGTATACCGGAAAACGGCAGAAACGGTGCCTGTATTTGACCTCAATTAGAATACTGTTCACAAGTATTCCACAACTCTCTACCGAAATACTTGACTTGAAAAATGTCCAAAAAAAGCACTGCCATTATCTCTCCAAATTATTCATATGAACACTGAATTTACAATAGTTTAAATTATGTAAAATTTACATTCCTTTAGTTAACTAGGGATGATGGTAGCATGCAGGTGCGCGGCGACCGGGGGTTGTGAGGGATGTGACACATCCCTCAATAATTCACCATGATAAAGTTGGTCATATTGCTTTGTTATTGGTTACGAAAAATACAGCACCATATTTAAGAACTGAATTGACCAAATACACAAGTGCTGGAGTATTTACGAGGCTAGTCATGTTGGTTGACCAATTTCCTACACATTTATTGTTCAGATATCTTTAGATTTCTGGAGCCTAATTATTCATATTGATCAGGCTATATCCAAATAAAGAAAAATCAAGTATAGGTAGGGTCACTAAAACACTAAAAACCTGTATGGAAGGGGGTCAATAAAACGTAGCTCCTGCACAAATGGAAAAGTTAGTATTTTTCATCAGAAAAGTCGGTCAATATCATATGACACCCCCAATCCTAGCTTGTCCGCCACGCCCCTGGCACTATGACGTCGTATAAGTCACGATTATTGCTTTTAGCAATGTGGTAATGGAAATGAAATTTGATGTGTATATTATATTAGTATACTGATCTAATCTTTGATTTCGTATTTAATAAACTATTTTTTAAGTTCTTTTATATTGTACCCACGTACGTATACTCACGTACCCACGAAGGATACACAGTTATATTCTCACAAAGGAAACAAATTCAGCGATTCCTGAAACAACAAATTTATGATATTAATAGATAATACAGATACAAGTAAAATGAACTTTATATCACATCATTTCTTTCGCTCACTGTTGATGGCCTTAATTGGAATATAACTCCATATTGAAAGGCCTGGGAATTAGGCTTCGTATTTCGGGTATCTTACGTCATAGTTTTTACACCAAAAAAAACTTAATCACATGCCATGGATGCAATATATTTGAGCTTTACTCTGACCATTCACCATGTAATTTGAATTCAAATAAACACACTGTTTTCCCTAAGATATGAAACGAAACTTTACTTACCACAAATATTTTCAAACATTTTTATGTATAAATATCCATCAATCCCGAAGTCTGTTCCCCACGAGTTACGAACTATCCAGTATGGAGTTCCACCTTAATATCAGAACATATTTGTATATTGTATTATTTGTATAAGCGACTGCAGATATCGTGAAACACTTTATTTGGTTGGGAGTGAATTATACCAGATTAATTTCAGTGAGAATATAAAACACATTTTGCTAATTTATACCTGACATATCAAAACCTTCAACTATAACAGCATGATCTATAACGTGATCTGTACAATGATGCTGGATTATTCCACCTGCGATCAATGTTATAAAGTGAGTTAGTGTAAATATACACGTGATTTGAATTCAAATTAGGATCATTTTTTAATTATGAAACAGTTTCAACAAATGTGAACTTTTTCAGAGAGCAAAATACAGGGCCGTAAGTAGTAAGATAATTGGAGGGTGGAGGGTTATTCATATATTCAGTTCTGCTCGATGAATTTCTTTTGTAAGTGCAATACCTTCGTAATCAGCAATTTGTGTTGAATTTTCTTTCATTTTATTCACATTAGACTCAACCTACCAATATAGTCATGCCACAAGACTGCGTTAACGCCCACAGCAACAGAGCCATTCGTACGAACGTAGTTTGCGAGAAAATGTTCTTTTCCCTTAAAATCTCTGTAGAAAAAAAACATGCAGGGTTTTGTTGTAATTATCAATCATTACGAGTAATCAAATAGTTTTACGTAAATTGGTGCATAACTGTTTGAAATACAGATATATACATACCTATAGCATGCACATTTGATCTGAGCCCCAGTCTTTGGTCTAAAATAAAATACCAGATTAGTGAGGAAATGCATAGGAAGATATTTTCCAATAATAAGGTTTGTATTGTAACAGGCACACAGGTATATAATTGGTACCAATGTAAATAATATATATGTTATTGATTGAATCAAATGCACATTTTTTTCATTTTGTATTTCCAGGCAACAACAAACAGTTGGATCATTACTTGTGTGGTTGAATTTTTTTTGGGCTTCAAATAGAGTTGCATAATGTAGTTCTAAATAGTAGTGATAGTTCCAAACGAAAATTAAATTGAAGGGTACCTCTTAATTATTTAACTTACTCAATATGACCATAACTGCAAGGACTTTCTTCTTCTTCATAGGGATATTCTGAAGCAGGAAGTAAGTAGTATTTCTCAGGTTTATCCTGTAATGAGATCCAATAAAAGTTGTCCCACAAAAGAGATTACATTTCGCCCTATTCACATAAAAATTAAAATTGCCTTTAATCAAGTAGTGAGGGCAAATATTGAATTATTCATATAATATTCATGTTCAGTATTATTAGTTTCTTTTGAAATTGATTGTTTTCATGGTCAGCTAACATGAATATATGAACCTTTTAATTAGCTTGTCTCTTAGGCTTCATAAATTACTAACCCCAGTACTGTTGTATCTACTAATCATAAGCCACTCTAAAGTCTTTTCTGTTGAACCTCCTAGACAACCAGCATTACCAGAACAAGACACAAACTCTTGAACACTTAATTGTAATGGAGAAGCGAGATTCTTTTCGATTGCCCACTGAGTTTCAACAACACCTGTTGCCGCAAATGCCCTAAAAATGTAATGGTTAGTCACAATTCATTGTAGGAAAAAGCAAATTGGATGAATAACGGCAAGTACAACCCCAAATTCCTTAGGACTGAATTCCCACTTGCTAGGAAATGGTTTGCAAGCAAATATTTTCATATATCTTCTTTTGAATTGAGAACCGTCAAACATTGACCGACTGACATGTACTCCAAGCTAGAGCATCCCTCTACAAAATCAGGCTGGATCCATCCCTGCCCTAACCTGGTTTACATTTACAACTGAACAAAAAAATCCATACCAGCAACTTCCACAATTCCCCTGGTTTTTTACTGAGGTAACCTTGCTATGCTTTCTCCTAAAAATTAGAACTCAATATCAAATTACAATGCATACACTTCCAAGGCACCAACATGCAGTAAACATTATAAATTAGTAAAATTTAATAGACTGAATGAAATATCATTTATACTTACCAATCCCAAGATAAAAGTGATGGTTCATGTTCAACTACATAGCAACATGGTAGATCAGAATCCAATAATAATGAGCCGTTATTGAACTTTGAAAGATGGCCTGAAAATAATTGAGAAAGTCAGCAAACAGTTAGTCAGAGATAACATGATATCTTTAACTGTGAATTAATATATTGATATATTGAAGATTTAAAAACAAATTGTCTGGCACACCTACAAATTCTTCTTCTGTCCAGTCAGAAAATTTATTAATCCCATACACAGCTTTCCCTTTTAACTCTTTTTCTCTCTTGTTTAGCATCTCCTGTCTTTTAAGACTGGCCTGAATTCAAGTCACATTAAAAATTACATTACTAATATATACCAAAATCCTATGGTGGAACCATTCCAGGTTGGCATATTATTCATCATGGATAAATACAATGACATGCATCACCCATAATTTCTGCCATTAATTGCCACACTTCTGTCTCACATAATATATCTCACACTCAATGCCAATATAATACCAAATCTCAAAAATGTTGTCATGACAAGCTGAGACTCATTTTTTTGAGTTGAGCACATTTTGAAGCCAGGCTAGCTAGTCGTCCAAATTCAAAGCTAATGAATTAATGGTTACCCAATGGTGTCTAACAAATAATCTTACCTCAAATACAGACATTCTATATCGATATTCAGCTGGATTATTGATGTATGATCGATTGTATCGAGTGACAAAATCTTTAAATCGGAAAGTCAAGTCATCCTGGTCGATCGTGATTCCAGTGACATGAAGACCGATTTGAAATATAAAGAATGTTGTAAAACAGAAAAACAAACAGATGTTATTCGACATCTTTAACTCAGTCTCAATGCATTTTGCAGTGGAACAATACCACTGAGTGAACAATACCAGTTGAACTGTCACCACTACCAGACCAAAGACACCAGACTACAAAACTAGTACCAGGTACACGCACTGAATATTGCACTAAATAGTACGTCATAGAAGACTTCTCTCTCAGAAATACAACCTAAAGCCGGATCTCAGTTGCATTTTTTCTGCGATTTACTTCTTTTGGCAGATGCAATCGAGTAGTTATGAATGTCCTGTGTTTATCACTGATGAACTCTATTTCCACATCCGTAACTTTTCCACTCAATCACATCTATTAAAAGACGGAAATCGCACAGCCTGGAACTCCTGGAAAGGAGAGAACGGCTAAGTTTAGATGTGGTATATGCTCTCAGCATAATGAAGACAGGAAAACAATTAATTCAAATTGATTTTTCCTACAGAAAGATACGTGCATACGGTCTGTGTCTGTGTCACGGAACTCTGTACTCATGAAACCTGACAAGCATATCTTTAGTTGCAGCTGTGTTTGCAGCATTCTGGTTGATTGTCATATATAGCTGCCCCAGTCATGGAGACTAATATATTATATTTCTCAATTATGATTATAATATCATATTTGTTAGCACATTATATTCTACACCTGATAAACATTATGAATGTCAGCAATGTCACCCTTCACTTTGATTTCAAGGTATTGTCAAGTTGTCGACCCTAACCCAAGGATTGTCTCCCATGTCAAAGTGTTTATCAGGTGTAGTATACGTGGATCTACCCAGTGGATCTACCCAGTGGATCTTCTTATTGATCTACCGGGATCCTGTTGCTTTTCGACAAAGGCGTGAAAATACCCTGGGACTGGGTACGAGGTTGATTCGGTAAGTTGACTACACCCTCTTGCCATCACGGATTTCAAGGACTGCTTTGGTTCAAAAAACCATTCACAGATGGAGATTTTAAAAACTAGTAAAGAGTTTCATACAATATCGTCTTACAATTAAAGTTTACATTACTGTTAATAAGCATTGTTTTCGCCGGCGGGGATTACAAAACGTCATGTCATTCGTCAGGCCCTGGTCAGGCCTGATTGTTCGCGAAAAGTCCTTTGTTCCCAGGGTCTTATTCGCTATATTTGTCGCATCATATTCATTAACTCTGACCCTAATGGCCTAGTTATAATCCTAGTCCAACGCTAACCCAGTGAAAACGCAGCCGGTGAGCCGGAAATCTCGGCCCGGCAGGTACGAGAAAAACAAGACTGGAAAGCATCCTTAAACTGTCTAAACTTTTTTGGCTGAGTATGTTTTTCGTACGGTTGTCTATAAGGACTTTCCTGTGACATTTGTGGTGAGAGCAGAAGAGCAAAAACTCAATTAATCTACTCTCTCGCAATTTTTCCCGAACAAACAAGTATTTGAACCACAGCAGGTTACAAAACAACAATCAATTCAAGTTTATATAAAACAGAAAGAATATTGCTCGGGAAATCTTCAAATTTTACAGATGAGAACCTTGTTGCATCCTGTCTTTTTTACCAAGATAATATAACACTAACAGAAACGTCAGGATGATGCAATATGTTGACCATTTAGAAATAACAGGGATTAAATGTTCACTTATCAAAAATATCTGTATTTACTATTGTACCAGTCGCAACCTGTCTTCTAACAAGTACCCAAATAGATTTTGCTTGCCTAGCCATTGTTCTTTGCGACATGAAATTTTAACAAGCAAAATTACTCCTGACATCTTTTGGTTTTGGCTGCGCGTTCAGTTATTACAACTTAAGTGAAATTATCCTCGGTAGTTGATTTTGTACGTCAAAACCGGTTCCTCCTTAAACTGAGTTAGAAATCTGGTGATGTGGTATACAGCATGACAGCAAAGTAGATAGTTTGGATCATTGGTAAGCATCATATTCAAATGTTTTTATTTGTGACCTCAGCTCCTAAATAGTTCTTGTTTGGTAATAAGGAATTAGAATACTGTATTGAATAATATTGAATCAAATTAATAATACCGTATTCGTAGCTTCGTTTTTCTTATTATAACAATCTAACTAACTTATGAGTAAGTCTGTCAACTTTAAGACGGATCGTTTATCTAAATAGGACTGACAACAGTGTCGATATAACCTGACATACAAAGTCAATATTTACGTCAACTTTATTGGAAGAAATTCGGAGGAAATTATTTAATATATACTTTAGGTGAACAATTAAAATATTTTACTTCATATTACAAATTATACGTTAAAACCTTGCTAAAGCAAATGATGCAGTTGTTAAGCAATGCCAATGGCAATGGCAATTATATTAGTGGCTGCAGGAGTTGTACTATATACAGTAACAGTTATAATCGAGTTTTTGATTAATACATACAACTGAACTATACGAGTCGGGTAAATCCAGAATTTCCTGACCATGCCAGCAGTCAAATGTAATTAATGTCCGAGCTGCACTGGCACGGGTAGAATCACCAATCAAATCAAAGTGAAGATCCGTGTTGCCAGTGAATTTCCCAGAGTCAGAGGCAGAGCGTGTGAACTGATATCTATAAAGACTGCTTTTTACTGGCACTGTTGCTTGCACTTTTGCATGTGCATAAAAATATATAGCATATAGGTGTAAAAATTGCCAAAATGAGAACGTCAACACCAAAAACCAATTATTATAAAATTGCACGATCCTCTTGTACATCTTCCCGTGCATCAGTTGTGCTTCGTGTGGATTATGATACATAGTCATAGACTATGAGTAATCGTAAATGTAAACTGTAAATGTCGCTAAATAGTTGAGATTTAGTACACGCACTAACAAGCACTGAAGATATATAATAAATTTAGCTTATATATAGCCAATCAATAAATCAGAATGCAGCACTTGAATATATTTGTAAAAGTAGTACTGAATTATGTATTTAGGCACATAGTATACTAATATATGCAAAATCAAAATTGCTCGGAAACAGCAAGTAGGCAGTTGCATTAATGACCGAATATGCATGCATGGCTGATGTCCTCGCCTGTCACCAATTTATTTAGCCCTGGGTGTACTACCTGATCTTTTTCGTATAATTTAGTTTCAGCTGGCTTCCACATCGACCGTTAAAAACGCCTTTTGTCCCCGAGCAGTCATGTGGAACCTTTATTACTTGTACTTGGAATACGTTCTTGTCTCATATTTGTTACATTCAATTGCAATTATCCATTCTCACTTTTTTACTAGTACTTGCTCTTTGAAGAAAACATGTCCTAATTAACAGTTAAACTTTTTTTGTCAACTGACAAAAGAGCTCTCCGAAACAAGTCTAATTGAAAACTATTGCTAGCTACATTAGTAAATGCACGATCCAAGAGATAATAAAGTCATAACAAATAATAATAAAATCATTCAATAGTTCGTATACATTCACAGGAATGTACAGGAATAAATTTAATTTCTGACTTACACCTGTAAAAGCTCATCTCACACCCAAATTCCTTGAGTAGGAAATCTCAATCTTCTCATAAGTTTTCCATGGCGGTATTTTCAGTGAAACAATAGCTTGATTTTCAATGTTGTAGCTTCTTTCTCATTGATTAGTATAATAACAAAATTTCTAAGTCACATTCAAAGATTGTCTTGTTTCACTGTGTATAGACTAAGTATAGAGCGTATTTTTAGTGAGTTTTGATCTATTTGTATACAATGCTGGAGCAGCCATACACCTCATATGTCTTCTTTTATTAATTACCGGCCGGCGACTTTAGTGGACATGTTGGTAAAATGAACGTAAACTATAAACAAACCCATCTTAATTTACTAACATGCACCATGCAAGTCCTATGGTTATGATACGACTCAAATCAACTTGGGGACTATGTTTAAATAAATATCGTAACTTTCTGCACGGGTTCGCTACTGCCCTTATTAAGTTAACTTTATTTCAATATTACAACAATTTATTCCAACAATACTTTGCAACTATAGAGCATGCGCATTCCTTTAAACAATTCACTAGTACTGAATAAAAGCAATATCATTTGTTTTTTATCTTTACAGAAAAATCTTCAGTCGCTCAAAATGAGGAATTTCAATGCCATATTATTTTTGTTTACTGGAGTTTTATATTTAAGTGCTTGTGAAGGTACGTTCTATCACATGGTAATATTTTTCTGATTAAAAAAAATTCAAATTTTACATCCTCGTCACGTTTGTCCGATTTTTGTGCCGTGATGCTGATGCTTCACGCTACTATTTTTTTTTATTTCAGCAAAATGCCGGGGGAAAAATGCCGCGAAACTAAAAAGAAGTCTAAAACTAGCCATATCGTCCGACGATATAAACAACCGCCATAAAGCCGGACTAAGAAAAATATTTCGACGAAAAAGAGACGCTAACGACGAGGAGATTGAAAGTACGTTTTTTGTTCCCATTTTTCAGTGCTGCTTCCACCCGTCCACTTAAATGAAAAATGAGCATGCGCATTAGCCAGTTGTCTGCCGATGACCGCGCATAATGCTTAATCTTACTGCTCCAGTCCACATAAATTAATTTGGATCGTGAAGACCCTTTAGACCTATCAGTAATCTACTAATAATTGACCAATCACTCAATCGGATAGTAAAGGACGCTATTGCGTATTGTAATCAATAGAAAGAAGATGCTTTAATGGCAACCGCACTTCTTTATTGCAATCTTAATATTATGCTACCAGCAAACTATACTGAAAAGTTTAAATTTTTTAATAGGCGATATATTCACCGCGGAAATAAAATTTCTTCAAAAATGGAATCCTGCTATGAGCCAAAAAGACGGAAGTGCATATCGTTTATTTCAGGGCAATGTTCTTGATTCAGTAAGTGTGATTAAGTGTTATCAGATTTTCACCTAGAAAACAAACAAGCACTGTTTGTTAATTGACTTGGTGACATTTTGTTCATGTAGTAGTGATTCTTTTTCTTCAACAGATTTTAGAGCAAATGAATGCAGATCGACGATTTATCAATTCTCGTGTACTTGATCTGAAGTAAGTACTTTATAGATTTAAAAAATGGGTCGGGGAAACGTCTTGGTAAATAAAATGATGCTGTTTGATACTTTAGACCTAGGTAGGTTCGTCTATTTATGCACGCATGATAATTACTCAGTTATTGTACAATTCTTCGGCTGGATCTATCCGTTTTTTAAAGTTATAAAACCGGTGTATTTTCTTTTTAGGCAAACACCTGATGGTATTCTTGCAAAAGTTGGCTTCCACTTCAGAAAGAGCGAACACAATCCAATATCACACATACGCTTTGTTGTTTCACGTGGTCACGTATCGAGTCTGAAGGTCGATAAAAACTATTTCAAAATCATGAAAACCCCAGGTAAAAGAAGTTTCTTATGATATGTTCAGTGATTCACAAATCAATGTTTTTTATATTATTGTTCTAATCTCGCACCATAAAAGTAATTTTGAAATTTTGAAATATTGCGACTTGACAGAATGGTCATAGCCAACGAGAAGGGGGGGGGGGGGGGGGATCACGATTCTGTGCCTGTGAGCTCTTTGAACCTGAAAGTGTTCGTTCACTGAATTAGTGACGCTGATGTTCTTCATTCACGAATCGTTAATAGCGTTGCAGACTGTACGGATACGATTTGCGGGTACCGTCCTCTACGTCTCTTCATGAATGATTTAATACTAATATCGTTGTTTTTAGCGACCTTATTTAAGGAACATGAGGACAAGAAAGCACAAACTCAACACCAGCAAACTACTAATGTAGAAAATATCCTAAAAAATAATCCCAGCGTAGCACAACAGTCTAATCCGAACCCTGCAACAAAACAACAGGAAAATGAAACCCCACTGACAGTTAGCAGTCAAAATAAAGATCAACCTAAAAATCTGCCGAATGATATTTACCAAACTCAAAATCAACCATCGGCTTTGACGGGAAATTCAAATCAACCTCAAAATGAGGCGAAACCTCCGGCTTCAAGTCAAACTCAAGGTTCTACACAACGCCAGGGCAACCAACAGCAAATCCAAAGCGCGCAGGATAATAAACAATCTCCGCAATCCAACGATCAAAGAACATCTCAAGTACAGAAACAACAGCAGCAGCAACAACAAGCAGAAGATAAAGTACAGAATCAGAATAAGGACAATGCTCAAGATTTGGATAACCAATCTACGTCTGCTCAACCACAAAGCCCATATCAAACTGAGGCAACAAACACGGAATACCAAAATTATCCTCAAGATCAGAATCCAGCGTATCTGCCAGAAGCACAACAATCCACATCCCAGTCAACACAGAACATACCTTACCCGTCTGCCACTGCTGCCAATGGTGCTCAAAACCAAAATGGTCAATTGAACGATGGCAAACAGAATGAACAAATTAGCCCAAAACCTGTCGAAAACACGTCACCACAACTGCTGGGTAAGAATATTATGGTTCAGAATAAATTAGTAGAAGTATTACGATGATCTTAATTATAATGTAAAATTCTAACTTGATTTAGATTCTGATGAAGGGGATATATCGATCAAAATGAATCAAGCTTGGTTTCCTTTCCTTAGCAATCACGATACTCCACAATATAAAATGTTAGCGGGGAACTTAGAGAAAGGAGTAAGTATAAATAATCTGATTAATCTGTAATAGCAAGCAATAGGTTCTACCTTAAAACTAAGGATAACTATATATAGGATTAGTTTTCCTACGTTGCATAATAAATGAACGACATTTTAAAGCAATTTCTGTAATGTTAGCTGAAATCAGTGTTGGAAGATGACAAAAATATCAAAGATATCAAAGTAAAGGACTTATCGTAAGTACAAATTATCACCATTGCCTGGATCCGGTACTGTTAATCCATACGCGAGATATTGCATCATATTGTGACGTTCGTGCACTGTAGTCTGCGCCGTACACACATTGGGGCATTTTCCTCTTTCACATTTTATCCGAATCATTGTGAAACCTAGTATTCATCCAGTCGCTGCTTATCTTTACTTTGACAAATGACGGATGTAAACTAAGAGTATCATAATATTTTTCACAGCCAATGAACACTAAAGTATTAGCATGGCGGAACTAAGTCGTCAGGCTGGCTGCAAGCAAGATCAAGACGAATCAAAATAAAAAATCTACCACTATTTCACATCCAACACAAATCACAAGTTTTTAAATAACATTTTCCTAACACGTTTCTATTCCTTGATACTGATTTTCATTCCAGACAAGCTGATGAAGGACACACAACAGTGGAATTTCTTCTTCAGTTCAATGGCGGCCAGAAAGATTCAACCGAAAAATTACGAAAGATTGTCAAAACCGGAGATATTGCCGGAATTTCTGTTGACTCAGACTTTTTCGAAATAAAAGGTAAACAATCGTGTCTAAATAGTCAATGAACTATTAATTACTAATCAGGCAGTTTTTTCCACAAATTTTGACCACTGGGGTAAAGTTAGTATTAGGCTTCTTGTATGTGCAAGAATTAGCGGGCGAGCAGATTAAATACAGCTATATATTTCAAGAATCAAGAATGACGTTACAACCAATTTTAGAATTTTAGGTAGGCAAACGATATGATGAGACTGATTTTCACAGTGACAAAAGAGGGTAAATTCCCCAGTAGTTTTTCAGCTAAGAAAGGTCTGGATAACATCATGAAAAATCTAAACAATGCTAATTAGATTTATGGCGCACGAAAGCAGACCGCGCGTAAGAAGGGCTCTGGGTACGAGAATGACAAAACCAGTGGTTGCAGAATTACTCCCGCATTGTTGCCTGAGAATTTTGATTAGATCGTTCCCAACCCGCCTCCGGCTAAATAAAGTTCATGATCATTCTTTTGATTTTATTTTAGATAACAAGAAACCGGCCGTGAGTGATAACTCGCAATCGTAAAAGCAAGAAGCAAAAACCTGTTCTCATGTGTTGATTTGGTTTTATCTGATGAGGTCATGTACCTTGATTTCTCTCAGGAACTGTTAACTTTTGACAAACATATTAAATAATTTATTAATGAAAATTAAATGTTTTTGAAATATAAGAAAATTGTAATCAGTGAGTGTTGTCATTATGTCGAAGTGAAAAAAATTGCCCGCTTAATCCTTTGGATTCAAGACTCAGATACACACAGTTTTAACACAATGTTTCTGAAGGGCATTTGCGGACAAGTGGGAATAAAATCTGCGCGAATAAAATCTCGTTGATTACTGGGAATCTTTTGATCAGATGTGATGTTCACGGCATTATCACGGATGTAGTCACGTGATATTGCGGTATGCAGTTTTTGTTGCGCAATTTCCACATCATGTGTAACAGTAACGTGTTGACGCAAGATTCCTTCGTTAGCACGCACTTCTTGTGTCGACTTTATTAATTTGCCGTGGTGTCGATGTACCGTCGCTTTGTTCATCGTAGCTTGTCCGCCGGTCTATAAAATTTGCATATCAGGGAAATGGCATGAAAGTTGTATGGTATGGCAACGTAGTCAAAGATATGGTTATTTATCTTACGATTATTTTGCCATCAACAGTTCGTTACGATCTCTGCGTTGCCAATGAGACCATACGTACGGATGAACACGACTTTTTCATGACGTGATATTCCACACATCTTAGCAGCACCGTCACTAAAGGTTGCATGATTAAACAACTATATCACTAAGTGTATAAATTAATTGGCATCAAGACAGAGTAAGGTATAATCATTATTATTATAATTATTTTATTATTATAATTATTAATTAATTATTATTATTATAATTATTATTTTCGTGAAAGGTATAATTATTTGTTTCTTATATGATGTTATATTATGATATATTCTATCGCAAAAATCTTTACAATTATTTACAATAATCATTCTTCATGAAATATGATTGTAATAAATTAGATACCACAATTTTTTAAATTTAGATAAGTGTATGAGAGAAAAAACTCGCGTGCGTGTTGATATGGCTTTGGACTCCATGGTAAAATGAAAAAAAAACTCGTTAAAACGGTAACTTTGAACGGTAATTGAACGGTAACTTTGTATTTATGTGTGAATTTCATGATCATCTTGTTTTGCCTTTGCTCTTGTTTTTGGTTTTGGCCTCACTGGGGTTGGAAATGCTCGTTTAGCAGGTTCAAGATTGTTAAAGTTTCCATTGTGATCAAATTGAACATGATCTTGTGTGTCTCTCATTACAGGAATATCCCCCTGTGAGCGCGATAATTGGGAATTCGAAGACGCGTGACTTTCGCTATTCTGCTCTTTACTGCTGGTAGAAGAAAAAAGAGTAGCTAACGATTTTGATCTTGGTTTGATTTTGGGGGCCTCGGGACGACTTTTAGCGTGAGCATCGGAATCTTCTTGAGACAGGGAACGAGATCTTGCAGTCACATCTGGCGTGGTATCTAGGGAAGTTGATTTTCTAGAAGGTTGTGAGGTTTGTGTCTGATAAGTTAGTGTATCTTCTTGTTCATCCTCTTTAATATTTTGCTTTTCTCCATTCTCGGGTATTTCACATTCTGTTGGCGGACAATTGAACAAACTTTCAGCTTCTGTTATTGACATTGGTGATTCTTGTGGATTATCACGGCTACGTCTTCGTGGTTTTGGCTTTGGACTAACTTTCCCAGTGTCGGCTGATACCGTTCCTTTTGTTTTATTTCCTGGAGTTTGTACTTCATCATCGTTACCAGATTTAGAATTTTGTTGTTTTGATATCGGTTGAGAACACGTTAATGCTGCACTCTTGACATCTGAAATCGTCCCATCATTTTGCTCGGTTCCGCTTTCTTCTGGAGAAATGTTTTTTTCATTATGAGCTTGTTTTGAAAGCATATTTTCCTTATTCATATTTTGCTTAGTGGAAGATTCTTTGCAGCTGGATAAACGCTTTTGGCGAAACTCGTTTATATTTTGAGGCAAAGGAGGCGGTGGTCGTTCAGGGCCATGTTTCGGTGAGTTACCGATGTCTCGTATATCTGTTTTTTTATTACCTATATTCCGGGGCCTTTTTGTTGGACGAGTACGCTGGTGGTTGTCAACGGATTTTGACGTTTGATCTCTAGCTTTCCGCGGAGGTGGTATGGGGACAGGTCTGCTAGGAGGAGGTTCACAAATGTTTGGATTAATCACACTTCGTCTCTTTGTAACTTTAATTAGTTTTGATTTAGCATCGCTTGATTGCTCCTGGGGACGGACAATTACAACACCTTCGACGTTTTCAGATTCATTGACCATTTCATTTTCCTAGTGTTATATAAGAACAAGAATAAGATTTCAAAACTCGAGTCTTTGAATTATTTATATAACTAAAAGTCATTTTGAAATTCACGCCTGTTACCTGTATATGTGTACTTGTGTCCTGCGATGTTTGAGCAATCGAAGAAGGTTTTGAACATGTCATTGAGGAAGCGGAATCAGCTTGGAGTGTTTCAGCAAATGGACGAGTTTCAACATTTGAAAAGTTAGTGGTGAGTGGAGTGATTTGGAACTCTTGGGAAATATTAGGAACTTGAACTGCTGTGGATAGCGACCTAGCGGGAGGAGGGGGCGAAACTGTGGAATGCAGAACAGTGGAAGAAGAGGGCGAAACTGTGGAATGTGAACCAGAGGAAGGAGGGGGCGAAACTGTGGAACGTAAACCAGAGGGAGAAGTGGGCGAAACTGTGGAACGTATTACAGACGGAGGAAGGGGCGAAGCCGTGGAACGTGAACCAGATGGAGGAGGGGGCGAAACTGTGGAACGTGAACCAGATGGAGGAGGGGGCGAAACTGTGGAACGTATTACAGACGGAGGAAGGGGCGAAACTGTGGAACGTGTTACAGACGGAGGAGAGGGCGCTGGTCGACATGGTTTGATAGTTCTTCCTTTGCCTAACGTGAAGTAAATTTTATACATTGCTAAGTTTATCCCTTCAAAAACTAAGGAATGACATTACTGTTTATTTATAAACACGTTAACTTCAAAATTTCGCTTCGCAAGGATACTTTAGACAGTGAAAGAAATGACTTACAAATCGCCATAGCAAATTTACTCACAGACAATTTTCTCACTTGAAGGGAGCATAATAGTAGTGGCGGATCCTCTTTGGATTTATTTTATTGGTTATGGATTTCCAACGACTTAGAGTTGTAGTAATTTATTCTACCTTCCCTGGATCCACCACTGCCTATTAGCTTATAACTCGTCATCCCTAACGCGCGATTTTTATTGTATTAGCTGTAAAAATATCTAAAACGTGTAATAGAGCCACAAAGAACGTCGTCGTTTCAAGCAAATGCTCTAGCCCTGTTGAAGACTTTCATGAAATACCGATGAAAACCTTCCTAATGATGGATTGATGTGATGATTGTTTGAATATTTGACCGTAGACTGACCATACTCGGTACCAGATATTTTATGAAACAAGATTCAGTGTTAATCACCTCTGGATCTGTGATCTTTAGCTGCCTGCATCGATATCGGTTTTGGAACCTGGTGAACAGTTTCTCGCTCATTTTTTTGTTTCGACTGATTTCTCTGTGGAACTATTTCTGTGACTTTATAAGGCGACACACTTTTAGAATCTGCAAGTGAACATACAAATTTCGTACAATATTCATCGACCCAACTCTATTTGCTTATATAAATTGATGATGTCCAAAACCATCTTATGCTACCTACAATTTCTACCATCTTTTAGGCGCCCTGGATTAACAAATTCGTAGCTGTCATCAGTTGTGTTACGACTGGTTGGATTTGCATTTACGTTTGTCACATCTTCAGTTATTGTATTATCTTCATTTATCAATGGGTCCTTCGAAAGAAAAAGAAAATATAGACTTGTTGAAAAGAACATTGTTGAGAATTCCTTGGAAGAAGAAACTATTATAGACTTATTCCTTACCCGCTACTGACATAACCTTCCGTGTGTAAACATAAAGTAAACACTACAGATTTGCTGGCAGGGCCGTAACTAGAACGGTAATTGGGAGGGGGGTGTATTCATATATTCAGTTCTGCTCGATGGATTTAAACACCCCCCCCTAAACAGAATTCTACGCTGTACTAAAAATTACTACAATATTTGAATGTTTGGAGTCTTACATGTGTTTTTACCTCAACAAACGTGGCAGGAAACCATCCCTCTCCAAGATATGTACTTCCCCTCCACCAACCAGTGTCTGTTTCTTGTAAAACCAGAATTGTTTCATTCTCTTCAAACGTTAGCTCGTCTTCATTAGATCTAGTATATGCGTGAGATGCCCGATATGCTGAAATAAAAAAATTCCTGTTGTCAGGTCGCCAGCTATTTTTGTATGCGTTTGCGCCACACATAATTTGAAATGGAAGTGGCGTTTTTGGAAATCTAAATTGCCTCATTTTCCTGATTCGTTTTCTTTCTTCAGCGGGTCTTATATTACATTCATAAACCCCAATCTATCAACATATTCACTTTGCAAACCAAACTCCAAAGTTTCTCATTTTCAAGTGCATTCCCACAAACCTTTTGCTTCATATTCCTGGTAATGGCCCTCTTTTTTCACTTTTTGGATTTCTTCAGAAGTTGCGTAGACATATTGAGTACCTTTATTAAATAAAATTGTTTCCAATTATGGCCTTTCTCACGATGACGTTTTTGGGGTACTTTCAATTTTCTTAAATGGGTTTGAAAAATTATAACAACAGATCTAGATGTACACAAATCCAGAAGTTCTCGCATCTCTCAGTCACCTAATTAAGGGATCGAGTCTTCTTCCGATGCAAGACTGATCCTCATGAAGTCAATGCTGTATTGATCGTCATAAATGAATTGATCCGAATTTTTTTACTTTTATCGCGTAGTGACTACGTAGGACATGCGCGCGCACAACACAGGACACAATACAAAACAAATCAAGGACGTAAATCAACAACCAACCTTCGTCAATGACATCCAAGTAATCTGATCCGCTATTACTGGATGACTTCTGAATTGCAAGGGAAAAAATACAGCATGATAAGATCTCTATTATAATAACCATATCAATATATGCACATAATATTCTTGTATGTTTGCATAGTGACATCAATTAGCTTGTGGGTACACCACGTGTTGTATTTTGGCGATTGTTCTTAGTAACGCCAAAAAACACATTAACGTCGGTTTAACCGCACTCTGGTTTTCTTCTAATATTTATGTATAAATCAAATGAGGTTTCATTTCATCATTGTATACATAATATAATTGTGAGGAATTTCAGATCAAACGACATACAGATCTACCTACCTGCCCTGTAGACTCCTTCTTTGAAAAGACTAGTGGTTCTAAGTAGTTAGTAGGAAACCATCCCGAACCAGCATCTGGCTCGTATACCCATGACCATCCTGTTGAACTATTTTGAATCACGGAAACAATGTCGTATTGGGCAAGACTTATTTGATCCGGGTTTGAACCAGAAAATGATTGCAAAACTGCAAATGGAAGTCGTCGCTTATCTATATATAAAGAGAAGAGTAATTTTGTTATTCGATAGTCTACAGAATGGTATAACACAAAAGCTTATATTGTCATCTTGACAATATGGTCGTATATGCATGGTATTATCAGGAATGCTTACGCACGCATACATAATAGAATAATTGTATTAGCCAGTTTTGTCATATACCTGGAATTGAATAGTCGGTTTCACTGCTAGAATGCAAATCCTGTAAGATATTTAAAAAAATATTTTAGACAATCATAAATGCATTATTATATCATATTACCATCATATATATGTAGCTACCAAGGCAATCTGCCCTGAGCCCCAAGCGGGTTTGTACCCCCAAAATAAGCTAAAATACCACAGGAACAGAATTACGGCTGATTCCACTGTCGCGTTTTTTGCACGTACTTAAACGCGTGTAAAACCTTCTATAAGTAAAACATACTAACTCTCCTGACGAAGGCCCTCAGGTCGAAACGTTGAGAAGTGTTTTGTCTATTTAGGCAGTCGTTATACCACATTTGATGAAGCTAAGTTGTTATACTTAATTTATATAGATTTTTTTCCTAGTGGGTTAATATTAACTTGTTTTGGACATTATTCGACAGCCTCCTCCTCACAGAACGTCACGTATTTTGTAAACGGCCCCTATATTTTAATGCCCAATTTGGAAAATTTTGTTGAGGCTGGCGGCTATATTGCATCATGAATAACGTTTCCAGGAAACAAATCACCACGCTTGTGTGTTCGACATTGATCTAGATCTTTCGCTACATTGAAGAGTCGTATTGCGTAACATGGCAACAGAAGTTACCATCCATGCACTGCCTCGTGTTACTAAGTATAAGGGCCGATTTGCACTGTCGCCCCTTTTGAAGTTTAAACCTTTTGTCTTTGAATAGTTATATATAATCAAATGGAATATACGAAAAATATATATGTGTGATACAGCCCTAAGAAATGTTTAACGACCATACAAAAGGAGAGGTGTTCTAAAAGGTCTTTGGGCCTCCACAAACCGGGATTTAGTTGCCGACAACTATTTGTGACAACTAAAAGTTATCGACAACTAAATAAGTCTGATAAAGGATTCCACACACTGGCGCTCAAATACTGATTTAGCAACCGAAACAGCGCGGAGATTAAAAGTAGTCGACAACTGAAACAAAAGTTTTCACACACTAGAAAACACCAAAAAATGAGGCCTTCGACAACTATTAGTTGTCAACAACTACGCCGTTACCCTTTTCAAAAAGGGAAACTGCTTAATTGTCGACAACTATATAATAATTTAGAGTTTAGGTGCCGACAACTTGCGCGACAGACTACGTTTTTTAGTTGTCGATAACTTTTAGTTGTCAATCACGAATATAATTGTAGACAACTAAATCCCTAGTCTGTGGAGGCCCTTACTTATATTTACTTGGAACTGTGTGTAATCAGTCAAACAACTATATTTTAACATAAAGACCTATTTGTTTTATACTTGAAATAATATATTATTGCATATGATAATAGTCAACCCCGGTTTATATATAGTCAGAATTTGTGTAAAAGGTTTTCGAGTAAAAAATACCACAAGCTCATTTGAAAACATTTCATTCTTTTGCGGTATATACGTGTACAACAGTTTAACTGAATTTAAAAGTAACTAGAGTCTATAGTAGGGAAGGACGAAAGGTCAAGATTTGTTTAATGCTGATGTAGCTATATAGAGCGGAACCACAGACACACACCAAACATAACAACTATATAGCATCGGCTAATATTAGGCAAAATATGATACCAGTTGTATACAGTATCGCATTTAATTTAAACAAACAAGATCCGGATTAATGGCAAATCCATGATGTAAGCTTACTGTTTACCTTCCTTGACGATTGCTCATTGCTATACCGATATATATATACCTACACGGAACAACAGCCAACAGGTTGTAAACATGCAGCTATCGGTAATGATAATTGTAGCTGGCTGGTTGGTTAAGAGTATGAAAGATAGCTATATTTAAATAGCTAATGTAATTTATTAATTGAAATTGAAATTATATAAATATCGTAATTGTATGATTATTATTGGTATGTTATATACAGAACATGCACGAACGAAGACATGTTAATTTATTTGTAACACTATACAGTATAGTATAGAATCCCTGAGCGCCGTGTCGTGCCCCGTTCACTGTAATTTTTAATGTTGATACGAAGCAAAGATCTTCATTAATGACTAACCTGAGAGAAATTAATTTGTTAGATTAGAAGAAAACTCGGACATTTAAAATTTTAACTTAAAATTGAGTTAAGATTTACTTCCTCGGAATCCTCGGTTTCTTTGTTTATACAAAATGATCATCGTCTATGATGAGAGCAATGAAGACAAATCTTTTCCTGTGAATGTGTCTATATAATAAGTACCTTTGTCTAGATGCATATGATAAAGAAAAGTCTAAAACTCTTGATTAATGGTGCCACCGTTCAGATATGTAAATAGTCCCGATGTTGAAGTAGGTAATACTTATACATTGGTAATCATCATACTTCAGTGATTATAGCACAGAATAATATATTTGAGAAAAACACTATATTACACGATATATAACAAATAAATGAAGAACATACAAACATTGCGGTTATGGTGACTCCCGAGTCGACGTTAAACCATGCGAGGGCTGGCTCAATATTTGACAAGTGTACAGCTTTAGAGCCAGTGAAATAATCTATAGGAAGTCTCTATATATGAGCACTTACACACAACGTATGAATATGCAAATATATATTATCTTGTTTATATCAGTGGTTTATATAGAAACCATCATAATTACAGGCTCGCCCACTTTACTTGAACTTTTTCCCGTCCCCAAAAATGGTATTTTATATTTATAAAATCTACGACGTATAAAAAGACGATATTTCGAAAGGAATACAGAAAATAAAAAAAAAATCATCCCACGTTTTCACGGTACATGCAAGAGGAATTTGGAATTGATGTTAAATTCTTTCTAAAACAACACCACCTTTTTTACCTGTTAATGCCATATACAGTTATAGTCCTTAGTCAATCCACTTGGCGTCATGATATTTCACTGGTATAAATTCCCATGCTTGGACCAAAAGGAAGTTGCTCGCCAAGTTAATACGATGGATATCGGACTGTGGCAGCTAGCGTTCACATGCATCGTACCGTGTGGTTACATGCATGGTCATCCAGGAATTAAATAAAAAAAACGGGGGCTTACTATCTCGTTTGCTGTCTTTTATTTGTATATCTTTGGTTATGTCACACTTAAAAATATGGTAATGCATGTAATCGCCCCATTATACGACAAGAGAACATGAGATATAACCAAATTTAACGAAAAATATGAAGAAACGAAGCATCCTTCAAAAAAGGCAGTTATAGAGCAGCCGAAAATGGCGAACACTCTTCAGTGCTATGATCTATACACATATATCCTTGATGATGGAGTACGAGCTAGTTTGGTATATATTTCGTTCTTGTATGTCGTCGTTGTTGTCATGCATCAAAATGCCGGATAAAGAGTTTTTAATGATTACTACAAGATACATGATCATTTGTTTGACAATTCACCACGTATTTTTTTCCGCAAAGCTTTAAGCTTTTCATTCGTTAGCCTGGGTCTTCATCATCAGTGTAATCAACACGTCACATTTAAAAACGTAGTGCAGTTCCTCTAAAATTACAATAATATTACTACAACATACCTGGGATCCTTCAGAGGTTTCATCTGAATCAATTTGAACCAAATATCGAGTTGGGAACCACCCAGTAACACCATCCTTATTTTCCACCCAAGACCAAGCAGATGGTTTACCAGAAATGACCGATACTGTTGTACCAACATCCAAGTATAGTTCATCCGCATTGGACGATTCGAAAGGATATATGACAACAAAATATTCACCGTCACCTTCTAGAAAACATATAGAATAAAGATGATGAGAATCGAAAGCTTCATTCTAAAATGTACTAACCTAATATACTAAGAATACTGCGGAAATAATAGACCCAATAAAGCGACCTACATATGTCTGACAAACCCTGCTGGCCGTTTTCCACTGGACAAATTTTGGCATATATAAGGAAGCAGGTGGGAAATTTGTTAAAAAACAAAATTCGAGAAATTGGCATATAAAAAAATGGAAATAATAAATTCAATAATATTTTCAAGAGGAATGCAAGCAAGACTCGTTCATCGTAATTTCCTCAGGAAATTTTGGTTAAACTCAGCATCAACAAACTTGCTGTGAGCAGTACGAGATCTGTCCATGGATATGCATAAATAAATGAATTCAGAATTGCATGCAATCATAGTTTAAGTCAAATTTTGACAGCGAAAGTATGGTTTGAGATGACCTAATTGAAACTAACTTAATTACCGGCGTCATCCTGATTAACTTTCAAATTTGTAACATTGTCAGTTGTCTCTTTTTCGTGTTTTTTTTCATCATCAGCACACTCATTGTCGAGCACGTCGTCAAGATTTTGCAATATAAGTAAACTTGCTCGCTGATCATCGGAAGGAGAACTCTCGCCAACTGAAGCAAGAGAAGATATGGTTTCCATTGCTATGGTCTCCTCTGCATTGAGAGAACTTGGACCACAATCATTTGTTACTTCAGAAGACGGAATATCTGTAAATATAGCAGCATTAAGAATGCATTCTTTTAAAGAATTTCTCATGCACTTTCATATTCATAAAGGCGCTGCATGTTACACTATGCAATTTTCCTTGCAACTTGCAATGCAATTATAATTTTGAGGGATGTTAATTTGTAAAGAGTGTTCGAAATGTTAGTAAACGTTAGCAGATCGTTATAGAAATGTTCGTATTTGACAACTTTAGATGCCTCAGGAGTAGAATTGCATTGCAAGTTGCAAGGAAAGTTGCATAGTGTAACACCGCCTTAAAGAAAATATACATGATGCATAAACCTTGTACGTTGTTGTGCGAAGTAGAATGCTCTGTATCATTTTGACTTTCAGCAGACTGATCAGAATTTGCCTTCGGATTCATGTTTATTTCAGGAAGGAAATGGGATGTTGAGAATGCTTCGTTTGACACTCCTTCACTTTGTTTTGACTCAATAAAATGCTCTTCTTTGTTTTGAAGTGTAAGTTTTATTTGTGAATCTTTTAAATCAGCTTCGAGATAATTTTCTAAATTTACTGGCATTGTAGGACGATAGTATTTCTGAAATATTCTTGCATTCTTTCTCCGTTTATACATTCGATGACAGCAACAGCATAACAAGACAATAAGTATTAATAAAGCGCCACCTCCTGCCGCTGACGGAACAAGGATGATTAAGGGTATTCCATTTGAATTTGATTCTGTATCTAAAAAAAATTAATAATTGACAATTGAAAAGAAATCACGAAATTAACAGCTTGAATTTCGGTACTTCACCAAAATCCTACCGTTAATAACTGGAACATATGTGCTGTTGAATGATCTAGTAAAAGTAATTCTTGTAGTAGTAGTAGTAATTCTTGTAGTAGAAGTCATTCTGTGAACGCTAGGAGTTGACATGTAAATGGTTGATAGTTTTGTTTTCATTGCTATTGCAGAGGTAACTTGCAGCGTTGAAAATTCTAAAATGAAAGAAAATTCATTAACTTCAGAATCATGTAAAATCTATCCGAACATTGAAAAGGCTCTAAAAAAAAGCTAGCCAGAAAAAAAGCTGTTAGTCAGATGTGGTTCCGTCAATTGAAGATCGAGCTGACAACGTGTAGGCAAAGCTATCGTTCACCACAGTTGAAACATTTGTCTCTCGTTTGATATTCATGATTATCGGATCTTGCAAAAGGAATACATTTATAAAGATTGGAAGTTGGGAACTTGCGCAATGCTCTTGCACTTCCGCACTACCTCTTCTCAGACACTGATCTCCATATAGTCGCTGAATGTGGCTTTACCAGCTCTGTTACGTTCATTCGACTAAGGCCTGTTTTCCACTTCAACCGTATCGTAGCGTATTTCGTTGATTCCGGAATATTCGACCAGAACTAAGGACTTTAAAACAATGAGATACGCTACGTTTTGCTACGATTGAAGTGGAAAACGGCCTTAACTGGTAATCGGAGGGGAGTGGTTTTGAATATCTCTCGCTTAAAGGAATACAATTTGTTGGTTTGTGACTTCGTGGTAAAAAAGAACACACATGCAAGTATTAAGCAGTTATTTCGAATTGTTACCTGTCATTTTCTGTGTGGCAAACAGAGATTGTGTTCGCGTTTCTTGATCAGTGATTTGTGGTGTAGTTCTTACTTTTTCTTTGACCGTTCCATGTAGATAAGAAGTTGTGGCAAGTTGATCAGTGTGAGAGAGCTGTGCACTAGGTACACTTGGTAAGGATGATTCTAGTGGTATGCTTACTATTAAGAAAAATAAACAAGCAACGTAAGGCTCACAATTCTGTTTGATACTAAAGTGAATTATATTTACTCTGCGTTTCCGTGAAACGAATTAAGACACTAGCAAATCGTATACTATTTTTAAATTATACAATATATTTTTTTATCTTTTTTTTAACTTCACTTGCTAAGTCTGTGCAGTAATCCAGTAACTGCAGAGAAATATCAGGCCTCAGTGTTTTGTACAAAAAAATCCGTCTGATAGTAATGGTACAGTACGAGCTCGATTAGTGATTAAATGTGATTAGTAAGTAAGCAGCTGTATGTATTTTCGCCGCGAACATATATATTAAGTTCTAAGTTCCGCTTTGGCCGTCCGCGTTTTGCGTCTTCCCGTTTCGGAAATATAAACAAAGACACGGAAGTAGACGCAATAATGCTTTCATACCAAACTAAATATTATTGAAATATAAACATATAAAAGTATTTTTACACCTACCAGTAGCATTTATCTGTTTGTGAAGAAGAACCCAAAACATACAGATTAACCATCTAATATCCATATTACATATAAACCTTCCTTAGTAAGATTGCCTCAAAACCATAACTCCATTAGCCGGTCTAATAAGAATGTGTAATTGCTCAATACTGCAAACCATAAATTCAAGCAACCGCGTTGCAGGATGTTTCCAAGCGCTACGGAAAGACCGTAGAATATAAAATGAACAGAAGAGATTTAGGAAATTGTCTTCTCGTTGAACATCTTTGTATAAACCATCGTTGGTAGTTATGATTCAGGATAATCCCTGCGCACAATTTCGCGCATTTATGTAATCAAGACATAAAAAGTATCAATTTGCACAGAACGTCTGCGCAAAGTTTAGCCAGGGGGGGAGAATCGCCGGCTTGTTGAACATCTACGGCGAGAAAACGAATCGAAGGAAGTCAGCCAAATTCGGAATTCGGATTGGTCGCTGATGCCCTGTAATAGATGTTTAATTCCGTTTGACGTTTCTTGACGTTTCCTATTTCGTTTATTGAGAATGGAAGTAGAGCTGTATAGTGTCAGAAGATTTTTTAAAGCATCAACAATTAATCTTGAATTAAATCCAGAATTTCAGTTCTCAGAGCTCCTAGCTGTGCCCCCGCTCCTATACACAACTTGGTCCTTTGACCAACGGTTGGACCAAGGGTCCGTGCAACTTGCAATGCAATTCTGCACTTAAAAGTTGGCAGAACAACATTTATTACACTCTGTTACTTATTTAACATCCCTCAAAATTACAATTGGATTGCAAGGAAAATTGCATAGTGTAAATTGCAAAATGATCAACTGGACCAGCAGCAATATACCCTGCACTTGTTCAGGTTTTCCAGAAGTGCTTAGTTGAGTTGATTCTTGTTTACTTTTTGTTTGAACCATTGATTCATGAGGAGGTTGATTTGGCTCATTGACACTCTTTGTGGAAACATATTTTGTTTTTGTTCAACATGTTCAGCATTTTGATCGTTTGCCTCTTTGGCATCTTTGTGACTTTCGTCTCCACTCATTCGAGGTTGTTCCGCTCTTCTTTCTTTGCGGTAGTTGGCTATACCGCGTCCACGGCCTCGGCATAGATCTATTTCCTCCGTTGAACCGTTTATTTTTTTCCCTCTTGCCTCCTGGAACACCAGATATTTAGCAATTTATGATGAAATAGTTGAAAACAAAATATTAAACGGAAAACACAAACCCAACCTCGGCCAACATTCGATCAAATATTTTCTAAAATATATTAAAGTATTTTGTGTCCTTGGTTCCTTGTTGCACGGAAGCTGATGGTGAATGTTGTTGATTACAATGCAGCGAACGTTTGGTAATTTGTGCGAATTTCATATTCTTTTTCCTTATCGTTAAATATTAATTCTAGCTCACATTTGTACAAATATATAGATACAGAATTAAGTTTAGATTGTGAAAAAATAATATCTAAATGCAGTTTTAACGACGTGTTTGTAAAGAAGAAATAGATACTTGTATATATATGTTATAGTTATTTTATGTATTTTGAGGTAAATAAAGAAAAAAACATTTGTTAAATCTTTTATATTTACATCTATATTACAAACAAATCAAAAAGCAAGTTAGCTAGAATTCCTTTTCCAAATCGACAGTTCTTCCCCTCATTTCAAACGGAAGTGTTCAGTGACATTTTCTTAGTTTCTTTAATACAGCTTCTTGCTCTTGCAATTTTTTCTTTAACTCTATAACCTTGATATCGCGGGGGGATAAGTAAAAATGGTCTTCTGTTACGTTATCCCTGTCACACGATGTCGCTGGGGAATTAAATCTTGGTTTATGGACATTCTGTATTGGACGCTCTACTAATGGGGACTCAAGATTAACATAGAATGTCAGTTTGTTGTTACAAGTTGACAAAGGGCCCAATCTACCATTTTCAATATTTTTTGGTTCCAAGCTCGTCCGGCTTGATCTTTCACTTCTGCCAAAACGTTGTCTTTCTTGTAGCAACTCTGAAAAAATCTTTTGATCAGGATACCCTGATCCAACTGTAATTTCGCCACTAGTAGGTATTGTAGATAGTTGGTTTTCTTGTATTATCAAGTTCCCTGTCGTTACTGATCTCGAGGAAAAAGGAATGAAATTATTCTCCACTTTGGCTTCGGATAATCGGATATTGTCCCCGTTTCTTTGAAATCTTGCTGCTTCATTTTCAATTGTAATATCTCTTTGACAGATCTTCTGACCAACTGTAGCGGCAGACATCGGATGAACTACATTAGGTTGCTCATGTCTGATGCGATCATTTATACCAAACAGTTTTGGCACCACTGTAGATTTGGTGAACTTGGGTTTACTGAAACCATGGTCCAAAGAGGATACCATTTCATTTTTGGAAATTCCTGTGTGGTTCGTGTGTTCATATCTTAGAAGAGGAGGCGAACACGGGGGTGTGACCGGAAAATTGTTTTCGACAATTCTGTTTGCTTTCTTCTGCCTAATATTTGGCGCGGCGAAGGTAAATACATTAAGAATAACAGGCATGTTGCTATCTCCTGATTCATCACCGAAATTTATGAACGCTTTAGGTGTCCTTAAAACATCTTTCGTTAAAGTATCATCTTCCAGAGGTCGTTTTAAATTGCGATTAGACTTGGTACAATCCTTTAAAGATTCATCGAGTTCTCGTGAAGGCGTCTGAGAGTGATTGCATCCGGTAGACTCGACTGCCTGGGGCTTCTTATCAATAAGACTTTTATCGATAGTTTTTGTGTTTTTCGACGATTCGATGTTTTCCAATTCGCTCCTGTGATTGGGAGATGATTTTCTTTTCTCTTTATTATCTTTAAGGTCGTCTATTTCTTTTTTTGAGTCTTTTTCAGTGTCGCATCGATTTTCGTACACACTATCAGTCTTAAATATCGTTAGTTCTTCAACGTCAGGATTCTGTGTGGTCCGTCGCCGTGTTCGTCTACAATTGAAGAATCAAAGAGTGAAACGTTGAATAATCCTTTATTAAACGTTCCGTACTAGCGGAAGAATATTTGGAAGAACGTTCCGTACTAGTGGAAGAATTTCACTGTCGATTTATTGTCTATTCCACAACAGTTCATATCACAAATCACCAAAAGGTAGGTGGGGGTAGGGTCTCTATATAGCCTCCTGGATTGACAGCGTTGCCTGTATAGTCCTCGCAAGTTTTGGATAAAGAATTAAGACCTGATTTGTATAATGTTTACGAATTTTTACTCGTAATCTCCACAACAATGAGTTTAATGAGCATATAGGTATGCTCTTCAATGCATATACTTTCCCTGCTCTTAGCAACGGTGGATTATATCTTTTTCACGATTGCATATTGCCATATAAATGAAACCGTACAATACTTCGTACAATTTAAATTTCATTCCCATTTCTCATTAATGTTAGTCATTATTAGTGGTACCTTCTGAAAACTTTAATCACAATTCATTAAATTTTGTATACATTTAAATCAATTTTCATTTATCATCCACCAGAGCACGAGTATTTTTGCACCAGATTGTTCTCTGTGTGTGTATATGGTCAATATATATACGTTTATACAATTAAACGTTGCTCTTAGGTGCTCTTACCTTGGCACTTTTTGTTTACGTTTCATATTTCACCAAATGAAATAGAATCTGATGATCTTCAAATGCGTTGCATGAATTCGGTGGGTTACTTACACAGACGACGATGTCACAATCACAGCTACGAACGTCAATTTACCCGATTCTATGAGATGATGAGACAGTGGACAAGACAGTCATATAAAAACGTAAATAACGTGAACAATGACAACGCCAAACTTGGGCAACTCTAAGCATTCAAACGACGTCATTACAAGTGTCGACAACCGTCTTTATTATACAACAAAAGTTTGAGTGTCACATGTTTGGAAGCACGTTCAAATACTGTACTAAATAGTTATATCTCGTTTCCCCTGTCGGCATATTATAAGACAAAACACAAATCTCACCTGCCCTCACCTTTTCGATTCTTTGCCTAAAGATTTTGTTTTTACGAGTCGCGCTCTAGATTTATCGCCGTACACCTACGCACAATTAAATTATAGTTTATCCGCTTGTACGTATGAGGTTTGTCCATATATGGTCATTTGATTGACAAACGCCTCACCACCCCATTGTGACTGGAATGATAATAACACGTTAAATTAGCATGATAATTGTTGCCATGTGGTTCAAAGAAAAAAAAGATTTTCTTTGTTTGTTGACGCAGCAAGGATGTGCTCCAAGTTAAACGAACATTTTTATTATATTATGATGCCAGAGGCATTTCAGTTAACCCAAAAAGTATACACCTAATTAGAACATTTAATAACAACAAACAGTTATGAACACAGTCGTTTTTTGACGTCACAAAATCGCCGAGGTGATAAAAGTTTTTAAAATAACCATTTCGGGAGGGGAATATCTCATGTCTTGCAACTAATTTCGATGTTAATCGCTCAACACCGAATGGCACACCAAAAAACGTCCCACTATTCATATGATGTTGAACTAGTATAAATTTCAGAGGCGTAGCTAGCCCGACAATGTATAAGTAATCGCCTGGGGCATTCACTTTATATTTTAGCGTTTGTCGGCATATATAGGATTGCAATCATGAATCAATTTCTTTTCATAAACATTTTTTCATGATTTACTTTCAGTGCATTTCGATTCCTTTGTATATGTTCAATTAGTCTTTTTAAGACATATCGTCGTCGGGCAGTCATCACGGGTTTTGACGGCTTTTTATGCTTTCCAGCAGCGGATACGCGTCTTCCCGTGACTGTGTGGGTTAAATGTGTACCTGAATAAACCATTGGACCAGTTCTCCCCCAGTGTGGGGAACTCTTTTTCAGGTGAGGTAAATAATCGATGCTCTCTCCGTCGTTGAATCTAGGCTGAATTGTTTTAACCTTCTGCTGACATTCAATTTGATGATTTTTTCTGTGAGATTCCTGACATTGTTCAATAGATTCTCTAGTATTATTTTCAACGGAACGGTCTATCTGGTGATCATGTAAAGCATGAATATTTTTTATAGGGTTAATCGAGCCAGTGGTCATATGATAAAATGAAGACGAACAGTTCCTCTCATATCGTCTATATTCAGTAAAAGAAGGTGAACGTAGTGGTTTTCCCTGGTCGTTATTTTCCTGATATATATTCTTTCTATACAACTCTTCACTATTTGAATAAGATGCCTGAGACAGTGAAAACACATTAACGATAATAGGCATATCATAACACTGTTTCAGGTCGTATATTGGATTTCGGTGTGGTGATATTCTGGAACCGTTTGCAATTTTATATAACTGAAAATTAGGAACATCTTTGTTGCCAATCTCTTCTTCTGTTGGACGCATCGTTAGTTTCAGACTGAATTATGACTCCATTATTGTACGTCGTCCTCCACTTAGTTTTGTCATTCACCTAGAGCTTGGTACCTAGTATGCCGGAAAGTATGTGGTCACGTGTATGGATTACAACAAAAACGTAAGAGTAAAACTGTCGCAAAGACACTAAAATTGCATCGACTAATTTAACTGAATCATATGTGAAAATATCTTAACTCAGAATACATTCAAATTATAACGATTCTGTCAATCGTGTATATGGTGATTGAACTTTTATGATTGGCAGATGCAGTATTATATAAATGTTTTTGAAAATCTACAATTGCAACAGCGATTTTATTGAAATTCACAATCACAGCTTTACACTAAAAAATAGACTAAAAAATACACTAAAAATATGAAAAAATTGGGGCGGTCGCCGTTCCTTAAATAATTTATACATTGAGTGCCATTGACTTAACTGGAACGATAATTGGCGGGGAGCTTATTCATATATTCATGCAGTTCTGCGGCTTCGGCTCGAATTCGGTCTAAATGTTTTTTTTTTACGGTTTTTTTCGGGGTTTTTTCGTAAGTGCAACAGCTTACAATAGAAGTCGGTGGGACGGCTGAATATATGAATATGCAGTTACGCCACTCGGCTATATATAGTGGAAACAATCGAACAATTCTATATACTCAATACTCAAACCTACGGTGACGTACTATGTCTATTGACTGTATTATCTCATGAAATGTTGAAATTTTACTGTAATTTTAATTCTTAATAATCATATTCATATTTGTATAATACAATGTCGAGATCTAGAGGGGCTTAATTTGAAACCCGCTTCATTGATTTCACAAATAAGATTTAGGAATATTTGCAGCTGAATCGCTTACTGAAAATTACCTTGATTTCCATTTGGAAATGGTTCTCGTATTTAAACTAATGATGAATGTTTGAAGCAAAACCGTACGTATAATTTGTTAAATCTACTTTTCGGTTGGCCCCGATTTAGACATGGGTTGTCTGTAAACAGGAAAGAGGGAGAAAGGGTCACTTGACGATAGACTAGTGGTGGTCAATATTGCTGGTACGGTGACAGTGAAACTCTTCAAAGAATGGCAGCTATAGATGAAAAGCCGTCGCAATATATTGTACCGGCACGAGACAGTTTTTTTTATTGTTGCGATGTACATGCAGATACCATTTTCCAAGTTATATTGTGGAACTGTGTTAGCCTGACCAGCCTGGGTCTTTTTCAATCTATAAAGAAGGCTTGCAGGCCTACGTAGGTTAGGACGTGCATAGTGTTAATCATTCCTAACAATCTAAGAGACAACCGCGTTAAAGAACAGTCTTTTTCTAGTCCGGATCCTTATTCAAGTAGCTACCGGACAACTCAAAGAGTGTTTTCCGCTTTGGTGAAAACAAAAAGCCTAATGTCTAATATAACAGTCAACACAAAGATTGTTTTATGGCAAAAAGATATTTTTTGAATAAGTTTAAAAGACTGAAGCTGGTGCAGTAAAACTAAATTGGATTTAAAACACTATATTTAATGCCCTATATATTATTTTTAGACAAATACTCGTCATTGCACTTGACGCACAGAATTCGAAAGACCTCGCTCTATGAAAATAAGTCTGCAGTGTCGGAGTTTCCGGATGACAAAGCGGTCATCTCCCGTTTCATTTGTTCTATCTTCGAACTGAATCTGATATGCTAGGTATATATACTATCTCTCTACCTTTCTTTTCCCATTTTAGGGCCGATAATGGCTTGTCTGCATTTAAAGTGGACATCAACATGCGGCCGCATCTCAGGTAATAAGAGTTACATGTTTGTACTTCGCCGACGATGACTTACTAAATATCCTCAATATAATTTGCTAAAAAATATTAATTTAATTGTGCAGAACTACATCATTCCGCCTAAAATATATAACACGAGCATATAAGATCTCGAAAGGACGTAACTATATATATAATGTATATTTAATATATATATAATGTATATAATATATATAATTACATATATATATCGAACTTAATGTTGTATGTAGCGTCCCAGGCGAGCTCATGCATACAACTCCCTGCATATAAAAACAGCCCAATGCATGCAGAGGCAACAATCCCTTTTTTTGTAGACTAAGAAAGCATCAAGACACCAGACACTTGCTATTTTTCATTCATATCTTATAGCTACCTCAGTGGTATAATATAGGTTGCACTATAATTATATGGTTTAAGTCTTCAGCATGCAAACATGAAAGACCTAAATATATGTTCCTCATATCGTCTAAATATATATATTTATAGTCACCTTTTGTCAATCTTCACTATTTCGTTCTTTCCACAGCAGTAGGAATCGACTATATCTTTCAGATCAAAACACAGCCGGCGCACACCGCGGCACTAAAATTCAAAAATGGACATGCAAGTGCTGATGCGTGATGCGTCCAATTCAACTGACAGGGTTTCCTCAATCTATGGAAACTCCTTCCTCGTGACAATCATGCAGTATATACGGGGGGTGGAAGGATCAAAGAGCTAGCATTTAAAGGTACTGTCGCTAATAAAAGTAAAAGCCTGTATATTCATGCGGAATCTGACCATTCAAATGAAACATTTAAGGAAGTCATGCAGTAGCGACAATGATGTGTTACAGATGTTTTTATAACGGATTCTATATTAAATAATTATTGGATGAGGCTGAGCATGATATCAAGAATTATTCAGATCAAGGTCAATGTTATCTGCCAAAGCGAAACAATACACACGAAATGTATAATAATAGCTTTTTAAGCTGAGTGTGTCCAGGGTTGGTTGTATAACCTTTAACTATAGTTGGTCATATTTGGTGCAATTATAGTCCATTCGTGTATTTGTGACCACACAAAATGAAATTAGTGCTGATAGACGGGCTGCCTCGACAGCCTCGTACCCAGGCGTTTTGTTCTCCGTTGTGTTTACGTGAGGCGCGTGACGTCGCAGTCAGCGGGGACTCCCAATAATCGTTTTCTCAGCAAAATTAGGCAAAATTGTAAAGATAAGATAATTTTAGAACAAAAAGTAAAAAATATTTTTGTTCTTGAGAACCATGTCTAACTACAGACCTAAGTGCCAATTTTAAACCATTATGAATCCCGGTTAAACAACTATGCTTTTTAAAACTGGAAGTGCGCTAAAATACAAGCTTCAACGCCGGTTTCGCGCGGATAGTTAAATCAATAACAACACGTGTTATATATGCATGGCTGTGAAACTGGACGAATATCCATAGATTTTCCCTTCTTTGTGAGTTTCTTTGGCAGGAAAACAATGGCTGTCGGCAGGGCTAAGGCTTTATGAAATGCGGATATAAAACCATCAATTAAAGCTAGTTTCCATTAGGAAAATTCTCCTTTGGATCGGACAGGACAGGAAAGTTTCTTTTGTATAAACGCCACCTGAGAACTCACCGACAAAGGAAATTTTCCTGTCCTTTCCGATCCAAAGGAGATTTTTCCTGAGCGGAAACTAACCTTTAATGCGTCCAGGAACAAGCGTCATTATCTCTCTTCGGATAGCAGTCTTGACAGCCCATGCATCACTCCTTGCTTGATAACTGTTTACTGAGGTTTTAAAAAGCAACCTAATTGAACCAGCTGTAATTCTGTAAAAGAACCAGAATTGCCGTCGTTCTTGTGAGTTATCCATTTTTTCAAGTTCCAAGGCGGAAAGGAAGTCAAGGCGAAAATTTTGTTTGATAGAAATATTCAGCCTAATGGAAACACTCATTAATTAAGGGCGCAGTTAGTTCGAAAACCGGTGTAATTTTAACACTCTTCGAGTGTCGATGCTGTTTCAGTGGTGCTTCAGTGGTGATCAACTATTAAAATTGGGGGGGAGGGGAGCTAGGGCTCACATATATTATCACATATATTAATAATATTATCACATATATTATCACATATATTATCACATATATTATCACATATATATATGCTAACGAAATACAGACTTTCTTTAATTCTGCATGTATTTCGTGAGCATGAATATAATATATGATAATATATTTGAGCCCTAGCTCCCTTCCCCTGAATTTTTGATTTGATCACCACTTTGACCGACACTCGAAGAGTATTAAAATTACACCGGTTTTCGAACTAACAGCGCCCTTAGAAAGTTCATAACAAACGCTAAAAGATTCCTTGCATTTTAAAACAGCGATTGCATTTTTGAATGAAGATTTGTACAGGTAATTAGCTTTGTAATCGGGCAGGTCTCATAAGAACAAATTAGTTTCTACCATGGCAACACAGTCATAACGACTTTCAAAGAGCAGATGCTTCATATTGTATTCTGGTAGGAAACTCATAAGACTGCGTTAGGTTTATCGAACAACGTGAAAAGGAAGATTGATAATGGCGTTTGCAACATCTGTGGTTTTTATAACACTGAAGACTCGCGCCAGTATTTTAACTGCTCAATAGATATTATTGAGTGTAGACGGAGCTTTGCCTTTGTTACTGATGATTCCGGCAATTTCGCTTCGTTAATTGGGAAGGTAGATATAGTTACACTATAAATATTGCATAAAATATAGCTATACTAATGAAAATTTAGCAGGAAAATACGTGCATGATCAGTTAATGTATACGATATATTTCTATATCCTGAAAGTCTTTTGAATCATGAGATTTTAGAGAGGGTCAGACACGTTTTAATCATAATACAGCGCTATAGAGCCGGCAGGTTCTCCTCCCAAGATCTTCAGCTAATCTGAGAAGTAAAATATTAATAGGACGAGCATGAAAAATTTCAACGCTAAAAGTTGATTACAAATTATCAGTTGGTCGACTCATTGCAACGCATAACGTTTTTAAGCGAGAAACTTGCAAAGATAAATCTAAACAAATACTGAATGATATCCTCAGCTTATCCTCCAATAACGAAAAACATTTTCTCGGGTCTGCATGCATGCGGCCTTTGACCCAAGGTACTTTCGCACAGGTAAGGAATTTAAGGTTACAAATTTCTAAAATATACAAAAGAGTAAAATCGCTTAGCAAAAATATTGCGATATAGAGTTGACTCTCGAGACTCTTTAAATGGCGAGTTTGTAGTTTGCACCTGGCTTGATCTCTATGGCTTGACCACATACACTGGTGGTCAAGAATCGATAAATTGTTTTTGAAGTGGGCCAAAATTTCCAAAGGATCCCCAAATGAAATGTTGATCGGAACGGGCCCGTGTTTACTACCAACAGTATTACACTAGACATAATTGATTTCAAATGTAGGACATGTGCTGACTGAACAGAATGTCTGCGTCAGACCTAAGTAATAGCCTGAGCGATGACGAAGGAAATCATGACGTCAATACAGTGGAAGTCGAGCAGGAGAGTGAGTACGAGACTGATATAGAAATTGAAGATGAATGTAAAGAGGGGTTTGATCCAACTGGAAGGACACGATATTTACGGAAATGTGATGAATTAGGTAAGTATTTGAACATTTTCATTTTTACCTATTTTATTGGTCGGTTTATATATGACGTTTTAAAATATTTTACAGGAGTTGTTCCGGTATCGAATTTTCTGGCAAATCTCAAAAATGCGTCGTGCGACTTAAAACACAACAGACTTGGACCAAAAGGAATGCAAGCAGTAGCTAGAGCACTCATTCAAAACAATTATATCACGGAGTTAATTCTCGGCGATAATGCCATACAATCAGAAGGAAGTGTTTACTTGGCAAAATTATTACGAGAGAACCTAAATATCACAAAACTAGACATCAGCGAAAACGAGATTGGCAGCGCTGGGGCAAATAGTGTCGCTCGGGTATTTCAAGAGAATAATAGCTTGCTTAGTATCAACTTAGCAGAAAACCTCTTTAAGGATACCGACGCCAGCGTTTTAGCACAAGCATTAAAGCGTAACGGTGGATTACGTCATCTTAATTTGAGTCGTAACAAGTTCTCTAAAGAAGCCGGGATATCTTTAGGTAAGCTATATCAGTTTATTTTTTCTCCACACCCCTGGTTGTATGAATATCTCATTTGCCAATATTCCAGGGTCATTTCTCTGCATGGGAACGACGTTGCTTAGCTAGTACTTGTTTAGTAGGCGACACCGCGCGAGCGTTGCTAGAACCCTATACGTACTACGCGTTAAAAACAGCCTGGTTATAGCAGTTTTTAAGTTGAACAATAACGTCTACACTCCATACTGCATTGTATCAGAATGGTGTGATTGATATCAGTCACCGGCTTGCAAAGTGAAGTTAGTCTTCTATTATATATGCATTCATTTATAACAGGAAATGTTATTGATGTCAATACTAGTCTAAAAACACTGGATCTTAGTTGGAATCATCTTAGAGGCTCTGGTGCAATTGCCATAGCGAAGGGTCTGGAGAATAACTGCAGCTTACATTCGCTTTTGCTGGCTTGGAATGGATTTGGTGATGACGGCGCATGTGCGGTAGCAAAGGCGCTAATGGAAAACAACACACTTCAAGAACTTGATCTTTCAAACAATAGAATCACCCGACAAGGTTGTTTTGCTTTGGCAGACGCTTTGAAAGTCAATTCATCTTTGAAGATCTTGAAAATTGGCAGAAATCAAATAGGCGGCGATGGAGCTCATGCACTCCTTTCTGCAATACAAGGCAATGCAGAGACAAGTATTGAGCTGGTTGATATGGATGGTGTGGTGATAGAGCAGCAAACACAGTCAGTGCTGAGTAAACTCCTGAAATGCAAACCACATTTTGATATCTCTTGCGGCTTCAGTAAATCAGGTATGATTATAAAGTGGTTTCTATTGATGATTATGATAGCGAGAACAATAGCGATGTCAAATCAGTGAGTGTCAAATCATGATGAAAAGTCCTTACGTAAACAATGGAGATGACTTTCTGTCTGGTATCCTGTGATAAGGTGGTATCTGTAATAAGTGTACCACATGCACTTCTTAAAACCACTAAACCACTATTAGAATGTTTAAATATGTATTTGTTTTTTACTGCTAAATATAATACTATTCATATATAATACTATTCATCGATTTGACATCGCTGTTGTTCTCGCTATCATAATCATGAAATTGATCTGAAATGCCTGTTTGGGAGATCTATTAAATTAATAATAATGCTACAGAAGAATATCCTAAGACTGGTGTATTGTCAGCCAAATCTGCATGTTACTACACTGACACTCATGCAGTTGTAGGGAGAAATCTTTTCTGTTCAATGCTGCTCCTACCATTCATTTGGCCTCAGTTCTATAGTGTGTCAATTTCACACCCTTTGAATGACTATAAAAAGTCAACGCATTTTACTTTGTCATTTACTTTATATTAAGGCGGCCAACTTGGGCAGGATTTGCAAGACGTGTACAATAGACGACATCGGCCAAAAAAATACAGCGCTGAATACACCATACAGGTACTGAAAGCATATGTCAAGTCGAAAAATCTTCGTTTACTTGACCTATTTAATCAGTTTGACAAAGACAAAAGTCAATCAGTATCTCGAGAGGAACTTAAACGTGGATTCAAGTCTATTGATGTCCCTCTGTCAGATAAACAACTCGATAACTTTCTACGTGAAATGGATATTGATGGAGATGGAGAAATCGATTACAGCGAGTTTACATGGATCAACGACGCCAGTTAAATATTTGTCAGACACGAGTTTTCATGTTTCACCTTGTTCATATAAAGAAAGAACGGCTTTCGCTGTTCGTATAAAGAACATACACATTAGATATTTCGAAAAGTTTCTTTTTTCTCTTAAAACCGAGTGTGTAAGAAGATTTAGTACGACTATTGCATTATTTTAGTAATCAAAATAATTGTTTCCACTATATGCATTTTGTAACGCGACTGCTGCTGACTGTAATGGGCAAATAGAATAAGCAAATAATATTGCGAGAAATACTTTCAGTACACTACGTACCAAATACATTGAAAATATTTGGAAGAATTTTCCAAATACAGTCCAAGAAGAGTCGCAAATACAGTCGCAAATACAGTCGCAAATACAGTCGCAAAGGGACTGGTGCGAAGCAAGATGGACGTCGTAACTGAAAAATTCTTCCAAATTGCGAGCCTGCATGATACTTACTCATTTCAGGTAAGGTCAAAGTGCATTCTGGGATCGTTTTGGGGAGGAAAGTACGATACGAAGTTTCAACTATCATGTGCGATCAAAAAAGGCTGATCTGTCGATTGGTGTGTCATATGCTTTTGTCCGGCCGTTCAACGCATTTATCGTGGCAATACTCAGATCGACTTAATTTGCCTTTGGGAAGCTGCCACTGATATGCATATGCTAAAGTGACGGAGGGATCTGTGTTGATAGGATTAGGATATATATGACTGTGTTGATAGGATATTATAGGATATAGATTTTTGTCACTGCTGTTCCTCTATGAGGAGATGGTCATATGCAAAAAGGCGGGGGATCCTAGCTAAAGTAAACGTATACTTCACTATATATATATAGGTCAGCGAAAATGGCTAATTCGCAAAATTGGCAAATTACCAAAAGGACGTGAATAACAAGCGGTAACCTCGTTAACACATTTTAGTAAGGGGGGTGAAAGACGTCTCGGCATCTGGCATTAATCAATTCATGCTTTTTAATGCATAGGGTTGCACGCTGTAAAAACAGTACCAATTTAAAATTGGTTATTGGTTATCCACATTCATTTATAGGACCAAATATTTATTGGCATCAAATGTGGCATAACAACTGCCTGAAATAGACAAAACACTTCTCGACGTTTCGACCTGAGGGCCTTCGTCAGGTGAGTTAGTATGATACTATAACTCTCCTGACGAAGGCCCTCAGGTCGAAACGTGGAGAAGTTTTTTGTCTATTTTAGGCAGTTGTTATACTACATTTGATACTAAGTTGTTTGAAGACGCTGCCACGCTGCTCCCTGGTTATATTGCAAATATTTATTGGTTAAACTAAAAATATAATTAATTAAAACAAAACCAATTTTTTTGTTTTTCAGTAGAGACATTGCATCGTCTGGTGTTCCCAATTTAGCGTAGTTGCAAGTCAAGGATAATGAATTAATGAGTGCTGCATGCTGGAATAATTCTTTTAAACGCAAGAGCATCTGTTCTAAAAATTCATTATAAATGTTTTAACGGTCTGTCAACAGTGTCTATACAGACGTCGCAGATCAGCTTTAAAAAAACACGCAAAGAAGCACTAGAAGAATATGATGTTTTCCTCATATATATGGATTACAAGAATATGGTGTTTTTTCAGGTGTAGCTATAGAAAGTGTAGAGCTTCAAATCGCATACATATGTAATTGTCGTCACGCAATTTATTCGCTAAACTGAAATGAAAACCTTATCGAAAACGTCATCACGCTCACGAGCACTTTTCATATTTCATTTAGCACGAGATATTAGTGTGTTTTGTGGTGTATAATTAAGCATGGTTGTTGTCGAAGTTGGTCTTGTATCAGTCCATATCTTGAGTTTCCAAGACATGACTTATTTCGCAATCTCTGCATGCATGCTGATGCAACATGAGGAAAGTGTTCTATGTGCATGATGTATCATGTTGATGTGTCCCACGCTGTACGCCTATACAAAGCTAAGTATTTACTGTTTAGAAAATTTAGTGTATCATTGCACCTTGTTGTTTATTGGCGAGTTTATTCCATACGGAGGAAAGGAAGTTGAGATTATCTGATTGTTATCATTTTCTAGTTTTACAATCAGCGGCATGCATATTCAACTAAGAGTGTAACTATGCTTTAATGATGTCCTAAGGTGTATGCATGATCTCGGAGGGCTGGAATGCTATTCCACGCAGCTAGAAAATACCCAAACTTTAGAACATCGTCAGTATAATACAATAGTAATATCAGTATAGTAAGTATCTTCGGTTGAAAATCTGCGCAAGTGGAAGTTCTCTCAACTGAAAATATAGAAGCGACTGGAACGAGAAATATAAACAATGGACTACGTTGGTTTAATCATTGGTTTCATATTACTCTCGCTTTCAGGAAGGTCTCGTGTGATATAAATGTTCAAGGAAATAAGCAATATCGCTTTTGACTCGTTGTTGTGGTCCTGTTCATCTCGTTTGATTAAATCTCAGAAAGGTCAAGAAATATAGTTTTACCTCAGAACAAATTCAGGTAATCTATTTTCATATTTTTGTGATTTTATATCTCAATTTTAGCATATATATTAAAAATGCATGTTATTCACAAATTGCATGTCGTATTATAAGGGTGAATTATAGTCGTATTATAAAGAGTAAACCCGAAATCAGCGGTCAATATTTGTCACAATAAATAAAAGTGAGCGTCGAATGAAATAGTAGTACCTAAAGAAACTCATAAAGACGAGACAGTCGTGACTTGAACCTGTCGAGCAAGGATTGTCAGTGTACAGACCAACGCCTGTGTTCTAAAAATTCACACACACACACACATTTAAGTAAACTCAACTAATATAAGAAAGAATGCATGTATATATATATTTATATATTTGTAAAGCAGAGAGTGTGAGTAATACTAAAGGAATACAATATGATGACGACATAAATCAGTTGAACTCTTAATAATTCTCAAATTGTGTGTTTCAAAAATGTTTTTATAAAGTTACGAAAACGTATTATAAGTGCTTTGCTGCATGCATGCATATATACTGCATCTTAATTTGAAGTACTAGTAAAATTCAACGTTTACAAAAGGAATTGGGCTGAAACAGAAATGTCCTAAGAAATTTCTGTGTTAATTCCGTGAATTTGTTGTTTTTTGAGCATTGGTTTGGCTACATTCGTAATTCTTCGTTTCGTCTGAATTACTTGAAATGGTTCGTTGCATGAGAGAAAAGGATATTACAAAGTTGAAGACCTAACCGTTGCGAACACATGCATGCAGATTCTGTGTCAGACATTAGTGATTACACATGCATGCATATATATTGCTGAATAGTATGCCGTGGGTATATTGGTTATACTATATATCAGCTGATTTTTGCCCTATATATTCCTGAAAACAATCAACGGATTTGAAACGAATACTTTTCTTTTATTTCATTATTATTTAAGAAAGAATCTAGCATAATCAAATATTTACATGGGATTTACTTTAATCAGACTTTTGTCACCTAACATTAATCTTTTCAGTAATGGTAACTTTAATGAATACCATCTGTGACAGCAGCGTTCAGAAGAAATTTGATATACATATCTACCCCACGCAAGAGAGAATTGATGAGTCATGAGTACATGAACAGTACTTCCATACGCATGCCAAGATCTGTAGATTACTGCATTAACTACTATTCACATTCTATTAGTTTCAATAGAACTACTTATTCACGGATTAATAGTCGTCCGTTTAAGGTCGTCCGTTTCATTGAAAACTTTCGCTCGGATTATGAAGATTTACATGCATTAAAAAGTTCATTCTTGTGCCTCTGCATAAAAACTAGAATAGAAACGTTTTAACGCGTAAGGGATGTTCTGCCAGGGGGGCGTATAACGCGTTGCACGGAAGAGGGGTGATATACCACTATTTTTCTATAATCGTTGGTAAATTGATACAATTTTACTTCACGTGATGGTATACGCGACAAAAGGAAATCTATATGAAGGAGGCGAAAACGCCGACGGTTATTTGTTTGACGCTTCTTAGGTTTTAGAATAAATGGTCCCTCTATTTCCGACAAAACGAACTGCACAATTGTAATAGTGAAACTTAAATGTTTGTGGTTAAAGTAACAAGGAGGAATTTCGCTTTAGACCAATCAGAAAATTTGTTTATATGTTCAGTAGAATGTAATCATGCAGAATGCAAAAATATTGTCTGCAATATTGAATGCATAAATATTTCGGTAAAAAGGGACATAATTATCGTATTACATATATGAAGTATTTAAAATTTAGGCATTCTGATTGGCTTAGCCTATAAAATGTAAAAAAAGGGGCCAATTAGTTATGTGCATAGATGATTATATTTCTATTCCGTGGACGCAGTTACTATAAAAGTATAATTGGCTATTAAGCATGTAATATTTTCCTTTTCATTTGTATGTTTTCAGCTGGAAAAAAATTTTTTTTACAGACATCAAGATTCAAGTAGCGTTGCCAGCCAGCCAGACCATTGACTGTGATATGCAATCAATCAACTATATATATAATAGTTATAAACTTAAAATTTGCATAGCTGGACTAAATATCGTCAGGCTGGCTACGCGCCACTGTCTGTTTACAATAACAGTTTGGTTCCCATGGCATATAGCAATTATAGAAACAATTATATAAATATATCTGTTGTTACCGCTCATCATCGGAACAAAATAAGAGCACATTAAAATTTCTTGATCGCAACTTGCATGATCTGTGCATATAGCTGGATTATTAATACAGCAGAGAGGTATCCAACAATTTGTTCGGATATGAACGCGGGTTGACTCTATTTGACGTGGAAATGAGGTCTGCGTTGGCCTACTTAAGTGTAATTAATTTTGAACTATGCACATTGACAAGTATCGTAATTAAAGAGTTAGCCGTGTTATTTTTATCCCTGCATGCATGCATGGCAACGTCCTAGAATCCTACAACTATTTATGCTAATATACTTCGCCGTCTACGAGTAGCATCTCTTGTACATGCAGTTATTAAGAATATAGAAGAGAGAAGAATATTTAAAATATAACATTTATGATATGCATTAGTGCCATACACAATATTTGGTATAATAAGGCAATAACTATATCACTTGGATTTAAGTGTGAAATTTCTTACACACTTATTTTCTTGTACATCCATCCAGTATATATGGCAGTAATTTAAATGTTACGCGGTATAAATGTCTGACGAAAGTGACATGTTGATACAAGTACATCGACTGAGTAAACATTTCAAAGAAAACTCGTTTATTGTCTCGTTAAAATATGATTGGAGCAATATATCACTTCCAAGAATATTAAAAGGCTAGAGTTCTTTACTGCAAAGGCGTACAGTTATATAAATTGGGAGGCTCCAGTTATTTGGATCGCCACAGATGATACAATTAGGCCAGGTATATATATCTATGCTATGATGCATTTATGGGAATTCTCGCTCGCATGGTGATATGTTGAGAATAACTTTAAGACTAAAAGAACAATATTACACTGAAATTTTTATATTAACGTGCAGTAATCACAGTTATATGCCAATCGTGGGTTTCAAATTGTATACTATACTTTTAACTGAATAACTGCGTATAAAATAAAATTAGTTATAATAGAATCATAACTGTGTCTGTGTGTTGGCAAATTCTTGTATTTCATGCATGCCAGTTCAAACGTATTAATTTGCTTCAATAAGGTTTTAGGTCGAACATCTGACAGATCACAGATGGATATAAGTCTCAGTTTTACTTTCTGTTTTATGCGAACATGTTGGAAAACACTAAAACATTGGAAAGTTTTTGGTTATAGACTTTGTTCGAACTTTTGTATTTTATACATACGAATTCATGTGACTAATATTTATTACGCATGGCATCTTATCATCATTAATTTGAAAACTATACAGAATTATATAGAGCCGGAACAAACGATAAAAATATTCTTATGCAAACGATCAATCTATTGATTGGCAATATCGAGAAACTATTTAACGAATTTCATACACTTTACGATCCATTTCATTTAAAGATGACTTTCTGCAGATATCACCTGTCTTTGAATAGTTTTTATTTTTTAAGTTAACATCATGTCATATTAGGCTATTTATACGAGGCAAAATAAGTCGCGCCTTTTTTTCCTCGTATAAATGGCCCTATTGTCTTCACTTAAGTTTATAAAAACCATGCACACCCAACTGCTTGTCATTTGTAGTTTCTGAAATCGAATATAAACCGGCTCCTTTTTTCCGGTTAACATTTTCTCATCTATTTAACAGGAATACTGTCATTGATGCAAAGATGACGAATGATCCGTGTGACTTTGCTAATACCAAGTTTAATTTTACACCTACGTTCGACTTCTCGATATTTGAAAACTGCACATTCGACAACATCTCAGCCTCAGGTGATCCGAACGTTTCCGGGAACAAGACAGTGAAAACAGTATTTTTGTTCTTGTTTTATTGCACAGCTAGCATTGGTAATTTTCTACTTCTTGCTGTCATGTTTAAAGATCCGTTAAAACGTTTTCGTAATGCGACTTCATATTTCATTATCAATCTTTGTCTGGCCGACATGTTGTCTGCAGCAGGTGGAATTACTGACGAAGTCTTCAAGTTGCATCCACAGAACACGACTGTTCAAAACATCCCATTATGTATAAATGCTATTGGTATACAATGTTCCCTACTAGTGATCATGCTATTTTCATTAGATCGCTATATGGCTATTGCACGCGCTTATACCTACAAAAATATAACGGAAAAGAAGCAAGTTATAGTCACGATACTAATTCTGCCATGGTGCTTTTCAGTCATCGCCCTACCAGTTATGTATTTCACATCAGTTACCAAAGATGTACATTGGTTATTTACGTTAATTCTTGCTGTTGATTTTATTGCGCTGTCATTGGCCACCGTAACTTTACACCCGTATACATATTGGGTGTTCCTTCGGAGAATAAAAGATTTGCGAAAATCAAGCGCGAATCATAGGCAACTGTTGGAAGAAAATCTAAAGGTGGCCAGAGTTTTGGCAACAACTGTTTTAGTGGTGTCGATTTGTTGGATTACTTTCACGATTCCATATTTCGTGGCATTTTGTTTTCATGTTTCCAATTGTGATAGATGTTTTTTAAATGACACCTTTCAATCATTTTGGAAATATTATCCATTAATATCAAGCATTCGAGTAACGTTCAATAGCGTCGTTTATGCCTGGCGATTACCGTTATATAGAAAATCATTGAAGGTTATTTTGTCAACGTGTGGGAACCGCATACCTTGTCAGCATATAAATATAATAAGCTGCAGCAAAGGAAGCTTCGACATGGACAAGGCGTCCAAAAAAACTAAATCAACTTCGTATGAAGACAATTATATTGTTGAAAACCAGCAAGCAAATGAATGCGTTTAATAACAATTATAAGTTATAAATACTATAATATCTCGATAATATTCGATTAATAATATATTGAACAGTGAATATTATAATTATAGTGAATATTTCAAACGGTTATTTATTATATTATCGTTAATATTATGATTTAGTGAATATTTTATCTTGTAGTGAAATTTGCTTTAAGTTTATTCGATTTCCCGCGTCAAATTTTCTGTGTATTGTCCGAATAGTGGGAGATAAAAAATGAAAAGATATCATTCAAACAGTTTTTAAAGGCAGTAATTCCAGCCTGCAAGCAGCCTAGTTCAATGAGGAAAGTTCTTCTTAATAATCATGCTGATGCATGACTACACCAGTTTTAGTGCTTTAAATTTTAAAACAATGGGTGTTAATGCTAACAAAATAAAATCAATATATACAAAAGTAGTATGCTTCCCTTCAATGTAACAAATTTACAATCGCACTCCAGACATTTTCCTCTAACATTTGCGTTCAGTTTTTGAAAACCTCGTCTCAGATTCCTTCACGCATCACGCGGTCAAAACGATGACATGTCAACAAAATGGCTATTCTTTACGAAGACATATTTTCTGGAAGAAGTAATTGAGAAGTTGTACCTTTGCTATTATATAACCATGAAAGTGACGATTTCATCGGATTCAGATCAAGCTGTATCAAAACTGTGTCCAAACTTATCCGTCAGCAAACGATGGAAGTACTTCAGAAGAATATTGAAATATCGTCAAATGGATTTTGAATTCGCTTTATGGCAAATGTTATACCTTTTTATATCCCCTAGTAAAGTGTAAGCGAATCATTGTCTTTCTACTCACAGTAGTAATCATTTTGATACATGAGCCATTGCAAAATAATTCAGCATGAAATCATCAAATACGGCTGCTCTCAGACTGCACAGTGTGCAACAGTGCAAGTCTTGCGCCTAATTTAACCTTTTATGAAAGCTGCTTTAAATGTGCTCCCATATATATTTTGACTTGAAGATGTTTCTATATACTGTTAGCACCTGTGTGACTATACAATCTTTATCATAAATCGTTAAAATGCAGCTTCAAGATATTCTTACAGTGCTATCTTATATCTATAGCTACTGCCTACTGTAGTAATTAGTGTGTATCTAACTTTGTCATGTTACTTTATTGTAACAATATAAATTGTATCAATATAAACCTAAAGTTGTAAGCCTTCCCTACCACTAGTGAAATATTGCAAATATTGCAAAGATGGGAAAAAATGCAAAGCTTGACTGCTGGTAACAAACTTAGGATTTCTTCCTTGTTGAAACCGTACACATTACTGTACTATGAAGTGTCTCATATGTTGTTCATATTTAGTATGTTGTAATTTACAGGTACAGAAATTTTGAATATCATAAACGTAAGTGTATATATATAGAAGTATTAAGCAATCTACCTTATTCAATACCAGTTTCTCAGTTACTCGCTAAAGATAGAAAATCCTAATAGTGGTTTTCAATGTCCATTATCCAGATACAAAACATCAATGGGCAAGGGATGATCCTGCATTTCTTGTTCTTTTGAGCATTTGGCTCTCAGGTATTTACTACAGGCAACAGTGTTCAAACTATGTACTTATACACATGAAGTTTTATACTGTTTGCCAAATCAGTATTCATTTTCTTTTGCTGTATATTTACTGTACTGGATTCAAATTTAGCATCAGATAACCGTAACTGATGTATTGCTTGTTGTCAATGTTTAATGATTGCATAACATTGTTTTATTTTCACCAGTTTCCTGCATTGGCTTTTCACTTGTTCTTCATCTAAGCTTTTTCGCATTCATCCGTTTCACTTTATGGGTTGTGTTAATGGAGTTTGTTGGAGTTGGTTTACTCATTGCCACTTTGTTATGGTAAATGTACCACTATATTAGCTTGCATACAAAGATTTGAATAAATGTTAATTATAGAATTATCAGAGATGAAATATTAGTCTTACATCACTCTGTCTTACTTCAGGTTCATTTCAAACAAGTATTTACGAACACGTAATGCAGAGGGAACAAAACAACTTGTTGAGTGGGGATATGCATTTGATGTGCACCTGAATGCTTTCTTCCCACTTTTGGTAATCCTTCATGTTATTCAGCTCTTTTTTGTCAAGTGTAAGTGGAATAACATTTTATGTTTGTATTATTATTTATGTCATAATTATTGTTTATGTCTTCTTATACCCTAATCGATAAATAAAGCTTCCATGAATCCCCAATTAGCCATGTGGCCCATACCACCTTTATATATTAAATAACTTGAGCTTCTTTTTCCTTTACAGTTCTGGATCATCACCATGGGTTCACAATACTTCTGTGCAACACATTATGGTTGATTGCTTTTATTTACTATGGCTATATAACATTTTTAGGATACAGTGGTAAGAATATAGCCACATTGTTAGAATTATGTGAAACCATATTTATACGTACATGTGGTGTTGAAAAAGATACTATCATATTTAGAATGTTTTGGGACAATAATATGGAAAAATATTATTATTAGTTATGATAAAAAGTTCCCCCTACATCCCCCATACAGTATGTTTATCAGGCTTATATACAAATGTTGACATTAATTTCTTTCCATAGCTTTGCCATTCCTCCGCAGGACAGTTGTAATGCTATACCCAGTGCCCTTGTTGCTGATTCTATATATTTTGGCATTTGTGTACTCATGTAACATTGGTCACGAAGTACTAGACTTTTACAAAAATGTGATACGGTAGTAATTCATATATGTTGCATGTTGAAGAGCAACTGAACGCTGTTAGCGGTATGTTGGTGTATAAAGATTCAAGTTAACCATACAAATATATGGTCTGACTAACCAAGAACTTCACAGTGAAACTGAGAAACCACAAACACTCAAGGTGATCTGATAGAAATGGTTTCTTCAGTTTTTCAAAGAAAACAATAATTTATAACTACCATGCCCATGCATGAGAGAAAATTAAATACTGTAATTAGAATCATCGTTTTAAAACTGAATAAGATAACAGACTTGCTGAATCATGTTGGTTTCCAACTTAATCCTTATGAAACTTGTTTTATACCCACAAGTCCTTATTTGTTTGAGCAAGTGATGGCCGAAATTCGGCGATGCAATATTGGTTGAGAAAAATCGAAGCTAAAAGCATTTCTGGCCAATGGCATTGCCAGATTTCCTAGATTTCTTATGTTGGTGCAAAAACAAAAAGTCCACTTTGAACGATAAAATATCGCTATGGCATGTGAAGTATAACCATGCATTCGATGTTTACTACAGGTCGGATTGACGATACATTTAAAAAAAGTTTTTTATATGTATAAAGTTTTTTATATGTATACCATAATGGTACCTCGCAAAACATGCCCCTTGTTCAATGTTTATCAACTTTCTATACCGAAACCATTTAGATAACAGAATGTTACCAGAGCATAACTATTCGAATTTGTCTGGCTATAATAAAAAAGTTGGTCCCGTACCAATGAAAAGTGGGTATTTCATTATAAAAGTTGGTCAAAATCACATGACGCCCCCAATCCGGACTTGTTCACCATGCCCCTGCTCGATCTTCCCAGACGTTTCTTAGAAACAACAAGTTTGAGAAACGTGGGCACATGCATTTAATTGTAAGTCCTAACTTTTACATAGTATTTTAGTATTGTCCATATATCATATAAAGCAGAGATTATAGCGTCAAGGCTAGATTTGAATTTGAGATATTTGGCGAATCAATGTATGCACGCATAGTCCGTACGCACCCACTTTATCATATACTTTTCTATTATTTAAAGTACAAGTAAATATTTTTTACTTGTACTTAGTAATTTTAAGAGGTCGAACAGATTCATCATTTTCCGCCAGTCTTTTACTTGGACATTTTGACAAAGGGGCATTTCTTTCATTGTTTGTTCTGTCGACTAAAGGTATTTCTCTTAATGTCGACCAACTACTGCAACCAGGATCTTTCATCTCTGATTTAAACTGATCCTTTAATAAAATAGGGAACGCCATATTTTGAAGCTATTAATATATCTCAGCAGATATGATGAAGTCGAAGAGTAACGATCAATATAAATTCTACCACATTTGACGAATAGTTATAAGACGTTGCAACGCTGCTCCTTAGTTATTTCCTAGTTTGAGCCTAGCACTACCTCCAGAAATTTTAATATAGCTCAGTGGGCTTGCGAGCGTGCGTCACTGACCGCAATATGAAACAGGACACATATACGTCTGGGGTACTGGGGGAAAGCTGGTCAACTTGGCCTGAGTTGACTGTAAACCTTACTGGGGCTACTACGGTTAATAAGAAGTAAACGTATTTACCTGACATTCAGTTGTTGGTTTTGCAACATTTGAGATGGCGTGCTTTTTTGTCCATTGCTCAGCCGTTTTATTAAATTCATGTCTCTGATATTTGTATTGTTCAGACTACAAAGTTATTTTATAAAACTTAGGATACACTAGCAATAGATAGAAATGCAATGCTCTACTGTATGTATGCTTACAAAGTGGAATTTCTTTGAAGTAACCTTCATTCAAGAAATCATCTTTTGAAGAGCAGAGAATTTAGAAGGGCAGAGAGTTTAGAAGTCTAAGGAAATCTTCAGGGTGCATAGCTATAACATGCAGGATCAGATGCTAAGACCCAGCAGTAACACAATGATCAAGAAGCATGAATGGGCAATGATCTAATTCAACTAAATTAAAAATTAATAAAAAACCTCTTCTAACCGGTAATAGTAATTCATACAAAAACTGCTAACTTTTTGCAGAGCTATATTTTTTAACATTTCTCAACATTTAGCTACCAAATTTTTCAATCTTACTAATTTTAGGATGCTCATTGCAGCTGTACATCCATGCTTAACAAGGGGAATGGTCTATTTGTGAACAAAATTGTGACAAGTAATTTAAGTTAATACTGCAAAGCTTTTGGTCTGTTTTACGTGGTGTACCTACAAGCTAAATTACTTATAGACTGTCACCATGCAAACATACAAGAATATTATTGAAGTTGTGATACTCGCACTCCAAAACCGGGATAATTGTTAAACATTCATGTGTACTTACTATTTCCGCCATTAATGGATCTTCTGGATTTGGTTCTGCCATAAGAGATTGGATTGATTTCAACACTGTTGATACATTCCATGAGGGTTTCCATCCACCCTAAGAAATTACATTAATTACATGAATATTTTTACAGTGATTTAGAGCAGAACGGCATTTAGATACACAATATTAATGCAACATACCTTTGGTGGCATCTTTAATATGTCAAGGCAAATACGCCCAGCATTATCAATATTTGGATGGTAAATTGGTGTAAGGAATTGTACTTTTGGTGGCTGAAAAGGATATCTGTGAAAAAATATTTAAGAGGCATTTTTAGATAGTACTTAAGATTTTTCAGGTGTACATATAGGTTCACCATTGATCAATTTGTTTTGTGTATTTTCCTTTGGTATTGCATACCTTTCTGGAATATTCAAGTCCAGTTTAAAAATCCCATCACAGTAAGGTGTGTCTTCACTTCCAATTATGTCTACAATGAATAATAGGGCTGTGAAACAATACGTCTTTTGTCAAAGCACTGCCATTTCTAAGAGCAATTTTTATATACTTGTGGGTTTTCATGCTCAAATTACTAGAATGCTTAATTATTAAAGTATGATACCCCTTTCGCCTAAAATATGCAACCATTTTTTTGATGAAAGAACGTGACTCAGACATAAATTAGATATCTATTAAATAACAAATGCACTTCTCACTTCTGCATGGGCCCTGGTGCCTCTGACTATCAACACCACTAATTTCTATTAAGATAATACTCACTCCCATGTAAATGATCAATGCGATCATCCACCATCCAACAAGATATTCCTGGAGGAGGATCACTCCCCAGTATTTTTAACTCCTTCTTTATTCTTGTTTCACGCTGCATAGTTTTCTATTTCTACGTCCTTTTATTGCTCAAAATATCACACAAATAAATATCAACTCACGAGGTTCAAATATTTCCCGGGCCAAGGCGCCAATACGAGAAATTACGAATCCACGGTAAGGTATGTACGAAGTCGTCCAAACGTCATATAAGGATTTTCAATAATAATAATTGGCTCTGATAACCCGACGTCCCCAATGTGGACTGTGGAGGCAAAATGACCAGGTTACGAGGTTTTCTCATAACCATAACTTGGGGGGTGGCGTGCGCGCTTCTTAAGCTTAGCCAGCCACTGCAACCGGCCATAGGTTGAGGTAGAACGGTACAAGCAAAATATGTAAGGGATCATAAGAATAAATTTTGGTTAAAAACCCTCTATACGGACACTGCTTTTTCGATTGTGAGAGGCTCATATAAACCAAAACATTTTGGTACCAATTTCTTTATATAATTTGAATTGATATTCAAATTTGCACCCCCTAGTAAATCTATCCCTGATTACAAATATAACAATTAGATCTCACACCTTTTTTATGGTTTGGGTTGTAAATACTGAATATATTAGCATGAAACCTGAATCAGTGTTAACATTATTAATGTGTTCACTATATTACAAATTCTTTCGTAATTATTGGATAAAATTTGGCGAAATTACCTGTCCGAGAATCATCGCCCCCGAAACAGGCTGCAAAGAAGATTCGATGTTATGACTGTATGTATAATGCAATGTCAATAGTTAACTAATTAGTACGTACTTTGTTGTATCATTGTATTTAATTATTAATTAAGTCCTCGTCATTTGAAATTGATTATCGTCGATTAAGTCTGTGATTTCCGTAGATGACGGGGCAAGGTTTTCTAAACGTTGTAAAATTCCTCGCACTGTTGGTCTCTCCTTCGGTTCAACTTTTATCATGCTTACAATCAAATTATTTAAATCCATTGAGTAGTAACTAAAATAAAAAGCTGGCACGGTTAGCTGTTGCTGGGTTTTTTAGTTGAGTATACTATGTGTTTGTCAGGAAGTCATACACAAGCAAAACTTGTCGTGATTACTAATAATTAGTGTCTTTAGTTTTACTAATTTCTACCAGTTACAATATTATAATAATGGTTAGATACACAGTTAATGGGCTAAATAATAGACCTAATTATCATCCAATTTCCTTGTGCCTTCCAAACAAATAAGTGTTCTTATTCCAACGTACTTGATAACGCATTTGATCATAACGATCTCGGTAACGTATTTTCCCAAGAAATGCAATAATTTAATCCTTACCTGTCTGAAGGAATTTTGATTTGTCCACTTAAAGCTGCCGTTGCTGTGCCGTTGAAAGGACTGCTTCCTGACATAACATTCAATAGTAAACATTTGCTTTGCGAGCTGTCTTCCCCCTTCTCAACCCCCCCCCCCCCCTCCTCGCCCATTAGTTTCGTCTAGTTGCCATAAACTGGTAACATCGGATGATAAAAAAACGATCATATCTATATCTGTAAGTTTGTAACGTACCATATGCCATCGCGTATAATGTACACCCAAGAGACCAAACATCTGTTTTTACATCAATCACACAGTCAGATTGCACGTCAAATAACTCTGGGGCCCTAAAAACAAAACAAAACACGTCTGTTGCAACATTTGAGACAACAACGACTTTCAGTATCGAAAAAGATACCAAAGTAAAATTTTTCCACAATACAGTCTCAGGAAACGCTAAAAAGAATTGAGCTCTTCGTGAAGAACGTGCAAACGTAAGGTCATTTTCTTATTTTGTAGAATTTCATGTCATCAGAGAAGCTGTTCGGCCATAGGCGTACGAGGCGGGGGGGCTGGGGGGCTGCAGCCCCCCCAGTTTAGTCAGAAATATTAATTAGTCGGGCAATTTGTATTTACGAGTCGGGCAATTTATACCTAAGGGCCTGTTTATATGATCCCGCCTAGCCGGGACGGGACAGTTTCCGAGATCCCGCTTGTAATACAAACACTAATTAGTGTTTATATGACCACTTTTCCATCCCGCCTAGGCGGGATCCCGGCACTTCTTGCCGGGATCCCGCTTAGACGGGACGAGAAATTGCCATATAAACACTCCATCCCGCTTGGCCGGGATGATTCGCGATTAACATACATTAGGAGCATGTGTATATATTGGCATATTCGTTTTCTACAATAAAACATGCCGTCGAAGGAACCTGCACTACAAAATGAACTCCATATAAACACGCCATCCCGCCTAGGCGAGTTTCCCGGCTAAGCGGGATGAAAACATCCCGTCCCGGCTAGACGGGATCATATAAACAGGCCCTAAGTGAATTTGGTCTCCACACTACATAAAAATTTTTAAGAATCCTCAAATATGGTAGAAAATGGTAGAATATATATGCTTGCAGCTTGCGTAAACCCGAATTAAAGGAAACGAAAATAATTGAAATAAACATGCTTTTCCGTTTGTGCCACTGGCTAACCTATGTGCCACAACTGATTGGCGCAGCAAAACTCACCATGTAGTTACGAAACAAATCTATCGTTCTGTAAGTTTGTAACTTTACTAACTTTTATAGCAACTGTGCAAAATTTAATCCGAGATTTAATCGAAGTTGATAGACCTCAGAATCCTGACTTTATTCTGCAAAATCTCACGCGGAAAATGCAGGAAATCACATTTGCAGGTCGCTAATTTTCAAAAATTTTCGGGGGGCATGCCCCGGACCCCCTAGTATGCCACACGCTTTCGGCTTTCGCATCTCGGCTCTCCAAAACACTGACTCTGGCTACGCCGCTGCCTAAACTCGGCAAAACGATTTCCCTTTCCGACTACGCGCTTCGCTATGAGTGGAAATCAACTTATCAAATTTCCTAAATAATGTGAAGGCTGTTAAAGTTTCGTCATAGTACCCAAGCAGAAAATTGTATTTCAGCGTTTATACGTTCCAAAATACCGGGGGAGCAGACCTCTGGACCATCCTTGTTTTTCTCGGTCTCGGCGCTCGTCGGGCAGAATATCCCCCGCCCCCCCAAAATTTCTAGGCCCGTACGCCTATGGCTGTTCCCTTCCTAAATCTTTCGTTATGGTCACCAACTTTTACTGGCATGAAAAAACATTTTACAGTCTTTGACGTTTTTGAGTACAATTTCAAGTACAATAAGTAACTGAAGTATGTTTTTAGTTTAGTAAACCTCACCTGTACGCAGCAGTGCATTCCTGTGCACATTTATCTTGAAGAGCGAGGGCTTCTTGCCTTGGAGATAATTTGTATAAGTTATCAAAATTCAAACACAAACATAGCTAATATCACTGAGCTACGTATATCATTGATCAGCATATTTCTCTAATTCCCTTTATTACAAAATGGTGTAGAATAAGACGGCAGCGACTCTGGTACCGCTACACACTGTATCTCTCGCTAATCTGTTGCTCTCGTGATTAGTTAATCTCTTTTGGATTGACTTATCGCATTTGATTGATCCACGTTTCTCCAATGATAACGGTAGTGGTACTGGAAGTCGAATCTAATTCTCGCTACCAGTGACGTAACTACCGAGTAAGGGTTCAGACCGGGCGAACCCAGGTCTTCCCTGACTTAAGGGCCCTGTAGTTTACAGGGGAAAGAATAGTGGACTTTCGCCAACAAAACCGTGTAATAATTTTAACTGTTGCTAGATTTAGATTGGTCCTTATCTATACTAACTTTAATCTCTAAGTTATTTTATAGGGTTTTTTGTGTTGTTCGAAAACTGTCTTTTCTCTACACCTAGCTATGCTGACCTGCGTATCATCATCAGGTATAAACATAATGAATGCCTTACAAACCTTGATGTGATGATATGTTTTGCTCTATCAACACTGCCAAGATCCATTAATATAACCGAAGTTTTTGACAATACCAGCAAGTTATGAGGCTAAAAATCCACATAGATTCAATATAATTATATAGAATGTCATGTTGAGAGATTACGTATGCTGTCATAATTATTTGAGAAAGCATTAATTAATTTTACCTTGATGTCTCTATGTGCTAAAGGTGGTTCACATTCATGAAATGCAAGAACGGCATCACATAATGATTTGAACAAATGTAAAATATCAAGTTCAGGAAGATAGTATCGTCCAAAAGCATTTTCGATCATATCTTGAACACTTCCCTCCTGGTGTTAAGAGAAAAATGGCTTTTTGGAAATATTTCCATGCAAAACATAAAACAATATATACACTATTAAATAAAGTATATACTTCAAAGGTTGGTTACATTAAAAAACATTCAACTACAGTTAATAGTCACAGACAACCCTAATTGAAATAGATGAGTATATAGCCAAATTCAAACTATAATAACTATGAAATAGACTCTATTCTTTAAAGAGAACATAAAGACTTATATGGTACTGTACCTTGTAATACGGAAAAAGCATTCTTCCTTCTTTCTCTCCTTTATGATGCAACACCTCTGACTCGATAAGTTGCAACACATTTGGATGACTGACTGAATTATGAGCATTAACTTCTCTTGTAAAAGCCTACCAGGATATAACAACCAGCACTGAATTACAACACATCATGAAACATACCTAACACTTTTAACTGAAGCCCTGACAGCTCATGCAGTTACAGAGAAAAAAATTCACTAAAAGCCAATATATAATTTAGCCAACTAAATATTCAATCTACATACAAACCTCTTCTTGTTCAGGAAGTTGAAGTCGAACTCTTTTCTGGACATAATCCAAATAAAATTAAAATTAAAATTTGATTTTTCACTTTACAAAATTAATAAATTAACCTAATGTTATCAATGCATGAGCACATTTAAAGTCTTTAATTGTTTAAGTTCATTTGTATTCAATTTGGTGCATGACAAGTTTGTAATACATTTATTAGATGAAGCTTACCAGAGCATACAGCTTTCTCCTGTTATCACGCAAACATTGCACATAGGAAAATGCTACAAATAAGAGTAATAGCAGCCTAAATAATAGCAGCATTCATGCTTTAATTTATGTATGCTATGAAAAGTGAGCAAAAATATTTGCAGTTCTGAGAATACTTTTAAAATTAATTCAAACACAACATAGGTGTCTAGAACGTACATTCCCAAGAGCTTCTGCTTTAGACCTGTCAGCTGCAGAAAGGTACAGCATAGCATAGAATAGATTATCAGAATGAAGTATACAAGGTTGACTTCATTTTTAGCAAATTATAACCAAAAATATAAGCGAATGGTAAGTATTGACTGTTGAAAAGTAAAAACTTGTTGTGCGCTAAATTAAATCATATGAACTTTATAAAGGTTGAGAAGATGAAACCCAATAAGTTACACTGTTGTGGCTTGTAAATTTTGCCCACAAATACTGGCAAGAAAATATGGTGAAAATTGTATGTATGTTTCCAGCATTTGTGTCAGCAAATGTTGCTAGATACCACAACAGAATTGAGATATTTATCATATATAATCTATATATGATCAGAGTCTATATATAATTCAATTCATTATAAGAAAATCTCTCGCAATTTGAATGAATCAAAAGTTCACAACTAACGTACCTCCTTCACCAATATCTTTCACAATCGTGTACCTTTTCCCATTGATTGTTATAGACGAATGGATAAAATATGAAGTACACAGATTACCCATCAACGAAATTTATGTCAAATGCATTTTACTTTGGTTTTGCCACGGTTATCCCACAAAGTCTGTAAAACAAAAAAGTTAAAATACAGCCATCTAATTCAGACGTCGGACCGGAAGTTATACAACTCATGCAAGCAAGTCTAAGCAAGTACGTATGCAACTCCCACAGAACAACCACCCCCCTGGAGCCAGTTGTATAAATTTTTTAAAGACTAGTGTCAGAGCCTCAGAGGGAGGGTAGAATTCAAAAGACACTGGGTGCAAGGTTGGGTAGGATTAACCTTTAACCCTCTGTTTAAACACAGTTAATAGAATATAATATACATGGTTTGGAGACTAAATAAAAGTACAATATAACTCACTAACTATGTTATTGTCCAGGTTTATGCAAAAAATGGTTCGTTTCTCGTCACATGTCACATGTAAATTTTAGCCAAATTTACCAATGACAGTCGTCGTGCTAATCTCATCAACCTTTACCTGAATAATATGTTAATTAAAAGATTGCTATTGGTTTATCTGTGCAAAATACAATAGACATGTGGTGAGAAAGGAACAATTTTTTGCATAAATCTACCACAACATAGTTAATGATTGTATTGTAGTTTTATGTGGTCTCCAAACCATGTATATTCTATTATCTGTAGTTTAAAGTGCTTGCTGATTCTGAGTCAGCTGAGACAATTGCTGAGACTCCTCCGCCAATGGGTAGTTTCGCGTAATCATAATAATATTTTTCCCTCTTCGGCAGATTTATGGGGAGAATTTGAAATCGCCTTTGTGAAATTATAAACAATTTTTAAAACCAGGGAGGTTACTATGAATTAAGCAATGGTAACCCAACCCCTTTCCCCGACCTGATTTCACCAGTAATCCGGTATACTCGTGAATTCCCTAATTCCCATTTAATTCGAATGCAAATTAGAATTGATTTATGATGTAATAATTGAGCGAGAACTGAGAAATCGATTCATACGTCATTGTAATTGCAAATTATCATTTCTCGGGGCGAATGTCAAGATATGTAGACATGTTTTACCGAGCTCGTAAAAAGTTTCGTTTTGAACCTTCTTTGTAAGTTTCAAAATGTATGGATTACCTTTATTGGGACTGATCATTGTTTTGGTCGGTTCCAAACCGCTGACAAGACCTTTCAGCAGTGAAAAAAACCTTGGTAAGTTCAATCAAAACACACTGAAAAATGAATTTCAAAGGAAATCAATCAGTTCATTACATCAAAGTTCATTATAGTTGAAGCAGAAATTTCTAATGGTAGAGTAAAAATATGATTTTCCAATAACTGAGAAATTTGCTGCACGTGCGCAAGAAAACGTTTCTTCATTCAGGGCCCTTGAATCATTGAATGTTTTGGAATTGTATATGGCTTCTCATGAAATATAATTTGCGTGATATGTTAACTAGTTGATCTTTTTATACTTTCATTTTAATTACCTTTTTTTCAAACATAAATTGTTTTTATTTCAAATCGCTAGAAACGTTTCACCTATATTACCACATTGAGGTCTATATTATCATAAGCAACACGCGCGTAAAAGTTTAAATGCTTTTAAATTTTTACTTTTTAACACCTGTCAACAAGTGCAACTAAACTCCGCGGAAACTGACTAAGTTATTTCGATTTATTCGAATTCACTTATTTCTTTAAACATAACTTATATAAGCATTTAGACTTTTACGTGTGTTATGAAAAACGCGACAGTGGAATTATCGAAACAACCCTTTTGCATGCTGGTGGTGTATACCGTGTATTGAAAAAGTTATAAAAGTAGAATTTTATGTAAGTAATGTTTTTTAAAACAGATTTCAACCGTTTGGATTTGAATGACACCCTTCCAAATATCAACGAACGGAATATTTGGACAGACGTAAACCTTGTTGGAAAACATTTAAAGAATGAAGATCATAATTCTGAAAAAAGCCGACGTTTGAAGTTTGGCGATAAATTTCGAAAAAAAGATCACAAAAAAATAAATTTGTCTCATAAAGCTTTCAAAGATAAGTTTGAATATTGGAAAGACCTTTCAGACGAAAGCAATGAGATAGGCTTGACGATGCATGATGACCTTGCATTTGAGAGTCACAATGCGCAAAGCAGTAAAAACCCTTTCTTCGGTGAGCGTAAGGAAGACGACTTACTTACCGATGACGTTGCGGATGGCATCAGCGATTCTTATGAAAAAAATGCAAACGAAGATCACGCATTTGAGAATAATGATGAGAGCAACGAAAACAATTTATTCAATAAATTTGAAGCAGCGTATGATGAGGATGGTGTTGCAAACGATGTCAGTGATGAAATTGAAAAGGACGATCATAAAATTGTGTATAAGAACCACGCAAATGATTTCATCGATGAATTTGACAATGATTACAACAATATGAAATCCCTCAAGCAACACAAAAGTACAGATGATGCATTCAAAGTTGAAAATAATTTCGATGAAGATATTGAAATTGGAAGGAGCAAAAAGAGTTACATGAGTGTGCCTGAAAAGGACGATGACGTGCGGCCTTCCGAAAACTTTGAAGATGATGATTATTCACGCGATGATAACGATGACATTGCGGATCAGAACAACAAACAAGATTCTATCGATGAATTTAGCGATAATTACAAACAGTTTTCACATGATGATGACGCATTCGAAGATGAAGATGATTTCGAGAATGAAGATGAAATTGACGATGAGACTACAGATGAGAGCAATGATAACGATCTCCTCGAAAAATATGGAAACGATGATGACACCGGTTTCAAATCGGGACAACAATTTAATCAAGAGGAATTTGCAGTTGATGAATATGATGCATTTCAAGATGAAGATGAACTTCGTAAGGATGACAATGTCGATGAGACTGAGGATGAAAACGATGAAAACGAACTCATTGATGAACTTCAAAAGTATGGCAGTGACGATTGGACTGCAGGTGAGAGCGAAGAAAATGATCTTATCGACGAAGACGACAATGATGACAACAATTTGAATTCACTTGAAAAAGAGAATCATACATTCGAAGATGATTTCGAGAATGAAGATGAAATTGACGATGAGACTACAGATGAGAGCAATGATAACGATCTCCTCGAAAAATATGGAAACGATGATGACACCGGTTTCAAATCGGGACAACAATTTAATCAAGAGGAATTTGCAGTTGATGAATATGATGCATTTCAAGATGAAGATGAACTTCGTAAGGATGACAATGTCGATGAGACTGAGGATGAAAACGATGAAAACGAATTCATTGATAAACTTCAAAAGTATGGCAGTGACGATTGGACTGCGGGTGAGAGCGAAGAAAACGATCTTATCGACGAAGACGACAATGATGACAACAATTTGAATTCACTTGAAAAAGAGAATCATACATTCGAAGATGATTTCGAGAATGAAGATGAAATTGACGATGAGACTACAGATGAGAGCAATGATAACGATCTCCTCGAAAAATATGGAAACGATGATGACACCGGTTTCAAATCGGGACAACAATTTAATCAAGAGGAATTTGCAGTTGATGAATATGATGCATTTCAAGATGAAGATGAACTTCGTAAGGATGACAATGTCGATGAGACTGAGGATGAAAACGATGAAAACGAACTCATTGATGAACTTCAAAAGTATGGCAGTGACGATTGGACTGCAGGTGAGAGCGAAGAAAATGATCTTATCCACGAAGATGACAATGATGACAACAATTTGAATTCACTTGAAAAAGAGAATCATGCATTCGAAGATGATTTCCAGAATGACGATGGAATTGACGATGAGACTGCGGATGAAAGCAATGATAATGATCTCATCGATGAATATAAAAGCGATGATGACACCGGTTTCGATCTATTCAAACAATCTGCAGATGATGATGATGCATTTCAAGATGAAGATGATGTATTCGAAAATGATGACGATGTATTCGAAGATGAAGATGATTTCAAGAATGACAATGAAATGGACGATGAGACTGCGGATGAAAGCAATGATAACGATTTTATCGATGAATATAAGAGCAATGATGACACCGGTTTCGATCTATACAAACAATCTGCAGATGATGATGATGCATTTCGAGATGAAGATGATGTAATTGAAGATGATTTCAACGAAGATGACAACGATGACAACAACAATTTGAACTCACTTGAACAACTTGAAAAAGAGGATGATGCATTGGAAGATGAAGATGATTTCCAGAATGAAGATGAAATTGACGATGAGACTACAGATGAGAGCAATGATAACGATCTCCTCGAAAAATATGGAAACGATGATGACACCGATTTCAAATCGGGACAACAATTTAATCAAGAGGAATTTGCAGTTGATGAATATGATGCATTTCAAGATGAAGATGAACTTCGTAAGGATGACAATGTCGATGAGACTGAGGATGAAAACGATGAAAACGAACTCATTGATGAACTTCAAAAGTATGGCAGTGACGATTGGACTGCGGGTGAGAGCGAAGAAAACGATCTTATCGACGAAGATGACAATGATGACAACAATTTGAATTCACTTGAAAAAGAGAATCATGCATTCGAAGATGATTTCGAGAATGACGATGGAATTGACGATGAGACTGCGGATGAAAGCAATGATAATGATCTCATCGATGAATATAAAAGCGATGATGACACCGGTTTCGATCTATTCCAACAATCTGCAGATGATGATGATGCATTTCAAGATGAAGATGATGTATTCGAAAATGATGACGATGTATTCGAAGATGAAGATGATTTCAAGAATGACAATGAAATGGACGATGAGACTGCGGATGAAAGCAATGATAACGATTTTATCGATGAATATAAGAGCAATGATGACACCGGTTTCGATCTATACAAACAATCTGCAGATGATGATGATGCATTTCGAGATGAAGATGATGTAATTGAAGATGATTTCAACGAAGATGACAACGATGACAACAACAATTTGAACTCACTTGAACAACTTGAAAAAGAGGATGATGCATTGGAAGATGAAGATGATTTCGAGAATGGTGACGAAATTGACAATGAGACTGCAGATGAGAGCAATGAAAACGAGTTTAACCATAAATTTGACAGCGATGACACCGCTTCAAATTTACTTGAACAATTTCCACACGAAGATAATAATGCATTTAAGGATGCAGCGTTTGAAGAAGAAGATGAACTAGAAAATAGCGACAAAATCACGGATAGAAGCAACGAAAATAATCCCATTGATGAACTAGAAGAAGATGACAATGTCGATGGGACTGAGGATGAGGGCAAAGAAAACGATTTTATCATCAAATATGACAATGGCCAAGTGCACAAAAAATCCGCACCAAACAAACAACTCAATCAAGAGGATTATGCAGTTGATGAATATGAAGATGAACTTCAAAAGGATGACAATGTCGATGGGACTGAGGGTGAGAGCGAAGAAAACGATCTTATCGACGAAGACGACAATGATGACAACAATCTGAATTCACTTGAAAAACTTGAAAAAGAGAATCATGCATTGCAAGAAGAAGATAATTTCCAGAATGGCAACGAAATTGTGGACAAAAGCGATGAAAACGAATTCATTGATGATATTCAAGAAGACAACAATGTCGATGGGATTCAGGATGCCCTATTCGAAGATGAAGATGATTTCGAAAATGGTGATGAAATTGACGATGAGAATGCGGATGAAATCAATGATAACGATTTCATCGATGAATATGACAGCGATGATGAGACCGGTTTCGATTCATTCAAACAATCTGCAGATGATGATGATGCATTTCGAGATGAAAATGAAGTATTCGAAGATGAAGATGATTTCGAGAATGACGATGAAATTGACGATGAGACTGTGGATGAGAGCAATGATAACGATTTCAAGGATGAATATGACAGCGATGACACCGGTTTAAATTCACTCGAACAATTTCCACATGAAGATAATAATGCATTTAAGGATGCAGATGAACTCGAAAATAGCGACGAAATCACGGATAGAAGCAAAGAAAATAATTCCATCGATGAACTGGAAGACGATGGCAATGTTGATGGAACTGAGGATAAGAGCAAAGAAAACGATCTTATCGACGAATACGATGACAACAATCTGAATTCACTCAAACATTTCGAAAATCGTGGTGATGATGGGACTGAGGATGAGAGCAAAGAAAACGATCTTATCGACGAAGACGACAATGATGACAACAGTTTGAACTCACTTGAACAACTTGCAAAAGAGAATAATGTATTCCATAATGAAGATGATTTCCAGAATGGCAATGAAATTGTGGATGAAAGCAATAAAAATAAATTCATTGATGATATTCAAGAGGACAAAAATGCCGATGAGACTGAGGATGTCGCATTCGAAGATGAAGATGATTTCGAAAATGGTGACGAATTTGACGATGAGACTATGGATGAGAGCAATGATAACGATTTCATGGATGAATATGACAGCGACGATGACACCGGTTTCGATTCATTCAAACAATCTGCAGATGATGATGATACATTTGGAGATGAAGATGATGTATTCGAAGATGAAGATGATTTCGAAAATGACGATGAATTTGACGATGAGACTGTGGATGAGAGCAATGATAACGATTTTATGGATGAATATGACAGCGATGATGACACCAGTTTTGATTTATTCAAACAATCTGCAGATGATAATGATGCATTTGGAGATGAAGATAACGTATTTGAAGGTGGAGATGAATTCAAAAATAGCGACAAAATTTCGGATCAGAGGATCAAAAATTATTTCATTGACGAAGATTCCAAAAACTTGATTCCATACGAACAATTGCAACACGAGGATGATGCATTTGAAGATGAAGATGATACATTTAAAGATGGATATGAATTTGGGAATAGCGACGAAATAGCGGATAAAAACGAATTCAATGATGAACTTCAAAAGGATGACAATGACAAATGGACTGCGGGTGAGAGCAAAGGAAACAATCTTATCGACGAAGACGACAATGATGACAATTTGAATTCACTTGAACAACTTGAAAAAGAGGATAATGCATTCGAAGATGAATTCGAAAATGGTGACGAAATTGACGATGAGACTGTGGATGAGAGCAATGATAACGATTTTATGGATGAATATGACAGCGACGATGACACCAGTTTTGATTTATTCAAACAATCTGCAGATGATGATGATGCATTTCGAGATGAAGATGATGTATTTGAAGGTGGAGATGAATTCAAAAATAGCGACGAAATTTCGGATCAGAGGATCAAAAATTATTTCATTGACGAAGATTCTAAAAACATGATTCCATACGAACAATTGCAAAATGAGGATGATGCATTTGAAGATGATACATTTGAAGATGGATATGAATTTGGGAATAGCGATGAAATTGGGGATGAAAACGATGAAAACAAATTCATTGATGAACTTCAAAAGGACGACAATGACAATTGGACTGCGGGTGACAGCGAAGAAGACGATCTTATCGACGGAGATTACAATGATCAGGACAATTTGAATTCACTTGATCAACTTGAAAAAGAGGATGATGTATTCGAAGATGAAGATGATTTCGAAAATGGTGATGAAATTGACGATGAGAATGGGGATGAAATCAATGATAACGATTTCATCGATGAATATGACAGCGATGATGAGACCGGTTTCGATTCATTCAAACAATCTGCAGATGATGATGATGCATTTCGAGATGAAAATGAAGTATTCGAAAATGAAGATGATTTCGAGAATGACGATGAAATTGACGATGAGACTGTGGATGAGAGCAATGATAACGATTTCAAGGATGAATATGACAGCGACGATGAGACCGGTTTCGATTTATCCAAACAATCTTCAGATGATGATGATGCATTTGGAGATGAAGATGACGTATTTGAAGGTGAAGATGATTTCGAGAATGACGATGAAATTGACGATGAGAATGCGGATGAAATCAATGATAACGATTTCATCGATGAATATGACAGCGATGATGACACCAGTTTCGATCTATTTAAACAATCTGCAAATGATGATGATGCATTTCGAGATGAAGATGATGTATTTGAAGGTGGAGATGAATTCGAAAATAGCAACGGAATTGTGGATCAGAGGATCAAAAATTATTTCATTGACAAAGATTCCAAAAACTTGATTCCAAACGAACAATTGCAAAATGAGGATGATGCATTTGAAGATGAATATGATACATTTGAAGATGGATATGAATTTGGGAAGAGCGATGAAATTGCTGATGAAGACGATGAAAATGAATTCATTGATGAACTTTTAAAGGACGACAATGACAATTGGACTGCGGGTGAGAGCAAAGAAAACAATCTTATGGACGAAAACGACAATGATGACAATTTGAATTCACATGAACAACTTGAAAAAGAGGATAATGCATTCGAAGATGAATATGATTTCGAAAATGGTGACGAAATTGGCGATGAGACTGCAGATGAGAGCAATGATAACGATTTCGTTAATGAATATGACAGCGATGATGACACCAGTTTTGATCTATTCAAACAATCTGCAGATGATGATGATGCATTTCGAGATGAAGGTGACGTGTTTGAAGGTAGAGATGAATTCAAAAATAGCAACGGAATTGTGGATCAGAGGATCAAAAATTATTTCATTGACGAAGATTCCAAAAACTTGATTCCAAACGAAGAATTGCAAAATGAGGATGATACATTTGAAGATGAATATGATACATTTGAAGATGGATATGAATTTAGGAAGAGCGACGAAATTGCTGATGAAAACGAATTCATTGATGAACTTCTAAAGGACGACAATGACAATTGGACTGCGGGTGAGAGCAAAGGAAACAATCTTGTGGACGAAGACGACAATGATGACAATTTGAATTCACATGAACTACTTGAAAAAGAGGATAATGCATTCGAAGATGAATATGATTTCGAAAATGGTGGCGAAATTGGCGATGAGACTGCAGATGAGAGCAATGATAGCGATTTCATTAATGAATATGACAGCGATGATGACACCAGTTTTGATCTATCCAAACAATCTGCAGATAATGATGATGCATTTCGAGATGAAGGTGACGTGTTTGAAGGTGGAGATGAATTCGAAAATAGCAACGGAATTGTGGATCAGAGGATCAAAAATTATTTCATTGACAAAGATTCCAAAAACTTGATTCCATACGAACAATTGCAAAATAAGGATGATGAAATTGACGAAATTGCTGATGAAAACGATGAAAACGAATTCATTGATGAACTTCAAAAGGATGACAATGACAATTGGACTGCGGATGTGAGCAAAGAAAACAATCTCATGCACGAAGACGACAATGATGACAATTTGAATTCACATGAACTACTTGAAAAAGAGAATCAGGCATTCGAAGATGAAGATAATTTCCAGAATGACAATGAAATTGTGGATGAAAGCAATGAAAATAAATTCATTCAAGAGGACAACATTGTCGATGAAACTGAGGATGTCGCATTCGAAGATGAAGTTGATTTCGAAAACGGTGACGAAATTGACGATGAGACTGTGGATGAGAGCAATGATAACGATTTTATGGATGAATATGACAGCGACGATGACACCGGTTTCGATTCATTTAAACAATCTACAGATGATGATGATGCATTTGGAGATGAAGATGATGTATTCGAAGATGAAGATGAATTCGAAAATAACGACGAAATTGCGGATCGGAGGAGCAAAAAGTATTCCATTGACGGAGATGCCAAGAACTTGACTCCATACGAACAATTGCAAAATGAGGATGATGCATTTGAAGATAAATATGATACATTTGAAGATGGATATGAATTTGGGAATAGCGATGAAATTGCGAATGGAAGCGATGAAAACAAAGTCATTGATGAGTTTCAAGAGGATAACAATGTCGAGAAGACTGAGGATTGGATCGAAGAAAACGATATTGATATTCACAAACATGACGATGCAACTGCGAATAAGAGAAATCTATTGGAGAAATTTAATTATGACGAAGGAATTAACTTTTCTAAACGACCAAGACGATCTGTGGATGTTGGTGAGTAAACATCTCCATCTTCATTTTTTATAATCATCATCATAATTATTAACAATATTTGTTTGTCGTTATATAGATGCAATTATTGAGAAAAAAGATAAAGTTGTGACAACAGGAAAAACGACAGCAAGAGTTTTGATAAAAAACAAAGGATCCCTATTTTGCTTGGTGTTGACTGTCATAGCAATCATTGTATTTTGTATCACATACAAGAAAGCAAAACAGTACGTATCACTGCATTAACCAACAGTACATTAACCCAACATGCTGAAAATTGATAGTCCGAGTATCGAACTTTTTCCTAGACGCCTATAAATAGAGCCCCTCTTTATCGCGTTTGGGTTGAGCTCTAGCTAGGGAAGTCTTCAAAGTTTACCGGCCTTCTCCAGTCTATTGAATGAGTATGACTTCATTCAAGGAAAATCTTTTGCATTAACACATCAGTTTACCTGCTAATTTTTTAGGTATCTAAATCCAAATAACACGGCTGAACCTGTCTTAACTGAGATTGTGGTATCGGGACCAAGTCGACAGCAGAAAGAAGAAAACTTGAAGAAGGACATGACCATAGTGGATATACCCTGAAACTCGCACAATATTATAATACCGAAGAAAATACTTAATTCATTCCTACTAATATTTTACATAATCACTCCAGAAGACAGTGAAAAAAAGTTTAAAAAAAACATAAAATTGAAAAAATTACAAAAACACAAAGAAAACTGCGAAAACAAGAACAAAAAAAAGTAGAAAATTATAAAAAAAATCAAAAAAGTATAAAGTATAAAACAAAACAAAATTCAACCAAATTCTGTATATTTGACAATCATTAGTACTCCGTATGTGTGTGAGAAAATTGATCAATAAATGCATTCATGAATAAGACTGAGAAACTTTTGTTTTTATTCTAAACAATTAAGGATTAGCTTTCCTCTGTAACGCCTCGAAAAGCTCACTCACACTGTAACACTCATTTAGTGTCACATAGAAATTCTGATACTATTGAACAATTGGCAAACCAATTAAAATCAAGCTCTTATTTGAGTGCAAATACCGTCATTGAATTGCTATGAAAAGATTGAGTTCTTCCTCAATGATGAGTTTGAGTGAGCTTTTAGAATACAGGCGTAAGTCTCTTACTTTTAGACATTATTTATGACTACAATAGCTGCAAAGCAGAAATATTAGTGGGAATACGTCAATACGAGGCGGGTATTTGCAGGCGTATTTCTGCTATTTCATCCATGATTTCATCTCGATGGTCATCGTCATTCTCGACCAATCTGAACCTATTTCTTATAACTTCACTTCACGTCGGCTCACTAGGCCACAAAATCCGGGCCGACAGCAGAAGGTGGCCTGGACCCGGCCTGGACCTGACCCGAAGCACGATTTTGTTAATGTGAACAGGCTTTACCTAGTCCTGACAAATTTGAACTTTCATAGTGCATGTGATTTGTTTAGGATACATATAGTATTACCACTTTTCCGCGTGTTTTGGGTCTTTTTCCAAGTATTTTGTCAATTACTTTGGCTAATGGCTATCGGATATCATCAACAAGGAAGACAGTGTCAACGTAGCACGTATTACTTAGACTTGGCGGTCTTGGCCTAGACCTGACCTAGGCCAGAAGTGTAAACGCAGCTTTAATCACACCAATGTGTCTGTTGGTCATTCCTACATTCAGGAAATATTTTGAATATATTACGACAGTTATAATCCTACCAAATATTGCTCCTTTGACCTTTGGTTTCCTGTCGGGCCAACTGGCCTTTAAGGAGCCCACCCCCCCTATTCCGACAGTGTTAGGCATTAACGAGGCACGGTTCTTGATTGTCGAACATCGAGGCCAAGCACTGTTGATGGTGCAGATATGACTGACTTTGACACTTTGATCTTTCCAACGTTCAAGTTGAAGAAACGAAATGAGACAGTGAGTAATATATGGTTTACAAAATCGTTAAAACACAGAATTTAAAGCCTAGTGAACCTGAGATGATAGGTGCTTGATGAGGCTTTGAGACTGTAAAGCTCATTTCATTTTAAATATTCAGGATGATATTGTGTTGTAGTATCTCAGGACAAAACGCGACACGTTCTTAAGTTTATTTCTTCTTCATTTCATTGTTGAAGTTCATATACACTAATAAAATTATTTGTAAACTCTAGTCACAATTCATGCCTATCGCCCTGTGGGGAATAGAGTTAACAATTTATTATCTTTTAATCTGTTCGTCTGCTGTTTTGTGTATACCGAAATAATTTACTGTATTGTTATATTCAGTTTAATGGAGTGATGTGTATTCGGCATTTTATGTCGAATGTAACAAAGATATGTCGCAATTAGTCAATAGATCAAATTCGCAGTATGGCATAATATAGTTTTCTACGGAATCACGTCGTGTGTACGCGCATTCCACAAGTCCATAACCAGAGTATTCGACAAAGATGTTTATAAAATGAAAATTTTAATTAGGCTGAGGTGTTTTGTTCAAAGTATATTACTTTTTTTTTGGTACCCCTACTCAGTTTGCCAGCATTGTCTAAAATGCAAAATAAAATATGTTAGTTCCCGAAAGAGTGTATTATGTCTACGGATTATAACGGCGCTAATTTGCTTTAGTCAAGGTTATAAAGGCTGTTGCAACATTATGAATTGTCGGGCCTTTACATCAGTTATTTAATTAAACATCAGTTCGACCCCTCGAGCCAAAGCGACTATATTTTACACTTTTAATTATAAGTAAATAAGCATTTTTACGGGGATCGCTAAATTTAAGCGGAATTATGCATTAATATTTTTTGCGATGTACAAAATTCCCTAAAAATTGTGCGAGCTATGTTTTGTTTATTTAAACAAACATAAGACCCGAGGGCCGAGTCACTTCATTCTGTTAGTTCCAATGTTATATATCAACAAAAATAGTTAAGTTTTGTGAGTATTTTAGCTGAGAACCTAACCTTATATGGAAGGGAATGTTGTTTGGGGCGTTTGGATGTGATTGGTTATTGACATGAAGTTTGAATATTTTCGTCTGCTGATACGCTTAATTTATCTCATTGTAGATCAAAATTGATTCCTCCTGTGAACAATTTTAATTGCTTTCTCGCTTCTTGAACCGTGACTTGAAGTCATATAGCCTCTATTTTAAAATATTTTTGCTTCCCACATAGTAGAGGAATGTAGTCTAAATACTTTTCAGCAAATCATATATCTTCTACATGAAGCTTAACTGATATCACATTACAAAACAGGTGTTGCTTACAACAACATTAGCATAGTATTGTTGTTTTAATAATCTTCACAGGTTCAAGTAATTTACACTTAATTATTTTAATTTTTGTTTTGCATAAAAAGTATCTTAGAATTTCTCATAATTTTAGTAACAGAAATATTAATTGTTACTAATTGTCATCAAATATGATCATTATGAGATGAACCTCCTGTTACAGTGTCAGATTAACTTAACACTACAAAATACCATGTGTGGGTGTATTTAATTAAGAGGCACATACTAAAGGTGGAGTCATGGGAAAGGTATTAGGAATATCCTGACAGCAAAATGCAACAGAAAATTTTCAACATTAAAACAAATTTCATGGGTACCATACTATAGGAAGTAATGCTTCATAAAGTTCGCTGTTTTATCTTTGCCATGTTGGAGCTAAATGTTTGCTTTAACAGTTGACATATTCTGAATAAAAACTAGAGGCTTTTAGACTGGAATAAATTATCCAATTATTTCAAACAAAATATGTAAACATTAGAATGACATCTACTTGACTCATGCTTATTTAACTTTTTATTATGGGTACACATATATGACTAAGGTATACAGCTTTAAACATTTGTAGCCTATACCTTGGCATATACCCCTGTGATTACCACTGAAAGATCACATCCTGTGGATCACATCCAAACTAGAGTAGTACATATGCATGCATTTTCAAGACCTAACAGGGCATTTTTTAAGGAATTTTGACTAGTGGGGTAAAGTGTGTATTAGGGCCCATGCGCAAGACAAATATGTAATAGACGATTCCCCTTATTAAGAATTAGAAGCGCTTTGCATTATGGTTATGGTGTTATCACTGACATTCAAGACAGTTTTGAATGAAAATATTGAATGTTTCAATGTTTTCCTCACGATTTTGTTGTTGGTCATTCCTTATACACCTGCCCTAACAGTGCCGTAGCTAGACCGCTTAATTGGGGGGGTGTATATTTCATATATTCATGTTTATATACCATAGGAAGAATAGCATACAAAAGAAATCATTCGGGCATAAGACGAATATATGAATATGCACCCCCCAATTAAGCTTCTAGCTACGGCCCTGTGCCCTAACTTTCCCAAACGCTCTTGCACAGGTGTAGACAAAAAAATTACATGTGGCTTGACAATCAAAGATACCACTATAACCATGATGCAAAGCGCTACTAAATCTCAATAAAGGAAATCGTCCATTATACATACAGATGTCACACGTAATTACATAGGTATTTATTTCTTCGAACAAATTTCAAGACCCATATGTTACAACTGATAAATTACCAACCCTTTACAGTGACAAAAGGGCCCATTCTATCAGGGAATCAAGGTTCACTACTGGGGCAGGCACAGGGCCTACTGGGGTAAATGCCCCAGTAGTTATACAGTTAAAAAATGCCCTGAGACCTAAGCATCAGTGACAGGTGCTTGTATTATGTAATTGTAGGGCATTCATTTAACGCCCGACAAATACCTAATTGTGCATCCACCTAACTGACATATTGAATATTTTCAACATTTTTCCTTCTCAATAAAGTACTATGCATATGAATTAGCTATTCCTGAAATGCAGCAGAGTGGGTATTAATAAGACTGGTAGTGACAAAGCATTTTGGTGCTGTTTTGGGGACCAGGAATTGTCAACTTTATTACCACCACTCTCTACTGCCACTTTGGAATGACCCATACAAAATGTGACTAAATTCCATTATACTATTTTATTCTTCTTTGTTGTCTGTAGTTTAGCCCTGACATAGAGGATGTGTCTTCTGGAGATGATTGTTTACACTGCTCAAACTGTCTAACTGGCTTCAAGCATCATCCATGGAGGTAGTCTAATGGATTTTCTTCATTATGCTGTGGTTGGGGCACCTTATAAAACTCTCTTAGCAATCTAAATTAGATTAAATCTTTAACCAATCTAAGGCCAGTTGGATGTCTCGTCAAGCGTCCACACGAATGAAAACCCAAATAAATTATCTATCAACTAATATTGTCTTTTTTACTGTCTTTGTAATATTAAGTATTAGCAGAAGACAATAAATAATTCCTTACGTCAGCATTTTTGGAGTGCATTGTGGGGCCAAACACTTCGTATTTAGTAACTACTTGGTCTACGAACGCGCAAAAATTAGCTAAAAAAATTCTAGACACCTCGTGAGGCACTAACTGACATAATTTTTTATCGTATGTGTCAACAACCTCTTTAATATTCCAAATCCCTGGTTGTATTTACCAAAATTATGTTAAAGGCAACGTAGTGAGGTGTTCGTTAAGCTTTGTAGGTTGTTTCTATTTTCATGTTTAGACGAAACTGTTCCTCCTGTAACTGTGAAACCTACCATCATGCTGCGATGTACAACCCATACAATAATCCAGTGGACAGAATGTGTGTAGAAGAAGACGCATTATCAGCAATTGATGAAGCAAGAGATAAAGGATATGCTTGGGTTCCGCATGGGTTGTCTGATTTGGAGGTTAATCTACGACTACGTTGTTTTTAAAATGGTGTATTTCGCGGATTACCGGAAGTAAACTAGTTTAACCAGTTTGCGAAATCTCGGCACCCCTGATTAAAGGTCTTGGCTGGGGGGAGGAGTGAGGCCAAGCGCGTGCCAATGATAGTTGATAACAGGGCGCTTATATATATATATATTTTATATATAAGCGCCCTGGTTGATAACCTCTATTGGTGATACAGTCTTGGCTGGGGGGGGAGGGGCAAAGCTAAGCGTGATAATAATAACCCCTATTGGTGATACGCCTACTTTCCTCCAAACGACCATTATGATCTAATATTACAACTCAAGATAAGCAATACGATTAATGTAAATGCACTTTTTCTGAAATGTTGCTAAATCACTGTACTCTAATCCCTCTTGCCTTTCACTTTTTATTTTTGTTATACATATAGAAGTAATGAAGTTGCTCCTTACTAAGGAATGGGGGCTGTCCAAACCCTTAAATAGTTCAGTATACTATTAATATAGGCTTCGTATATGAATGTCGTTTTGTAGGCAAAAATATATATAGTTATATATAATTTATCAAACTATTATTCTCGTTTTAAGGTTGAACAGTACATGATGTTTCTACCAAGCTCGAAAGTTCCCAGGCTTGGTTCCGATGGTCTTACGTATCGTGCTCAACAACTTGCTTTTCAACTTCCTTTGCATGATTACTCTGACAATTACACAAAATTTCTACCGGCGGATCAGAAAGGTTACTTTGAGGATGCAGTCACATCAACCATTAACGAATCATTAGGTCGAGGTAAGCAACCTGTATTGCACACAATTAAACGTTTTTGTTTAACATGTTTCAAGAAAGAAGCTATTTGAGTGTCAGAAGTTTCAGCTATGACCTTTTCCATTTTCAGGAGTTGTAAATCCAAGTATTAGCCGTGACCGTGATTGTTGTGAATGTAGGAATGAGATTGGAAACGGATCAATGGCCGTCTTTGCTGAAAGTGCTGGATCATCTGCTGCCTGGCATCCACAATGTTTCTGCTGTCATAAATGCAAGGAAGTTCTTGTTGACCTGATTTACTTTTTCAGTGGTGGCAACGTGTACTGTGGACGTCACTATGCAGAACTGGATGGTCATCGTTGTAGTGGCTGCGATGAAGTAAGTATTTCTCTAACTTCGAGATCGTTTGTTCACTCACATTTCCTTTTATTTTGGGATGTATTTTTCGCTTAAAATATATAGTCTTTTGAACACAAGCGTCGTGTTCGAGCGTTTAAAAAAATAATTTCTTCACTCTTCTCGTTTCAACGACTTGTTCACACGGTCCAAAAAGAAGTTTGAACATCTCTCGTTAATTGATAGTGATTGCATCCGTTTTTGCATGACAGGGAATGCTAAAAAACGTTACCTTGTGCACGTAGTCAAGTGCCTTGACTGCTTTCGTAGGAATATTAAAGTGACTCGGATGAATGATTCTTTATAAACATCTGTCTTATCGTGTTTGCTGTACAGTAATAAAATTATGATTGTATTTTAGTTGATTTTTGTCTCGGAGTACTCACACGCGATGGACAAGGATTGGCACGAAGATCACTTCACGTGTGTGAATTGCGAAAAGCCTTTGAAACGTGAAAAGTTTGTTTCGGTCGATGGCAGACCATGCTGTACCCAATGTTATAACAAAGCTGTTGCCAATGTCTGTGATGAATGTGGCCAAGCTATCGGTCCTGGGTCTAAAGATATTATAGTTCGTGATCGTCATTGGCACGAAAGTTGTTTTGTTTGTTCTTCTTGTAGCAAACAATTGGTGAGTGCGACCACCCGATTGTAAAACACGCCTTTTAGTCACATTTAAACTTAAAGATGAATTTACCAGCTTCGTATATAAAAATAGTGAATCTCAATCGTTTGTCAATAGTTTCAGTTTTGAGGGGCATGTCATGGGATGATATTCATCGTGTGCTCATGTCTTTACATTACTCGAAACGAGTTTTGCGAAACGATTTTAATGCTTCAGCCTTTGCCAAAATTCGTGGAATTTTTGCGGGCATTGCGGTTTCCCACCCAAACAGCAAAAAGTAAGGTGGGTTAAAGATTGCGGTAAAAAGCAGATGTTTTAAAGTGCACAGGAAGTGTGTTAGGATTTTGTGATTTGAGATATTTCGAATATTTAACATTGAAAAAGAAGCGCGTAGCATAAAAAAACATCGTTAATTTGTTTTGGCCTCACGGGCCACAGCTGTTATTTAAAGTTAGCAATGCAAATCCCTATTTGCATGCTTCGCGCCAAGAAATGACCTTCTTAATGTCACAGACTCACAGGTTGGATTTCACATATTTGTAAAGCGTGTGAAAGACTGCATGTTACTTTGTAAGGTCTGGTTCACACTAGCTCAGAAGAATATGGGATCCACTGTATTACTTTCCGATAGCATTTAGCGCACTAGTGACCTCAGACAAAGGTAATCCCTGATTCTTACGACAAGTGTGAACCAGGCCTAAAAAACTGAAGAATTTAATTATTACTGTTGTTATACTGTACAAATCCAGTCCAATCCATGCAAGTCAGTTGGTAATGTCAGTTTTAACATAACATTTTCCAGTTGAATGAGGGATTCACTTTCCAAGGAGACGACTTGATTTGCCATAAGTGTAGAGGAATTGATCCTGCAAAAAATTGTGCTCAGTGTAAGCAAGAGCTGCTTCCAGGTGAAAAGAAAGTTGGCTATCAAAATGCGACTTATCACGAGTCTTGTTTCACGTGTTGCCGATGCGATGAACCGATCGGTGCAGAGCAGTTTATCAACAAGGAAGACAAGCGTTACTGCCAGCCATGCTTTAACAAATTCGTTGCTAAGGTATATTATATATATACGTTTATACATAGGTTCAAACTTAAGTTTGTTTCAGTCAGTGCATATGCTTTGTATACATCTTTGTTTTAATTCTGCACTCTTCATTTGTGAGCTGTCAGGGCAAAGTCAAATTTTTAGGCAGCAACTAAAGACCTGTACAGTGAGCGTTCATATTGAACAGCACACCCTTTTACATTCCATTTAGGTTTGCTTCCAATGCAACGAAGTGATCAAGACGACATCTGTAACCTACGAAGGTAATTCATTTCACAGCGAGTGCTTTGTGTGTGCCGAGTGCGGTAAGCCATTGGCAGGAAAAGCTTTTTGCCGCATGGAGGATCAACGAGTATGCCACGATTGCTATTTATCAAATCATGCCAAGACGTGCGCTGGTTGTTTAAAAGCAATTGAAGGTCAGGAAAGATATATTGTGTATGATAATGATCACTATCATCGACAGTGTTTCACGTGCGATAGTTGCAAGAAGCCAATGGCAGGAGAAAAGTTTCGTCTTCGCAATGAAAATGAGCGGATCTGTATGGAATGTGCATGAACAGAAATGGTCATCTTATTGGAAGAAAAACATTAAAAAAACCCGATTTTATTGATTTCTTTGTGAAATGTGTATCCCAAGATGGAACTTGCCCCTTGAGGAAATTAATTTGTAGTGTGGATGCACCATTGTTAAATATTCATTAAAAGATTTTGCTGTGTAAAAGTCACCATGCTAGGCAATGAACAGCTTTTCACCAATTTAGGCTAATAAGCGTTATAGTTTAAAAGAATATATAATCGACTGTTTTACAAGACAAATTCATAGAAGCATATTTTAGTTCCAGGACTCAATTTGTCAGCTAAATAAGTTGATGTCTAGTAATTAGGAATTTTATCAATATTTTTGTTTAATTTGCTTTTATCTATTTTTTTCTCAACGTAGTATTTGAATTATATGTATAAATATATTGTTTTTCTGGTCATTAATCATAACTTCATCTCCCAAACAGAAATTACTCTGGTTTTGCGATGTACATAATATAACCTGAATTGATAGAGTCCTGCAGAGAAAGATGCAGTCGAGTATTGCAAATCATCTGCTCTAATAATAGGTGAACTAGTTATCGGGGGGAAAAGAGCCCCGACGCACCAGTTCTACCTTTCCCAAGGCCCCGACGAAAGCGCATGCAAGTCTTGCATAAATCACGTGGTTGATGGCGTATTTCAGTTCCTCGTTAAAGGATTGTTGCAACATCAACCCTTACTTTTACAGTTTTTACTGTTAGCCTTCGTTAGCAGAATTAGAAATATCTTCCAAAGAAAAGACTCTGTCAGGACTTTCCCGGTGTTCTCAACTGACCAGTCTGCTTCATGCAATCACACTGTGATGCAATAGATAGTAACTTAATTAAGTGTAAGGTTAAGTATTTTCTATGTCCATGAATTGAATATGACTAAAAATTGTGATTATAAGACTAATGTGAGCTGTACAATTATTAACGGTATTTTGTAAATTGTACTTCAACCTGCTTTGTTTTACGCTCATTGATGATTTATCTTGGTTATACAGGCACTATGATATAAGCAGTCTTTACCCAATTGTAAGGTTCCTCACCCCCCATAATTGATGATCCCATGTACGCGATATATTCACTTCCCCACTTTTCCGTCTATTTGAAATATTTGTGATTAATTTACCCAGAATCGCTTACGGTCTCGCAAAATAATGAAATCCAATGACACTTGGAAATGTAAATATTTAGTATCAAGTTGGCAAGAGGTTTGAGAGTTAAGACAACATTGGTCTGGACACAGAGACGTTACTACATTGAAAGCTGTATACCATGTCTCACAGAGTAAGTTTATTATCAGTTGTATTCAATTATTTCCTATAGGCTATGTCTTAGCAATACACATAGAATCTTCAAAATCTACTTTTTAATCTACGAAAGATTGGAATGCGAGAAAAGTTTTCTTCTGTGATGTCATGACAGTTCATAAGTTCTGTTTTTGATAAAGTGTGGATACTACAACATTTGTCTTAAATACTGATGTAATGATGATAGAATAACGGACAGAAGTGCAAATACTCTATAAATTAGAAGTCAACTTTCTCTGGTGGTGTTCTGAGAGTCGTACGGTTCGTATACATTGATAACAAGCTCGGGACAAGTCTGTAAATGCGCATTCAGACATTATACCATTCCAGATACAATGAATGGAACATAAAAACAAATAGGGCTTTGATATAAATTAGTGCAGTTGAAGCAGTTATAGCAGTTTTACATCAACCATAATAAATTTCCCATATGCATCTGGTATTGGGATGTCGAACCGTTGTGCTTTAAAATGTACTTTTTAGTAATAGAAAATGAGAATGTACATGTTAGGCCATTAATGTAGAGTGCGTGTGTGAAGTGCATGCGTAGTAACTAAATATCGCTCGGTTATTGTATTTCACGTCTTGCGTATGCTCAATCAGGTAAATATGACAACACCCCCACCGATTATTTGCCTGTCTCTTGGTATATATGGACGTGCTTGCTTGTTATGCTGCATTTCAGCAGTTTTCGCGACACCTTCACTTGCATTAAGGAAAATTTTATTCAGACCGCATGATATGGGTGTTGGCTTGTATAAAGGAGCAAAAGATGTGGAAAACATTTGTTTGGGAGACATGAGACAGTGTCGGCGCGAAACGTAAACTTAAAGGTCATGCGTGAGGTCATGGGTGAGGTCATATTTGTGTACATAGTTCTGCACGATATGTTTTAAAGTTTGTATTGTTCCTTATGTTGTAATAAATAATAAATACTTCTGAAGTATCCCATTGCAATTGGGAAAATGAATTAGACAGTTGTCATCTCAGCACGATTATTCAAAAGTTAGTTTCTGGTGTCACAATTAGGCTGGACTTGTAACGTCATAAAATAATATACGGAAACTGTCTCCAAACCTCATTAACATTCCATAACCACAAAAGGAGAGAGATCATTAATTGTGAATGAAAATGTGATTGTTATATTTTGATGAGATGTGCAACTGATTTTCAATTCAGGATAATAGCTGAGCATTCCTTGCTATTATCCTATTGTAGGATCACGGATCATGCTCAATATATTTAATTATACAACAATAAAATTCATCAGTATATTGCAACCATACCGAGACATGCATCACTGGCATGTTGGTTCACAATGAGAATTCTAAAATAAGCTTATTCTTGTAAGGGTTTCATGCAGGTTACCCTTTTCAATAAATAAATTATTACATGCATATTATCGGCATGCGATCAGCGTAATCTCCACCTTGCTGTCTTCACTCCTTCAAATCATTTTTACCGCTGATGCTACCGCTTTACGTGATTTTTAGCATTTCAAACGTTACTTACAGCCTTCGCATGATTATAAATTACGCATAGAGTACGTGTCTAATAATTGATATAGCCCAAAATTCATATAATTTCACGCATCTCAGCAATCAAGACAAAATATCGTCATTTAGATGACGGAAATAAACTATTAGGAGACGGAAATGCGGATGCTCGGCCAATATCCAGCGTTCAAGGCACAAATGATCTTTTCTCAATAACAGATTCCTGTTTGGTGTATTTGAAATGATTGGAATTTTAAACACATGTCGTCATGACTAAACCAGTAAAATGATCATTTCGGCCTTTCAACATGCAAATATAAGAGGAATGTCAATATTTTTATTCATGACGTCCGAACCACCACTATATGTCTGCTAAACCAGCTCAAAAGAAACCAAACGACAGGCAGAAATATGGTGACTCGTTTACAGTGGAATTTTTACCTTAATAGGTTGTATATAAATTGTCTGTCTGCTTGAGACTTGTTATGTGACCTGTTTATCAAATCTTATTATAATTCGCCTGTTTACACCTTACATCTGCATAGTGTTACCAAATGCACTGCCGTGTTAAATAGCAAAACATGTGGTAAATAAAAACACTGTAAGTAACTGGAAATGCAATAGACAAACGTTGTGCGATAAAGACACCTTATCTGATTCCCGCCCCAGTTGCTCTAGATATTCAGAATTAACCTAACACATTTCTGTATATTATAACTACAGAAACACGCCCCCAAATTTAAAAACCCTCGTACATTCAAACCGGCCAGTACTAGGCGATTGTTTGTTCGGATGTAAAGACAGTAAAGTTCGGTGTAAATGCATGATTTAGGATTAATAAGATTAATCATAGTATATTTCTAATCAAACAACATGTAAACAGCGTAAAATCTGTTATAACTTTTAGCGTAAAATCTGTTATAACTTTTAAGTGTATATATACTTATTTCTTGTAATTGTTTTCCTGTGAATAGAGCAGTGCCGGTTCTACAAGCCGTTGTACACACTGTCGTCGTCAAATTCAACCCGAAGAAAAGAAGTTGAATTATCAAGACCAACCTTTTCATTCGGATTGTTTTGTTTGCGAACACTGCCGTAATCCTCTTGGAACTGAAAGTTTCGTGAAAAGAGATGAAAAACGCTATTGCCAAAAATGTTTTGAACGCCTCTTTGCCAAGGTAAAGTTTTAAAGTTAGTTAGGACATAGTTAGTTAGGAGATATCTAAAACCTGACAATTTTTTGTGAATGACTTTTGTGAATAAGTTCACCCCAGTCAACCACCCTTTCCCACTCTCTTGCTCCAGGTTTGCTCCTCCCCGCCACAGATCTTTATATAGTATCTGAATGCAATGTTTCTAATAAAGCGACAGTGTACGAGACCGCATGAGACTTACAAAACGCATTATTCAGACAATGTCACGACAACCGTAACAAGACGTTACGCATGTGGATCAGCTAGAAAAAGCACAGCAGGCATAATTTCGCACTAGGGAATAAATATTACTTCTTTAACTATCATTATCAAACTAATAATTGTCTCTTTTTAGACTTGCAATGCATGTGGTGACACCATAAAAACCGCTTCGGTTGATTATGAAGGTAACGCGTACCACAGTGATTGTTTTGTATGCAGTGAATGCCGCAATGCTTTGGCTGGGAAGAAGTTCCATAAGATGGGAAGAAAGCTGGTTTGTAAAGCATGTTACCGTGATAAGTACGCCAAAATTTGTGATTACTGCAAACAAGTGATCGAAGCAAACATCAAGTTTGTTGTGGATGATGAGAAAACCTATCATCGTGAGTGTTTCACTTGCAGCAAGTGTAGTCGACCTATTGATGGGGAGAAATACAACGTCAAGGGAGACAAACGTATTTGTTTGAAGTGTCCCGCATAGGATATTACAAAGGAACAACTCGATTTGTATCTTTTTATCTTTGTGTAAAGATTTCTTGTATCCAACAGGTTTAAATTGTTTACAAATTTGTTGTTAATTTACGTCTCAAAAATTAGTAAAATTAAAAGCAATGTTTCTGATAACTGACCAGTGTTTTTGCGTGGTGTGTCCAAATATTCATTGTAATGTAACATTACATAGAATCTGCATAGAATCAAATTTGCTAATTCAAAGTCATTAGTCTTTCATTGGCACTGAAAATGACTTACAGTTAAGTTGAAGCAGGTTTACAATAAAAAAATTATTTCAAATGCTTAATATAGCTCTTGTGCTGATCTGATCAGATCACATGTCTGAGGATGGGCAAGCACAACGAATTCTCAAATCTTATCTAATCTACTGACAATCAAATCATTAATTCCGGAGTTTTGACGTGGTTGCTCTGACTGCTATCTTCGTCTGAATTTTTTTAGAAGTTTTAGAAGATCCTGCTTTCCTATTCTCTTCCCAGTCCTTTGTTCATAAGCTTGTACCGGCGTTACTGCTTTTCTTTTTCAACGTTTTAATTGTTATTTCTTCTTAAGGTTAACTTTGAATGCGCATGCAAAGAATGATGTAAACATACTGTACTTATGCATGTGTGCTGAGATCTTAAATATAAAAATAGCCCTAAATGAACCAGTATTACGAGCACTATAATTCAATTCAATGACGAGAGATTGACTGGAGTGAGTTTAGTTTATTAAAAGAAGTAATTCTTGTTTTCTATACACCTAGATATAAGCTACTTTTTTTACATGGACAAATATGGTGTTCTATTAAAATTCATATATATGGAACCAGTACATAATATTCCTGAAATGAATTAAGTTACACTACTTGCATATTTCACTATATTACAACTAATGTTAATTAACATTCAATAAATTAACAATATTCGCCGTCTGTCATGCACAACAGAAGTGGCTGTAAATCATTATGTACTATGATAAATTATACAATTCTTGTGGAAATTTTAACTTCACGCATGCAGGAACGTATGAGTCACTACTCAAAGACTTGTCCCATGCCAGAGAGGACCGCGGGAGCCAAGAAAGAATGGTATCCTCTACTGGAGGGACGCCAAAAAGGGGACGTACACATTTCGTGAGTAGATCATTTCATTGTATTTCGGAATATAGATTATTTGTCTTTTCCACACTTTTGCGATCAACTCTTATAAATTTTAGCTTCATAAGGTGAATATAGTGAAAACATTCACACTAAAGTAGGAAACAATGATAAAAGTGAAAATTTGCGATGAGTTTGTTTTATTCATTTTCTGGTTGCTTTTACCATGCAGCAAAATAATTAGCAACGATAACATCATGCATTTGGTTTAGAACTGAAAATTTGGAAGGTTTTACGTGTGCGAAAAAATATGTAAGATTGCATGACACGCCATTTAACATAGTCTCACCGGTGCTTGTCCCAAAGCAATATGTCAACGCCGCCATATTCTTCTTAATACTATCTTATTCGTTACCTCGAGTGGACCGATATACAAAACAAGCTTGTTGCCAGTTATATGACCAAACTTCGCATGTATAGTTTTAATTGATAACATTTTTCAAAGGACTCGCTATGGCTAACAAAGTGAATCAGAATGTATACTTTGTGTATACTTCAGAAAATCGAGAACGATCCATCTAAGAGTAAAATGATGAAGATGTTGTCACAATATTCCAGCTCATATATAACCATGGTTACACAGTGATAAAATACAAACTGCGGCCTATAAGACAAGTTACGTTATAATATCTTAATATCAACTGCTGTGCATTTTTTATCTATATTATTCAGTCTTACCAACGACGAATTGAATCATATTCGGAGCTCTCTAGCAAGTAACAAAGATAAATCGTCGACATAAAACGATACGACATAAATGGCCGCATGCATGAAATAGCCAAATGGGCCGGTTTGCCATAGAATTTATAGTCCATGACTTATAAGAAAGTAAAACGATCTCGTAATACATTAGACTAGAATCTAGCGCAAAGAATTCTATATATTTAGCTGAAAAAAATGTTGCCCACAAATATTTCATTTTCATATCAATTTATGTGCATGTGAAAGGTAACGAAAGAATGAAAATTTCGGGGCGAATGAAAAATCCCCTAAAACGGATGTCGTATAGCTATATCTCGTCCATGATCATATAATCTGTCCATAAATCTCCAAAGCTGTCACTAAGTTTACTTTTTGTTCTACATTTTCTTTATAAATTAAATAATTACAATCCATTTGATACCATGCATGCAATAGACATCGATGAATTAATATTATGATATATGTCATGATTCCTCATATTTATTACCAAACCCATGCAAAGTGAATCTCTATATAGAAACACGTTCTAAGAAGTGATATTGCATGTGTTTATTTTAATGACAACAATCGATATTTGCATGAGACAGCTTTTGATAATAATTTTTTATTGATTTTATGCTATATATGCATGATGGAACCGTGTATTTATTTTCGCCTTGTTTCTATAGCGTATATATATATTAACTTGAACCAGTCACGGAAAAAAGTTTTTTGCCTTTTCATCAATGGCGTATATAATGTAAATGTAAATTAATGATACTGTGGCAAATTTTCAATTCAGTGCACCTGCATTAATAACAATGCGAAGGTTATAAATCTACAAAAGAACCGATTTAGCAACTCGAGCTTCCAGGAGTCAGGCATTATATTTGCCATAATGCTGTAATTTATATGACTTACGCTAAATTCAGCACTGGTTTGTATGTTCTCGACAAAACGTATCAACTAATAACAAAGTGATTTTCCACAATATAACTATATCACATAACATATAAGTGAATATTTGCCACCGCGAAAACGAGGCCATGATTGGCCAAGGTCCAACGCTTACGTCAAGGATATTACGATTTGAAAGCTTTAGATAATGTGTCTACATTAAAATAACTACGGACATATATGTGAGTAAATACAGTCCAGTCATCATTCTTTAACCATGCTGTTCTTCTTTGAAATTGTGTTTACAGGAAAACACAACGCACTATAGTGAACGTAGCTTATAGCTAGAGGTTCCAGTCATTTTGGACTTTTGGTCAGACGTATTCCTAATTATTTACTTGTTGTTACGACGTAGACATGACCTGTACATAGTCTTTACATCGACTTTGTTCATATCATTAAGTTTAACTGTCCAGGTAAGCAATATACTACTTTTAATGATAATAAATTATTTAATGTTTCTTAGTTCATGTCAAAGTATACGCTTGTTCTCGCACGATGATGGCATATGTTTCCCTGGCACAGTTTTTCTTTTTTTAACCCTACTTAGACTCTTTTTAGCGTCTAAAAATTCCTCACTCGTTTGCAACTGATGAAAATAGCTCGCAGAAAATATTGCTAGTATATATAGCTCGCAATAAAATCGCAGAAAAAATTGCTAGTGTTATCAGGAGTCATGACTCTCTATTAATGGTTGATTTACTATGATGTAAAAGTAATGGAAGTCTAATATCATATAGACAATGCTTTTATAACTGCAGCTGACTCTTTTCTCAAGCATACATGCAATCCACACTGAAATAATCAGTCTTCGTTTATATCAATGTCACAGACTTTCCTAATTGTTGAATATCATATACGCGCTTATAGCAGGAATAAGTAATGCTTCAAATTTCATCATTTTTGCAATACACACTTCGTCTTGCGACTCAAAAATGTAACTTGACTGAATCTTTACTGCGTAAATTGTCCCAGTAAAGATCTTTACTGCGGCAAGATATTTAAATTATTCATACCCTTGGAAATATAAAAGAATAAAGGGCGCGTTCGAAGGGCCCTAGGTTCGAGGTTGGGTAGATTCTTAGTGTCACGGAAAGAATCCTGGCTTGTGAAGTCGCGATCTATCAATAAATAGAGTAAAGATGCCATAATAAACATTATTGCCATCTGTAACGCAAGGAGCAATTCCTGTGACGAATTGTAAAAGATTCAAAATATTTTCCTCCACAAATCGTATCTTGATACGCCGTGACCAAAGCATGCACGAAGTTGTTTCTGAGAGACTTCAAAAACAGCCCGCAAAGGAAGGATGTCCCATATCCGGGATTGACAACAAAGATATGACTCTTGTAGGATCTGATCTCCAGTCGTAATGAAAACAAACGTTTTGTTTACATTTTTAACTGTTATATTTTTTACATACGACAACTGCATGTCTGAGTATCTCACACATTGATTATTGGTTCTCTATGGTTTTAACTTTTAAATGAATATGAGCTATAGAGTCTAGAGTCTGTGTCCAGAAAGATCTGAAACATGCGCAATTTTCATATCTGCCGGCTTTGCATTGTTAGGAGCAGAAACGAGGAGCATAATAAACATTGTTACCATCTAAATGCATGACTGGATATCACTTTTAAATGTTTCCCAACCCACATCAGCATTTAACCCAAGATGAAATAACAATTGACATAAACTCAGTCGTGAAATCATTTTGAGTTTTTGTCCATGTTTGCCTTAACGTACACGCATCTTTCTTTAAGTTTGCATTAAGATAAAACTATAGGCAAATCTATGTGTTTTAAATAATTTAAGTGTGATAGAGAAAATTAACTTAGTGATCATGTTTCTTGTAATGTAAAATACATATAAAATACAATATGTCAGTGATGAGTCCATCCTTTCTAAATCACGAATTTCGATATTTCTTCATTCGCATTGAAGTATGTTCTAGAAACTCAAATGTGGTAAAATTTATAGAAAGAAAACAGAGTTCATACTCTAAACAGTTGGCAGTTTATTAATTTTTAAAATTTCGGAAAAGTCAATACCTAATGTAATCGAACTCCACGCCTTCAACTGAATTATTCATTCGTGATTTGAAGATTTTAATGACTTTCACATTGAATTAAATGAAACGCTGTTCTCGGTTATTTGTTTTAGCAAAGCTCCATGCATTGTTAAAAAGGCAATATGGTTTTGTTGATTAGACCAAACAGGTAATTATCAGCTTATACTGACTAACAAAGAATCAAAACAAATGCAAGATAAAATAGTTTTTGAACAGCTGTCAATAGCCTGTGAATTTAATAGAAAAACTTAAAATATTCATTCAGTTAACTCAGCAAAGTAACACGTCGGGATAAAATAAAACGACAAAGAAAGAGCTTTCAGAATTTTTTTCAGAAACAGTCTTGATTTTATGCTTCGATCCTAAAGGTAAGTACATGCATGGGATTGAAAGTTGTATATAACTCATCTATATACATAGCATACAAATAGTACAACCTTAATTATCCCTGCTAACAATCTTTTACTTTTACAACAAACACAACATTCAACAACTAGACAAACAATTGAAACTTCTTGACGTTTCTGACCTAAGAATTTTGTCTGAGACTGAGGAGTATATATATAGTATGACTAACAACGTAGGCAATTCTCGTAACGAAGGCCCTCAAGTAGAAATGATGCGAAGCTTGTTTGTATAACCCACATTTGACAAGACCTTATTCGATTTGGCGTTGCCACGCTGCTCCTTGTTATTTTGGGATATTTAAGTTCCTTTCTCTTTCCATATAATATTATGCTTATATGCCTATCACGTTAGCATCTGACATGCTAAATTGCATGAGTATGACTGGGCCGAGAATAAGTTAATATGTTTTCACTACATAAGGAAATGTTCCAGACACATTATAACGGAAATGTCTATCTTAAAAACCGTTGTTTTGTTTGGATTTGCATGGATACCAGTTTTATGAATCATATATCTCATGGATAAACTTAGTAATCAGTAAACAATATCAATGTCAAGGGTACTTATATACTTTGTATGTGGCTGAGAAAGTATACACCTTACAATCGTCATAACAATTCACTTTCAATCAATTTGCGGTTGTTTTGCCAAGATTTATGACTCTGCTACTTCACTTCAGAGTAAATAAATCTTTAGTATTTTTGAATAACAGTTATATATAAATGACCTAGTTATTATTGAACACTGACAGTACGAAGACAATTTCTTCAAAAATCCCGACATGCATGCATGGAATTTGCCACTTTTCCCGCGAGAATTTTTGCATGCCAAAATTATCCTATATATACGCGTATTTCGAATTTTTTATGGAGACTATTCCCAGCCTCCGTCCCAGGCCTTTTGTTGGAAACACATGTTGCATTCAGCTACTTAGAACTTAGTAGATCAGTGGAAAAGCGAGAACGCGCACTGATCTCAATATTGTAACAAAGTACAAAACCGATATGTTTTCCAAAATGCGTATGGCCTGGGTACGAAGTTGAACACTTAGTTAAACGAACTCTAAAACTGTTCCTGGCTTGAATTTGAAGTGTGTATAATACCACTAAAAATTAAGACCTTTTAAAAAACCTCTAGAATATTCCTGCATCGAGTGAAATGCCAAAGGCATAATTGTTTTACCCTAACTTTAAAGTAGGCGGCGCTGGGCTGTACCAGAACTTTGCTATGACAACACCATTTGGTATAGTACTCGAAGCAAATAACGGACCTAAACTAAAGACCTCACAGTGTAAATTATCGCAATTAGAGTTCACATGATACAACAGCTGGTTTATATATGCCAGATAAAAATCTTTTATTTTGGTACAAAAATGATTCATGTTGCTATGGTTCTTACAAGATCAGCTCATTTTATACTTAATTTAAAAGAATGTGTGGGAATATAATTGCTTAATTTAAACAAGTATTCAGCAGGCGAGGGAAATATTTTGCATCAATATATTCTGGTTAGGCGATAAAAACTCCTATAGATACACTTAAAATTCATTCGATTTTCATTAAAATTTGCACATATTTGATATCCACGTGGGAATACCAGTTGTCAGAAACATTACATTTTTGCAGTGATTGAAGCTTTCAGCAGAGTACAGACTGTAGAGTACAGTTCGTAATTTGGTTTTAAAGACTAAACGTATACAGTGTAATACACTATGGACTGAAGCAGAATGAAAGATTGGTACTGATAATTTGAAAAAGCTACGAAAACTGTCTCTTTTAGCCCTAACCATGCAACTGGCATCTATAAATATTTTAGCCGGAAAAACGAAGGAAGTTCAACATCATAGCATCACTGTATAGTACGATGCCTATCCTGATATTAAACAAAGAAGAAATTGTTGTCTAACTGCTAAATATAGTTATCTTTAGATGATTGGCTCTTATGAGCCAATAGCTGCGTGCTCTTTGTCGCTTTCTAGAATGAGCTGTAAACAACGGAATTTTAACACAGAAAAAGAGTTTGTTTCATAGTAGTTTCTACTTTTAAAAGTACTTATCCAACATTACAAAGATGTCTTTGCTCCTTTCAATCGCGCTGTGGAATATTGTGCAAGCGGTTGTCAAGATGCACCGGATTTCGTACACCCAAAACATTTCAAACGCCTACAAAATAACATAAGCGCAATCAAGTTTTATAAATTACACCTTTGCAAGATAAAGCTCTTAATCAAAAGTGAAACATCCACAAAATTATAGTGTCATTTTGTTTAATATCCTTAATTGTCTTGCATCTTAATCAAAGAAAAATAACTGAAATTATAATTCGGTCGCATGCTGAGTTGCTTTCTTTCCATATTTCCCGCCTTCGTGAAAAATTATCAAAGGTGTGATCAAATGAACTATGATTCATTTTAATGATAAAGAAGGTTTAGTTCCGCATGCATGACAACTGCAGATATATATATGTCAACAATTTTTCAAATTATAGTCAGTTTTATTTTAGTCTCAAGTCTCAACATATCAATGGTAATTACTGCATGCATGCAGCATATACATCAGTGGCTTACGTACATACATGAAGGTAAGTTGATATACTTATTTATTGCATGTTAGAGACTAATTATGCATATAGTTAGGAAAGTCAAAGAGCTGAATATTTGTATATCTATACATCAAGAACGTGAATTAAAAAATCTTTTGAAAACCAAGAAAACTTCCTATGTATAGCAGAGCACGCATATAGTCCTTAATAAAAACTTCTTTTTATATACGCGCACATTATATGTATAAAATTATATTATTAAAAATGAGGTTTGCCGGAGATAGAAGCAAAACATGAAATTTGAGGAATTTTTTTCTCTCCCGCAGTATTGCATGCATTGTCAAAATTTCAATGAATACTTTTTAAATCAGAATATTTCTATAGTAACTCGTGACATCTTTAATTACGACATATTTTTTCTCTATAATTTCTCTATAATCTCTGTAATTTTCCTCTATTAACCCCACACCCTTAAACCAGATAGTAAGACATATTCCCTATAATTCTAGCAAAGTTTTTCGGTGCTATAAATGTACAAACTCTAAAATATGTATCCTTAATTCAGTCGTCAACAATGTTGTAGCAGAGGAATGTTTGTAAAACAACTTTGGCCTAGCAAGACCGTCTAGGCTTCAATTTATACTGATTTTAAGTGTGGAAAATATAGTGAAATAAACAAAATACTCAGAAACATATTCGCAACAAACGTATAATGCCGTGTCGTCATATTCGCAAAAAACATGATGACGAGTGGTTATGCTTACGTCAGCTAGTGTCCAATACATATATTTTATTCATCTGTGCATGCAACAAGTCAACAAGTTACCGGCTTCATTCAACCTGAAATTGCTTTTATGCAGACGACACTATATTCTACAGATTCTACAGATACACTGTTCCCACAAAGAACCGTATAATGGAACAGCTTAGGCTTAGCAAGGAACTAATAGGAATTGTAAAGATAAATAATCTTACCCACTATAGTCACATACTGTTGCTATATAAATCTCAAGAATTGCTCCAATACTCCGTCAACGATACATAAAGACTCTTAGCTTCAGCTCTTGGAATAACAATATATAATTCATAATTAGGTGATTAAACAGTCAATCTATGCAGGTTCATGCAAGGTTATTTTGTTTAGTCAAATACATTTATTTCTGGTGCTTTTACGTCATAATTAATGGTCAGTCGTGAGGACAGCTTAAAAAGCACGAAATATAAAACACAATCAACCGACACACAATAGACGATAACACGCAAACAGTTCATAATGAGAACGAGAATATTGAGCAAAATCAATAATACAGGGAGGAAGGTAAGTCGGTAACCATCATTATTTGCCTGAAGGTATTCATCTGCATGTAGATTTGGGTGCACGGAATTAAAAACAGTTTATATTTGGCGCCAATCAATCGGGTGCATTTAATATTGTCTATTTTGAAACAAAATAGACTACGAAACATGTAACGGAAAAAAGACTTGCCTGGCTCTGTTAGAATTAATGATACAAAATAGCTCAGTCCAAGGTATTTGTTTCTATCGAAGTTCAGCGTATTTTCTTAGTGTATATAATCGCTAAATGGAATCATTGATTTTACTAATGAGCATGTGCATGACAATACAGTATTTAAATTACATGAGCGACAATGAACATCATATAGAATTGTTTACTATGAGCTATTAAAAAATTTACACACGACTAAAGATAATGAATACAAATTGCAGCGAAGTTTGAAGAATGTGAACCAGTAAAAGTTAAAAAAAATAGCAATAGCTGCTAAGTTATATTATGCTTATTTATGCATGCGGTTGAAATGAAATGAAAGCGGAGTAAATATTGGCCGGGTGCAGTAGTCCTATATCGAACAGTATGATAATAATGCATTCATGAATGCACGCAAAAGTTACTGGAGTGGTTTGTGTTGACGAAGTAGAGAAACATCACGCTAGTTAGGGTTTGCATTCAAACCACAATGAATCGTGAACGAGCAAAAACAAATGGTTCTGAAATGATTAGTGCATGACTCAATTTCTCACCATTGATTGGTCACTGCCTTTTTGTCTTGATCAAGAGTATAATTTTTTAAGTGAAAAATGTCGAAATTAATACGAATTATTAAAACCATGCAAATGTTTCAATAATACATTGAATTTCCGTTACAAGAAAGCCTACAGGCATTTCACTTAGAGAAGTACCGGTACTATATGAGTGCTATGCACATGGTCAAGGTTTAGTTAAAAGAATGGCTATAATAAATTCCTTCCCCGAGTTCGGGTTATAATGAACTTTACCTATAGATTATAAATTTTATCCAAGTTGTTGAAATTCATTTTTCTAAAGTTAAAAACTCGCGTGACTCATATTGGACATATTTTCCGCATGGTCAGCTATACGTCTATACATGCAGTATATTT